GCCCATTGCTCGCGCACGGCAACTCCCTAACGCACCTCAATCCGGCGCGCGTCGGGCGGCGGCACGTCCTGCAGCTGCAGCCCGGCGGGGGGCGCCTTGCGCTTTGCCTTCGGGTCTGGGTCAGATTCCGTTTGCCCCGTCTCGGTTGTGTCGGTTGCGTGAGCTTCTCCGGCCGCGGTCGTGCCGGCGTCCTCGGCGTCGGCATCGGCGTCGCGCGTGGCAGGCACCTCTGACGTGGCGATGGGTGGGCTCGCAGTCGCGGCTGGACCTGGGGCCGAGGGCGAGGCCGGGACCGCGGGCGCGGGCGCGGGCGCGTCGCCGTCTTTTGACATTCTGAAAGTCGAAGTGGAATGGAGATGAGAGTGAAGGAGAGGAAAGAGGATGGGATGAGCGTCACTGTCGAGCGAGCACGGGGGAGGGGCATGTGCGCCGATGACCGGCTTCAGGCACGGCCTTGTGTGCAGGGTTGCACGCTGCAACTCGTCTTCAGGTCACGGCCGTTTCGCCCTGCCGAGCTCAACGCCACAACCCACCTCATGCACCTCGTCCAACTGACTGGGCTTTGAACTTTCGACCCTCAACCAAGAACGACGAGAGACAGTATTACTAGTAACGAAGAAGTCTGCATCACCTCCCCGCCTCTAACTCTATGTACAACTACAGAGCGCCAGACGGCGCGTTGGAAGATCATTCCGACTATGGCACGACCGCCGCCTAAGGGCCAGCGAGGACGCGCGACTCCATGTTGATGAAGATGTCGTCGGCCGGGTGGCGGTACAGAGGCTGCTTGAGCATGCGCTGGTCGAGGTAGTGACCGATGAAGCCCATCGAGCGACCGAGAACGAACAGGCCGTTCAGCGTGCCGCTCTTGAGGTACTCGGTGGCCTCCTCCTCAGTGAAGGCACCGCAGCCGTTGAGCAGGTCGCAGAACGAGGCGGCGATGGCACCGTCAACGTTGAGAATGAGCGTGTTCGACTTCTGCGTCGTGACGTCCTCGACGGCGAGGGCAAAGTCAAGAGTCTTGTGCGAGGGGAAGTGCTTCTTGACATAGTCGACAACGAGGACGACACGCAGGTCCGGGTTGGTCTTGGACTTGATCTTGTGGCCAATACCGGGGATGAGCTTGTTGGCCTTGCGCATCGAGTCGACAAACTCGCGAGGGGTGTGGCCAGAGGCGACACCACGCGAGAACTCGGACGCGGCACCGTCAAGGGCACCACCGAAGCGGTCACCGATGGTAAGGAGACCGGCGACGAGCGACGAGATGAGGTCCTTGCCGGCACGAGCAGTGATGATGGTGTTCATAGCACCCGAGACAGCTGGGCCGTGGTCGGCCGTGAGCTGGAGGACCATCTCGATGAACTTGCACGCATAGGTCGGGAGGCGGCGCTTGAACCAGAGGAGCGAAATGACACCACCGATACCAATGTCCTCCTTGAAGACGTCCGAGATACGCATACCGGCGTACATGAGTTCCTGGCCACGCTCGTCCGAGATGGTCGAGATGAAGGCAGCAGGCTTGCGGATGAGGCCGAGCTTGGACGCCCACTGGTAGTCCATGGGGATGGCAGGGGGCTCCTGCTCGGGGGCCGGCTTGATGGCGCCGGTCGAAACCATCTTGTCGTAGACGTTCTTGAGGAGGTCGGGAAGGTCCTCGAAGGTGTCGGGGACGAGGAAGCCAGCCTCACGCATGGCGCGGTTCTTGGCGTCGGCAGTCTCCATGTCCGAGTTGGCCATGGAGCCGGCGTGGCCGAACTGAACCTCCGAGGTGAACATCTTGGCACAGGTACCGATGGCCCAGGCGACGATGGGCTTGGTGACCTTGCCGCTCTTGACAGCCTCGATGACACGGTACTCCTCAGTGCCACCGACCTCACCGAGAAGAAGGATAAGCTTGCACTCGGGGTCGGCCTCGTAGCGGAGGATGTGGTCAATGAACGAGGTACCGGGGTAACGGTCACCACCGATGGCAATACCCTCATAAACACCGTTGGTGGTCTGCGAGAGGATGTTGTTAAGCTCGTTGGACATACCACCCGACTTGGAGACGTAGCCGACCGAACCGGGGCGGTAGAGCTTGCAAGCAAGGAGGTTGTCCATCATACCACCGGTGTTGCCGATGCGGAAGCAGCCGGGCTTGATGCCACCGACGGTGGCTGGGCCGATGATGATAATGTTCTTCTCCTGAGCGAGGTGAAGGATCTCACGAGCGTGGCGCTCGGGGACACCCTCGGCGATGATGCCGATGGCCTTGATCTGAGGGTAGGAGAGGATGTCGAGCGTGGACGAGTAGACCGAGCGCGACGAAGCGAAGTTGACGACAACGTCGACGTCCGGGTGCTTCTTGATGGCCTCGCCGACAGTGGTGTAGACTGGGAGAAGAGTCTCCTTGGTGCCCCAGTAGAACTTCTGGATGTGGTGACCACCGAAGGGGTAGATCATGGCAGCGACCGAAGGAGTCTTGCGGCCACATGAGTAGTCAAAGTCAAGCATGCCCTGGATGGCACGGGGCTGGAGACCAAAGACGAACGAGCGGGTCGAGGCGTCAAAGGGGCGGTACCAGGGGCGCTGGCTTATCTTCTCGGTCTCAAAGTGGACGATCTGGTCGCCGGGCTGCTCGCGGGAGCCGTCCGACTTGATCTCGCCAATTACAGGGCGCTCCTCCTGCTTGGTGGAACGCTTTTTGGCCGAGCCGTTGGCGGCGTTCTCGACAGCGGCAGCAATCGAGGCCGACGAGGTGGTGCGCGAAATGTCCTTGTCCTTGTTGACGCCGAGGGCCATGGGGACAATGGCGGTAATGGGAGCCTCGGGGCCGTAGACCTTGATGGGGACGCCGAGCGACTCGCCGCAGAGGCGCATGGCCTTGAGACCCTCCTGGTAGTTGGGGCCGGCACGACGGACCCAGATCTTGACGTTGTGGCGGATGAGACCCTCCTTGTGCTCCTTGAGGGCACGGATGATACCCTTAAAGGTGGCAGCAACGTCGGAGAAGTTGGCAGCACCGCCGCCAATGATGAGGACCTTGCCGTCCTTGAGAGGCTCGCCACGGGTCATGAGGTCAAGGATGGTCTTGGCGTACTCGTAGGTCTGGCCCTCGGTGGGAGCACCAGAGTACTCGCCATAGTTGGCGAGCTCGTGGGCGTAACCAGCGGCGGCGATGGCGTCGGAGTAAACGACGGAGGCACCACCACCGGCAACCATGGTCCAGACGGAGCCGTGCTGGTTGAGGACGGTGAGCTTGAGCGAAGCACCGGTAGAAGCGTCGAGCTTCTGGATGTAGGCCTCCTCCTTGGTGAGGTCACGACCGAAGGGCGCGGGCCAGACCATGGGGGGGCCACGGTCGGCCTTGATCGGGCCCTTGCCCGCCGCAGCAGGGGTCGAGTCGTCACGGGCGATGGCCCACTTGGGGCCACAGAGGAAGTCGGCGGTCTGGTCGAGCTTGGCGGCCATGTCGAGGTAGTGAATCTCGGCGGGCTTGCCGTCAACGGGGTCGAGGCAAACGAGGGGGTTGATCTCGAGGTAGGCGAAGTGGAGGTCGACATAGACACCGTAGAGACGGATAATGAAGTCGCAGAGAACATCCTTCTTCTTCTCGGGGACGTTGGGGAGGAGAGTCTTGATGACCTCCTCGCGGGACGGGAAAGGCTTGTTGACGGGGAGGAAGAGCTTGAGCGCCTTGGCGTCGACATCACCGACATCGACACCACCCTCGTGGGTGAAGTAGATCCAGTCACCGTCACGGAGCGAGTTGATGCAGACGTAGTACTCGGTGTCCTGAGTGTGGGGAAGGAAGGGCTCAATGATGAAGGTCTTGAGTGTACCAGTGGTGGACTCGACCTTCACGGGCTTGCCAGCGCGCTGAGCGATCCAGTCACCGGTGGTCTGCCAGTCCTTGCCGATGGAGAGGAGGCCGGCCTTGCCGCGACGCTTGATGAGCTGGTCGGGCTTGCCGACGAGCTTGGCCTCGTTGAAGACAAACTCGGGAAGGCCGGCTCCAGGCTTGATGGGGGGCTGGAGCGACGACGACTCGTCATCCCACTCAACCTGAGCGACGCGGACCGGGGCAGCGGTCGACTCGGTGACGGTGGGGATGGGGGTGGGGGAGCGAGTGAGCCAGTAGTTGACCAGACGCTTGGCGTCGTACTCGCGTATAGCTGGGGTTAGCAAGGTTCTGAAGAAGGTCACGGAGGCGGCTGCTTTTCCGCTCGGGGTGGCTCGTCACCCATCGCACTCTGTCTACACCGGGCCGCTCAACCTATCCGGCCCTACCATGCGAGGCTCGCAAACGTAGCTCACGGCGGCTCACGGCTGTTCCGCTCGGCTCGGCTCGAGGTGATTGCCCACCACGGTCGGTGAGCCGTCCACCTCCACCTCGCCTCCACCGGTAACCAACTGCTGAGCTGGCAACTCTTGCCTACCCCGATGCTACAGTCCCGTCTGGTGCATTCCATGCCAGCGCCCAATGGTACGAGCCGCGAGCCCGAGCCACGAACAGTAACCAGCCACACACCAGAAACTCACCCTTGGTAGACATGTTGGAGGGGGTGTATTAAAACTAGGGAATGTGAAGCTGGCGTCAGTTGACCGTACGATCTCCGGCTACGACTGCCGATCGAATGAGGCCTTCCTCCACCCGGCGACAGGAACGGAGCAGCGAGCTCACCGTTCCGCATCGCGATCTCGACGTTGCAGAGCGTGCAGAGCGTGTAGAGCGTGCAGTGCATGCAATGAGTGACGTCAAGATGCTCGGGTAAAGCAACGAGTGCGGAGGCAGGGGTCGGAGGCATTGGAGGACGGTTTCCCCGGCGGCAGTGGCTGTGACTCACAGGATGCCGCAAGGCTGGAGAGATGGGAGAGATAAGAGGAGGACGTGGGAGGAGAGGATTAGGAGAGAGTGGAGAGGGGGTGGGAGAGTCCCGTGAGGGAGGGGGTCGTTAGAGGGCCGATTCACTAAAGCTACAGAGAGCTAGAGAAAAGAAGAAAGTGGGAGAGGGGGGGTTTTTATTGTGGGCGGCTGGCCGCTGGGAGCTGGGCGGCATGGGCGGGGAGAGACGATTGGGGAGCTTGGGGGAGCGCGTCGAGGTGGTCGAGGTGGGCTTCCCCACAGGATCCACAGGACTGGGTGGGTGCGTGGGTTGGTGGGTGCGTGGGTGGTACGACGTGGCTCGACGAGCAGTCGTCGCGTGTCGAGATCGTGGGCCAGGCCAGTTCTCCCCCCCCAAAGAGCCGATCCCGCTTCAAGCTCGAGCCCCTCTATTCAAAGGAATGCTTTCTCGTACGGTGGCATCCCTCCCACCCATTCCACCCAACCGAGGGTTCCCAAAAGATCCCCACAACCACCGGCGCGCCGTATTTTAAACTTTATCAGATCCCCCGGCATCCTCCCTCCACCACAGATCCTAATCATCTCGGCCGGATCTATTATCCCCATTACAACACATTCTAATGCATGCCGCATGACCACATGAGCGGCTCCTCTAGCCGCCTAGGCACCCAATTTTTCACATCGGCCCGCTGCATCCGCTCTCCCCTGGCAGCCCCTTGGTCTTCCACGTGCCATTCTTCGTGCCGCCGGCATCGTTCGTGCCTGCGCCTGCACGGTCTCAAGTACCGTACCACGCCGATGCAGGTACAATCACAGCCTTGTCACCACGGATTGTACACACAGATACAGAGTAGTATTGTACATGTACGTTTTGATGACGAGCTATCCGCTCTCCCCGCGCCGTCGCGTCGACGCGTCCTCGTACGCCTGGGGATTGATAACAACAGGGTGGGGATCGGCTATGCCCGCGGGCTTGCCCCGGGAATCGTCGGGATCCGGATACACAGGTTGTAATGCCGGCCTGCAATGCCTGGCTGGCATGGCTGGGTCGCTGAATCCGCGGTCTCTACACTGTCCAGTGCGGAATCTTGCGCTTGGACATGGCTGCCGGTTATGACATGCGTAGGAGGGCCTATACGCAGGCCGCGCGGCTTGAAGGCGCGATATAGCACGGTGGCCTGGGTATGCACAGCCGGATATCGCTGTAGGCACGTGTCTGCGTGCTCGTCTGCATGATTGAATAGCCTCGGCTGACTCGGTCGTCTCGTTCGTCCGGCGACCTGGTGATCTGGCGAGACGATGAGAAACGATGAGCGAAAGGCGGACTGACTGCCCATGCCTGGTAGGCGGCGATACGCGAGATGGGCGAGGTGGAGGTCAAGTGGAGGCCTCGCCTATCTGTTCCTTGCGGAGCGCTCGATTGCGTTCTTGTCGTCTCTTTAGCTCTATTAGCTCTCAGCGACCTCCACGGCCTCCACTCGGCCTCGGCAAAGTTGACTGATTATTGTCTGCAGTCTCCACGCTGTGTGATGCTGGTGGAGGCCATGGAAGCTTCGTCAGTCGTCGATTAGCGCATCAGGTGATCGCAGATATGTAATTCAAGGTCTGGAGACTGAAGCTAGCTTGCCCACATCACATGGATATCCGCCATCCACCGTATCCACGCGCCTTCCGCCCTCAAAGTGCGTGAGTGGTGCGGCCTAGAGCTTCGTTGAATCTATTGTGCATGAGCAGAGTGAGGGTGCTCCAGAAGCCAATTGTTGCTGTTGGGCGTCCCCGCGTCTCGACTGGCCCTCCCGTGTGCCAGTACACCTTCCTTGGACGCCGCTGTGCTACATGTCAGCTATCCAGCAAGGGGTCTTCGCAACAGTGTTGGATGGCGAGTTGAGAACACTGCAATCTGCGACTGGTATTGGTAGCATGATAACGCGTGACGCGTGTGATCTACCAGCTGGCTCCGCAGCCATGCAGCCCAGCCATACGAGCGTCGAATCTTCCATGTTCCATCGTTCGATGTTTGGTTCCACATGATCGAGCTGTTTGCCCAACCGAAGATGGACCGACTGGTGGGCATGAGTGACCGAAGTGGGCATGGGCATGGAAGGCAAGCCGTGGAGCAGATTGTTCCATGCCCATGGCTGGCCATGAAAGGATCATCTGATCATGCGCCCTACGCGTACGCGTACGCGTAGGCGCGTCGCGTTCGCCCGCGGTCGGCTCATGCAAAATGTCATGCACACGCGTGCGCGTGCACGCGCCTGACGCGTCGCGGTATTTGACGTCTGAACAGTCTGACATGGTGACAGCTGACGAATCACCTGCCTGGCCCTTTGTCTTTCGGCCAGGGTCCTCGCAGCCCGACGCGTCTTTACGCGCCCCTGCATCCTGCATCCTGCATCCTGCATCCTGCAATTGACTCATGACTCGATCCTGGCATGGTGGCAGAAGTGAGACTGCCACGATGCATGATGGACAGAACACACAAACAAACAAAATCCGTGCAGTGAATGAGCGGTCCTATGGAACTTGTACATCCGCTTGCCGCTTCCAAAGCCACCATACGCACCGCCAGCATCTTGTAGGCTGGCGCGCTGGCCGCACGGCAAAATCGCCGGCTCACAATTCCCAGTCTCGGATGCTGTTCCACTTCTGGCTTGGCGTGACGGCACCGGTCGGGTCCTCTGCACAATCGCAGAGGCCTCTATATGGCTTCGTGGACTCGTGGCCTTATAGTATGGCCTCGCGGCCTCGGTTGTCACCCGATTTCAGCTGTCTCACATCGACGGCGTCGCCTCGTGGGAAGTGTGAGCGTTTCAGCTGCCACCGCCGGGCCTCGGGGGCTTGTGCCCTCCGCGGGAGCTGGAGCCAGAGCTGGAAATGGAGCTGGAAGTGGAAATGGAGCTAATTGGAGCCACAGCTGGAGCAAAGCCGCCGGCTTGGCCGGAAAGATTACCAGTGGCTGCGGAGGATAAGCTTCCAACGGCGAGGCCACCGACGTCGGTGGCCAAATTGTTCTTGATCGTGGAGCATCGATTGCGTGTGTCACTGACATGAACGGTAAACAACTGTGCAGCGATCGCGACTAGTGCGAGTAATGAGCCAAGACAGCACTAACATGCAAAACATAACAACCCAACGCGGCAAACATTTGGCGTGGCGCATGCCTCAGGACGTCACCGGCGGCGGCGAGGGGAGAGGGGCGTAAAGCTTGAGGGCAGAGGGGCGGAGGGGCGGAGGGGCGGAGGATGGAGGACGGAGGACAGGAGAGACAGAGCATGCCGCTGCCAGGGACTGGAATACCCACATGCCCAACTCGCAGACCCAGGAGGGCTCCGATAATTCAGATGAATTGCAGGAGGCAGGGCGGCGATAGCCCTCGTTCCTGCGTGCCTGAGGGGTACTGGATAAGCTCTCGAGATTGTGAGCGCCTGCCAGGCTGTTAATGTGCGTATCGTACTGCACATGCGATATTTCTTCTCTGCAGTACTACTGCTGTCAAGCGTTGCGTGGGAGCCGTCGCCGTCGGAAGGTGTCCGTTGGGCGGGGCAAGCGCACGGACAGTCGCATGACGCGGTTCTTGTGCGCTCGCACGGACAGTGACGCATCCCGAGAGATCTGCAGCGCAGCCCACGTTTCCCATTACACCGCTGTTCACAGGTCACAGCTTCACAGCTTCTCACCGTCACAGCTCAGCTTCGCAGGCAGAGCTGTAGAGCTGTAGAGCTTCGGCGGCGGTTTCATGCGTTCATCTCTGCGCTAGTTTACTGGAGCCGACGCGGCACGCGATGCGGCCCGGCGGCATGGCGGCACGGCACGGCGCCGGCACCGTGGGTGGCGTCTCAATGAATCCCAGCGGGTTTGCGCCCAGTTTTACAGCCATGCCAGCCAGCAACTATGACCCGTAGCTGCCGTAGTGCTCCGTTGGCCTGTCCAGTCCCCCCCCGCAGCATGCAGCATGCAGCATGCAGCTTGCAGACGCCACCCAGGCCCGGCCAGCAGCCAGCAGGACCCCGGACCGGTTCAGGAATTGTGCTGGAGCCTATTCCACAAATGTCTGAATGGCCGCATCCCTGTGTTGGCGTGGGTGGCGTTTTATTCATCCTGCCTCAAAAATCAACCTGCAGAGCTGAGGTGGCAGAGGATACAGCCGACTGCGCCTGCACCTTGCCTGCTGTCTGCTGCCTGCCTGTTGCCTGTATCCTGCGACAAGCTGGCGTACTGGCGTGCACCACGAGCGCGTCACTCTCACTCTCACGCTCACTTTCACCATTGCCTGAAGTGGCCTGACCCCCGCCCTGCATAGCCATTCAGCGCCCAGCCACCCCGACTTGTCCAGCTTGCACCTCCTATCTCACCTCCCATCCTCTGCACGTTCTCTTGTATCTATACATACCAAAGCCCCTCTCCCTTCTCTCCTCCCCCCCCCCCAACACTCTATCACTTCTCTTTACCTCTTTGTCACGGCCGCGCACCACAACTCGCCATCACTCCACCATGCTGTTCCGAACCCTCCTCCTCAGCACCTTGTTCGCCGGCGTCCTTGCTGCGCCCGCGATCCACATCCCCGGCCTCTCCAAGCTCGAGACGCCATCAAAGCTGCAGCCTCGTGCTCCGCAAGCCTCGCGGCGAATGGGCCAGCGCCGCCGCCGCGCCCACGCCCCACCAGCAAAGAAGGACTACTCGACCTTCCTCTGTCCCGCTGCCGCCGTCGCCTGTCCCGTCGCCGACCTCGACACCATCACACCCGAAAGCGCCGCCGCGCTCGAGGGCGAGCTTGCCAGCCTAGCAGATTGGTTCCGCGTCGGCTTCGAGTGTATCGAGCCCGAAACCGAGCTCAACCAGTGCGGCGGGTGTCTTGCACTTGGCAAAGGGTGAGTTTGCGCTTGTGACCCGGACCTTCGTCCGCTTCCTCCGCTTCCTCCGACGGAACACCGCTGACCCCCAGACAAGACTGCGCGACCATTGCCAACGCGCGCGCGACGGCATGCGACGCAGGCGCGTGCAAAGTCCTCTCGTGCAAGGACGGATACGTCGTCTCGCCCGAAGGCAAGCTGTGCGTGCGCCCCGACGACCCGCGCCTGCTCGTGCAATAGTCGTTACCTGGCTAGACTCGACTCCGCCTCCAGAGACTCTTACCGCATAGCCCTCCTGTAGCAACGCCGCGCCACTACCCTCCCCCATATACCTATCCCACGCCTACCCTCACGACCACGGACATTCAGTTTCTTAGCATTGTAGCATGCCTCGGGCACAATAATCGCATGCAGAGTTGTGTATAGTTGCGCGGCGGCGCAGTTCGGGTATGGAAATGGGGTGTTGACGTGTGCCAGTTTGGAGGTGGCATGTCAGATCTGCTCGCCACTCCTTATGAAGGCCTGCATCCATGCAGAGTTGTGTGGAAAGAGTAGCGTATCGCTCGCACGGAGTGTTCATCGCTAGCCATCGGCTGGGGGGCGGCCGCAGGCGCTCGGCCAGCGCGATACGCAACAGGCAGTGCCGTGGACAGCTCATCGTACCATCGTGAGCCACACCCCCCGCCCACGTGCACGCAGATCACCGACAGAGACATGAGGAGGAGGGACGATCCGACAGTCTCGGACAGGAGCACGGACGATGGAACAGCAGGGGACGATAAGCCCGAGGCACGATTCGTCACTCGGGAGTGTGTATACGCTGGATGATGGCCCTTGGCCCCGTGTGCGTGGGGAAGTGGGGAAGTGATTACTTGCGTGTGCATGTACGTTGCGTGTGCGCGGCGCGACAGTGCTGTTCGCCACCGGATGTCGTGGCAGGATCGACAGGCGCGACAGGGCGCAGCTTGGCAGACGTGGCAGGGAGTGAGCAAACATTTGTTGCGTCGGTACATCCGGCATATCCGGCAAAGTCGGATCCAGCCTTGAGCCAGATCCCAGAGGTCGAAGGTTCGATCCCGTCGCAAAGTTCTGGGCGAAGTGTCGCTGCTCTGGAACGATACGTGGGCGGCCATGGTCGAGACGAGCTGGTGAACGTGGCCAGTGCTCTGGAATCACAGTGTGGAATGGGCTGCGCCACGAGCGTGACCACCGCTGACACCCAACCGCTTGTCCTGCAGATCTCACACCGAACGTTATTATCTAGCGTGACGAGTGCGAGTGCTCGAGTGCTGCACGCTTTGGCGCCTCGTGCTATGTCTCATCGGCCATCGGTCATGGCTCATGGAGGCAATCACTCCATCACTTGATTGTCTCTGAACCGAATGATGCGCACCATCCATGAAACGCACGTCTCATATTCCCCGACAGGCCCGACCCCAGACGAAACGAGGACTGGGGGAAGGTATGAGGATGATCAAGCACTGTTTGCAGGGGAAAGGACGATCAAACGTGTCCGTTGACACACCAACATACACACGGCGCGCGGATCCCTGCGCATCCCCCTCCCCTTGACCTTGTTACAGGCAGCGATCTGTGCGTGGGAAGATCTTCCTCGCCCCTCGCCCCTCGCCCCAGGGGGACTGCGGTCTGTGCGGGAGCTCGGCATGAAGCACTGGCGTACTGGAGCTCTGGAGAGCGTCTAGTCTGATCGACCGTGCGATGGAGCCACAGCCGGATATCCTCGTGCGCGAGCGCACACGTGGGCGGCCTAGTTCCATCGTCTCGATATCTATCTATCCATTATTTCTCTCGCTTAGGATGCCGATCACAATATCTGAGACATGCCGCCAAGTTTGCTGATGGCGGTAAAATAGCTGCGCGGGGACTTGTCTGTCGTGATAAGGCGAGTCGACAGCACGTGCTATTTCCAGCGGCGATGCAGCCTGCTCAAGTCGATCAGGAAAGCACGTATACACGACGAGCACCCCGAATTTCCGGCTGCAGTTGCAGTGTCATCAATGGCCGCCTGCAGATAGTTTAGCCAGGTGTATGTGTCGGCGGACAATATCCGGCTGCTCCCAAAACTAGCCGGTTATCAGTCTGCGTCGCCCACCTTGCTTGGGCGCCGAGGGCCACCGTTTGCCATCGAAATCATGAGCCGGCCACAGCTACGGTAGCAAAATGCGCTGCGATACGACGAGACCGCGGCTGCCCCGACGTCCGACGGCGGTGGAGCCGGGGTAGTGCACGCTGCTTGGCTGCAGGCTGAGAGGCCTGGACTCGCACAAGGTGGAGAGGGTGAGAAGAAAATGCGGGGTGCGGGGAAGAGTGGCGGTTGTGCGGGGAAGGTGGGGGAAATGGAGGAACCAGGGGCGGCCATGTCCGTGTGTGCCCGACGAGGAGCTGAGGTGAGCAAGTCGGATCACGAGTGGGCTCTTGCTGGCGGAGCATACTGTCAACGCTGTGAACGTGGACAAAGTTGGGCAATGGGCGAGCACGACGAGAGCAAGAGGCCTGTGCCAAGACCTACCCCCTCTTTCCGCTCTGCCGCCGGCCAGCCAGCCGGCCTCACTCTGAACAGCCTGCCTGCAGCCTGAAGCCTGCGGCCCGCAGCCTGCATGGATACAGTGGCGTGCGGGAGAACCGTGCTCAACTACAGAGGCGTACAGGCGGCAGCTGATTGTCTTGAGACAAAACGCCAAGGCGCATTGATAAGTCCCGCCGCCCACCCTCCTCCCTCCCACCATTCTCCCGGCAACAAGATCACCCGACTAAAGAGTAGAGTGGACTTGTTCTTCTCCACCTGTCTTCTGTCCTCTGTCTTCTGTCTCGTCTTCTCGTCTCCTCCCTCCCTCAACCTCCTCTCGACCTCTCCTCTTCTCCACGCTCCACAACGAGCTGCTGGCTGCTCGACGTGTCACTTCGTCCTCTCTCGCCCCCCTCTTGCGATCGAGCCTGGCCTGGTTGCCCTTCCACTTGCCTGTACATCATTCTCCACCGACAGGCGTCTCGAAGCCGCCCGTCCTTCCACCGCCCCCCACCCTCGCCTGCTTTGTACAACCCTCCCTTGAGCTTATCGCCTTTCACGCCCTCACATCGAGCTCGCATCATGACGGCCCCTAGCAGAATTGTACGTTACACCGACAAAGATAGAAGCGTCAATGCTGATCCTGTCCATGTCTTGTTCGCTTCCTCCTCGCTCGCTCCTCCTTGTTCAACTTCGTCTCGCTGTCTCCTCGATTCTTTCAATCACTCCCCCCCACCGCCACGTCACTTCACTGCTTCTCTTCACGCTCGTCTCGCTCACCTCGCTCCCCCGTCCTGCGCTCCTGTCGTTCTCTGTCACCCTGTTGTCTCGCACATTCCTCTCAACTTTCACAACCCCCCCGCCAACGCCTCGACCCTGGCTGCGCTTCGCCATTCCAATCCGCCTATTCTTGTCGTCACGGCCTCGTCGACCTGCCCGCCCTCCTGTTGACCCGCAATCTCTACGCCATGCCCGCGTTCATATCTACCGGCCCACTTCTACTCCTCGCCGCCATCCCCGACCTCTCGCGCACATTCGCTTCTACCTCTGACCTCGCTCCGACCTCCGCCACGACCCCGACAATGTCCACTGCGCCTCACCCTACACCTCCTACATCACCTCTCGCCTCCTCGTCCACATCTCCGTTCGCCCCCGACCAGCCTACCGTTGGCAAGTTCAAGCGAGCCAAGAACGCTTCGGATGCCCTCAACACGACCCGCGCCCTCGCTGACCCGGGGTATGCATACGCGGTCCTTGACGCGTATGTGCGCGGCAAGTTTGCCCGCGGCCGCAACAAATACCAGATCCAGCACAAGCTCGATTCGCTCGAGCGCAGGGTGAGTGTGACTTGGTCGTGGTTGGAATGGGTCTCGTGTAATTCGCTCGGTGTGAGAAAGGTCACTTTGCGGAGCTCGGATTCCCGAATACAATGCAATGCCGTGTGGCGGCCGTGGTGGCGGCGCCACCGCCACCTCCATGCCCCCAAAGTATCACCGCACCAGCAGGAAGTTGTCCAGGTTCCCATGGCTGACATTAGATGCCCCACTTTGCGGCCGACTTTCACGCCGTGCGCGCCAACACTGGCCTGGCTCCCAGCCGTCTCCTCCCTCCCGCCCCGCCTCCCCCATACTCGAAAGAGTGCTCTTGTGCATGCACGTGCGGCGCCCTGCCAGGCGGCACGATCGGGGAAGCGCACGACGACTCGCCGAGCGACACGCCGCTCACGACTCCCGGTGTGCATGACGCGCCAGTCGGGCCCCTGGCAGCGCCCCCCGGCTCGCCAAGCGGATCGGAGACGTCCGTCTCCCGCGCCCTCTCGCCCACCGGCGAGCTCGTGATCTGCGCGCTTTCCGGCAACCTCCACACGGCGGCATCATCATCCGTAGACCTCCGCGGCACGGGCACGGGCACAGCCACCCCGACTGTGCCGTACGAACCGTTCGCGAATCCGAACCCCATGCCAAGGCCCTACTGGCTGCGCGGGGGCGGCCGCAACCGCTCCATGTCCGTGCAGGCGCTGGGCAGCCGCTCCGTGGCGGCCTTGACGGCCGCGAGCGCGAGCACGACCAACCTCGGCGGCGTGCCTATGGCCGCGTCGGCTTCGGCGGGTCGCTAGATCCGCGCGAAGCGCAGAGCGGAACACACGAGGGCGCGTCAGAATCTGGCAATGACATCTCGAATCTTGGGCATTTCGGGGCGGGCAGGCTTGTGCAGTACACTGGCCACCCCCTCCTCCTCGGCATAGACGTGGCGTTCGGTACATCCGGGCGCAAAATGTGACGGTACAGCATGGATTGTAGTTGTTGTAAATAGATGTGAAGAGTAGGTCTTGCGCGATTGCGAAGCGAGGTGTGGCGAGTGGACCCGCGAGGAATGTGGCGAGGCACTGATAAGCGTCAGCATGCGCGGGGCACGGATAACGTCTTCTCGTCAGATGATCGATGACGGGTCCCGCACCGCTCGCTTATGGAGTTGAGCACCACTGTATCTCAGCAACGCTCACTCTGATCACATCTCATCCCCAGCACACATAGCACACATGAGCACGAGCTGGCCGGACCTCCGTGCGCCCGGGCGGGAACGTGCTGATCGCAGCGGACGAGTGGATGCCGACGCCCGCGCCGGCCGAGGTGCGCGAGAAGAAGGGTGCGTGGGTGTGGGCGCGCTGTACGGGGCGTAGGCGGGGCAAGAGCCCAGCACCGCTGATCACAGCGAAGCGCGACTCCGAGGGGCGCGAAGACGAAGCAAAGGACGTCAAAGGCGACGGGCAATGGGCGAGCATGGGCGAGTTGCTCATGTAGTTGTGTGCGCCCGCAAGTTGCGTAATGCCGGAAATGAATGAGACGATGAATGAACTTGTTGTTATAAGCGGTCACTTGTACTCTCACTGCTTAGCCTCTACACCCCTCCCTCCATCCCAGCCCAACTCCCACCCCATCCCACCGTCTAATCAGCCCACCGCCATGAGCTCCATGCCCGAACTCCGTGAGCGACCCGCCCCCCACCTGACCCCAGCGGACCAGTGGACGTCCACGGCCGAGAAGGACACGGAGGGGAACGAGAAGCCACGCCCGCCACGCTATCGCGGTGCGTGCGGCCGTGTCGGGGCTGACGGCAGCGAAGCGGCAATACACCGGCCGCGAGCAGGAGGCCGAGGAGGTCAAAGGCGAGGGGCAGTGGGCGAGCCTGGGCGAGCTGCTGATGTAGCGGGCGGGGTCGTCCGAGATTATGGCCTGGGCTGGACAAGCGTGAGGTGTGCGAGATAGATCTTGCAGCGCGATCCCGTGATGCAGCTGTGTTAGAAGAGGTAGCGGCGAGGGAGATGGCCTTCACCCTCAACAAAGTCACCAGTTGAGCTCCGGGATGCTTGGGCTGCGTGCACCGGTCTTCAATCACCTTACGCCAGAGTGGACGCACGGTGCCGTACACAAGAGCGAACAGGCTCCCAATCGCGATGCGTACCCGACCTTCATCAGCAACACATCAGTTCGAGGGCCGCGAGGGGCGAAAGCTGTCACTGGCGCAGGGCAGTGGGCGAGCATCGCCGAGCTCTTGATGTAGCCATACGCCATACACGTGTCCATACCAATCCAATCCATCCACTGCAGCTAGTCATACACTGCCGTCAGCCCGCCCTCGCCAGCACGCCAGTCCCAGGACTCACCATGCACGAGCGCATACCCGCCGATCCAGAAGAGGAGGAAGCCGAGCAAGTTCTCCCCACTGATTCCCGAGACGCCCATCCACCCCCGCCATGCGCGGACCTTTGCAGCGCCGAGCGGACCCGCGCCCGCGTGTGCGTCGGGGACGTACCGCCCCACATCTAGGCCGCACTTCAGCGCGCAGGCCACCGCGGTGAGCAGCGACGTCGCGAGGTACAGCGCAAAGCCGGAGAGGTTGGGGAGGCCGAGGACGCCCGCAACGAGGCCGGCGAAGCACGAGGTGAGCTGGGGTTAGAGAGAGGGGAGAGTAGAAAATCAGGGAGGGAGGACGCACTGTCGCTATACTCCCCAGCACACGCGTGTTGTGCTGCACGCTTGGGGGATGCAAGAGACTTGCGGAGGGCGAGAACTGCGAGGCGCTCAGCGCGGCTGGTTCCTGCGGGTTCATGATGGATGTAGGGGTGCGGTCTCGGCGAGGAAGAGGCGGGGAAGAGTGAGGTGACCGTCGGCGCGGCGGTGCAGATGCAGAGTCGCCTAGGAGAAGAGTAATGCAAGATGGTCGACTTCCAACATCCCAAACGCGTTGGCGGAGGTGACTGACAACACGACTGACGCTTACGTAAGACATCTGGTCTGTGTCACCTCAAAATACATGCATACATATCACGGCCTCTGTCTCACGCACTACGACATATCAAATCCTGCACCGCTCGTGATCGCCTGTAGCAGCTTGGAGCGCAGCATCGCCTCGTCCCTGTAATCGGGAAGCTTGAGGAGGTTGGCACAGCTGCTGGCGGTCGGCAGCCGACTCTTGTCCGACCCGCCGTTGCGCACGCCAAACGGCGGATTGAGTTGCGCAAAGCCCAGCAGCGGCGGACGCGAGCAGCTCGTGACAAACGTCAGCAGCTGCCGCTTCTGCTCCTCGCTGAAACTGTCGACGACGCGCCAGAACATGGCCGGTGTCCGTTCGTCCTCGAAACCCGTGACTGTCGTATGCTTGCGCAGGTCCATGATGTCGATGGGCGTCTCCTCGCCGCCGAGGAGCTGGGCGAGCTCGTTCTGGTCAAACATACGCAGCCAGCGCGGGTCGATGAGGTCTGACAAGCCGGCAAAGAAAGCCTCAGACTGCGCAGCAAATTGCCAGTCGAGCTTGTACTTGCACACGAGGGCGATGTACTCGTGTCGGTTCTCCGCAGTGACGGGGATTTCAGATCCGCCAGGAATAAGGTCGACGTTTTTGGCGACGCCAAACTCGTTCTCCGTCACCGAGAAGGTCAGGGACAGCTCTTCGGGGTTGGGGTAGTTCTTCAGCTGAATGAGGCCGCGATACAGCTCCTGGTCGAGCGACGCCAGATCGTCGACGTATGACTGCCGCCCCAGCCACTTGGCCAGGAAGAAGCCAGCAAACGTCACGTCAACCAGCATGTTGGCGTACAGCGCCTTGCCCAGCAGCCGGCCGATGAAGCTGTACCACTCGAGCTGGTGGCTCTCCTTCGCATAGCTGTGGGGGTTGGGGTAAAGCTCGTTGCGAAGATTGGCGAGCCACAGCCCGCGCTCCGTGTCAAATGCCTCCTTGCTGAGGTTGTGCAGGAACTCCTTGAACAAGCCGCCGCCGTCAATGCCTGCCTCCTCGTTACCCCATCTGTTGTCAGTCACTCGCAGGTACGGCAGAGCAACCCCACTCACTGGTCGATAAAGGTGATCTCGACGATATTCTTCAGCCCCGGGCCCAGGCTGTTGAGTTGCCGGAAACCATCCTCGGCAAGGTGTGAGCGGCGTATGGACACTCTATGCCGCGCACGTCCGTAGCGCTGAATGCCCAGCCGCTTCCTGTCTGCGCGGATAAACTCGCGGAACACTTGGAGGCGGGTGGAAAACGGTACGGCCATGGGCATATTGTTAAGCAGACCTAAGCGTGGTGAAATGCGCGAGTTGGCGAGCTGCCGCCGACTCATAAACTGCCGCACATTCGCAGACTGCTGGGGGCGGGCGATGCCGTGTGAGTCGTTTGCCGCGCGCGTTTCAAGCTCGAGCAGCTCATCTTCGTACTTGACGGCGTCGATGAAACCGTCACGCAGGTTGGAGTCCATTACCCAATACTCGTCGGGTGCAAACTTGCGCCGTCCGTTGCGCTCCGTGACGCGTACCACACCTTGGGTGAAGAGCCGCCTATCAGCCTCGGTCCCAGCGCCACGCACGCCTTGCCCAACCCCATTCAGATACCCCCAGAACGCGAGGTCGCGCCACGTGCTTGATAGCTCGAGCACCTCATCCAGTGAGAGTGGGTTGTTCGCACTGAAGAACTCGTCGTCGGGCGTGAGGAAGAGGTAATGGTTGTACACATAAGTGAGCAAGAGAAGCATCGATTTCTGAGGGTCTGCGGTCAGTTATGTCGACGAAGTCGCGTACTTTTCGAAAACTGCGACCACTGATCAGGCGCGTTGTTCCACTTGCCGCGCACTCCTTCACGCCAGAGCAACTTGATCAGCGCTCTACCTCGATTGCCATCGAGCAGCGCGTCGAGCGTGCCCTCCCACTTGGGCGAGCCGCGGAAAGCAACAAGGATGTTGAGGGCATATGTGGAGAAGTCGGCCAATGAACCCGAAGATGTCGCGTATGATGCAAGCGTTCCGATGTGCTGGGGGCTGGCAAGAAGAGCGAGCGCCTTGGCAATGCCAAGCGGGAGTCTTGGACGCTCAGGCGCAATCGGGGCAGTGTCGTCGTCCTCGCTGCCGTCATCGACATCCATCACGGCCGCGGCCGCAACTCCGGCAGCACCAGAAACGCTGCTTTCGGTCCACGCGCTCCATCCTTCCCCGAGGGTTGGGAGGATCGCTCCAACTACTGACATCCACGCCCGTTTGCCGGGTGCGCCGGTGCGTTGTAGCATGCCCCCGGTGATGCCAAATGTGGCAAGGTTCGCGAGGAAATACGTCCGCCCCAGCTCATCTGCAAGTCGTCCCTGCTTGAGCAACAATGGATTGGCGGCGGAGGCCGGCAGAAGGATGCTGAAAATGGGTAAGCTGGACGAGAGGTGGGTGAGAGAGGCAAGGGGGATAGACGAGGGGAGGGCGGGGATGGCAAGGAAGGTGTGGACGAGCGGCGGGAGAAGAGGCGACTCGGTGGTGAGGGGCACGAGGGCCGTAGGGGCTGTTACGAGGCGGATTACGGGAAGAAGGAGGGGATGCCGCCTCTTCGCGGTCGCGAGCGCCTCAGTGATGTCCGCGAGCGTCTCAATCCATGCACGTGCACCAAGCGCGGCAACGACTTCGGACATGCAATCTGGGGGAAGGTTTGTGTAAGCCGCCGGCTTGAGAAATGCCTCGAGGGAGGTGAGTAGCTTAGCAGACGTCTCATTGCTAATGTTAGTAAGGCCATGGACGGACTTACCGAGGGCTGGTGCTGACGAAGCGCAGGATGCTGGCGAGGAGGATGCCAAAGGCGAACGCGTCTTCCGCGACGAGAGCACCAAACACCTGACCTTCGGGGCCTGCGGTCAGCTGGCTCGATTTCGACCCACCCACCTCTTGCTAATGCTGCCGTTGTCCATTTCACAAGGAGAGCGCCGACGCGGGCTCGCTCGCCGCGTCCTCGGAGGAGGAGGAGCAGAGCGCGCGCACCCTCTTGCACACTCACTCCCGCCTCAAGTTGAGCGAGGATGTCAGCCCTCACTGCTGACGCGGCCGAGCGCCCGCGCCATACTTTCTGGACCGTCGTCGCGGCAGCCTCGAGGCGGCGCTGAGCTTCACGCTCCTCGCGCTGCGCGCGGATACTGCTCAGCAAGGCCGTGGGCGAAGACGAGCTCCGTGTGCTCAGGTCGACCGGCGGATGGCGCCCGCTGCCGTCTGGATTCCACATTGCGGGAATTACTGGTGAGCTGGTGAGATGAGTGAAGGTGGATGGGTAATCGCCATGTCGCAAGCGTGTCGTACCCTCGAGGTTACGTCAGGTGGCGATTCCGCAGGCTGCCCCACTTGGTCCGGCCTCCGCCGAATTGTGCTCCACCCATTCAGTTTCATGCGACATGCTCATTAACTCGAGGACTCTCATGATCTCATGACCAACAAATTGAAACGGACGAGGCATCGAAATATCCAGCCCTGCTTCTTTCATTCCACTCCCAGAATTCTTGCCGGACAGAACCATTCCGGAGCACCCTCGACATAGACCGCTTGATATCGTTGCCCGCTCCTCTCTCTCCCGCACGGCGAATGAAGTGAGATGCATGTCTACGCTACCTTACGCCTTGCCCTGCCACTGAATGATCTCGGGCCACCCCTCCTGGCTCTGCTTCTCGATAGTGCCCGCAGGCATTGGCAGGGCCTTGACCCCCTCAGGAAGCCACTCGTCGGCAGGCTTGCCGGACATGAGGTTGTTCTGGGCCTTGTACGCAACCTTTTTCTTGGCGTCGCGAACGGCCACAAATGCGTCGTCAACACCGGGCACAGCGCCGCGCACAAACACCAGGTTGAGCGCCAGGTCGACGCGGTGCACCAGCAGATTCTGGGTCGTGCGCTTGACGTTGCCCATGTGTCCGGCCATCTTCTTGCCGGGGAGAACGCGGCCGGGGTCCTGAGGGTGAGCGGAGGTTCTTCATAGGAGGGCAGAGGGCGACGACGGGGGAGGAAGGCAGAGAGCGTAGGGGGAAGTTTAAAAAAGTGGACTTGGACGACCTGTCGTAGACGTACCTGGTTGGAACCCGTGGAGCCAGCGGAACGGTGGGTGACGGACACACCGTGCGAGGCCTTAAGACCGTGGAAGCCATGGCGCTTCATAGCACCCTGGAAGCCCTTGCCGATGCTGTCTGTTAGCGCATGAATTGAAGAGATGGTGCTGCAGCGGGACCTCAAGCGGAGGTGTGGAGGGTGGTATCTTCAGAGGGCAGAACGCGGTGCGTGAAGGCGCTCGTCTGGCTTGCCTCCTGACCATTCTCGTGCATCCTGTACGCTCCTGCCAGCGTCGATGCGCCAGGTAGGATCTCGATCCACCTCCGTTGCAGTCCTCGCGGCTTCCAACATTTCCGGCAGCTCTCAAGCTCTGCACCGCCGGACCAGTCGTCCCACTTGACCTCGTACTGCCTCTCTTGCGCCCTTCAGCCGGTACTCACCTAGTAGCCGTTACGTCCACATACTGGCCTGGCACAAAGTGTGACGCGCCGAGCTTTGTCCCGACGGGCAACACTGCTTCCTTGCTGACGCGGAACTCCATGAGCTTGCGCTTCGGGTTAACACCGTGGGCGCGGAAATAGCCCTTCATGGCGTTGTTAATGTTCTTCTCGCGCCTGTCTGTCGAGCCCAGCTGGAGGGAATGCAGCTGCTTGGGGTCATTTGCGGGTGGCTCGGTGTGGCGGATGACCTCGCAGTTGTCGAGCTGGAGGACGGTCACAGGCCAGCGCTTGCCGTCCTTGTCCCAAAGCGAGGTCATGCCACGCTTGCGCGCGATAACGCCAGTGCGCTGCGTGAACGGCGTCCATGGAGCTTCTGGTTCGGCGGCGGGGGAAGGGGTGGAGGACGAGGTTGAAGACGAAGCGGGGGCCTCGGCGGCAGTCGCAAGGCCGCGCGCGAGTTGCCTCCTCAGAGAGGGGAGGGCGGAGAGGAGTGAGCGCATGAGGGGTGAGGGAGGGGCGCTCTAGATCTTGCGAGGATCTAGAGTGATGCGTTGAATGGCCAAGATGGAGATGGATGAAGGGCGCGCGACGAGTCGGGATGGAGGCTCGAAACACAACGGTCGCTTTTCCCAACTTTCGACGGAGTGTTGCCAGGCTCTTTTACGGTGAGGGCAGGCAAAACCACGTGAAGTGAGGCTGATATCTTAAAAACAATCAACGTGTGATTGATTGTGAAGTAGCTCGGTCATGAGGTAGCTGGGGGATTCGGTAATTATCATTTGTCTCACTCAATGCTAATAGGCCGTAAATCGGGACGTCGATCCTCATTTCACTCCGTACTCGCACCGTACGAGTACAGCCGCCCTCGGCCCCTGAGAATACTCCCACCCCTGCGGCTGTACAGCAAATAATATAATAATACTGCCGTGTGCCGTCGTATCCGCATCACACGTCGCGCGCTTCAGGCCCCAAACCCAACTGCCCCTTGGCCTTGCTTCCCGCTTCGTGTCTGGCAACTCGATTATTCTTTCATCAACCTCAACTCGCTTGTCATCGCATCTATTGCTCTCCATCTCTTCTTCTTCTTCTTCTTCTTCGTCGCCCTTCTTTGATACAGCTTGATATCGCTTTCTCTTCGCTTCATCACCAACACCCTCTCCTCAACGACCACGCACAGACCTGAACGGCAAGCCAAACGACACCCCCAGACTACCCCACTTTGCATCAACCCTTAGAATACAAGCCACCATTTGGCGGCATAGGTTGTAAATCACCGCCGCCGCTCAACATCCTCAGCCTCGTCCTCATCCTCGCATCCCGTTTGACAGCCGATCCTGCCACTCTTACTCGCTTCCACTCTCTCCCATCCTCTCCGTCTCTCTCTCTCTCTCTCTCTGTCCTCTCCCACATCTCCGATCTCCGACCCCGTCGCTGCCGCCAAGCACACGCATCTTGATCTCCATCCGTGCGCAGCGCCTCTTGCACACTCAACCTTCCAACCTCCACACACATACAACGCACAGCTTCCCGCATCACTCCACCTCCTCACCTCCTCTCCTACCCGATCAACCCCGTCAGCATACCATGTCATCCCAGTACAGCCATGACGATATCAACGGGAACGGCGGCTCTGCGCGCTCCTCCCAGTACCGCCTGCCTGGCCCCCCACCTCCTCTCATGGATCAATGTGAGCACGACTAGTCCGGGATGCGGCAGTCGTCATGAGCAGCAAAGAAACGTTGCCTGCGTCGCCTGCTTTGCATTGCTGTACTGACAATAAGCCCACTTGCGACCAGGCAAGCAGGCCGAGCTGCTGTCCCACGACCGAACGCTCGAGCTGTATCGCGAGAATGCCAAGAAGACAAACGACCCCGAGCTCATCTTCGAGTTTGCTGTATTCATGATTGACGCTGCCAAGAGCATGGTTCCGCCCCCCAACCCCGACGACCCGAACGACCCCGCAAACCGTCCCAATGCCGCGGCTCTCGAGAAGAGAGATGAACTAATCAAGGAGGCGACATCGCTTCTCAAGCGCCTGGCCGACCGCGGGTACCCCGACGCGCAGTACTTCCTCGCCGACTGTTATGCCAACGGTATTGGGACAACGCGCGGCAAACAGGACTTTGACAAGGCCTTCCCCCTGTTCGCGCTCGCCGCCAAGCACGGCCATCCAGACGCGTGCTATCGTGCTGGAACATGCTGCGAGCACGGGTGGGGCACAAGGAGGGAGAGTGCGAAGGCGATCCAGTTTTACCGGTAAGTGTTTCCGCGGGGCGCATCGAGCCACCTCGCCATGAGTCAATCGACCTCATTTGTGACAACTCGTCACATCGCACTCGGGCGTAGGTACGTGGCTGACGACCAGGAAAGCAGCGGTCGGTCTGCACCCTGGAGCGATGTACCGTCTTGGTACAGCCGAGCTGAATGGCTCGCTAGGGTTGAGCAAGCGGCCGAAGGAGGGCGTCAAGTGGCTGAAGCGCTCAGCCGAGCACGCGACCGAGGAGTTCCCGCACGCATTGCACGAGCTGGCTCTGCTCCACGAGCGTGGCATCGAGAACATAGTTTTCGTCGACCTCGACTACTCTGCGGAGTTGCTCGCGCAGGCCGCCGAGTTGGGATATGCGCCGAGCGCATTCAAGCTGGGCGAGTGCTACGAGTACGGCAAAATGGGTTGCCCAGTCGATGCGGCCCTCTCAATCCACTACTACAACATTGCGGCGCAGCAGGGTCACCGCGACGCTTGCTTCGCCTTGACGGCCTGGTATCTCGTGGGCGCAGAGGGTGTACTCCCTCAATCGGACACGGAGGCCTACCTGTGGGCGAAGAAGGCCGCGGACAAGGGCCTCGCCAAGGCGCAGTACGCTCTCGGCTACTTCACAGAGGTGAGTGTGTTGTTGGCGATCGAGCGATTGCGCGATCGCGAGCCGATCGAGGCGTTCGTGGCTGCGCGTGCGCGGGCTGCGGACACACGATCTGCGTCATCTACAGCCACGTTCAGTATATTCAGTCGCTAACACCACAGACGGGCGTCGGGGTCCCCCCAAACATCCAGCAGGCGATGAAGTTCTACCGCCAGGCAGCGGACGGAGGGGACAAGCGCGCAGCAAAACGTCTCGCGGGCGGCGTATCGGGCGGCGGCGCGGCATTGAACCGCCAGCGCGAGATGGACGCCATGAAGGAGGCCGGGGGCATGAACGGCAAGGACAAGGACAAGGACTGCATCATCATGTAACGGCCCCATAACCCATATCAACGGACTATACGTATGTGTCCACGTTAGCGACACAACTGCATCTCAGACACGAACCTTGCCTTAGACCATTCTCATGAATGACAGCATAGACTTGTGCCCGCAGCAGTGCATTCAGTGTCCACGTCGGTTTCGGACTCCGGACTCCGGACTCCGGACAGCGCGCACAGAAAGTGTGGGAATGGCGAGGAGGCGCAGCAGGGTCGCATGATCGCATGAATGCTAAAACTGCGGCATCTGATCCCGCACCATTGTACAGCTGCAATACCCCAGATAATGGAGGAAGCTAAATACCGCCGCCGCGCCGCCGCGGCGTCGCACTTGGGCGGTTGATGCGCGCGCCGGCTCCGATGCCCGCCGAGCGCGGCGTGGCTGCGTGCCGCGGCGTCACGCCGCCAATCTTGGGCGTGCGCGCGACCGCTTCTGCACGCATCTCGGCCGCCTTCTTCCGCTCGAGCTCGTCGCGCTGCTCAGCCATCTGCGCGAGCAGCTCCGTCTTCTTGTTGAAGTCGTGCGTCGCGCGCGCGCGCTGCAGCCCGTCAAAGTTGCGTTCGCGGATCGAGAAGAAGACGCCGCCGAGCTCAGCCAGCCAGTACGGGTCGACGGACGTCACGCACATCATGTACTGCTTGGACGTGAGGACCAGTTCGTGGTACACCACGTAGTCGGGCATGTAGCCGAGGCCGTATAGCGCCGACGTGGGGTGCAGCACGCACGGCGTGCCCTGCCGGATGTTGACGTATTCGCCGAGGTTCTTGACGCGTGCGGCCTGGTGGAAGTATCCCGCCGTAATGCATTTGCTGTGGTCAGCGAGTTCCTAATCTGGCGGCCGGTGTCGCCATGACTCCTCCGCCGCGCTCACTCACCGCACAATATCCCAGTCCGTCCCGCACGACACGACCTGCATCTTCTGCGTCTTCATGATGTCCTCAAGCTGCCCGCGGACCTCGCGCGCCTTGCGAAGAATCTTGGGATGCAGGAAGTGCTTCATGCACCAGTGGTCGCTGAAGCCGTTGTTCTTCCATTGCGTGTACACATGCAGGAGGGTCAGATGGTCGGATTCGGGGACAAAGAACTTTTCGCGCGCCGCGTCACTCTCCTCGGCCCTCTGAGGGGGACGGTAGAAGACGCTCGGCACGGACAGCATAGACACGATCGTGAGCACCTCGGCACTGCACCCGTTCTTCTCGGCCACAATGAGCATCTTGCCCAACGCCGGGTCCATCGGGAAATTCGACATGGCCTTGCCCTCGGGAGTTAGGTCGCCCAGGTTGTCGAGCGCGCCCATGTACCACAATTGCCACATGGACTGGATAATGTTGTCCTGCGGTGGGGGATCCATGAAGTCAAATTCGAGCAGGTTCTTCACTCCTAGCGTTTTCAGAAGAAGCACAGTATTGGCCAGGTTTGTGCGCTGGATTTCTGGGATGTTGTTGGGCAGCAGCTCGTTCAAGTATGCCGTCTCGGTATACAGACGATAGCAGTAGCTGGCGTCAGCGAGGTCAACGTGTCGATCTCACCCAGGACCCGTACGACCCGCACGACCTGTGCGCTGGCCCGCATTGGCTTGCGAGATCGGCGTGATCTGTAGAGCGTCCATTCCCACTTTGGGATTATACACTTTGACCTTGGCGTACCCGCCATCCACGACGTACAGAATGCCGTCGACCGTAAGCGACGTTTCAGCGATGTTGGTTGCCACGACAACCTTGCGCCGCCCGTCCGGCGTCGGCTGGAAGATTTTGGCTTGCAAGTCGGCGGGCATCTGTGAGTAAATGGGGAGCACAGCGAGCGGCGCCGGGTCGTCCAATTGCTCGAGCCGCTCCTCGATCACAGAGCACGTCGCTTCGATATCCTCTTGACCCGTCATAAACACCAAGATGTCACCCTTGGGACTCGTCAAGTGGATCTGCAGCACCTGCTTGACCGCGCTGTCGACATAGTCCTCGCAGGGTGACTTGGAGTGGAAAATCTCAACGGGGAAAGTGCGGCCAGGAATTGTGAACTGAGCGGCATTACCGAAGAAGTCGGAGAACTTCTGAGCGTTCATGGTAGCCGACGTCACGATCAGTTTCAGGTCGCGGCGGCGCATAATGACTGGTGTCAGAGTCCTGTCATCGCAAATAACTTACTTTTCCGCAACAAACCCATAATGATGTCGGTACTCAGCGACCGTTCGTGCGCCTCGTCGAGAATGATGACGCTGTACCCGTCCAGGTCTTGATCTGTGAGGGACTCGCGCAGCAAGATACCGTCGGTCATATACTTGATGCGCGTCGCTTTCGAGGTGACGTCTTCAAAACGGATCGAGTAGCCGACCAGGCCGCCAAGCTCGCACTCCATCTCCTCAGATACACGCTTAGCCACACTCATGGCTGCCACACGGCGCGGCTGTGTGCAGCAGATCATACCGTTCTGGCAGTATCCCTCCTCATACAGGAACTGAGCGAGCTGCGTCGTCTTGCCCGAACCGGTCTCTCCGATGACAATCGTCACTGCTGTCAGCATTGTTGCAAGCAGTAAACCCACCCTGGTTGTCGCGCAGTGTACGCATAAGCTCCTCGCGCACCGCAAAGGCAGGCAGGTACTCGCGCTGCTCCTTCAGTGTGCGGTTGCGCGCAAAGTCGCTCGCGCCCTCCTGCTTCTTCAAATGAGTGGCGAATTGAGAGCCGGCCTTGTAGCTGGCGTTCTCGTCCACGGCATCCTTCTGCCCTTCTGCGCCCAGTTCGGGTTCGTCCTTCACACCCATGAGGTTGCCCAGGGTTGTACCCGCCATGCTGGCAGCCTTGGCGGCGGCCTTTTCACGCTCTTGCCGTTCGCGGCGCTCGCGCACCAGCGCGCTCCCCTTCCGAGAAAACACCGCCATGTCGGACGTTGGGTCGCGCACGGCGCTTACCGGCTCTAGCTGGCGCGTGTAGATGCTGCTGCCATCGAGGAAGGGCGGTTTGATGTCGTGCGCGAGCACATGGACCTTGCTGTCTGCATCCTCTTCAAAATCTTGATCGACGTCACCAGCCTGAATCACGCCCGACGTGAGCATGCGGTTGTTCTCCCACTTGTCGTTATCGGCATTGTACTGCGCTTGCCGCGCTGTTTGGCGCTTCGCAACCTTCTGCTGCATCTCAGCCTCCTTCGCCGTCTCCAACGCAGTCCACTGCGCGAAGGGGTTGTGCTCGTCATCTCCCGCCTTGTGTCAGCGACAGCGCATCATCGACAACTTACAACTGCACCCTCGTCATCGTACGAGTACCAGTCGCGATCGATCCGGACTTGCTCCTCCTCCCACTCTTTCGCATCGACCTCAAACTCGGGGCTGTCGGGTCGGCTCTTCCGCCCGGGGGTCTCGTCCCAGCTGCGCTTGCCACGGAAACCAGGGCGGCCAGGTGTCTCATCCCACCCACGGTTTGGAACGCGCAAGCTCCCGTCACCGTCGCGATCGGGACGAGTCGTGCGGGGTGTCGGCGCGGCGTCCCAGCTCTTGCCACCGCGGTCACGGTCCCGCCCATCAACTCTCCGCTGGTCGTAGCGGTCGCGGTCGCGGCCGTCGCGCCACCGGTCACGGTCGTCTGTCCGATCCCTCCTGTCGCGATCGCGCTCGTCGTAATAGGACCCACGATTCGCTCGTCCCTGGAAGTCTCCGATACCACCCCGTTCCCTTCGCTCATTGCTCGCGGATACCGCTGTGCTTGGCTTGTTCCGATTCCGACGGTACTCCTCCAGCCGCGCCTTGGCAGAATCGGAGATGCCACCGCCGTGGCTTGGTGTCTCCTCCGGCTTCACACGCCGCGCTTCACGCTTGATTGGGATTGCAGGAACCTTGAACACGCCCCCGTTCTCTTCCTCCCGTCCAGCCTCAACCTTCATACGCTTGCTGGGCGGCTCCCCAGCTTCAGCGCGCTTCTGCGCCGCAAGCTTGTCCAGACCGAGCTTTGACTCGCGCGCGACAGGTGTGAATTTCGGCCCGGCCCCCTGTCGCAGCCCACCACGCCGCGGCGCTTCGGCCTCCAGCACATCGGACGATTCGTGGTCCATCCCCTCCATGTTGGGCTTAGCGCCGGGAAGGTTGGCGCGCGATGCGACCAGCGCCAGATGCGCCAGAATCCGCTGATGGAGAGACAGGAGAGGATCCTCGGCGAACTTTCCAAACGTAGACATGGCGTGGACAAACGCGGCACCGGATCGATTGCCGCGCGCAATGTCGACAACTCGTTGAGCCAGGGTATCGTTGGGGTTGACGAGATTCATCATGCGCGAGAGCTGGGTCAGCTCACCCAAAAGTAAACATACCTCTATCGCCACCTCGTGAACGAACTTGTCGCCCGCGTCGTCAGCCATGGTGATGGGATCGCAGAATGGGCCGAGTGAGAGAGATGGTCACAATAGAGCGACAAGGATGGGTGGCGGTTCGAGGTGGAGTGTTGTGAACGGGAGCTAAATTTCGGTTGGTCGGGAAGTTGGTGGAGGTCGTTCTTGACAACACTTCATCTCCATGCAACGCAAAGGCATCTCGGCCCTCGAGGCCGCGCGCAAGGAGTTGCATCGCAAGAGCCCCCAAGACCTTACTATGTGAGGTTAGGACGTTCTCACATGCTAACGGTAGCAATCACCTGACGGTGGCCACCGACGTTGCCTTGGGCGGCGGGGATGACGCAGAGGTGCTGGGCTTCGCGGCTTCTCTATTGCGGCAACTCGCTGCAACCCTCGACCTTCCCGGCGTGCACCAGCTGATTGAGACTCGAATTGAACCGGCGCTGCGGCCACGCGGCGCACTCGCAGAGCTCATCGTCACGAATCTTGCACACAAGATCAAGAGTCGAGCGCAGCGATCGTCTGAGGCCCTCACAGCCGCGGTGAGGCTCACGCCAACCTTCCCCAACCTCCTTGTCCCTCTGTTTACCGCCATCGTATCCGATTCACTAGGTCGCCGTTCCAATCTGCTGGGGATAACGATTCTCGCAAACGCCGTGCCTGACTCTGCCATTCCGGTGGACCTCCTCCCCCGGCTGATGGTGGACGTGGATGAGAAGGACGCCGCGGCCCAGCGATGCGGGGCTATTGTTGCGCTTCTTTCTCGTCGCCAGGAGGACGGCTGGCTGGATTCCCTCCTTCCCTATCTGGGGAAGAAGGAGAGCGCGGCTACGCTCAGTCGCTATCTCCTCCCGGCGCTGACAAAGGTGCACCGAAGTGCCTACGAGCCCCTCCTGTCGCTCCTCGATGAGGCGGCATCGGACGACCGGTATTTTGGGCCTTGGGTCTCGGCCGCCAGCTACGGCGTGTCTGCGGGATTTATTACACTCGAGGGTCTCCCGCAGCAAAGGCTAATGGAGGGCATTTCTCATTCTGACTTGACCGTGCGGATCATGGCGTTCGAGCTGCTCGCCCATTCCCGCTCCATTTTCGACTATGAGGTCATGATACTTGTCAAAAAAGCTTTGGAAATCAACACTATCGTGCCAACGGCCAACGGGCGGACGGAGATGCGGTCTGCAATTCACAGCTTCTTGAACACGACGAAGGCGCAGGAGGAGCAGGCTGTGCGCAACCTGAAGAAGAAGGGAGAGGTGGCGGAGCGTGCTCGTGCCATTCTGAATGGAGCCGAAGACTTCCACAAGTGGTGGCTCGACGCGTACCTCGGCCCCTCAATCAAGGCGTGCCGAGAGATGCCGCACCTCCGCAGTATTTTTGCCTTGCTCCTGCTCCGCCTCTACACTGAGATCTACGGACCGTCAGTATACGAGCGAGTATTTACGGCAGAGCGCGTAGCAGACCTCATCGCATGCCAGGCGAGTGAATTCGTGGACGCCCGACTCGGCGCGCGCAATCTGTGAGTCTTCTAGCCCCTGCCCTCAACTGCTGACTACAGAATCGCTCTGGCGCCCCTCCCTCTCGCCGGCTATGAGAGCTTGGATACGCCCCCGGCGCAGCGCCTTCTCGTTGGCGCGAGGTCAAGCATCAACCACCCGCGGCTGACACAGGCAGACGCTGGCCGTGCCGCTCTTTGCATCCTGTTCACCAAACTTGTCGTCCCCCTGGGCCACAAGGCAGCGTTGTCGTTTGTGGCGGATACTATGGAGGAATTGGAGCGACACCTTCAGAAGGCCGAAGATAACGTCGCCCGAGGTATCGTTGAATATCCATTGCACGGCCCCCTGAGTGTCCTCGTGTATGTCTGAGTACAGCGCGAGGTGGCGTTCTGACAACAGTGACCTTGTCCGCTGCCTTGACCTCTCTACATCGGAGGCACAAGCTGCCTGGAGTTCCACCTTTCATGCACTCAACGCCATTGTTCATCGCGTATGGGGTGTCACTCGAAAAGTACTGTCTCTCGGACCCGAGGACGAAGGCACGAGTCACGAGATTGCCCGCGCATTTGACGTCCTGGAAGAGGAAGATGAGGAGGGTGATCACACCAACCTTCTCTCTGGGAGCTGGCGCGCCGCTCGCGAAGCAGCGTGCGTCAATTGTCAGCCGATATCTTGCTGACAGCAGCGAACTTCTGTCAGCCATCATTACTGTGCCTCTCCACGAGGGCCAGACAGTGTGGAATGAAGCTGAGGTAGACGCAGCTGGCCGCACGTTTTTGTTGTGGCTTCATGAGATCCGCCACAGAGGAACCTTTTCGAGCATTGCTCCCGCCTTTGGCACCGTCGTCGAGGCCGTGCAACGCATCCCATCCCTCTCGCACCTCGTGAGGGTGTGGGTTGACTCCTTGCTGGATACCGTGGCTGAGGGCAAGTTGAGCACGCTCCGCCGCTCCGCTGCGCTACCTTACACCTTCCTCGCGCTTCTGTCAGACCGGACACAGCGGGATCGTGCTATCAACACCCTGCTCTCCATGGCATCCCTCTCATCCTCCACCTCCGACCCGACGAAGGTACATTCCATGAACATCCTCAAAGTTGTGCTGTTGGACGCGAAGCAGGCACATCTACTTCCCCTCTATCTCGAAAGGACGCTGATAACGTCTCTCCAGGCATTCGGAAGCGCAAACTGGGCTGTGCGCAACGTCGCCCTAATTCTGTTCTCGACCCTTACGAATCGCGCCCTCTCAACGTCGCGCCCGCAAGACGACAGCGGGCGAGCAGCCTTGGACGCGAGACAAACTTTGGCGAGCTGGCATCAGAAGTATCCGAACCTGCTTCCCTACATCATCCAGACCCTCCGCAACGTCCGTGGACGCGGCCCTCTCTCACTGGGAGAGCACTCGCCCCTCTTCCCGCTCCTAATTATCATTCGCTCCCTCCGCTGGAGCGTGGATGGTGAAGCTCTCGCGGCCTCCCTATACCCCGCCGTTGAACCATTTTTGAGCTCGCGCGAGTGGATGGTACGCGCCGCGGCCGCTCAGGCTCTCTCCTCCCTCTTGTCGCCGGAGGCAGGCCTGGATAAGGCCAAGGTGACAGCCACGCGCATCTCTCACGCGAGCGACGAGCCCAACCTTCTGCACGGGCGGTTGCTGTTCCTCCGCCGCCTGCTCGAGGATGTGGTGGACCGTGCAGATGGTGTCGCGCCGCGTCTGCGCGACGCCTTGGGTGAGAGGGCACACCCTATGATCTCAGCAGCGATTCTGGATTGCGTGGTTGCCTATGGTCGCGTCTGTCCGACCGGCAAGGGAAGCGACGAGAGCGACGGGCTCCTGCCCGCGGCAGCGGCGGCGGCGCGTGGGTTCCTCACCGCTCGACCCACTGTAGGCTCTGATCTCCTCCACACTGCTGCCGCGCGTGTGCTCATACTTGCGGGCGAAACGGTGTCTCTTTTGAAGCCGAGCGTGCCCGAAGATGCGCAGCTGCTCGCTCTAGAAGCGATGGAGCACACGCCCGCGACCCTGGCCGCTGTGATCCACTTGGCAAGGAGAGGGAGCAACGCTGTCCGTACCGCTGCGCTGGAGGCACTGGCCGACTGGCCCGATTGCGGCGCAGACATCCTCACCTTGCGTGAAGAGATGCTCAGGCTCGCGGCCCACGCACGGAGCGTGCCGCTGAAAGAAGCGGCGCTTAGTGCTGTAGGTCGCGCCTTCGCGTCGACGCCCGCCAATGCCGAGTGGTCGACGCTGGCGGAACTCGTCGCCGATGCTGCAGATGAGAGCCAGGTGAGTATCAGTCTGCAGTTAGCCTCAAGCTGACGGCAGTCGGAGCCGCGGCGCGAGTCCGCACTGTCGGCGCTTACGTCTCTCGCACCCATCATCTTCACTCTTCCAACGCCGGTCCGAGGCCGCCTCTTGCGTTCTCTCCTCGCACTACTGGAGGACGACGACTTGGAGATCCGATCTGGTGCCGCGGCTGTTATGAGTGCTGCGCGTGGGCAGAAGCCTGTTGATCAGCACAGCGCTGTGGATGCTTGGTGGGAGTGGGTTGGGGCACATGTTGGGGAGGAGCGAGAGGAATGGGAGGGCTGGCTGTGGAGTTTGGTGCTGCCCCCACAGCAAACCAGTGCCGAAGCACGCCTCTTTGTCGAGGAGCCACCCAACCTGTTCCGCAACGCTGTGGCGGTAGCAGAGCGGGCCGCCAATGTGCTTGCCACTCTTGGCGGTGATTCCGCCGGCAGGAGACAGGCACTTGCAGTGGTGGACAGGATAGAGGATGGTGCAGCTTACGCACCAATTGACGCAGGATGGGCTGCTGCGCACATCCGTAGACGGCGTGCAGCGGCGGTCCGCACAGCGCTCGGTCTATAATCATATTTTGGGAACCCCGTACTCCCACACTCTGAATGTAGCCAAAGTAACCTGCATATCGTTGTTTTTTTATCTTCCTACTGACACCCGCTACATGCCTGACGTCGCTTAGAGCTTAGCCTCCTTGCGGACCTTGGCGCCCATCTTGATCTCGTTCTGGTGGATGCGGGCAGCGCGCTCGGTGATGTAGGGGAGACGGTCGCGGAGCTCGACCTTGGCGACCTGCTGGATGTGGACCTCGTCGGGGCCGTCGGCGTAGCGGAGGGTACGGGCGTGGGCGTACATGGAAGCAAGGGGCTGGTCCTGCGAGATACCCTCGGCGCCGTGAACCTGCATGGCGCGGTCGATGACCTGGAGGGCCATGGAGGGGACGGAGAACTTGGCAATACCAATGTCCTTGAGGGCGCCCTTGGCCTTGTGGAGGTCGATCTGGCGGGCGGCGGCGACGACGAGGAAACGGGCGGCCTCGATCTCGGCGCGCGACTTGGCAATGTCGGCGAGGACGGTGCCGTGCTCGTTGAGCTGCTTGCCAAAGGTCTTGCGGGCGGGGTTGGAGACGCGGATCTCCATGAGGTCGAGGGCGCGGTTAGCGACACCGATGGAGCGCATGCAGTGGTGGATGCGGCCGGGGCCGAGACGGGCCTGGAGCATCTCGAAGCCGCGGCCGAGGTTGGACTCGACACCGCCGACGATGGCGGTCTTGGGGTCCAGCTCGACGTTGTTGTAGATGACCTCGCAGTGGCCCTCGGGGGCGTCGTCGTAGCCGAAGACGGACATGGCACGGACGATCTCGACGCCAGGCGCCTTGGGGTCGACGAGGAGGAGGGTGTGCTTGCGGTGCTTGGACGCGTTTCCGGGGTCGGTGACGGCGACGACGATGTGGACGTTGCAGCGGGGGTCGCCGGCGCCCGAGATCCACTGGGGGGTTAGCGCACGTTCACGGATGTAGAAGGCTATCTCGGAGGCTCGGAGGCTCGGCGGGACGTGCACTAGTGCGCGCCCATTCTCGGAGGCATGGAATGCGCTCCGGTCTAACATCGAACCGGCCGAACTCCGGTCGCTTGCCACACGTGTACTCACCCACTTGTGGCCGTTAAGGACGAGCTTGCCGTTCTTCATGACGGCAGTGGTGTTGCGGAGGTTGGAGGCGTCCGACGACGCGACGCCGTACTCGGTCATGCTGAAGGCCGAGCGGATCTTGCCGTTGACAAGGGGGATGAGGTACTTCTCCTTCTGGGCGTCCGAGCCAAAGCGCGCAATGACCTCCATGTTGCCGGTGTCGGGGGCCGAGCAGTTCATGGCCTCGGGAGCGGTGTGGGACGCGTAGCCCGTGATCTCGGCGATGACGCCGTACTCGAGGTTGGAGAGGCCGCCGCCCGAGCCCTTGGCGAGGTGCTGGAACTCGCCGCCCGAGAGCCAGAGGTTCCAGAGGCCGAGGTCGCGCGCCTTGGCCTTGAGGTCCTCCATGATGGGAGGGTACGAGGCCCAGCGGAGCTTGGGGTCGTCCGAGATCTGCTGGTAGAAGACCTTCTCCGCGGGCATGCAGTAGTCCTGGGGGTCAGCAAGGGGTTGAGACTAACGAGCGCGGCGAGCAGTGCTGGGTGACGGCGCGGGCCGGGAAATCCTTGGCCAGCGCAAGAGCAAGGCCTTGCTAATCACGAGCTCCTCGCTTTGCAGCCAACAGCCAGCCAGCTACAAATCCACGCTCGGCGTGCCGCCACTCTATAAACACTCACCTCAACGAAAGTGATGACAGTCGAGAGGATCTTCTTGCCGTGCTCCGAGAAGTGGGGCTCGATCTGCCGTTAGTCTCCGTCTCCGCCTCGGCGCTCACCATGGACCACGTTCCACGAGGGAAGTAGTGGAGGATGCGGGGGTCGAGGGACATGGTGAATGAGTGTTGTGTGCTGGGTAGCTGGGTAGCTGGGAGAATGAGCGTGAGCTGTTCGCTGTGAGAGTATAAGAGGGATGCCCACTCTGCCAGCGCAAGTCTCGTTTGAGGTGCTGGTGCCGGATACATGGCCCGGTACCCGGCCTCGCTCAGGAGATGGCCGATGTCTCCGGGAACCTAGCCGGGACAAAAGACTGGCTCTGGCGACATGCCGCGCTGCAGCTGCCATCTCCCAGCAGGCGAGCAGCCAGCAGCCAGCATCATGCCCACCGCTTTCGCCCTCTCCTCCCCCACAGTCCCCCGCATAGGGCCTTCTTGCACCACTCTGCTGACAGACCTCCGAGAATCACTCGGGCCGGACCACTTTGGCCACAGGGTGTGATGGGTGAGCTCAGAATCGAGGGCCCCGGACTTGGCCGCGCGCTCACGTGCACATGCATAACAACTCCACACCGCTTCCTCTGCACACTTGTGCCCACTCTCACGGCGAAACAGCGACGACGAAGGCCCGTTGCGCGTCGATCGACGAGCTCGCGACGTGGTCAAGGTGGAGGGAACGGCGTGCAGGGAGCGGGGAGGGAACGGTGCAAAGGCGCTTCTGGGCGGCTAATTTCTGACACAGCTCCGGCCATCTCAGACATGTTCGGCGTCCAAATATTTGGGTGCAATAGCGCGCGAGCGCGCGAGCGTGCTTACAGCGGACGGCGTCGAGCCGCACACGGCAGCCGATGAGCTGAATATATAATAACGTGCTCGAGACTACGAACCGCTGCACACGAAAATCCCATGCAGGTCTGGCTCATGTCTCATCCCATTCACCGTCGCCTCTCCGCCTTCGCGAATGCCGACGGGATACACACTAAAGTATCATACAGGTCAAGCTAAAACCTACGATCTCTCTACAACAGTCTGGATGGGCAATACAATGTCTGCCTAGTGCGTGCCTCGGACTGCCTCTGATGAGATGAACTACCGCCAGTTTATCTGCTCGGGTCAAAGCCCTCTCAATTGCTGCCACCACCACCGCCGCACCCTCCACCTCCTCCACCACCGCCACCACCCCCACAACCACTACCTCCGCAAGCACTTCCCGAGGCGGCGCACATCGCACCTGAGCTCGAACACGCGCTGGCTGCAGCACACCCGCCCGTTTGCCCGCCGAGGTTATGCACCCCGGCAGTGCACGACGCACTCAGTCCTGCGCAGCAAGCTAACATGTCAGCTGACAAAAATGACAAAACTCACTTGCAACGCCCATTGGCATGCACCACGGGTTTGTAAGCCCATATGGACCATAGTACGAGTGCGGCGCAACACCCCAGTACACGTTCGCTGAGGTCGAGGTCGTTGAGCGCGAGCTGGTGCTCCCACGCCGAGGCATCTGCGAGCCTCGGCGCCGCCGCTTGCCTGGGCGCGGGACGGCGCGGGGGACGAAGACATAATAAGTCGTGAAGGGATCAGGGTGCTCATAATTGACCTTCTTCGAAAACATGGAGTTACGAGCGCCATCGATCCGGTGCGAACCCTCGACTTTCACGCGGTTGTGAGTCGATGGGCAAAGCGCTCCTTGTTCGTCAAACGTTGAGCCCTTCAGAGTCATGACGTCCTGAAGAGCTCCTGTCATACTCGCTGCTCGCTGCTTTCGCTTCCAGAATTTGAGCGGCGAATCGACCAGCGCGTCAGACTTTAGGACGCGCTTCAGCGTCGCCTCCGCTTCAAAGGCCACGGGGCATCCGCAGCCCGAATAAGCTGTGCCGAAGCGCAGCGCCCAGCGTGTGGCTGTCTCGTCGTACGCTCGTTTCAGCGTCACGTCTGCAACTTTGTCGTCGTGGTTGATGAACCGCCCAACGTAACGCATCGTGTCGCGCACATAACCCGCGCCGAGGAGCTGGTGCGTATGCCAACATAGGTCAATGTCTGACGTTAGGGTGAGGCGATCAACTGACATACCAAGTGTAGGTGAAAGGAAGGCCTTGGGATGAACAGACATCAAGTCGAGGAAGGCGTCTGGGGAGAGTCAGGCAAATACAACAACAAAGACTCACGATAACGTGCCGCGGCTTTCTGGAGGAGATAGAATCGGTCGGGATTGCCAGCGTCTCGCCAGCGTGACACTTCGAGCCAGCCAATCTTCTCCATGCTCCCCACGAACGAGGCCTGGCGCATGATTGCCGCCCCAAGGTCGAAGCTGATGGTGGGAAGGTACGTCTCAGAATAAACGCGCGCGTACCGGGCAAGGGCTTTTCGTAATGTCGCCCGGGTTGTTTTGACGTCCGTACCCATCATGTTGTTCTGAAAGATGGGGCGGATCAGGCCTTCCTTTACAATCTCGTTCATCATAGACTGGATCGTGTGCTTGACGGTCCACGATGTGCGCTCGCCGACCTGACCGGTGGTGATGGGTGGGTCCGTCTTGGCGTTATCGTACCACATTGGCTTGTAGCCATAGAACCTGCTGGTTGTAGCCTCCACCAAAGCGCGGCTGAATGCCACTGATGCCGCAGGCGTCAGCGTGTCCATTTGATGCCCGGGTCCCAAGCCGGGCAGAAAAGGCACTCGTTGGTAATGGAGCTCGGCCAAGTCGCGTATCATGCGATCAAGGCGTAGCTGCTCGTGCGTGATGATGAAGGTGCAATGAGGGCATGGCACGGCCATGTTGTGTGATACGAGGCCAGTACCGGTGGGTGGTGGGCCGATGACAGGTATTTCAACGCCACCACCGCAAGCCGCGCAGCTCATCCACAACGCAGAGCGTGTGTCGTGAAGCGCCACGAGCGAGTTTGGGTGTGTTGCGAGTAGGATGGGTTCCAGCTCGGCGTCCTTCCTCCGGGGCTGCCATACAAAGGTGTCGGGGTCAATACGCCGCGCCTGCCATCAGTGTAATTCCTCGTGTGACATACTATGGTGCGGAGGGGGAAAGCCCCAAGAGCCTTCAGGCCTCGCAACCTGCCTCGCTCGCCGCCAGCTCGTTCCATGTCGTCCGCATAGACCCCCGGGTTAAGCATGTACGAGTGCCAAGCCATAAGAACGTCAATATCTACCCCGGCGATCACGCTCTCCATTTGCGCCTCGGAGAGAAAAGTCTGCCCGTGGCGGTCGACGAGTGGTCGCCCGGATGATAGCACTTCGTCTGCCAAAGCAAGGAGCGACTCGCTGGTGGCCCAGCGGTCGAAGCGGGCGGCAGCCCTTAGACAAAATGCTGTCCACTTGACATCGCCATCGATGAGTGGATCATCGTCTTCCTCCTCGTCTGAGCCTTCGCAAGAACCCCGTCGTCTTGGCTTGATTGGTGGCCGTCCTTTTATGTCGTCACGGTAAAATGGTGCGTCACGGACATCTTCTTGCAGACAGTGTAGGCAGGCGAGGAAGGTGAGATGATCGAGTATTTCGGGGATGGTGACGAAGGGCGGGGTGTAATGGGTGTTGATGCGAAAGGTGGCGGGGAGATGGGTGATCGGGTCGACTTGGGCGAGTGGGGAGACGTCCTTGGTCTTGGAGTTGCGGCGTGCTTCGAGTGGTGTGAAGGTGTGTGCAATCTTGGAGTAGGTGGGAGGATCGTTGGAGGAATACTGGTGGAGTGAGTTGACGCTGGCGGTGTCGGAGAAGACGGGGGTGTAGGGGGAGTTTGGGGAGTTGACGAGGGGTGAAGGAGGGGGCAAGTTGTGGTGGTATCCGTTCGCGGCGGGATTCATGGGGACAGCGCCGGGAGGGAGGGGGAGCTCCTTGTCCCGGTCGCTGGTCATGAATGGTGGTGGCTGGGCTGTTGAGAAAATGATGAAGAGTGTTGTGCTGTGACAGAGACGAGAGAAGAGAGAAGAGAGAAGAGAAGATCGAGGAGACGAGGATGTGGGTGGCGGTGGATTGAGTGCTGGGTGGTTCACCGTCCAGGCTCCAGGCTCCAGGCTCCAGGCTCCAGGCTCCAGGCTCTCCAGTATGTCTATGAGGGTTTGGGTGGGAATGTATCAGACTCTCAGGGTGATTTCGCGCGGGGGGCGCGGGGTTATGCCGCGGGGCGCGCGGGGGAATGGGCATCCACACGCCCAGTGCGCCAGTGCGATACACGGGAGACATGCCCGAAGACCCGTCGGCCGTGAGCGTGAGCTCGCGCTTCTGCTAAACAGCAGGCCAGCAGGTGAGAGGGCTCTACATGCATCGACCAAGTCGAGAGGTCTCGTGAGGCCGTCGTCCGTTCTGTCCCCATCCTGAATCCCATTGGCCGTTTAACCTCTGACGCAAGATAAGCCTAACAGGAGTCTCCTGACGCCTCGCGTTTGAGGGTTGGACGTCCGGCGTCGGCGGCGGCAATCTGCGCGGCTCACCAAAAGATCGACACACATCTTCATAACTCCATTCACAACCATCACAGCCACGGGCCACGGGGCCATGGTGGAGCCACAGGGCCACGGTGACACTGCACAGCACTGACTACTGAGTCTGGCAGCTTCAGGAATCTTAAGACATGTGCTAGATCCATAGAATGAGCGGACGCGGTAAGCTCGAGATGCCCGTCCCTCGCCCTGGTCCACTCGGGATTATTCAAGCCATGCAATGCATGCAAGGCTCAAGGCAGCTAAAGGCAGCCTCGTCGCGAATCCTGTGCAGTGCCGGCACAGTGCCCGGCGGTGCCAAGAGAATTAAGAGAAGGACGAGTCTCCTGGGCCTGACCCGACGCCAGCCGGCGGCTGTGTAGTGCCTGGTCGCCACACCGACTGACCCACCCCACCCAACTCCCAACCTATCGCCGGATGCTCATCATCATATGCTCATGTGACCGGGCATCACGGATCACTGGGCTGTGGGCTTATGCCGCGCATGCTGACCATTTAATGATGCTCCCCGGTCATGCCCGTCACTGCCTGTTCCCAGAAGGTCCTCGTCCCTTTGATTATCAGGTCCCCGGTACACCGACGGGGCATGCCACGCAGCACTCCGCAATCTTGGATGTTGTACACTCTCATTCGGCATTCCATGATGATCCTTGTCTGGTCCCGAGCCGATACGTACGTCGCTATACGTCCTGCCACCGTTGGATCAACTGTGCTCGCGACACGCGACGGCAGATCTCCACAGGCGGGCCTCAAGTTCCCGCTGACAAGTTCCCGCCGAAGATTCGAGACTTGTGTCGCCACCCAACTCATCGTCGGCTACCTTCCGCCCGCTCTCCACATGCAATACATGAATGCTCCCCAATACGTCTACATACGCTCAGCTGAACAGCTTGCCAACACTCGTGTTGGTCTCGGCGCCGCGCTTGAGCACCTTGGCGACAGCCATCTCAAAGTCCTCCTGCCCAACGTACTGTCGGCGTTCTCGGAGTGCGTACATGCCCGCCTCAGTGCAAATACCACGCACTTCGGCACCCGAACAGTTGCCCATCTTCTCGGCAAGGGAGCGGAAGTTAATTCCACGCTGCAACGACATCTTGCGCGAGTGGATCTTGAGAATAGTAATGCGTGCCTCGGGGTTGGGTGGAGGGAACTCAATCTTGCGGTCGATGCGTCCTGGTCGCAACAGTGCCGAGTCGAGAATGTCGATACGGTTTGTCGCCATAATCACCTGCTGTTAGTTGGAGAAAACGCGGCATCGTTACCTTGATGTTCTTGGTGGGCTCGAAGCCATCCAGCTGGTTGAGAAGCTCCATCATTGTGCGCTGCACCTCCGAGTCACCACCACCGCCGCCCTCCCCGCCTCGCGAAGAACCAATCGAGTCGATCTCGTCCATGAAGATGATGGAAGGGGCGTGCTCGCGCGCCATGACGAACAGCTCACGCACCATGCGCGAGCCCTCTCCAATGTACTTCTGAACGAGCTCGGAACCCGAGACACGAATGAAGCGGCAGTCGGTGTGGTGAGCGACGGCACGCGCCAAAAGCGTCTTGCCGGTACCGGGCGGCCCGTACAACAGGACGCCCTTGGGCTGAGCAATACCAAGCGACTCAAACAACTCCGGGTGCTTGACGGGCAGTTCGATAACCTCCTTAATCTCCTTGATCTGCTTGTCAAGACCACCGACCATCTCGTAGGTCGAGTCGGGCACCTTCTCGACCATCATGAGCGAGACCAGCGGGTCCACCTTGTTTGGCAGGATCGAGTGGAGCAAGTACGAATCGGCGCGCAGCGCGACGCGCAGGTTGGGTGTGAGGGATGAGACCGGAATGTCGGCCGAGAAGTCCACGATGTATTTACCCTCGGGCGGGATCTTGACGAGCACCTTCTTCTTGCCCATAACCTTTATGACCTCGCCAACGTAACTCCCGGGCTCCTGGAGCACCTGCAGCTCCTCGCGCAGCAGGCGCACTGGCTGTCAGCGCTGCCAAGTGTGAACGCACCTCGCGTGTTGAGCGTGTTGCGCTGCGCCTCCAGTCGTCTCAGGTTCTGAGTCTTCTTTGTGATCTCATGCTGGGTGGCCTCAATCTTGTTCTGATAATACGTCTGGAGTGAGCTCCATGCGCCTAATCAAGCTCACCTTGAGCCCGCCGCCGGCGAGCTTGACGGGCGCCTTGGTGGCAACGGCCATGGCGAGTAGGTGGTCGTGAGGGTTAGGAGACGGGGCGAACGCTTGCAGATAAATCGAGTTATTGAACGGAGTTCGTGGAGAGCAATGTCTGTTTGTGGAGATTGTTGATGTGACCTTCCTTGAGCACGATTGAGGAGCTGATGAGGGACGACGCGCAACCCACCGCTGACGTTGTTCGGAAGCAAATCCACGTGGTCGCGATGACGGGGTTGCGGGGATAGGTCGCGGTGGCGTCCATCACTTCACGACTACTCTTTCCATCTTCAACGTTGCAACGGGCTAGAGTTGCTGCTCTTGCGCCCTCGCACTCTGAGCATCATGCACCTCAGGCGAACAAGGTGCGGAAATTGGTCTGAGAAACGATCTGACGGCAGATTGGTGTTTATCTTCGTGGCACTTGCGCTCTTGGCTCTGGTATCAGCCTCACCTCCTCACCAACCTGCCTCCCCTCTCGCTCCCAGAAAGAAGCCATACGTCGCGCAACCGGCCGAGGGATATGAGTGCACGCCTTTTGGCGTTTGCGAGGCATGTCCCGAGGACGAGGTGAGGTTCTGGATCAGCAAAGCTGACGGCAGCGGCATCAACCGTTCTGCCAGCCTTTCGGCAATCGGCGCCTGCTGCACTGCAAGAAGGCCGGGGGAGAGGACAAGGGCGTGACGCCCGCTTGGGAGGCGTGCGGGAAGGTCATCAAGAAAGAGCAACGCGACTTCTACGAGTTTGTCGTGAGTCATAATGAGGAGACCCAGCTGACCGCAGACGGCGAACGTATTGCTTCTCATGGTGTGCCTTACAATCTTTGCGGTGCGGACGAGCGCGCTCGCAACGCAGCAGTACCGCCAGCTTGCGGCACGCATCGGTATCCCGAGCGGAGCGTGGAGGACATAGCGCGATCCGACATGAGCGTGGGTGAAGGTGAACACGGGCGTTGAGACGTCATGATCGGGCCCTTGCGCGGGTTTGTGCGAGCGCACTCCGATGACACGCTCATGCAAACGCCGTCCACCATACCTGACACGTCAGCTTGGCAGCTACGCGACGCAATATGCTGGCGACCGCTGGCATTGGGAGGACAAGCCCGACCTCAGATGGCCGCAGCCTAGAGCGACCGATCTTGAACTACACACGCCGTTTATTCTCCTAAGTGTGCGGAGCAATGTTCCCGTCAATGTTGTATGCATGTAACAATTCTGATCAAGCTCTACCTGGGACTGGAGGTCTGTTATAGTGACGCAAACTGTCGGCTTTGATAATCCATCATGCGTCAAGGCTCCAGTGGTGCTGCAAGGTCGATTCCACTCTTCGTTTCCAGCAATCGATGTCGCTTATCTCGCGCTCCTTTGGGCCCTCACCGATTCACCAAAGATTCGTGTCGCGGTGTCTCAGATCTCTGATGATATGATGGTCCCGACCGGCTGCCGGCGACGATCCATATTACAATACTCTAATCCGTCGATTATAAATCCGCTTCCAGGCACGCTAAGTACTCCTATCCCTCATTCATTACGATCAGGTCGCGTCATGTGGACGCGTCTTCGAACCGTGCGGCACCAAAACCAAAAACAACATTAGGACACGACACGTCCAAAGTCAACGCCAACACATCCAGCATGGAAGCCAACCCCAACGCCGTCCACTCGGCCCCAACACACTTGGAGGGCTTGACGCGCGTGTGCTTCAGTCCAGATGGCAAGTAAGTGCCCACAGCGTGCCGCGCTCGGCGGGTGTAGCCCCATCTGCAACCCCCTCGTGCCCAGCTAACTTCAGAACAATCTACACTGCCGGCGCGGACTGTCTCGTGCGCCTGCACGACGCCGCCGACCCCGATGCTGAGCCTGGATTCCACGATGAACATAAAGAGGCCGTGACGAGCATTACGGCTAGTGCGGAATTGCTGGTTACGGCGTGTCTTGATGCGGTGGCGCGCGCGTTCCGCGGCAAGGAGCTCGACGGATACATCATGCGCGCGAGCGGCGTGCCCCTCCGCTGGGTGCAGGTCGACGCGAAGGGGTCACGCGTGGCGGTGTGTAGCGAGTGAGTTGCCCCCTCATGCCCAAGGGCAGTGGGGCTATACCAACCATTGTCTGTCCGCACGCGGCGACTGGGCAGCTTGCGTTACGCTTCGCTGTGCTACAGCTGCGCTTCACAACGCCGACACGCTGCCCTTAGCCTTGTCCTGTGGTCGCAGGAACTGACGCCAGCGAAAATCTTGTCTACATTGTTGACGTCAATGACCGCGACAATTGGCAGAAGATCCCAACCAACGACGCACCCGCCCGCTCCGCTGCCTGGGATCCCACCGGCCAGTACCTCGTGCTCGCTGGGTGCGATGGCAAGCTTAGGGTGTATGACACCAGCGAGAAGTCGCCATTCAACAAGCGCAACCTCGAGGGCATGATCAAGACGTCGCAGACCGATGCCCAGACGCAGGTTTACGTCGCCTGGCATCCAAGCGGTGACTGCTTCGCGGTGCCGACGCGCACGCACGAAATCGCGCTCATCGCGCGCGACACGTGGAGCAAGCTTGGATCATTCCATGCTGATGGGCACAGCGAAGTTGTTGGGGAGCTCGCATGGTCCCCAAACGGCAAGTACCTTGCGTCGGCGGCCGGCAAGGAGCTGCTTATCTGGGCAACGGAGGGAAAGCACGTCGTTACGCGCTGTAATGCCGAGGCCGCAGTTACCGGCCTGGCATGGGCGCCGAATGCCAACCTGATCGCCTTCACAACAGAGAATGGCTGGTTCAATCGCTGGTCGGAGCCTGTCGGGCCGGAGTTTGCATCACCGTTCCTCTCAGACGCGGATCTGGCGAAGAAGGCGGACAAGCTACTCGACGATGATCTGTTTGGCGACGACGCGGTTGTCGACTTTGACGAGGTTGGCGAGGAACTGGGCGACGATTTGGGCGACGACTGGCTCGTAGACGACGACGGTGCGTTCGCTGAGGACGATGCGGAAGTCACACGCGGCGGCCGGACCCAAGTCGTAAGCGTCACCAAGGCGCAGCCACCGTTCGTGCCCGGTGCGACCGAGTGGCGCGCCACAAAACGCTACCTGGCCTTCAACATGATTGGTGTGGTCGATGCAACGGACCAAGAAACGCATAACGTCGTGAACGTGGAGTTCCACGATAAGAGCGCCCGGCGCGGGTATCACTTCTCCGATCACGTCAAGTATACGATGGCGAGCCTGGGTGAGCAGGGTATTGCCTACGCGGCGCCGGCGGGCGACAACAACGCGCTATCCGTTGTTCATTACCGCCCGTACGATTCATGGGCAAGCAGCGCGGACTGGAGCGTGAACCTATTGGCGGGTGAGGACGCGCTGTCCGTAGCCATGGGTGGGCCTGAGAGCGGACTCGGCACCGTAGTCGTGGCCACAAGCAAGGGATTTGTGCGCTTTTTCACGGCGAGCGGCGTGCAGCGCTACGTTTGGCGTCTTGGCGAAGAGGTGGTTACCCTTGCCGCAGGGCGCGACGCGCTCCTGGTCGTCCACCGTGAGGGTGGAACCAGTCTTGACGGCTGCCAAAACCTACGCTACTCTCTGCTGGATCTAGAGACGTTCGATGCCGTGCAGGAGGGCCGCATTCCGCTCCCTCGCAATGTGACATTGGCGTGGGCTGGCTTCTCAGCCGCCGGCGTGCCCGTGATCTACGACAGTGCAGGCGTACTGAGTGCGCTCGACCGCTTCCGCCGTCCTAACCAGGGGCGTTGGGTGCCGCTCTTCGACGGCGAGGTGGCTCGCGGCGGCAAGCGTGAGACCTACTGGCCCGTTGGGGTCAGCGAGGAGCCGGGCGTGCTCCACGCCATCATTCTCAAGGGTGCAGAGTCAGCGCCGTTCTTCCCCCGCCCACTCCTGCAAGATCTGGACCTTCAAATGCCCCTCCTTGCAACGGACACGGCGGTCGGCGCACTCGAGGAGAAGATCGCGCGCGCGTCCATCCTACTTTCCGCCGAGGGGAGTGACGACCGCGAGGTCCAGATTGACCAGCACCTCCTCAAGCTCGTGCAGAGTGCATGCAAGGCGGACTCTCTCGCCCGCGCTCTTGATGTGGCACGCCTCATGCACACCTCAAGTTCGTTGGACGCAGCCCGCAGCATTGCCGACTACTACCGCTTCCCAGGACTGGTGGAGCGCATCCGGCGCGTCAAGACGGAAAAGGGGCGGGAGAGGGTGAGCTGGATTGACGCCGAGCCCCAGCAGGAATATGTGACGCGCGCCAGGGCAGGACGGGTGCCTGTAAAGGAGTTCGAAGACTTTGCTCCGGCGCGCAAGAGGAGCTTTGCCGGCCGCGAGCAGCCCAATAGGGCGTCGAGAGCCGAAACGCCAGCCGCGTCCCGGCGCACCGTGATTCCAGAAACCCCAGGGCCAGAGGAGGAGCATGAGGAGTCTATGGAGCCCTTCGACTCCACGGCCGGCAAGACATTTGACGAGAGCATTCCGTTCGTGGAGTCCCCAAAGCGCAAGCGTTCCGACGACGAGCCTGAGCCTCTGAAAGCTCGAAGCAACCCGTTCGCAAAGCGCGCAGGCGGCAACCCATTCGCCAAGGCCGCCGTTGCGCGCCCACTTGACTCGATCAAGAGCACGTCCTTCTTCGACCGCGTGGACGACATTGAAGCCAAGGGCCCGCAGCCGCCGAAGAGGAGCAAGATGGGTAAGGGGACGAAACCCGAGGAGAGGGGGCCAAAGCAGACAACCCTCTTTGGGATGAGGAAGCCTGCCCAGGTCGCGAAGGACAGCTATGCCACAGAGGCCACAGAGGAGGAGGATCCCGAGGCGAGCGACCAGCTCGGGGAAAGGGCTGTGCAGGACTCGATGGACGAGTTCGAGGAGACGCTGATGGATTGATTGTACATGTATGGCATTGATGCTGTGAGGGAACGCGCGGAAGCTGGGAAACGAATGAGGAATTATCTGGCGAGGCGACAGGCAGATGACATTAAGCTTAAGGAAAACCATGCCTACTGGGCGCGGAAGTGAGTTTGATACCCTCAGCGCATTACGTTAGGCTGCACGTCCAAACATCGACCATCCTCAAGATCTGAGGTCTCGAGCGCGATTGCATTCGCCGCGACTTTCGAAACCTGAAGCCGTCGCGTGAAATGGTGGACGTGACAGTGCACTGCCTCGCGCTCCCGTATCCATTTAAGCCTTGCAACACTGGCGAATCACCTGTTCATCCCCCTCTCATCGCGATTCGATATGCTCGCCCTCCTATTGCTGGCAACCCTGGCGGCCGCCTCGACCATTACGACCCCACCCACGCCGATTCCTACTGCGCTGAGCCTCGCCGCTCCGCGCGATGTTCACCATCTGGATCGCCGGCAGTCGGCTCTGCAGTGTGCAGACTCCTGCGGCGCCCTTCTCTTCGCTGAGCCAAATGAATGTCGCCCAGCGTTTGTGTTCGAGCTTGAGGATGTTTTTAAGAACCCGCAGATATGCGCGGAGCTGTGGTGCCCCGTAGGTCCGCCTCCGATTTCTGGCTGACAACAGTACCGAGACAGAGTCAACAGCTGCCTGTCTTGTGCCACGACGTATGGTCTGCGGGCTGCCATCCGATCCGCAAACAAGTGGATCGCCGACATGGATAGAATGTGTGCATCCCCGCAGTACACCCATGTGTGCAGCACCGACTGTGCGCCGGTCGAGACTATGCGCGTGTGCACGGGAGCCAACACCTACTGCGCTTCCTCATTGTGTGCTTCATATGGCTACAGCGCGGCTTCTAGTGCGTTCAGCCATTGCAGCGTATGCCTCACTGCTCAGAGCTACGCGACGCACATGGTGCAAGCTTTCGAGTCACTCAGTAGTGACTGGGCCAGCGTTTGCACTGCTTACTCGGCACGGGAAAGCGCGACGATGGCGGCCATGAGCGCCAGCAGCGCAAGTGTAGCCAGCTCACGCTCCGCGGCCAGCGCGAGTGTCGCGAGCGCGGCGTCGCGATCGAGGGGCAGCGCCACTAAGACGGATGCTCCGAGCGCGATGCTCGCTGCAGCGGTTGTAGGCGCCCTGGTGCTGTAGCTGTGATGTACGCACCATGAAGTTACGTGGTGTAAATGCCTTGGAGAGTGAGACTGAGCATCCGCATGCATAAAGGAACGGTTGATAAGCACAAATCCAAACATGTCTCGGATTGTATTCAGTACCCTCATCTGTGGATGTTGATCGTCGTCTTCCGCGCGCAGTTCGAGCCGCTTACAGGAACGCGTCCAGCTGACGCTCGACCGCTACAACTGCTTTGCAGTCGCAACAGTAAAGGTCTATCCGAGTTATTTTGTCCGTGCTGCACTGTTACCACGCCCTCAGCTCCGTTGACAACTGCGCCGGTCAGCCGTTATAAGCAAGACCAACCAGGGTGTGGCAGGTAAATTGCTTATGCTTCAACTCCCCCCCCCGGCCCACGCTGATGAGGACCCTGAGTCTGACTGCTAGTTCCCAAGCGTCGCCATCTCCTCGACGATATTTCCACCTCACAGCCGACCCGGAACTGGTCTCTGGGTCTGCCGAGCGTGCGTACACCAACTTCATAGCCCTCCCCACCACCCCCCTCCCCGCCGCTGGAGGCACCGCTGTGCGCTCGCCGGTGGCGATGGCGATGCGAGTATCAGCGTCAGCCAAGGGGTAACGCGTCTCAGATGAAAGTGGCCATCGCCCAACCTCTGTCTGGGCGCGCCCACGCCCGTCATTGCAGGCGAAATGGCGCACAGACGTAGGGAGACGCGCTCCTTGACTATCTGATTGTCCTGCACACACTTCGGGTGCCTACTGCGGAACAACATTGCTCCGCTCACATTTCCCGATGCGCCCCACGACGCGCGACGCGTTCGGCCGAGCGACTTTTGTTATCGGCACACAATCTCGTCATGCCCATTATAGCTTAGCACCAAGCATCACCGCACTCCGACCACGTCCTCGATCCACAATCTCTGCGCAATCCACGCCCTACCTCCGCCCGGGATGCGCATCCCGTCGTCGGTTTCGATGGCGTCGGGGCCAGTTGACGTCACCGCCCCAATCTCGCTGGTCCATGGCCGATGCCATTCTCGCACACTTGCAGGCGCAGCCGACTTCCCACGCCCCCACCCCTCTAGATCACTGGCTGTGTCATGTTCATCGCCAATGACGACCACGAGACGTGACGCGCCCAGCTCAAGACTCTTAAGGCGCGAGTGTTGACATTTATTTGACTTCGCCCTATCGCCCCCCCACTCACCCCAAAACTCACCATGCCCGACAAGATCCACCTTGCGCAGTACATCGTCGAGCGTCTCAAGCAGGCTGGCGTTCAGTCGGTGAGCATTCACCCATCCTCAGACCATCCCTGCCCCGCAATCTCGCTTACATTAGGTCTTCGGCGTCCCCGGTGACTACAATCTCGAGCTACTGGACTACTTCGAATCGGACCCGGTCCTCACCTGGGTCGGCAACGCCAACGAGCTGAACGCCGCTTACGCAGCGGACGGGTACGCTCGCACGCGCCCGGGTCTGGCAGTGCTGGTGACGACGTTTGGCGTCGGCGAGCTCTCCGCCCTCAACGGTATCGCCGGCTGCCTGGCTGAGCGCATCCCAGTTCTCCACATCGTCGGCGCACCCAGCACCGCGATGCAGAAGAATCAGGCGCTCCTTCACCACACCCTCAATACTCCTGGCTCGTTCGACACGTTCAGCAAGATGAGCGCGCCGCTGTCATGTGCCCAGGCGCTGCTCAGCCAGGTCGCGCCCGAGGCCGACACGAGCTACAGCGACGCGTTCGACGAGGCCCTTAGAGCCTGCCTCACCCAGTGTCGTCCTGCCTACGTCGAGCTGCCCATGGACGTGGTGCGAAGCAAGGTGTCCGCAAAGGGGCTTGAGAACCCGCTCGTGAGTGACGGCCCACACCATCTAGTCAAGATCTGAGGCTTCTGATATCCCCTTCCCCGGTCTCGTGGTCCACATATGCGCCTTACGTCGCTAACCCCCAGCCCCAGCCCTCCACTGCGCCCCCCTTCGAGGATATCCTCCTCCCCGCCAAGCCCGGAAGTGCGGCCCCCACCAACCAGCTCTTCCAGAGCACCGACGACCACTTTGACGCGCCCTCCGAGGTCGTCACCGAGCACGTCGTTAAGCTCATCACTCAGATGTACGAGAAGGCGAAGCGCCCCGCAGTGCTGGTGGACGCATGTGCCGCACGCTTTGGCGTCGGTAGCCTCGTGCGCGATCTTGTTGAGAAGTGCGGCATCCGCTTCTTCACTAGTGCGTAGCCTCCCTCCCCCTCTCCTTCGATCACACATTCCCATCCACGTACTTCACACAACACTCGACCTGCTATTAGATCTCCTCTGACCTCAGCGCCCATGGGCAAGGGCATCCTCGACGAGCGCCACCCCCTCTTTGGTGGATGCTATGCGGGCTCCAACTCGCTCGACCCCGTCAAGGAGGAACTCGAGGCGAGCGACTTTGTGCTGTATGTCGGCGCGCTCAAGTCCGACTTCAACTCTGGCTCGTTCACCGTCGGCATTCCGACCGAGCACGCCGTGCGCCTGCACAGCTTCACCACGAACGTGGGCTACGCCGCGTATCCGACCACGGACATCCGCCATGTCCTGCCCCTACTCCTGCCCGCGTTCCAGAAGATCAAGAGCCCGGCCGCGAAGCGCGACGACCTCGCGGAGAAGGTCAAGGTCGGCCGCGTGATGGCGCCCAAGGACAAGCCTGACGAGGCGGGCGGCGAGATCGTGCACGCGTGGCTGTGGCAGCGCATGGCCGGCTGGTTCAAGAACAACGGTGAGCCACTGCTCGGCACGCAGCACTGACATCAGACGTCATCATCACCGAGACGGGCACGAGCTCGTTCGGCCTCCTCCCCGTGCCCCTGCCCAGCAAGTGCACGTACGTCACCCAAGTGCTTTGGGGCAGCATCGGGTGGAGTGTCGGTGCGGCGCTGGGTTGCGCGCTCGCTGCGGCCGAGCTCGGCGGACGCCGCACAGTACTGTTTGTCGGCGACGGCTCGTTCCAGCTCGTAAGTCCCCATTTTTATACGAGGCTGTAGCAGAGCTGACGGCAGACCGCGCAGGAGCTCGGCACCATCGTGCGCCGCGGCGTGCCCGCGTACATCTTCATCCTGAACAACGACGGCTACGAGATCGAGCGCCGCATCCACGGCAAGTACGCTAGATACAACGACATCCAGACGTACGACCTGCAGCAGGCGCTGCCGTTCCTCGGCGGACAGAAGCCCAACATTGCATACGAGAGCTTCAAGGTCACCACGCAGGGCGAGCTGGATGGTCTGCTGAAGGACCCCGCGTTCGGCAAGGCCGACAAGGTCCGTCTCATTGAGCTTGTCATGCCGCGCGACGACGCGCCCGCGGGCCTGATCAAGCAGGCTGAGCTCACGGCCAAGGCCAATGCGGAGTAGTGTAGTTGACAGAGTTGTAGTCAAAACCAAAGGGAACTCCCTGCAATGTATGTGCTTTACACACGCTCCCTCAGGTCTATCGGAGTGGCTAGCCTCTGCGGAATCTCAAATGTCTCCGAGCCCAGTCCAATCTGCACGGGCGACAGACCTCAGACTCTTACAGGCAAGCTAGCAAGATGCATGGTCGACAATAAACACACGCCACCGGGGCGTCTAGGAACTACAGTGCACTAAATGGAAGTTGTATAATGATGGGGCAAGTGACACAGGCGGAACCGCCAAAGGGACATGGATGCAATAATAGATAGCCGAAATGATGCGGGTATGGACATGATGCTCGTATAGGGGGAAGGTCTTCGTATCGTGTGTCGTCGTTTCTGGTGTGATGAACAGGTGATCAGGTGCAGCACCCGTAGCGCCCCTTGGGCTTGCCCGTGTCCTTCTTGATCGCGTCCGTGAGCATGACGCTGTCTTTCCGGCGGAGAGTGCGCTCGCGCTCAATCTTGTCTTTGCGCGCGACGAGGACGGTCGCGATCGAGCGGCAGAGAAGCTCGACGCCTGCGGTCAGTGTTGAAAGCTGCGTAGACCCACCATCGCCCGTCAGGGAGGACACCTCGCCGAGGCGCACGCCCTCAACGTCGACGCCCCACTGTGGCGGCTTCTCGTCACGCGGGGCGTCGGCATACAGGCGCGAGTCACAGCCGAGGCTGCCGCCGCGAGGGCGTCGGGTACTCGAGCCCTTGCGGTCGTTTTCATGTGAACGGACCACGGCGCCAAACTCCTCTAGCGCGTCAGCCGCCCCGGGGCCCTCGCCTCGGCCCCAGCCGCGGCTCCATTCCTCGCTGCGCTTCGGGTTGCCGAGCATGGGTGAGCTCTCAACGCGCGTGCGTAACGGTGACAGGGAGCTGCGCGAATTCGTCTGACGCGCAGGCAAGTCGTTCGCCTCGGCAAGCTGCTCGAGATTGGCGAGTGCTTCACTCGTAGTTGGCGAGCGAGATAAACCTAAAACGCCGGAGAATCCCGAGATCGAGAACCGGTTCGATGTCTGGCGCACGCGCGAGGTCGAATTGGCAGTCGAGGCAACAGCTGTTTCGGCAGTGGTGCCAGATATCGGCTCTGAAGGGGGCGCGGGTGAGTGAAATGACACACGTTTCCTGCGGGGCGGGACAGAGGGTCTGCTGGATGGAGACGTAACGGCCGAGGCGCTCGCGCTCGAGCCTGGTCCAGATGACGTGATGTCGGATGGAAAGTGGACGGTCGGCGCGGGCGTAGGGGAAACGAGCGCTGGCCCGCCAGGTGTGGACACGCCAGAGGAAGATGGGTCCCAGTCGGCAAAGTCGCTGGCAGCGGCCATCAGCGACGCCAGGCCGTGCATCGAGTGGGGGCGCGCACGTGGAGGCGACAGTCCAGAGCTTGATTCCGTCCTCGCGCGTGATGAGGTACTTCTGAAGAGGCGGCTAGAGGTGAGCGGCGAGAGAGAGCTGTGGTCGAGCTGGAACTCGGGCTCGGGTGGCGCGGGCTTGAGCCACGTTCGGATGGTGCGGCGTGCCTCGCCCAACCTGTGGAGTGTCAGTGCACGCTTATCGATCACGCTCAGACGGTCCAACTCACGTAACCACGCGCTGATCCTCGAGGTCAGTCTTGGCGGCGACCACGTAAATGATCATGTCCTTGGACGCCTTGCTGTTGAGCTCGTCGAGCCACGAGCGCACATCCATGAAGCTATCGCGGTCCGTCGTGTCGTACACGAGAATGCAGACGTGCGCCCCGCGATAGTAGATGGGCGCCATGGAGCGGAAGCGCTCTTGACCAGCGGTGTCCCAGATCTGCAATTTGACAGGCACACCGTTGTGGACGAGTTTGCGCTTATAGAGCGAGCCCTCGAGAGAAGCTGGGGCAGGGATGGCGGAGTAAGATCCCGTCGTGAGTCGCAGGATGAGCGACGTCTTGCCCACTCCTTGAGACCCAAGAAGAACGACCTTGGCCTCGAGACCATCTGGCCCCCCAAAGTCGAGCTCAGCGTCGAAATCCGAAGCCGATGCCGGAAACGCGCGGGCGGGCGGAGTGGGCGAAGCAGCCAACTCGACGCCCATTCTGCGCATCCGAGAACTGGTCGGGTACTCCGTTGCCAGTGTAGGGTACCGCACAAGCTTTGCGCCACCTGGCCCTGGACCTGTCGTGGAACGCAACCTCGCCCGTGAGTCGGCACTGTGGCTCTCGACCATGCGGACAGACGATGGCCCTGGTGCGGGCGCCGCAAATGTAGATCTCCGCGATTTAGCACGCGCTCGTTCGTCGTGAGAGCGAGTGCGGCTAGCGAGCGATAAGCGGCCGAGGGCGGGGAGCGTGTCTGATCGTGTAAGGGTTGGTTGCTTTACTGGCGACTTTATCGGCGAGTGCTTGGATGGTGATGCCGAAAGTTCGGAGCGTATGCCAAAGTCCGAGCGGAAGCGTCGTGCGCTCGGAACTGCAGAGGGCTGACAGCTACTGCTGCTGGCATTTGTGCTAGGTGATGTGCCGGTGGAGGGTGGTGAAGAATCGTCCTGGGAAAGCGAACCTCGTTCCAATTGATAACCGCGTGTGGACGGGACATGGTCCGCTGGCAGAGCGAGTGGGACCATCTGCACGGGGAAGGCAACGGGGTTGTGTGGAGGTGAAGGGTCTGGCGTGGGAGGCAAACTTGCTTTCGGCATCTCCGGGTCGAGTCGGACGGCGCCGCGCGGGAGGTGCTGGAGTGGTGGGTGGTGGTCTTCGTAAACGGGGAAGGGAGGAGTGGTGGTGCGGCTCACACCACTCGACAGCCCAGGTGAGTCAAACCTGTCTGGTTCGAAAGAGGGCGGCAGGACAGGGGGCGTGACCACCATCATGGCGGGCTGAGGGGGAAGGGTGGGCCAGCGGTCGGCCCGGCGAGGTGTGAAGTAGATGCAAGTCGCAAGTTGCAAGGCTGGAACAATGGAATGGAGTGGAAAGGTTTTAGTCGCGACACGAGGTGCGGTCTGAGCGCGGTGTACGCGTTCGTTGTCGAGCTCACAAAGGTCCGAGCGCTTGGGGAAACTACCGGCGGAGTTTCAGCCTTTCCACGACCTGTGCGTGCGCTCCTCGGGTGTGCGCCAGATGCGATGCAGGGTTGTCAACACAATGGTGATCCGACGAGGAGGTGAGATGCGTAGTTGCGGCGGCGTGTCCAACTGGGTGCCAACTGGGTGCGGTTGCACGTGCCAGAAAGAGGGGGAGGAGGGACAGAGTGTTGTGTGCTGAGGGGTGTAGAAGGGGGATGTCGGAAGATGAATTAATCGAGATGCGATGCGAGTTGGGACTAGGCAGAGTTTCTGGCTGAGTGGCGTCAACAGGATGCTGGACAGGCTCCGGGCAGGCTTTGGGCCGGCGCTGGAACGCCACTTGAGGAAACAAGAGACGACGGCCTGACAGGATCTCGGCGACCCGAGGCTCCCTGATTCGACCCCCCGACGCCGTCGCGCGGGGCACCGAGAAGCAAAAGCAAGTCTGTCGCCTTGGCGGAAACGTGTGTTCGGTGCCGCAAAGTGCACACACCACAGCAGCAATGACGGTGACGGTGAAGGGGGCGAGAGAAGGGACGAAGGTGGGATAGCGTGTCACGGGGTACTCACTGGTCAAAGTGCGTGATGGGCAGGGATGCGTATGCAGATTGGGTGGGCTTGGAGGAGGCTGGCTGGGCAGGGAGTGAGAATTTGGCCGCGGCAGGCGGGAGCGGAGGCGGGCGGGGACGGGCGCACTCGTCGAGCGCGCGAGATGTGGTGGCGAGCAATGAGATTGTCGTTGTGGGAGCAGGAATAGTATGCGGGTGCGGTGTTGTGCACGGTCAGTGACGAGGCGCGGAGTGGGCGCTGGGAGGAACCGAGAGGAACGATGGAACGGGATGCCGCCGCTATCCGAGGGGAATGTTGATGGGCGTGCTCGGCGGCTGCTTTGGATGATTTGGGGTGTGTGGGAATGAGAACTGAGTGACCGGTGGGGGTGCCGAGGAAGGACGAGATGACGAGGTGGCTCAGAGAGAGATGAGAGAGTGATGATGATGGGTGATGGGTGATGGGTGATGAGTGATGGAGGAGAGATGATGGGGCAAGGGCGGGCGCAATGGCGACGGATCACTGGGTCGTGGAGGACAGGGAGTGAATGGTCGTCACGGCTTGCGTGTGATGATGGAGCGATGCAGAAAGGGCGTTGTGCGTCGTGCAGACGTGTAGGTAGTAGACGTCGTGGGGAGGAAATGCGTGCGTGTCCTCAAAAGTCCAGTTGTGTTGCAGGTTGAGGTGCGGCGGTGTGCAGAGACATGGGTGGCTGACCGTCCCGGTACCTCGCTAGTAGTGATTCCGCTGGTGTCACCGAAGCGAGGTGGATGGTAGATGGGTGGATGGGAGGAGGGTTGTGGCCGCTATGTGCTGCGGAATGGAGAAGACGAAGAGGAGGAGGAGGAGGATGTTGTTGAGCGAGTGGCGTTGTCGAGGAGGAGGAAGGAGATGGTGATGGGTGGTGACAGCCGCAGACTGTGGGGGATTAGGGAGAGCAAATTGAGTGATCAGCCAAAAACGATGATTTGTTTTGATTTTTCAGATTCAAATCTCATTGTTAGTGGCCATCCCTCTGTTCCTCTAATCAGGTACAGTGCCTGTGCGGGGCAGAGGCGTGAGGCCTGCAGGCCCCTTGTGGCTGGGGACCTGGAAAGGGGAGGAGGTGTGGCGTCCGCATAACAAGACTTGCGCCCGTGCCTTGCCTCGATCTCCTGAACCTTGGTTCACCTCATCCTCCTCCGCCACCCAGCCAGCTCAACCACCCAACTACAGTAGATCTGTCACCAACGCCGCTGCCACAAGGATCAAAGAGAGTCACGACTTCATGTGCTTCTATCATCACCAGTGATCAGGTGAGACCTTCCAGCTTCCAGGGTTATCACGTGCTTCTCGGAATGCGGAGGGACAGCGAGGGCGCCAAAGATTGTGTAAAGGTGAAGGTGAAGGCTGAGGAGGTGACCGCGTTGGCCGCGGGTGCCCAGGTATGGAGGCATGGGCATAGATCACTCTTGCAAGTGGCACACCGCGGCTATCCGCCACTAGTACGGGCACGCGTCATGCGGTCAGATCCATTGGGATATTGTGGAATAGTGGGAATATGACGCAGCACAGGCAGTGGTAATGCCCATTATTGACCGTCAGCCGCAGCCGTTGGGTGTGCGCCGAGAAATGCAGATCTCGGCGCAGCTGTTCACCAACCGTCGTCTCGTGATCGCATCTGTTGAATTGGATAGGCTACTGTAGGCTTAATTGCAGGTCTGTGCTAATGTGCTCATGTGTTCTGATTCTTGGCTTGTGGCTTGAGTGATGAATGATATATGATAGGTGATGAGTGAGCGGCATGAGCGGAGTACGGCGCGTGGTCCAAGCTCGCCGATCACCTGGCGACTCCGATCTCCGCCTCACGATCTCCGCATCCCGCGCCGAGCCAAGCTGTTGTGCCGGATTCAGCCCTGATTGGGCAAGGTGAAACTGCTGGCTCACGGCAGCATTCCGCGACGATTCCACACTGCCCTCATACCCTCCTCCCTCCTCTCCTCCCTCTTTCCCCTGCCCGCGCTGCTCACCACGTTGCCTAATACCTGCCGTGGCCATCTCACAGGCCATCGACAGTAACATGGCTACTACAGTACTACTCTTGGCCTCTTGGTCACTAGTACTCTCAAGATCAAACGCGCAGCACCGCTTCACCGCTCCAATCCTGTTGTATCTCACAATTTCCTGACATCAACCCCTTGACGCCCTGACCCCTGGATTCCCCTAGCTGTGCATGCACAAACTCGTGTCTCTCGGTTCCATCGGCTTACGCCTGTTCATCCTGCTCATGTGATTCCATGCCGTCATCCACAAATCCCCATCCACAAACTCCCCGCACCTCCCACGGCGCCCCAGCTCTTGACGCTTCTCAGTCTACTTTGCATGCAACAATATTACATGGCTACATAAATCGCTACCCAACCTCGAGCCCACGTCGCCCCTTCTGGCCTAGCCTCTAGTCGCTCAGCTCAGTCAAGTCGCTGTCGGACCGCGTCACGCTGGCCCTGCGCGTCGTCTTCTTCTTGCTCTCAGAAGCCCGTTTAGCCTTGCGCGTGACCGCCTTCTGAGCCTTGGTCTGCAATGTCAACATCTCTACCCTCATCCCCGTGACACCATTCCGCCGGCCGCATTCCTCCCGCCCAAGCCACATTACACAGCGCAAACTCACTTTAGCCGACCGCCGTCCTCCGCGACCCACGACCGCTTCCGCACCATTGGCCTCCTCCTCCGACTCATCTTCGCTCGTCTCGGCCATGCCCACGTCAATCTCCTCCTCACTCGTCTCCTCAACCTCCTCGTCCGAAGTGTCTTCCTCGTGCCGGGATGAACGCCGCCGCTTCCGAGGCGACGACTTGCCAGTCGCCTGTCGCCGTTTCCGTGGCTCCTTGACGGGGCTTGTCTCCACTGGGCGGCGCTGATTATCAGCCTCTGGACTAGTAACGCACTCCACGTCCCACTTACAGTCTGCGTCGCGTGCATTTTGCGTCCGAACGACTTTGCCCACGCTTGCACATCCTCGCTTAGGAAAGTGTGACGCGCCATCCGTGACTGGACGTCCACCGAAGGGAGATTGGCAAAGATGTCGTTTGGCAAGCGCACCTTGCCCGGGTACATCGTCAAGTTCCACTGAGCCTGATGCGCACGGTTGCGGATGATGATTTGCGAGAGCTCCGAGAGCATGTACAGGTGCTGCAAGTCAGCCACAGGCAAGAGGTAAAACGTCTCCCTCGCACTCACATAGGTTGCCGAGATGTGCCGCTCATCACCTTCGTCCAGTGGGGTATCGCTGAGCAGCAAGTCAACCTTCCTCGCGTCCATCCTCTCGCCGACAACGCAGACCGTCTTGAGCTTGCCTACGACTGAGTACAAGAGCGTCACGTTTTGGTTCGTCGCGACACACTCGATGTAGAGCTCGATAAACTTGGCTGTCTCTTTGAGCTCGCTCAGGCTTGACCAGCCCAAATCCGGGTGCTGTGTCAGAAGGTGCAGGAGCCGTGCCAGAGGGACCTCGATGCGGTCCTTCATGCCTTCTGGGTCATCGCGAAGTTTACGAGCGTTGTTGACAGAAGCCTTAATGATGCTCTTCGCCTGCTGTTAAATTCTGTTCCTAAAGCCTCCTCACCAGAATGATGTTTTCCATCTCGGGGTCTTGGGCTGCGAAGGCCGGTAACGCATTCCATCTCGGAAGTAGGCGTTGCAACGGCACCACGGCAAACAGCTTCTTGAGAAAGCGATTGCGGACGGTGAAGTTGACGTCCTGTAGCACAAAACTGACGTTGACGAACGAGTCGGACATAGCTTTGTCGTACAATCGCACGTTGGCAAGCTTAAGAAGTGAGCAGGCCGCTCGCAACTTCAAGTGACAGCGAGTCATGCCCCTGTTGGTCAGCCTAAGCGTGTACTCAGTATTACCCCTCGTTGGTTTCCGCGGTGACAATGCCATAGTTCCTCGTCACGTCATTGAGCAGCGCAAGCACAGGTTTAACATGGTCGATCGCGTCGGGCAATTTGCACCATGCCAGTGCATTGTGCGTAACGACCTTCATGGCGTAGACCTTCGCGCGGTCTGGTACGGGTAGCTGGTCCTCCTCGACCCAATAGTCGTCCTCTGTTGTGTCCTCTGAGGGTTGAAGCATCACCGTGTCCTGAATGTACTGCACAATGTCATCGCCGTGTTGCCGGAAAGCAACTGAGGCGGAGATCGCCAGCTCGGCAAGTGAGGCTAGAGTCGGTAAGACGATCTCAATATCCCCTGTTCGTAGCTGCTCCCACAGGGTGTCAACGAGCCGCTTGGAAGCATTGTCATCGCTGCAGACAGAGACGAAGCGCGAGGCAAATTTGGCTTGCCGAGGAGTGCCAGAGAGCGCGAGGGTCATGGCACGCTCAATGACCTTCTTGTCTGAGGGGCCAGCTTCGGGGTCCCACTTGGTCACCGCAGCCAATGCTTGGATGGCAATCTCGACGAGCTTTGCGTTTTTCCTGTCATTGATAACAATCTGCAATTGATCGATGTGGGTCTTGTACATTGGCGCACAGTCTTTAGCGATTAGTGCCAGGAAGCGGGCACTCAGCTGGCCCACCCGTTCCGAATTGGGCCCCTCGGGCTTCTGCAGACGCTTAAGTAGACAGGGAACGCTTGTTTGATTTACGAGTGTCCATGCGGCGTGATCCACCACCACCAGGAGCGTGTCGAGGAGATTTGGGTGCGACTGCTCGATACGGCGCAGGAACTCGCTCCGTGACTTGATGATAGTGCGCAGGTCTGACTGAGGGTCTGCCATGGTCCTAAGGAGTTTGTACAGCTTCTTGTCGTTGGCCTTGGCAAAGGTCTCCAGCGCGGCCCTCGCCTTCTCATGGTCAGAAAAGAACATGCCTATGATCAGCTGACTTTGTCCGATGGCCAACTCACGCGAGATTGCCTCAATGATGTACGACAGCCGGGAGTTGACTGCCTTGTCCACGCTTTCATCCATGCCGCCCTGGTCTCAGTTCTGCATGCAATGGTAGACTCACGTTGAACTCGTTGCACGTCTCGGCAAACGCGACCCAAGGCGCCACGCCCTTCGCATACCCCTTGAGGCCGGTGAGTCGTTCCAATGCAACGAGGGCGGTCTCGTCCAGGTGGCTCGCGACCAGAAGGAAGCTGTCCACCCACGCCTGCTCATCATCGGGTTTGTAAGGCAATGGTAGAATGACATTCTTGAACGCCGTGTTGACCTGTGTGCGAAGGTCGACCGTAACATCCTTGCGGAATATTGCGTGTAGCATCTCTTGTGGGATCCAGCCAAAGTGTGCGATGGCATCCTCTTCATTCGACTCGATGGCCTCGTAAGCCAGACTCCAGAGTTTGGCCAGAGAGTTTATCGCCTCGCTGCGGACCAGAGACTAAATGTTAGCAAAGAAAGAATGGGGTCCTAACCTTCTTATCGCTCACACGACCTCCGACCGCCTTCAAAAGCTGGTCGCTGACATGGTGAAGAGCAGTTTCATAGCTGAGCGATCCAAGCACCTTGCAGATCGCGGCGCGGACGCGCTCGTCTGAGTCATGGATTCGCTCAACCAAGTCAGCTAATAAGTTAGCAAAGCTCATGCAAGCCACCTACCCTCTACCTCTTTCCGCAGGTCCGGCTGATTCGCGATGATCTTGCCGGTGGCCTGCACCCAAGCCAGCCGCACAGGCAGCGCTTTGTCCACTTTTCGGCCAAGCCATGCGCGCCAGGTAGCCGGATACGCCTTCGCAATCATCACCACGCCGCTCTCGACGCCTTTGCCGATAATAGGCCGCTCGCCAAACATTGTGCCGAGCGTCTCTGTCGACAACTGGCGGAGCGGCACCTCCTCGACAGCGCGTAGGTTTTCCTCGAGCACAGGGATTACGTTGACCAACAAGTTGGGCGCATTGCGGAACATGGTGAGAATGAGAGCGTGGGATTCCTTGAGAACCTGGAGATCTGCTGGTGATGGATCGCGGCCATGTGACATCTGGATGTCGGAGAAGTGTGCCAGCACTGCAGGAGGGAGGACCTTGACGCTTATCCGGTTGCAGACATCGACGATGAGTTGGAAGGACGGCGTATCTGGCTTGGAGCCATACTGTTCGAACTGGCTAATGATGAGGGACATCACGCCCGGTGGGGCCTTCTCCGATTCCATCAAGAGCTCGACAAGGATGCTAACGAGGTTGCGCAGTAACGACTTGTTCATGTCCGAGCTGCCATTAGCAGCCGCTCAGTGAATCACGACCCACCGCGCAATCTCGCAGAAGCCCTCAAAGTACCGTGTGATCAAGTCGTCTGCGGAAGGAAGGTCAACGATGATGACAACAGACTTGATCTGCGCGAGTGACTCGATCAGGTGACAGTATTCAGTGTAGTAAGGTGCGTCTGTAATGCGGCTTCCTTGCGTTGCCTGCTGTGACTGGGACTGCTGAGTCGCCATGCTATCGTACTTCTTGATCGGGGCGCGCGACCCATGGCCTTTGAGGCCGTCGACAATCTGTGCAATGAAGAACTGGAAGATGTCGCGCAGTTGGTCGGCCGTGTATGGCGCATCAGGTGCGTACAATCGCAGCAATTCAGCCAGGCAGCATGCCGCGAACGCTTTGACACCGCGACTAAGGTCAGCGACGCTATCCACCTCTCTGTCCGGCAAGCTCACTCTTTATGGAAGATGATGACTCGCTGCACGAGCTGCTCGCGAACTTTGTCGAGCGATTTGACATCTATCTGCTCTTGGTCAAGCTTGACAAGTTCGTGGAACAGTGTCTGGCATCAGAAATGTAGCATTGACGCATACCTTGAGGCGGCGGAGGAGCGCGTCAGCGCCACCACCCTTGCCGGACTGGTGGAGCTTCTCGTTGAATACGAGCTTGTGCTTGACCGCGCGCGGCATGGTCGCGCAAGCTAGAGTATAGAGAAAACGGGCGACGGATGGAGAGATGGAAGTTATGGATTATGGAGGGAAGTGAGATTGTACATGTAGATGACATCCTGAGGTCTGAGGTATGACGGAGCGCGTCAGCCGAGTCCAGGTGACTGGACACCTTCCTGCGCGTACAGTGGGATATTTGCTTCCGTGCGACGCGTCTGGGTGGCCGGTGGCGCGTCACTTAAATCGTTCGCCACCCCTGATACAAATGCTGATTAAGCCTCCGCTAATATCCTAATACGGCCCGCTCAGACGTACATGAATTCCTCGCCCTGTTCCTCTCATGTCAACATCTCCATCAGTCACTCCGACGCGTGTCATAACGTCTCATAATCCCACAACTTGCCCACCGCCTGGCCTCCTGGCCTGCATAACCTTTCACCCTTTAATGGCAGCATGTTGTCTGTCTCCCCATACACGTCCATGCCCCGCTCATCCTCTCCTCTCAATCCACTGTCCTCACCTCCCCACCCTCACTCCTCCCCGACACCCTCCAGCTCTTCGCCTCTCCCTCTGACATTCGTGCCACGCTCCAATGGCGGCCCCTCTTCAAGCCCCTTGAGCGCACGATACACGCGTGGCTCGAGCACCCGTGGCTCCCCTCGCCCTACTGCCCCGAAGCCCTCCCGCGAACTCATCCCGCCGGACCTCTTCACCGACGGTAACAACCCGACGCAAGGTGCAATGTGGTGCAACCGCCTTGCGCGTCGAATGGCGGACCGCGAACGGATGAAGCAACATCGTCAAGCGGCGCTCACGCGTTTTCGTGGGATGAGCGATCTCGAGGAGCCTGAAGACGAGGACGATCGCGAACGCCAGGCACGAGTCGATGACGAGGAGGTGAGTGCTGCGTGGCATGGGAAGGACGCGATCATGGGTACCGCCCTCCAGCTTTGTCATGACATTTGGCGAGGCTGACTCCAGATATTCCGTCGTCTCATGGTCCTTCAACGCCGACGAGAACAGCACGCCGCACTCTTGTCCCACGAAACGGAGACGGGAGGGAGCGACCCAGCATTGCCAGAGTTCTGGGAGGAAGAGGCAGACGCTCTGGCGCGCGAGGAGCGCGCGCTATACCAACACCTTGACGCGAGCTTCAGCGTGAGCGCCGAGTTAGAGCGCGAGGCGGCCGCGGCGGAGGAGGCTGAGGCTGCGATGGAGGCGGAGGAACTTGCGTGGGTCAAGAGGGCTGAGAGTCAAATCTCTCAGTCAGACGAGTTTGACGAAGCGGACTGGGCTGCGATTGCAGCGCTCCAGGATGAGGAGGACGAGCCTATGGATGTAGAATAGAGGGGTTGAGCCCTTCACGGTAGTTACTTAATTGCTATCGTGATTCAATGTCATGAATTGTTGTACTTAAGTGCTTACTGTCCATCGCATCACAGGGGAAGTGTAAAGGTCATGTCATAGACGGCAGCACAGAGAAATTGCAGCATTCTATTGGGTGCATTTGGTAGACTATAGCCAGGTTCCAGCAAACGCGTATGAGTGGCGAATGTCGGTAACGATCTACTTAGTAGACCTGCCGTCAGCATGACCTCCAAGAAACAACAGCCAGGCGTATGTCCGCCCTCATATGCCTATCTCACCTTCTTCTTCTCGTCCACCGAGATGCCTCCGGGCCCCTGGTTCACCAGAAGCAATAGGCCACCAACAATCGAGAGAGTTTGGAAGAAGTCGTACTTAAGGAAATCGCGCTGGGGGTGGGCCGGGTGGACGCTCCACCACTTGTTGACGAGAACGTTGAACACGCTCAGCATGAGAACGAGGAACGATGCGCTCCACTTGGCCTTGAATCCGACAGCGACCATAATGCAAGCACCGAGCCCGATGATGCAAACGAAAACGCGAGCGATGCTCCAGTTGCCCTGGAAGATGAAGCCAATGAAGAGGAAGATGAGGAGAATGCGACCGGCAAGCTGGACGTACTTGCGGCGGTCGGTCTCGGAGACGGAGGGGAGACCAGCAAAGAGCTTTTTCTTGGTCGCCAGGCTGTCCGACAACACCATCAGGAGACCTCCGACCACGGAGAGGTTGCGGAGGAAGAAGGAGAGATCGAAAAGAAGGCCGTAGCCGAGTCCTTGGAGAATGACGACGAAGAGAAGCGCTGCGACTGAGTACTCGGGGAAGCGACGGGCGATGACGCCGACCGATCCAGCCAACATGGCCTGAGGTCAGCACGGGCGCTCCCCACGCATAGGAAGCGAGCTTGTGAGTCAAACGAGCGCGAGCGATGTGCGATTTCGCGCTTCCATGGGCGCGTGGAGACCACAACCTGATTGACGTGACGCCAATCAGAAGCGCGATCGTCCTCTCGCCCTCGCTGCGACTAGCGGTGACAAACATGTCATCTCCACCGTTTGCGGTAAGCGACTTACAATAACGTTGACGAGGAGGAAGAGGTGGCTAAGGCCCCAGGGGATGCCCCGGTGCTTCTCGATGTAATACTTCTGGTCGCCCCACTGTGCGAGGATGCGAATTGCGTCCTCCAAAAAGGTCACAACGATGAGGAAGCGCGCGAGCGCCGGCACATATGGGCGGATAGGCTGGGAGTTAGTCACGATCGACGTGAGATGCCTGCCAGCACACGGCCAGCCGAGAGGGGAGTGCGGGTGAGAGCAAGGGTCATTGTTGTGGTCGGGGCGGTGGCTGAGGATTGTCTCGTCTCAGTCCGCACAACACGCCAGCTGTTGCCACCCCATCAACGTCTATAGCCCACCTCCTTCCCACATCTTAGTTGGATACGCGGGCTGCTCGCGGTAACCTACTCACCTGAGAGTAAATCTCGATTGCATCCTCGACCTGGCTCGACACCTGTTGAATTTTGGCGACAAGCTCATTGTCGGATCTCGCGGGACGTGAGGTCGAGATCGGGTCCGGAGCGTAGCCCGCCGAGTACGCTGGGGGCGCGTACGCTGGCTGCCCGCGGTTGGGGTTGAGATGGATCCGCTGGGACATTGTGGTGAGTTGAGAGTAAAGAGCGAAGCGACGTGGAGGTTGGGAGTGGAGGTGGAGGCCTCGGCCAGGGTCGATCGCGGCGGATGGCGGTTGGCTGTCGCTTCGGACTGTCGGAGTTGAGTTCAGATCGCGCCAAGAAACGAGCTTGGGGATGCGCGAACCGATGCTTACTGCTTGCTGGAGATGAGATGTGATGGACAAGAGAAAAAGACCAAGAGGCGCGAAAGGCCGGATCGCTGTGATTGACTGGCTGGAGGCCGTAGGACGGAGGACGAGCATCCGTTCCCCTCGTCATCCTTGTCGCGCTGGAGGTCGAGAACACGGGACTAAACCCTGTTACACGTGGTCTGACGCAATCTCGTCGTGGGATCTTGGGTCCTGGGCCGACGACCTAGATCTTCCACATTATTAACCGCTCAAGTTTAACCAACTCCGTACATCTGCATGGCCACTGACCTATGCCAAGGAAAACATACCCAGGCTGCAGCTGTAGCACTACGGCCGCCCGCTTAACAACCCACCCTCCTGCGCCCGTCGCCTTCGCCCTCCCCAATTGCCAGAGGTGACCTCCTCGTCGTTCGTGCGCTTCTTGCTACCCTTCCCGCGTATACTGTCAAGTCCAAGGGCGTACCGCAGCTCTTGCTCGTCCTCGTCAACGGGCTCGGCATCACGGTTGAATCCTGGTGGCTCAATGTTGTACGCTGGTCCGCCAAACTTGCGCCGGCAGATGCTGGAACCATGCTCAAGGTACTCGCTTCGCGTGACTGGGTATGTCGGGAGGTAGCCATCGTGCGATGTCAACGCAACGGCGGCCTGATATGGAGCGGATGCGGGTCTGCGGTCAGTTCTCAAAGCACAACAGGCTAGAGAAAGGAGGAGAGCTCAGGTGGTACAGTCCGTTCACGAAATCACTAAATCCCTTTGCGCTTACGCGCTCATCGTAGCTCGGACAGCACAAGAACGTCACTCACTCAAATACCTCATAGATCCCAATATCGTAGTCTGTTGGGCAGAGCGTGCGCAGATCGCGCTCTCTGTGAGTCAGTTGTGGACGCAATAAGTCAACCGACAGTCGCTCCCCCAAGGCCTCGATGTTGCCGAGCCCCCCCACGATCCCAATGTTCGCCCAGAACATCCCTTGCAGCTCCTGAGACATCTGCGAGATGACGTAGGCAATGGTCTCCGGTAGCCCTGTTTGGTTGATGCCTAGAGTCAGCGCAGTCCGCAGCTATGCCACTAACCGATGTCGGAAGGGTTAAACAACAGCTCCGGTCCAGCGAACCTCTCGTTACCCATGAAGAGCACCTGCTCCTCCTCGTCCTTTTTGCGCGTCTCTTCACTCTGTGGTGGCGGTTGTGCATTGGGTCCGGAGCGAATATAGCCCGTCCTGCTGCGGGACTTTGCGGAAAAGTCGGGCAGGACGTACTCTTGCACAACAGAATTTGATCGTGGGTTCCGTCTGCGTTAGTTGATACAAAAGACGAGCTCACTTGCACTGTTCGATGTCTCCGCGCCAATCCATTGAGACGTACCCACACGCCTCACGAACGGCGTTGACGACGTACGTTTGGTCGAGCATGTTCCACTGCCGGAACGAGATGAGGTGCTTGAGGTGGTTAGTAAGAAGCTTGCCGCCGACGTCGATGCTGGCATCAGTTACAGACAGCTGTAAGAAGCATACCGTTTGACGTGTTCCCAGACTATCTCGCCGCCGCGTATGGGCACAATATGGGAGTAGCTGTACCCAACATCAACAACGACCATACATTCAGGCGGCACATCAGTCTCGTCGCTGAACATTCCCCCATAGGGCACAAGAGATGCGGCTACCATCAGCCTCAAACATTGTCCGCGGCTCACGTGTGCAACGATAATAACTCGCGAATTCCCATTCCTCGAAAACCATCTGGTCGTAGGTTTCGGCGATGTTTGGAAGATTGAAGTACGGCTCAGTTACGAGCAGCGACGTATCTGGCGGGTTGATCTTCTATTAGGCAAACCAAAGTTAGGACAACTCACATCAAGGCCTGCAGGGGAGAAGATGCGGTCCCACACAGGCTTCTCCGCATCCCATGCAACAAGCATGCCCTGGCATCAGCTTGAAGGGCAGACGAGCTCACGCGCTCAAACGCGCGCCGGTACGCAATCCCGCTCAAGTCCTTGGCAGTATCAATCTCGTCAGACACAAAAATACGGCGGTCGGTGCGGCTGCGCGCAACAGCATTCGGGAAGAACCTGCCAGGTCAGCTCGACATCCTGTTGATCCATCTTCAGCCTGTGAGGAAACGTACCGCGGCTCCACGTCCGAGCCTGCAACGCCCGCTTTGATCGTGTATGCCCCATTATCGAGAATGAGCACTGGAGTGTCCATATCTGAGCTGAGAGGTTGAAGGAGGCGGGGACGAGAAAGGGAGCTGCGAGACAAGCAATGTCCACCTCCACTTTGGTGTTCCATCACGTGACCTTGAAGGGATGAGATGACGCCGCGCTCGACCCAGCAGGAGATGTCTTCAGCTGTCTTGCACCTCCTCGACGTCCATACCGTCGTCGTCCACCCATTCACCATATCTGCCATCCGCCTTCGTCCGCGAAACATGGCGCCTCTCCTGCCCATGGCCTCGCCGTCGCCGGCTTTCGACGACGGCTTTCTCCCTCGCTCTGACCGAGGGCTGCCGATCATGCTCCGGCGGATGACAAAGTTCAAGACGATGGTGAGTCGAGCTGAGTGGGAGGTGGTGGAGTGGCAGTGTCAGACGAAGTGCGATGATTTGGCGCAACGAGGTGATTGGGAAGTCGCGGGGATGTGGGACGATCCGACATCCCACTCGCTGTGAGCAGTCCCACTCGAGGGTGCGTCGCGCATAAACCCCCACTCGGCGGCCATAACTAGTTCTGAACTGTGCTCAACTAACATCAGGACTTTGAACTCGCGTTTTGGCAGCTAACGTATCTCGTTGTCGCGCCGCGAAGGGTATACAAGCAAACATATCACCAGTACGTCCTGCATACCATACATGACAAGCTGACGGCAGTAAGCAAACGAAAAACGTCTGGGCACGAGACGAGTGCGTCCGCTCATGTGTGACCCAGAGTAAAAGCTGACAAAAGCCCGGCAATGCTGATCTTGATCGCGGCGTGCTGCATCGCGACCGCATCCGTTTGGGGATTTATGTACGGGTACGGCACAGCAGGGACAGTCTGGTTAATTCTCAAGATGGTCTTTCGTGCGTTCGCAGCTTCCCGAGTTTGGAGATTTACCTGACCACAGGTGACTTCATCCTTGTCTCCCTTGCCGTCGCACTCGTGTTTTGGCTCATTGCAAATCGACTCATGGTCATGACGTCCGCGCACTCGGGCATCACGGACAACAGAGTGGAGTTCACGTACGCGTGGGACGTGGCCGTGAACAGCTTCTTCCCCGCCTTCCTGACGCTCTACGTCGGGCTCCTGCCGCTCGCCGCCCTTGTTGTCAAGAACAACTGGGTCTGCCTGCTCCTCGGTAACACGCTATTCCTCATCGCCGGATTCCAGTACATTTACATCACATATCTCGGGTATGCGGCGCTCCCCTTCGTGGCTCGCAGCGAGCTGTTTCTAGCCCCCCTTCTTCCCCTGCTCGGGGGGTACCTCCTCAGCCTTCTGGGATTCAACATTGTGCGCACTGCACTCGAGTTGTACTTTGGGGAGCCGTGGCACAACTAGAGGACAGATCTGTATTTATGCATTCGCATTGGACCTAGTGCCAGCCTTGCTCGCTCCACTTTCGCAGTTGTCGCATTGTTATCGCCTCCAGTGTCGCCGTTGCACAATTCCACACGAGAGTTGTGTCGTGTGCAACACGTGCCCTTACTTGAGTGGAGGGTGGAGGTCCTGGCGACAATTTAAACCCGCCCACCACAACTTTCGGACTACACACTCACCAATATACCGACCACGCCGTGATGGACGACGTTGACGTCGACTGGGGCCTCGACGATGATGGTTACGACGATGACTGCCTTTCTGTCGGCGGAGACGATGGTGCGTTGAACTCTGGATTAGCTGACATCATAGAGGAACTCGCGGACGACACCAAAACAAACCCCATGAAGCCACAGGAGGTCGCATTGACAGAGGAGGCAAAGCGTAACGGTGAAAGGCGAAGCGAACAGAGGGGGACAGAAAACAATGAGGAGAAATACCTGGAAGACCGAGAGGAGAAGCTGGAGAAGCATGTGGAGGAGAGTTCGACAACCAAGGAGATGCGACCCGAGGGCAAACCAGAATCCATGTCCAACCCCACATCCAGCAAAACGGCCTCTAATCCTGCAGCCGTACAAACTCCTCGATCCTATCAACAGGCTGTCTCTCCTCCCCCGCCAAAGTCCAAGGCCAGCTCTCCGCCCCAGCGTTCGATTTTGTCAGTGAGGGATCGTCGCGCACCCTCACACGAAACTTCGCCCCATGGTTTGCAAGCAGAGAGCCGCGATGGTCCTAGGCGCCAGGAGCCGCGCAACGACAGCCATCGCGAGTCAGATAGGCGTGGCGGCAAAGCCCGCCCCGTCGATGAGCGCCACGACAAAGCTCGTATGGATGACAAAACCCGGCGCACTGGGTGGGAACCGGACGAGCGTCGCGAGGTGAGGCTGGAACGCCACCGGGCAGCGTGGCGGGAGGATGAAGTACGCTCCCTCCGCTCCTCAGATGACGGATATCACCTCAAAGGCGCGTTCCAGCAGCCGCTGCACAATAGCACCGACGGCTTGCCAGAGGGCTGGCGCAGGATTGTACCCGAGAAGGCGTTTCGCGAGGGGATTCCGATCCCCGTGGCTCCACAGGGAGGCCCGGGGCCGTTCTTCTACCGGCATGAGGAGACAGGGGTTGGGCAATGGGAGAAGCCGATGGGGAAATCTGTGGACAAACCCACTGAGCAGGTGCATGAGCCCAATCCTACCGACCAGACAGGACATGTGGACCGAAGCAAGGACAACCGTAGGAACGGAAGCGAGGAACCCAAGAGCGTATCGAAGCAGAATGACCCTCAAGAACGTGACCACAACCGGCCAACGGGGCACGTAGCCACATCGGCCACCTATTTCCGTACGTCCAGAGGATCCAGCTCCAGGAGGAGTCGGCAGAGTCCAGGATGGCGCTTACGCGCCTGCAGCCTCCAGCGGCGCGCCTACAGGTCCCAGAGCGGCGCGAGATCGTGAGCGGCCACCGCGTACGGACTACGCACCGCGCGCCTCGCGCGTCGCTCACCACGAGCGCGACCTTCCCAATCCGGAACGCCGTGAACCTTACCCCGAAACTCGCGACGACGGTGGTCGCAGCTACCGTAGGGTAGATCGCGAGCGCGACCGCCGGGACGGCCATCGCGAACATGAACGCCGAGAAGATCGGAGCGAAGACGCCCATGTTCATGACAAGCGTAGGGAAGTCGAGTCCAGTCGTGAGCCTCGCCGTGACGAGCGTGTGCGCCATGACGGCAGCCGCGACGAGGACCGCCCACCTCGTCGGCACGATGACGGTCGATCTCGGCAGCATGACCCTCAGCCCGCTCCAGCGCCGGTCGCGGTCGGCGGCGCGACGGCTGCCGGCCCGCGCATGAACGAGGGGCGCGCGGCGTTGCTGGAAGCATCTGCTTCCGGCCGCGCTCTCCAGGCTGGCCGTACTTTCGAGCCCCGTCCTACTGATTTTGGACGCAGCCGCTTTCCCCCTGAGACCCGTCCCCCCGCGCGTGCCGGCCGGTTCGGTCTGCCTCCACCCATACCTCCGGGCCCTGTTGCTGGTCGTGGAATGCGTGCATGGGGACCGCCAGAGAGGAGGCAAGGAGCGCCTCTAATGCGAGATACTGCTCCTGCTCCTCGCAACATGGCCTCTCGCGACGGCCCCGTCCACAACACCACTCCTAGTGGGGCCTCTCGAAGTGATATCGCTCATCGTGATACCGCCCCTCATAATGCCGCGACCCGTGATACCGCTCGTATCGCACCCCGCTTCAGCCAAGACCAGGAGCGCGGGCGCAATAGTCTAGACTCCAGATTCCCCGACACCAGGGGCACTCAAAGACACTCTCAAGATCAACCACCCGAATCAAGGCGCGAGGACCCTCCCAAGCCACGCGAGGAGCCACGCCGAAGTGAACAAGCTGAGGCCCTTCGTGCTCAAGTGGAGAAGAGTCGGCGCTCTAATGAGAGGCATGGGGATTGGAGTGCGACTCGTAGGGACAGCGACGAGCGCAAGGAATTGAGAGACACCTCTGGCGAGAAGCGCAAGCGCGGGCCCACAGATGAGGATGGCCGCCGCCCAGCGAACGACCGGTCCACCGACCGATTGGACGAGCGGCGGGAGCCGACCGATGGTCGTGGCGATCGCCTGGTTTCAGATCGCTCCGACATCGCCCGTGGGCCTGCCCGTGGGCCTGCCAGTGCAGTTCCCATCCACCCCAGCCGCATGGGCCTTGTCCCCGCCGCGCGACCTCTGGCACCCCCTGCCCCAGTCCGACCTGAGCCCCGCCACGAGGTGTCCGTCGAGCGCCCGCGCGACCTTGCGAGCCGTATCTCTGACCGACCGCCTCGCGACGACAAGCCATACCTAGCCAGTCGCATGAGTGTCGCATCTGAACGCGTAGAGGAGAAGTGCGACCATAGCTGGAAGTCGCGCTCGAGACTGGAACCTCCCACAACTCAACAGCCGCCGGAACACGCACCTCGACCCCTCCCAGACGCCGAGCGCTCGAGCCGCGACCTCTCCTCTGCGCGTCCCTCAGCCCGCACCGGCGCCCAGATAACTCGCTCTCCCGACCGCGAACGTCCCTTCCTTGTCCACCCCACACGAGATGCACTTGCCCCCCGGCCCGGACCCCCTGTTCACCCCGCCCGCGCCGCACTTGTTCCTTCGGAGCCGGTACTTCCACCTCGCGGCCCGCCACTCGACACACAAGGCTTCAATGGCGATCGCAACCGAGAACGCGACGAGCAACGTGACACTGGCCGGGACGCACCCGCGTACGGCCCTGGTGCCCGTGGACCTCGGGGCGCGCCTGATGACCGCGACCGCCGCGATCCCGAGCGTGGTGAACATGGACGCAGCCCCGTGCGTGACGCTCCGGCATACGGTCCCAACGCCCGGCGCGGAGCTCCTCCGACTGGTCCGTCGGGCTGGGGTAACGGCCGCGCTCGCTCCCCGCCCGCGCCATTCGACCGGCGCGACGACAGCGACAGAGGTACGAAGCGGCCCCTCGAGAGCGGGGCTGGGAATGGGCGCGAGAAGCGCCGCTCGCCTCGCAGGAGATGGTAGACGCGCGGTTCGCAGCGATTTGTGTGTTTCGAAATGCATTACAGCCACATGGGCTGTATCTTCCTTGAATGGTGCGGAAGGGGCAGGTCTGACAGATTAGGCGGTGATCACAAGTAAATGAGATCGCAATTTGGATGATAAATTCATTAGGGAAGCCACGTGAGGGCGTCGTCGTCACTGAGGTCCCGTGCCTCCACCGTGGTGCTGCGTGTCCCGCATCCAGCAATCCAGAACGCGACTGGCGACTGGGCCCTCGGATCCTCGGATCTGGCTCAACACTACGTTCACCACCATTCACTCATCTCTCATCACTCTCCGCTCTCTTGCGTCTATCCATCGACTCTCGTTTCACTTTGCATAGCCCGCCCGCATCAGAAACGACCGGCCATGTCCCTCCCAATGCACCTCCGTGCATACACGGAGAAGACTAAGGACGAGGCCGCGCGCGACTTCTTCAGCGTTCCGACCCCGGAGCAGCTGCCCGCCCCCTCAGCCCCGCCTGTTGTGGTCAAGCCCGCACGCGGAAAGGCCGGGGCAGGGAGCGCGAGCGGGCTGCAGGGCATGGATATCAACGCCGTCCTGAGCGTCGAGGGGAAGGAGGATGTGTATGTGAGTCACCGAAGTTTCTCTGAGACGTCGGGGAAGGGCAAGATTGGAGATGCGGAGCGCTGGACGAGCTGGTAAAATGCGGTGTAGCAGGGCGTTGTGAGCGCATTCCACGACGAGCTCAAAGGCCGATATGCTCTAGAGCCCACCATCCTCTGTGCTCGCCGCCCATCACCACGGTCCTACTTAGTCCTCTGCCACACGCCCACGCGCTCCGCGCCGCCCGTAACACTCGTCCGCTTACTGACGCTACAGGCCGGCAAGTTGTCCCTTCTCCCGCCATTCCTCTGCTTCGTCAGCAACGATAGACGCTCCTGCCGCGCCTCCCTTCCTCTCTACACCATCCGCCGCGTTGAGCGGTAGGTTAAGCAACTGACTTCGCTGACCGCAGACTAAACTCGCGCGCGGGTGTGTTTGCGCTCTCGCTCGCGACGTGGCATGGCATGCGGATTGTGCGTACATCTTTGACCTCCACCGCATACTGGTCCCCCAAGAGCGACATTGCTCTTCTCTCCATGCAGACCGATCTCGTGCTCCGCCCTTCCCTTGGGCACGTCTGTGCTTCTATGCCACACTCCATTCGCATCCTTGCGGGCCCTCACTGACATCAGATCCTCCAGCTCACGTCACTTTTGCCCACAGCGGAGCACTTCGCAATCCTCCTCCGTGATGCGCTCAAGTCGCAGGTGAGCAGACGCCTGAGCGTGCCCAGTAGCTTAACGCTCGCTGGCGCCTCTGCATCCCTTGTACTTCAATCGTTCGCGCTAACTCTAGCTCGCCGAGATGAAGGCCCTCAAGGTATTCCTTCCTTCTCTCTACTCCGAGTATCTCCTCCACACTGGTCCATCAGGAGAAGATGGAGCGCTCATCGAGACAACTGCCGAGGAGGGTGACCTCCGCGGTCCTGGCGGCGAGGGGCGAGGGACGTACGAGCGCGGCCTCGGCGAGACGTTCGGCTTCCCTGGTGATGCCCGCAAGATGCGCGAGCGCAGCAAGATGAAGCTCTGGAAGGAGTACTTCGTGGTGCATGGGCGAAACATGACCCGTGAGCAGCCGGCATAGCTTCACTTGAGCTCACACAAGTTCTTCGCTATCCCCCGTTCCAGCGTCTGCTCCAGGTTGGTTTGCCCTCACGTTTGCGTGGCGAGCTGTGGGAGGTGATGAGCGGATCCATCTACCTCCGCTTCGCCAACCCTCAGACGTACCAGCTGCTTCTTGAGGAAAACAAGGGCAAGAGCTCGCAAAGCACGGACGAGATCGAGAAGGATCTCAATCGGTCTTTGCCAGAATACAAGGCATATCAGACTGATGAAGGTCTCGCCAAGCTCCGCAGAGTACTTGTCGCGTACTCCTTCCGCAACCCGGAACTTGGGTACTGCCAGGCGCTGAACATCGTGAGCCTTGAATGGCTGTTGCAGCTAACCCAAGGTTGTCGCCGGTCTCCTCATCTACATGTCTGAGGAACAGGCGTTCTGGCTTCTTGAAGTTCTCTGCGACCGGATACTGCCTGGGTACTACTCGCCGTCAATGGAAGGCACGTTGCTCGATCAGCGCGTTTTCGAGTCGCTTGTCAAGCGCTGCCTGCCACTCATTCATGACCACTTCCGCGAGGTGGACGTGCAGATCTCGGTTGCGTCGCTTCCGTGGTTCCTCTCGCTTTACATCAATTCCCTCCCACTCATCTTTGCCTTCCGTGTTGTCGACTGCGTGCTCGCCATGGGCGTAAAGGTGCTGTTCCAGATCGGCCTGGCGATTCTCAAGATCAATGGCGAGGCGTTGCTCGAGGTCACCGATGACGGCATGTTCATCAACCTAATGCGCAACTACTTTTCAACGATTGGCGAGTCCGCGCACCCTACTCACCCAGATCCACGGGTGCGCAACATTACCAATTTCCAGGAACTCCTCGTCGTTGCATTCCGGGAATTCAATGTGATTACAGACGACACCATCACAACCGAGCGACGCCGCTTGCGCGCTATCATTGCCGATGAAATCGAGAAGTTCTCAAAGCGGGCGGCTGTTCGCAACCTTCGCAACGTCGGCCGCTTCAACAAAGAGCAGGTCGGGATCATCTACGACCACTTCTTCTCGGCCGTGTGCTCGCCGGAAGGTGGTGGGGCCGGTGGATTTGCCGAACCTCAGCCTGGAGAGCTCGAGCAGCCGCGCATCACCGTCGACGCACAGGGCCGCGTGGAGACCCGGATCGACCTTAGAACCTTCAAGGTCCTGCTGTCAGGGATTGCTACTTGGGCCCGCGAGGAAACAGTGACAACCAACGCGTTCATGCAGCGTACGGAGCGCCGCGTTGCCGACCACGAGCTCGTCGATAGACTCTTCTACTCGTGGGATACACAGAAGGTCGGTACACTCTCGCTGCAGGACGTGGTCGAGGGCCTCGACGAGGTTATGTCTGGCGGGCTCATGGAGTCGATCGAATGGTTTTTCAAGCTTCACGACAAGGACGGCGACGGCTATCTGACCAAGGACGAAGTAATCCGGTTGTCTGAGTCGCTGTTGTTCATTTTCCGTAACGAACCTGGAGACATATACTTGGCCGCCGTCTCCCGCTTCATCTTGAACGCATACGAATTCGGCGACGCTACAGCCCCTGAGTCAAGTCTGCCGCCGCTGCAGGACGAGGTCAACGGCGAGGCCCAGACGGCCACCCAGTCGCGCGAGCGGTCGGACTCAGCTGCTGGCCCCCACAACCTGCCGTACCTCAGCCTCCCAACCTTCCGCATGGTTGTGCTTGCCGACGAGCTCCTCGAGCAATTCTTCGAGCACTCTCTTACTGAGTCGTTCCAGCTCGAGGACACCGAGGAGGAGGACTACCACAAGACTCACGCCAAGCCAGACGGCTTGCTTGGTGGCCTGGTCAACCTTGTGTACACTGATGAGTACGTTGTTGGCAGATTCATGTGATCGGGGACTGACCCGCAGGAACAAGTCGCGCTTCAACCGCCTTGCCGACGGTATCGGCTCGGCGCTAGGCAAGCACGCCGAGTGGCGGAAGCCGTCGCTGTCGAAGGCGGACCCAATGGCCCCGGCGCCTGTCGAGACGCGTGCGCGCGAGTCGCTTCTGACTCCATCACAGCGGGCACGCGCTCGCAGTGCTTCGCAGGCGTCGCAGGCCAGCATCAAGACAACGGCCAGTGCATCAACGACTAACACGATGGACAAGCCGTCGTCGCTGGCCGATGTGGAGATGCGGTACCGCGAGGAGAGTGAAATGGTACGGGCGGCGCAGGAGGCGGTGATGCACCGGCCGAATTTCGCTATCGACGCGATCGGCGACAGCGATGGCGAGGAGGAGGAGGATGGGGCCGACGATGGCGTCATGGACGAGGTTGAGGCGTTCCTCAAGGCTCACGGTGGCGACGACGACACGGCGGTCAAGGGTGCCGCCAAGAAGGAGGCTGAGGGTGAGTCTGGACTTGCTGTGCAGCGCCTCGGGCGCCACACAGGGTACCCTACAAACGGGGGTGGAGGCAACCTTTCGGGCTCGGAGCTGACGACAGACCTGCTCAAGGCAGAGCCGATGCGGCCTGGTCAAAAGCCACGACAGACAAGCGGCGATCTTGTGCAGCTCTGAGGACGGTGTAAGCATGTGTAGATGTTTGTTAGATATCTTTTATTTTGCATGTTAGCACCAAACATGTTGAACGGTGCCGTGGAGGGATGCAGGGCGTGGGGGAGCGCGTCGACGCGTCGTGCAGCGTTTGTCAGTTGTGGAGTTTGGTCCAGGGGGAGAGGGGTGGTTGAGGGTGCTGCGCCAGGGGGTTAAGGATTTTCGGGGGTCGATAAGCACTTGAGCGACCAAACGCCCCTTTCATGCCTTTGAAATCCGGGGACAGTCGCAGATCGCAGTTAGGAAAGTCGGAGGAGCGCGCGGTCTGGGCGGTCTGGGCGGTCTGAGCAATTGTTCGACGCGCTCGCATGCAGGGCTCGCGAGCCTGGGCATTCAAACAACGCACAGCTTGCAGCAAGCTAGCGCTACTGTACATAGCCAGTCAATTGTATCAGCTAGCCTGCGGCGGGCCGACGATTGACATCCCCGTGCAGCCGCAATGCATGCTTGATCATCTCCTTGCCTCCTTGACCATCTCTTTCTCCATTCGACTTTACCTCTACTGCTCTACACGCTCATTTAACAGTCCCCTGGCGGGCAATCTTTCAGACTCTCCCATCTTCCACATCCGTCAGCCTCCCCGACTAGTTCTACTCAGTTGATCTGAGCAATCTGTCGCCCCCCTCCACGGCCTCTCCCACCGGCATCCTTGCTCCCTCAAGCACGCACGAGACCCCACGCCCCACTCAGCCGCCCAAACCCGCCCTCACTCCGCACTTGCGCCAGACGCCGTGCCTCCAATCGATACTCTTGGGTGAAGCCTAGAGTAAAACTGTGAGTCTACTTGTCTCGCTCCAGCTACCCAGCTGCCGAGGAGTCCAGGAGGCGAAGACGGCGTGCCGGCAGAGGAGGGGTGGCACATGACGCTGGGCCGGGCATGCGGAAGGTTGGGTAGCCAGGGGTCGTTGAGAAGCCAGAGGTGCCTGCCCAGCTGTGTCTCACCGCACGCGGCTGCGTCTGATGGTCCCTCGTGCTGTGCACCTCCATGCCTGCTTGCAATCGTTGGGAGGCGTAGGCCGGGCGACCACAGCTTCTGCTTGCCATCGCAGCTTGTCCCACGCATCGCTAACTCACTCCAGTCTCCAGCTGGTCTGGCAATCCTTTGTCGAGCTATCGAAGGCTCTCGCACTAGAATCTCGCAACGCATCCTCGCACCCAAACGATTAACCACCCCACCTTTGTCGAGCTCCGCTTGTCCACTCCTCCCACCGCGTTATGCGCGTCCCCATCCTCCTCCTCTTCGCCGGCTACGCCGCGGCGCAGGCCGTCGGTCCGCCCGCCGCCGTGCCGACCTCGTCCACCCCGGCTGCAGCCCCGCCGGCCAGCAGCTCTCCTAGGCCCGTGGCACCACCAGCTTCGTCCAGCCAGAACGCCCCCGCTCAGCCGACGACACCAGCGGCGCCGTCATCCTCAGCTGCGCCCACGCCGACGAGCTTTTCGGGTCCCCCAACGTTCGTGTTCCAGAACCTTGCGACGGCGACGCAGTGCGCGCCCGTGCAGGTGCGTTGGGACCTCCGGAACGCCGACAGGACAAAGTACACTGTCGACCTGTACGCGTTCAATATCGGCGTAGACCAGGCTATCCCCCCTGCCTCCTCCCCGTCGTCCGCTGCCCCTCCTGCCAACACCCCTGCCGCTCAACCAAGCGCCAACAACAATGCCAATTCCACTCCTGCCGCCAACCCAGCTCCTGCTGCATCGGCTGCTGCGCCCGCCTCGGCCGCGCAGCCTAATCCCCAACCAACGCCTCAGGCCAGCGCACCGCCGACAACCCAGGCAGTCGCCGGCGGAAACGCGGCCGCATCGCCCGCCAAGCGCGATGCCCACGGACTGCACGCTCATCGCAATCCTCTACTCTCGGCTGACGAGTACGTGCACCTCGTTGCCCGTGCCGACATCAATTCGACCATCGTGAAGGGCTGGCGCGCACAGGCATCATACGCCTGGACGGTCAATGTACCGCCTGGCCGCTACCGCCTGCTGGCCATTGTCAGCGACGAGGCGCGCACGTGGGCTGAGTCCGGCCCGTTCACGGTCGTTGCGAGCTCGAACACGACGTGTCTCCAGCAGGACTCATCCAAGACCAACTCGGCTGCCGCCGGGGCATCGTCTGGCAGCGCCGCCGGTTCGGGCGATAATGCTGAGTCGAAGAAATCTGGCCTTAGCGGCGGCGCCATCGCCGGCGTTGTCATTGGCGTTCTTGCGGGCCTGGCGCTCGCCATCCTCGCCTTTATCTGCTTCAGACGCGCGGCGCGCGACAAGCGACGCGACGCGGGCGGGCGCGAGCCTCAGACGCCCATGCGCAACCTCATTGGTGCGCCCACCGACTTCCGCAAGACCAAGGGTGCGCGCTCGAGTGTCGGCCACGCTCTTGCCGCGATTGGCATTGGAGCAAATCGCGGGGGTGACGGTATCGAACGCGCCGAGCGCGGCGAGAAGCCCATGTTCGCCGCCGTGCCGCCCATGAACCTCGGCACGCGCAGAGGCTCGAACATGACGAATGAAACGGACAATCCATTTGAGACCGCGCCGACCACCCCTGTCGAGGAGAAGACGCCGTCGCACACGCCCGGCTCATCGTTTGGGACATCCATCCCGCCTGCCTCGGCGCTGGCCGCCGGCGCCGCGGCGCAGGCCGACTCGAACGACCCTCACAGGTACCCGCCCCGCTCACCACCGCGCGGCGCGTATGACGGCATCGACGACGAGCCTGATACATTCCGCCGCTCGACGCCGACGCCCATGCGCCTCCCGCCCTCCCAACTGCCTGCCAACCTCGTCCCGAGCTCTGTCGGCACCAGCCCGGCCGGCGGCACGCCCAGCGGCACCAGCCCCACGACTCCCGTGACGCCGGGCTTTGCGCCGCGCGCGACGCACCAATCGCGCCCGTCAGCGGGCAGCGCCCGCGAAGCCATCCCCACGGCCACTACGCCATCTGTCCCTCCCCCCTCGGCCTTCCCTGTCACCCCCACATCGCCGGGCAAGGTGGTTGAGCGCAAGTCATCGACTCGCCGCAAGCCCGTACCGCGGCTGACGGACGTCGATGTCGAGAGCCCAAGCCAGGGCCACTCGTCTGAGTCGAGCCACGAGGCCACCGCCGGTGGCATCCAGCTTCCCGAGAGCAAGCCTATAGGCGGCGGGCCTGCTGGGGACGAGTATGGGCTCAACGCCGCGCTCGCCGGGATCGACCGCTCGCAAACCTATGCGCTTGTGGCTGACCCTCCACTTCCCCAGGACGACCGCCACTAGCCGGCTGTGCCGGCGTCACGGACAGCATATAGTCGGCCGGACACGTATATAGCAGCGCTGTAATGGGTGCGTCCGTAGTCAGTATCTGATAGGTATCGATGTGGCCGTGTGAGTCGGTGCGAGACAGGAGCTATGGCCGTACGACGGCTGCAGCAGAGATTGAGGCAGTAAGCGAGAACGGACTGGTGAAGGTATAATGCAGATGGGAACACATCGGATCGCGACCTGTCGTCTACTCGCCGCGCTCCTCGGCGTCCACCTTTTCAAGGTAGGCAAGGACGTGCTTGTCCAAACCCTCGGGGAGGATGAGCACACCGTTGGGCGTGACGAGGCGATAGCTCGGCAGCGCCTCGTACGTCGACGCAACAATCTAGTGTGAGCCACGTGCCAGTGCGCGCTCACCTTGCCGTCCTGCACGAACACGCTCCCGATGAGGTCCTCGGTCTCCCCGATCCGGCCTTGGGGCGGCACAGCACGCTCGTCTGGCGTCAGTCCGCCGCTACTCGTCATTCTTACCAGTGAGCGTCATATACCCGTCGCCCGGCCGCATCTCAGCCTCATACGCGATGCGCGGGTCGACGCCGCGCTCCAGCCCGTCCTTGATGGCGGCGTGCAGGACGGCGCGGAAGCGCGGATTTTCGCGAAAGTCCTCGAGCGTCGCGTCGGGCGTGGCGGGCAGCGTGCCGAGCGCCGTGGAGGAGTGGCTCGGCGGTGGCGTGGGGAGGAAAGAGAGCGCGGTGTGTTTCGCGTGCGCGTGGTAGTAGAGATGCGGATGCGCGGGGTCGCGGACCGGCTGCGCATGGGAGGAGGAGGAGGATGGGCGCGCCAGGAAGGGTGCGCGGAAGCGCAGAGGGGTGGTCAGTGGACGGAGGAGGCGGCCGCCGGCGGACATGGTGAGAGATGAGTGTCAAGAGGAAAGATGACGCGCGGAATAATGTCTAGGTACCTCCACCTCCACTTGTGTAATTGCAGGACGCTGTATGGCCGGCACGATCTCAACAGCAGATGGAGGAAAGAATCATACATGCTCTACGAGGTCAAGCCAGCACCGCCGCTAGCCCACTAGCCCCGCTTGGCCGCCTCCTCTTCGGCGATCCGCTGCCGCTCCTTCTCCAGCGCAGCTTCTTCCTCGGCCGCCTCTTCTGCGTTCAACCGCGCATTCTCCGCCTCTTGCTCTGCGATCGCGTTGAGCATGTTCATGAGGTGAGAGTCAAGGCCGTGAGGAAGCCGGCAGACACCCGTGGGAGTCACGAGTCGATACGTCGGCAGTGGCTCATACGTACTCGGCACGATCTGGCGTCAGCGCGGCGGCATGAAGAGGCCGAGGTTGGCCTTTCTCGACGCTGCTTACCTTGCCGTCCTTTACGAAGACGCTGCCAATAATGTCCTCTGGTGGACCCGTGCGGTCGTGGTCTGGGACAGCCCGCTCATCTGGAGTCAGCGAGGCAAGTCTTCACCTTCCCTCTGACTTCCGCTCCTGGGTCCGGGCTGCTGCCTGACCTCGCAGCGTCCTTCGGACTCACCCTTGATCGTGATGTACCCGTCACTCCCCCTCCGCGCAGCCTCGTACTCGAGGCCCTTGTTGCCGCCCTTGTCGAGGGCGTCGCGAATTGCGGCGTTGAACACGCTGCGGAAATAGGGGTGCTCCTGGAATGCCGTGAGGTCTGGCCTCCCAGAGGGAAGGACTGGTGTCGAGCCGAGTGGGAGGAAGGAGAGGAACTCGGTGGGTCGGCCGGGCGTGAAAGTCAAGATGAGAGATTGTGGGGCTGCCGGCGGCGGAGGAGAAGCGTGGTAGTACAGGTGTGGATGAGAAGGGTCACGCGTTGTGCCCGCTGCCAGCGAGGAGTTGTAGCGGATCCCCGCCGTACGGGGGATAGTGAGGGGCAGCCTCACAGCGGGACGGAGGAGCGTGATCATGGCTGTTCGCGATATGAAGAATGTCGCGACCAAGTTAGCCGACCTCCACCACTCCAAATCCTCATCAGAGTGGAGGTCGTCCACCCCACGCGATGACTCTGCACAGCATGCATAAGTCCTCCGACGGCTTATGGCTACGGAAAGATGTACAGCCGAGATACGACGCGAAGATTCCATGGCTCCCAGTAAACGCACATGCACAACCGCGGCGCTAAAGCGGTGTCTACAAATCGGTCGGTGAGTCGAAAGAGAAGAATGCGCTTGGTTGGTGGAACAACAGGAAAGGGCGTACGTGACAGAATTGGACTGAGAGATATTAGTTCGTAAAGCGACTCGCGTGTTTCATTGAAGGGATATCGGGTATCGGGGTAGATAGATGTTGAAGATATAACGCAGACTGCGGAGTGCGCAGGCGTCGACCTAGCGAAGGTTCAGGAGCTCTGTGAGATGCTTGGAATCGGTGGAGGTGCCATAGGGCAAGTAGCGACTCGGCGGGGGAGCAACTGTGCCGTCTGACCAAGCACTCCACGAGTAAGCCTGGAGGGGGCTGGCGGCCTCGGGACTCTGGGACGGCGGCACGAAGCGCGGGGTTGCATCGGACACACCGCTCCTGACGGAGACGTGATGCGAGTCCTGGCAGACGTCAAGCATGTGGGACACATCGATGATGCGTCGCATGGCTCTGAACGTCAGCTTTGAAGATTGACTCGTACTTACGCTTCCTCTTGCTCATACGAGTGCCGCAGCCCCGCCTGTCGCTGCTGCTCGAGCACAAGTTGCTGAATGTAGTGAAACTTCGTGGCTGGATAGTGAACCTCGTGAGTGTCCTCATTGCTACTGAAGCTGGAGCTGCGGCGCGAGGTCGCACTCGAGTTTGGAGAGCTCTCATAGATGTTGCTAATACCGGGGCCAGGATTCCGAGAACGAGACACATTCTGCTTGAAAGCCTTCTGGTTCTGCCAGTCAGCTCAAAGCCAATGTGCAGGCATACCTCGGAGTCTGCGATGCGGATCTGTACTGGCTTGGTGCATCCTGGGAGAGTGTACCTCAAATTGAGCTAAGCGTCAGGTACGTCCGAGGAAGGTGACGGTTGCAACTCACGCGTTCAATAACCTCCTCAGCTTGATGGCGGCTGTCCATTCTGGAGGCATCAACTCTCTGCTCAGTGCGAATGCTTACCGGACCATGGCTGTTCCGCGGCGGTTCCCACTGCTGTCCGTAAGGAAGCGCATCGACGCAATGCGAGCCGGGTAGACAAGCTGGCGCATATCCTGACAGAGTCAGCCCTTGTTTTTGCGAGGCCGGCTCACATTCTCGGTGAAGTCGAGCGGGATGTCGGCGAAGTAGCAGTTAGACGAATGGGGGTCTTGGAGTGCCTGGTGCTTAAGATGTGCCGTCTCACGGCCAAACTGAGCGGTGATCCCACTGGCTGCGAGGCCCTGTATGAACTTGAGGGCGGCCTGTGTTGTGTCAAACCTGCGCAGCTTCAGTGAAGAGCAAGGGAAGGTGAGTGAGAAGCAGTACCTACATGACAAAGGCGTATCCGCGATTATCGTGGCCACTTTTGAGTGGGAACTGGCCAATCGTCTCGCTTGACACCTCGCCGGCATTCTCTACCTTGACAGACACGACGCGGCCAAAGTGGTGCCCGTACTTCTGGAGAACTTCTTTGGTCATTCCGCGGTGCGGGTTAGGGATGTAGACAATGGTCAGTATGTACTACACCGAGCGAACACACCATTGCGGCTCATCCCAAGCTCGCCATCATCTTCCGATAGTACGCTGTCGTCACGCTCGCTGAATGTGGCGCGGTGCCTCTCTGAGGCGGGGTAGAGAGAGCTGGAGGGAGCATAGCCACCTAGACACGTGTTGATAGCTTCGTCGAGAAGAGCCTTCTCGTCGCAGAAAGGCTCAAAGGCGTAAGTGTTGTTGGGAGGGTTGTACCCTGAACGCACAGTGGACGTTGAGCGAGTCGCGTACGGGGTGCTTGACGTTTGCGGAGGCCCAGACTGGCGCGTCATAGGGTGTGTGGGAACCATGTCTGCGTAATACTGCACTCTACCGCCAGCGCTGGGACCAGAAGGAGACTCGATGGTACTGTACGACTTGCGGTGCACGGACATGGGCGAGGACTGGTGACGCGTGGGTGTGCTCGGACTGGCAATCGATGATGAGTATTCAGCCGAAGGGAAGGTGGTGGTCCAGTTTCGCCCATAGCGGGGGGCAGTAGGTCTCGCCTCGAGCTGAGCGCGGACCCAGGCGTTGTTGGTATTACTAGCGGCAGTGGTTTCACGACGTGTGCGGTCACTGTCGCCGAGGGCTTGGGTCGAGGGAGGCGTCCTCGTGTTTTTTGTGGCGCAGGCGTGAGTGGCACCAGCTCTGCTACTCTTGATTTCGTAGCCGCTGTTGAGGTTGTGGTGCGGCATTGCGGTCGTCGGGAAGTGTAAGACTGTTAATCTGGTGTCAGCAACCCGTGAGCAAGCGTGGGAGGAGTCGCGTTGTGCTCGCTGCAAGCAAGGAGGAAGGTGAATGGTGTCTCACGACGTACAGTGGTGACTGGTGGCTGAAGAGTGCTCGAGGTGTGCGGGTCACAGGTGTACTGCGGGGGAACGGAGGAGGGAATGAGAAGAGGAGAGGTAAGAAAAGAGGCCAGAGACGACGAGAGATGAATAGATGATAGATTGAAAGAAAAGAGATGAAGAAGAGAGAGAGTGACATGTTGAGGAAGGTCGAGCCTTAAGGCGGTGGACTCTTGTCGGCGTGCCCGGTCCGGTTTCGCGTCGCCTGACCGCCTGATTGCCTGTCAATCCTCAGCTCTCATGCGTGCTTTGGGCGTCTGGGGTGAGGCGTGTTTAAGGGGGCGAGACGCAGGGGAGAGGGACGCCGGAGAGAGGCTGCTAGATCAGCGGATGGGCGGATCAGCGAGGTGTGGAGCCTCCGCAGCACGCAGCGACCGCCTAGCGCCGGGCGGGCCGGGGTAACGGACGCGAGAGTGGTGGCATGGGTGGGCGTGCATGTGTGACTGACCGTGGAATGAGCTGATCTGAGCGCCTGAGTGTACACCCCTGCAGACACCTTGCTCGAGCGACACAAACGGTGACCGAAATTCCGAGAGAGGGCCCACTCGGTACTTGAGACGATCGAAACATGATCCATGATTCATAATCCATGAGTCATGACGCTGCTCATTTGTCGAAGGCCCAATATATCAATAGGACATCACCATCCAGACGATCAAGCGCAGGAAATCCTGGGCGCAAATCACGCAGCGCGTTGCGCCGGCGACGATGGCCGATGGGCCGGTAGCTGGACGGATGAACGGAGATTGGTGCGCAAGGCCGGCCCTCTTGCTTCTCCCGCGGCGCTACCGCTTGACAACGTCCGTCGCACGGCGCCAGCGCCAACGCCGGCCAGCGGCCAGGGGATCCGAGAAGGTCATGTCACCTCGATTCGAGAAGCTTGGACGGATCTGTGCACGCTCCTGCGGCTCGGCCCAGAGCCGGAAGGGGATATTCGAGCTTCACCTCACAGAATCGCCCGAGGACAGCCGCGCCTGAAGCGCAGCACCTTGAGGGGGAACGCGGCGACGGTTGTCTGGATGCTGTCTTCGCGCGTCTGTGATGCTGTCTGGGAGCACGGACCCGTGGCTTCCCTTTCGTTTCCCTGCGTTCCTGCACGCCTGCATGGGAAAGATCAGAAGTAGAAGAGAACGCGACCGAGGGCAATCCGGGATCGTCGCAGGCCGTGGCCGTGAGCTGCGGGCCGTGGTGTGCGCGGGTGCAGCGGCACACATGGGCACATGGGCACCCATGCCGCAGCTGCCGCATGCCACATGCCGCGCAACAACCGCTTTTCTTATGTGCATCTGTGTGCAGAGTGCGTGTCTGCCGTGTATGCCGAGGCGTCCGGCCCTTCTGCTTCGCTGCCACTGCTTTACGTCACGATCCCTGCATCGCTGCAATCAGCTCAGCATTTCCCCCCCTTCTCTGGCAGCTGGCAGTCGACCAGTCCAAGTTCTCGCTCTTCACATCCTCACCCAGGTCGCTACCGAGTGTCTATCGTGCCTCAACGGCCTTTGCTTACTCCGTGGCGTTGCACACAAGCATGCCCTACCACCGCGCCACGCCAGATAAGCCACTTTGCCTCGCACTGCGGCTCAGAGAGCTTGATGGCCTCGCAATTCGGCCGCGTGCCCCGGCATCGCCGGGATCGGGGGATCGGGAGGTGAACCTTCCAGCCATTTTTTCGAATTGCAGCGAGTCGTCAGCGTCGAGTGGTTGCACAAGCTGAACACGGAGTGCCGAAAGTGGCTTTGGCCAAACAGGTGTGTTAGTGGCGCTGGCGGCGTAAAGAAGGTTCGCGACACCCCAAATGTCTTCCACCTCCCAGGCCGCTAACGACTGAGCGTGTGAGGCTTAGAGGGCTTCTGTGTGGATGGAGGGCACGTGCTCACCGACACAGACCCTCATAGAGGCACGGCCAAGCCAAGGGGCAGTAAGAGTGTGAGAGGCGTTTGGGTGTGAGTGTTACGAGTCAGAGAGTGTGTTACGAGTCAGAGAGTGTGTTACGAGTCAGAGAGTGGGTGAGACATGAGACGCTGTCTCTCGTCAAATGGAAACAACCGATCTCAACAGCTCACCACTGTACCTGCTTGAGTGGCAGGTGCACAGAGCCCGGCGCCGTCCAGTCTGCCCTGCCCGCAATGTTCATGCACGATTCGGGGCGTGCTGATTCAGGTGTTTGCGTGCGCACGTATAGTGCTACTTGGTCGAGCGTGGATTTCAGCGCAGGTTGGTTGGCCGGAGCAGCGACGCGTGCCTACCTCCTCCCCTCGACTGTGCTCACCTTGTACGATGAGGTGCGCAAGGCGACGAGCGCGTACAAGACAAGTGTAGCCGAGTGTTGCCACAACAAGCGAGGTCTTCCCGACCCGACAGAACAGACCAGCACGTCAGTGAAGGCTCTAGGCGGCACGCGCCGCCGGTGCTCTTTATGTGTTCATCCCTAGTCTACGCGCCCCGGTTTGCTAATCATGCCTCCTCGGTGAGAGGCTTGGGGTGCTTGAAGAAGCGCAGTCGGCGCTCTTCCCGCTCTGGCCGCGACTCGTTGCCATGCCCGCCAGTGAGGTTGTTGCCGGCAGCCTGGAAGGTGCCGATGAGGGTCGCCATTCCCGCGCAGGCGCCGACGGCGACGGGAAGCGAGCCGCGCTTAAGGCCCGCCACAAAACCGGCAGCGCAACCACCAGCGGCACCGTTCAGAGGGTCGTCAGTCTGCCATTAGCGATGGTGCGGAGCAAGCAGTAACGCGGGGCGGAGGGAGGAGTGAGAAAAGCAGGCGATGAAGGACAGGTTGAGAGGATGTGAGCTAGAAGGCTCCAGTGACGCCCCGGTGGAGGTGAAGCCTTGTCATCATGAACAAGCGCCTACCGCGAGAATGTTGCGGAAGCAGAGCTGTAGATTCTCCTTCTGAAACGAAGACGGCATGTCTGCCGGTCGGTTCCGAAAACGAGACCTGCGCCTGGAGGAGCGCAGACAGGATCACAGCCTTTGAGGTTGTTCCGCATCTTCCCCATCGTTCTCCTCCACGCCGACAACGCCGATGCCGATATCGACACCAGTAACCGAGCAGTCCACTTTCAGTCCCCGCATTACAGTGCACTTCCTCCAATGGTCCCAGCCCGAGGCCGACTGTGCTTCCATCGCACCAACAACCTGGAAGCCTGGCGCTCGCAACCGCTCCAGCTCGAAATACCCACCTGGCGCGTGTTCGCAACGTAGTCCGAGACAAACGAGAACGAGAAGCCCATCGCGGCTGCGCGGTTAGCCAAACATCTCCAGCGCCTCGAACGACGTACCGAAGAGGCCGATGGTGCCGCCCGTGCGGGTGAAGATGCCCATTGCTCCGCGGTCATGCCTGAAGTTAGTTACTGCTCTCGCGCACGCCGAGCACGCGCCGCCCGCCCCTCGGGACGGGTGGACAACGTCCCTAAGGTGGCAAACGCACTTGTCGAGGGCGTTCTGGACGGCCGAGACGAGGAGACCGGCACCGGCAGACTCGAGAGTAACGCGGATGGCGGTCTGGAGTGTAGGGTGCTCGTGGAACATGTGGGACTCATTGGGGGAGTTGAAGAAGAGGGCCTTGGAGGACCCGGAGAGGGGAGGGAGAAGGGGGTGGGACGTGGGCGCCATGGTGATGGAGGAGGCCGGGGTGAACGTCGCGCTCGTCGTTGCCGATGGTGACCACGGGTAGCCAATGCGAGTCTCACTGAACGTGAGCACTTGGACGCTAGGGCGGAGACCACCGCGGCGGTATCGGCAGATTGGCGTGTGGCACTGAGATTGGCCGTGTGCCTGGCGCTGCAGAGGAAGTGTCAGGTACACGGGGATGTGCTGACTGTCCGTTCGGACCCACCGAGAAGCAAGCGCAGGAAGGCGAGGGGTCCTGAGCGGACTGACGTCGATGCATCTATGAAGCCGGAGGTAACGGGGTGAACCTGCACTGAGGAAGGTGCATCTCTCGATCAACCCATCCTCCATCTCTCAATCTCTCATTGCCTTGTCACTACTCTACGTCTCAGTTGCCTCTGACTACTGCCCAGAGCGGAGCTGCTCCCCACCCAGTTCCCATCTCGCCCTCGCCACCCCTAATCTCCTCGTCGCGCAACGCGACGCCACCACTCTTTGTCACCACCTTCCCCTACTGCCGCCCACCATGATAAGTATCCTAGTTCGGACTAGTCTGCTAGCTAGACCACAACTCCCTGGCAGCGAGTGCTGACATCCTCTGCACAGTTCCCCGAAGCGGCGCGTTGACACGGACGTAATGAAGCTGTGAGTTCGGTCTGGCGGCCGTAGCGATCCAAGCGTGACATCCCGACGTTGCCACCCGGCACTGACCATTCAGCCTCATGTCCGACTACGAGGTCACGCTTGTCAACAACAAGATGTCCGAGTTTTACGTCAAGTTCAAGGGCCCTGCTGAGAGTGAGTACAGCCTCTGCTCGTGGCTTGCCATCGCCGAAGACGGTCGGACATGGTCTCCGGCGATCAAGCGACACCCACCTCCACTTTACGTCCGATCCCGTGACTGCAATGTCATCTCGCAGGGCGGTGGCGCAATTGCACCATAATCTGTGATGAGACATCAGCACTGCAAAAGCACTCCAGCGTCGAACCAGAGCTGACCCCTAGCTCCATTCGCCCAGGGTGTATGGAAGATCCACGTCGAGCTCCCCGAGCAGTTCCCGTACAAGTCGCCGAGCATTGGGTTTATGAACAAGATCTTCCACCCCAATATCGACGAGTTGTGAGTCAGCGGTCTCGGCCCCCACAGTTGTGCGAGCCCACGCTGACCACAGGAGCGGATCTGTTTGCCTCGACGTTATCAACCAGACATGGTCGCCTATGTTCGGTGAGTTAATCATAGCCGTGCCGTCCCTCGGTGCTTGAGCTGACGTTGGCCAGAACTCATCAACATCTTCGAGATCTTCCTTCCACAGCTCCTCCGTTACCCAAACCCTACGGACCCACTTAACAACGAGGCGGCAGCTCTTCTGATGCGTGACCCTAAGGCATATGCGAAGAAGGTCGAGTCGTACGTTGACAAGTATGCGTCGGCCGAGGACGCGGACAATGCCGGGGACGCGGACGGGGATGAGCCCATGTCGCGCTCGAACCGTGACCGCGATCGCAACGGCAACGGCAGCAGTGCCGCTGGCAACGGCGGCAACGGACACTCGAACGGGGCGGACGCCAATGGCGAAGATGAAGATGACAGTATGAGCGACAAGATGAGCGACATGGGCGAGTTGAGTGACGGCGATGAGTTTATGGGCGAGATGGAAGACTGAGGTCGCCGCTCCGCCTCGCGTCTCAACCGCTCAGCACGCCACATCACTCGCCACGAGCTCATGACTCCGTTTTATATCGGAGCCAGCATCCTCTGCCGCGTCCACAGCCATTTCTTTTCACTGTTGTAGTATGAATCTTACCACTTTCATGGACGAGCGGCTGCACTGACCTATATGACACCACCCACTATCACTGATCACCTGCTCTAACAGACTCAAGCAACCTCCCGAGGCCCTCCCCAGCAAGACCCATCCGTTACATGTGATCTCACAGTGGCAAATGGCGAGAATGAAGCCGTCAGCCACAGCGTCACTGGCCCTCCGCTCGCTATCCCTCACATGAGTCAATGGCGTCTCCGTCTTTGAATCAAGCCTCTTAGCCGAAAGACCAAGGACGTGTGCCTCCCCACCCGTCAGCACAAGACACGCTCCCACGCTGCGGAGACCAGGCCTACATATACTCGCCTGGCTCAAGCCACTGCCCTTCGCCCCCCTTACCACCATGCCCGTCCGCGCCATCCCTGCAGAAGCGACCTCATCCGCGGCTATGGCCACCACGCTCGCAGTGAAGCACAGGTGAGCCCCCCACGTTCCAAACTAACCCAGCCCCACCACCGGCATCAAAGTTTTCCTCGCCATCTTCGGGGTCTGCGTCGCCCTCGCCCTCTTCTGCGCCGTCGGCATGTTCCTCCAACTCTGGTATCCGGATTGGTGGCGCTCCACGCCGGACGGAGAACAGGGCTCGCCTGACCGTGCCTCCGAGTCGCCGGACCGCAGCGTGTCGCCGGACATATCCCTCGAGTCAGCCATCAGCAACCTCGAGAAGGTGGTCGAGCGGGAATACGACCCGCGTTTCCGCCTCCCCTGTGACCCCGACGCCGCCGCGTTCCCCAGTCCCAGCGACCCCGGCGTTCCCGGAGCCCGCGTGGGCTCGGCACAAGACGCGAAGCGCTGGCTGCGCGCGCACACGACTATCACGCTCACGCCGGGATATGCACCTACGTACCCCATCGAGCCGCACCGCATCGTCTCCCCGTCCACGCATCCCATATATAGCCGGTACACGGGGAGCGGGAGCGGGCACGTCGCGCGCGTTGCCGACGCCGAGGCGCTGGATGCGCGCCACGCGCGCGCGGAGGGCCGGGGCAGCGATGCCGACCGTATACAGCGGATGCTGGTTACGATCGTCGAGGAACTGGATGTGCTGGAGGAGATAGAGAAGGAGAGGATGGGCGCGGGGACGGAACAGCTGGAGTTCGGGATGGAGAGTGAGGTCATGAAGGGCGGGGCGACGTTCTGCGTCCCCCCGACGCGCATTCAGCGCGAGCTCATCACCAAGCACTGCTCTCATGTCTGCCACGCCGAGGAGAAGAGTACGTTGGTGCTTCGCTAGGAGCGGTGTATATCATTGATGTCCCGTGGACGTGGACAACACATCCCCTTTGTTTCACAGAACACCACCGTCAAATATTAAAGGGAGTCTGCGCTTCGCCCATCCTTGTTCATAGCGTGCGAGGTCCAATCCATTGTAATGCATTTGTTGAATCACGAGCAGAGACTTCAAGTGAAACACGCCAGAGCCCCTTTCAATCAGGAGCTAAGGGATATGCATACAGTATCTAGAAGTGACAAGATGCGAGGGTGAAGGGTCACTAATATCTAGGGCCAGCCAAGGGGCTGAGATGGAGGTGCTAATCTAAAGGGCGACAGCGACAAGGCATACCGCGATGGTAAGGCTCGCGATGGAAGGTACAATGCGCCCAGAGGCGCTGTTGGTTGTGGCGGCTGCCGCCGCGCTCGCGCTGGGGTCGGTGTTGGCGTTGACCGTGGCTGCGCCGGAAGCAGAGGGGGCGGCGGCGGATGCCTGACCGGCGCTGGACGCGACAGGGGAGGAAGAGGCGGCAGCCGAAGCGCTGCCGCTGACGGAGGCGGAAGTAGGCGCTGGAGCGCCGACCGCACCGCTTGCGCCGGCCGAGGTGGTGGAGTTGGCTTCGCTCTGGACCATAACGGCGCCAGACCCGGGGAGCGCGGCGAAGCCGACAGCGGGCGGGTCGTACCGGAACACGGTGTACGTGTTCTTCAGCGCGGTCGCGCCTACAATCCACTGGACGGGCGAGCGCGCGCTGAGCGACTGCACAAACACGCCGCCGGTGCAGTACGCTGTGTCAGAGCCGTAGTTGCCCAAGTTGAAGTCCGCGTCGCCAATGTTGATGGTGTATCCACCGAACGTGAGACGGAGGTCAATGCTCGTGCTGCAGGGGTACTCGTAGTAGTTCTTGTAGTCACCGGTCATGGCACGCGAGCCAGGGATGGCTGCGTAGATCGCAGCGACAACTGCCGCTGGGCCGCCAATGAGCGTCGTACCGGTGTCAACGGCAACCTGGGTCGAGCTGCCGAGGTTAATGTTGGTGCCCTGCACCGACACGCCGGCCATGGGGATCTGCCAATACTGCGGGTTGTCCCCAACCGAAACGTAAGTCACGTCGCCAGTGTACAGCGCGCGGTCGAGGTATCCGAAGGTTGCGATGCCGCCGTCCGTCTCGACCCTCTCGGCGCTGGCGTCGCCACGGTACCGCTTCATGTAGAAGGCAAACAGCTTCTCAGACCACCCGGCCGAAGCGGTGCTCCACCACGGGTTTGCTTTGCTGTACGCGAGGGCTGGGAAGGCGAGGCCCATAATGCCCGACACTGACGAGGAAATGAGGTTGGGCGTCATGTTGTCGACCATCGCGAACACCTGGTTCTGGACGCTCTGGCCGCCCATGACGACGGTGTCACGAGCAAGACGCCCCGCCGCGTCGCCACTTCCGTACGAGATAGAGAAAGTGCCGTCCACAGCCGCATAGCTGGAACTCTTGCTCGGGTCGAACTTGGTGCCCTGGCAGGCAGCGCACTCGTTATCCTCGACCCAGAGATCAGAGGAGCCCGTGTCGAGGATAATGTTGAACGGCTGCGCCGGTGTGCCGATCGAAACTTGGCCAGAATAAGAAGCGTCGATCCCGTTGTTCTGCAGGTTGACACCCCCCGAAGTTTGCCGCTTGTGCTTGGACAGGAGGGAACCATAATGGCCGCGCCCGGCGTTGTAGCGGCTATCCACGAACGCCGCCTCGCGGAGCAGCCACTCGCGATCCTGGACCCCTCCGGCTCGCTTGGCCAGTTCACGCTTGGTCGAGGAAGGCGAGTGGGCGAGCGGCAGCGAGAAACCCTGCACGGCGGCGACATCGGCGGCATCGTGCTCCGGGTACATGACAAAAGGGCTCGCGGCTGCCGGCAGCGCGAGGACGAGGGGGAGAAGCGAGAGCATGGCGGCTGAGAGGGATTGCGCGTGATAGTCGGCTTTTGACTGACGTCGAGGAAGGAGTGTGGGCCCGTCTGGCACGCGCTATGGAGAAGGTCTGGTGTGAGCAGGTGTCGGCATCGATGTGTGCGCGCGTCATCTCATGATGAGAGACGGTGAGACCGTGGTGTGGTGGCTGAGAGGTGGGGCGCTTGGCACATCATCTGAATTGAGAGGTGCCCGCCCCCCAGGGCCGACCCGCCATCACCGGCGGAGCAACTCACGAAGGGGCGAAAGAGGATGGAGAAGGGATTGGTCGACGAGGCCTGCTCGTCTAGGACGGTGGAGATGAAGATGGTGATGATACAAAGACAGACCAGCTGGCTGCTTAGTTGTTAAGAGGAGACGAGGCCAAGAGAGGAGGTCAAACGTTGCCGGGATGCCAGCAACGGAACGTAAGTGTAAGTTTGAGGGCTCAGCATCAAGCCCCCCTGTATTTCCCCCACGCCCCCTCACATGCCTTGCAGGCCGCAGGATCGCAGCGTACTGTAGGTGCGGTATACAAGCGCAGATGAGAGTGAAAGCATGAGGCTATACAGACGCTAAGAGATGGGCTTAATGCTATTCAAATTCAGGACCAGAGTGAGCCAAGAAACGGGGTAAATGTGCTTCCGTAGTGCTTCGAATGTCGGGAATGACTCCAGCTGTACACCAGAAAGGCAAACCTAGGGGCCGTCGCAAAGCACAACCTAGCTTTGGTTTCAGGGCGAAGTCGTTTAAGCAACGTGTGACGGTGCGCCTGCATGCACACGAGTTGAGACTGCGTGTTATGGCGGTTGGTATGCGTGATGCGGTGTACTGCGTGCGTAGCTGCGAAGTGGTCCCCAGCTCATCAGGCTGATGATTCCCAGTCTGATGATCCCGGCCAAAGGGCGGAGGGCGCGAAGGTGACGGCCGGAAATCGGAGGCCAAAGGGGCAAAGGGCGGCGGACACACAAAGTTAGAACACGCGGTGCAGTTCGGACTAAACTCCGCAGCAAGGTGCTGCCAAAGGCCTTGGGATCTTGGGATCTTGGGATCTTGGGATGTTGGGCAACTGCGTCTCAATCCCCTGTGGTCCGGAGTCAGGTTTACTTGTCTTGGCTTGATACACGATCCAGACACGGGTCGCGCGGACGCGTTTCCTTATGTCTCGATTTCAAGGATTATCACGCAGGACGCGTCGATCCGTGCAATGATCTACGCGACGGCGACGGCGATCAGCGCAACGGCTCGAGCGCAAAGGGCGGCCTCCTCGTTACATGTTTGAGTCTAAGCGTCAAGCATCATCGGCACGGTCCAGCTGGTCCAGACTACTAGGGCAGGCACTGTAACCTCCCCCAAAGTGAATTCGTCCACAATTTGTCCACGCCGCCCCCCGGCCCCCGGCCGCACCAGTTCGCTCTCGTCGCACTGTGCAGCCCGCAATATCCACAGCCTGCCTGCGTGCGTACGCTGCGTCAAGCTGCGTAGCTGCTGCCCTGCGTGTGCACCGATTCTCGTGTCTGATCACGATATTCGGTGGTCTGATAAGAAAGTCGGTAACTCGATGGCCACCAGACGTACTACACAGCTACGGACTACATAATTCAAAGGTCGAAAACTGGATGATGTGGTGAATCTTCTATGCCTTCTTGTTCACCGGACTGGTCGACTTCGGAGTCGCGGTGGGTCGGTGAGGAATGAGGACGGACCACAGGCGGTCACATACCTCCGATCCGGAGACACCCCGCAACCCCACACTCCAGAACCTTACAACCGCCTGTTGAACTCGCTCATGGAACTTTGGAAACATCCTATATCGCTCCTCGGCCAGTCTCCTCTTCCCCAAACTTCTTCTCGCGCTCGTTCTCTTTGCTCACCTCACCGCTCACACTCTGACCAAGGCGATGGAGTACTTCATCGGGTTTGACGTGTAAGTCGCAAATCTGTAGCGCGCGCCATGAGACCAGGACTTGCTGTAGCTTCGGTCCATGCACGGGCTCCTTACCCATCTGGCGCTCTCGAGCTGACTCAACAGGGGAACGGGCTCTGGCCGCGCCTGTCTTGTCGACCGCAACGGCAAGCTCCTGGCCGACCACTCGGCGGAAACGCAGACACACCGCTCGCCCTCAGACCACCGGATTTTCGAGCAGTCAACGGAGGACATTTGGGGGGCGCTGGCGCAGTGTTCCAAGAGGGTACTTGCGGACTCTGGCGTTAGTCCTAAGCAGATCAAGGGCGTAGGGTTTGATGCGACGTGCTCCCTCGCCGTAACCGACCGTAACGGTCGGCCCGTCAGCGTCTCCCGCACAAAAGGCGAGAACGAGGACGACGCCAACCTCGGCGGCGAGGGCGAGTGGAACGTTATCCTGTGGGCAGATCACCGCGCCGAGGAGGAAGCGGACGCTATCAATGCCACCGGTGAAGGTGTGCTCAACTTTGTTGGCGGGACTATGAGTGTATGTCCCTCTGACTCTGAGGGGTTCTGACCCCAGCTAGAGATGGAGGCTCCGAAGACGCTCTGGCTCAAGAAGCACATGGATGCCGGGAAGTTCAAGCAGTGCATGTTCTTCGACCTGCCCGACTACCTTACGTACCGTGCGACAGGGTCGCTCGCGCGCTCAAATTGCTCCCTCGCGTGCAAGTATTCGTATGTGCCGCCGGGGACGACCATGGAGCACGCGAGCGACGGGACCACAGAGGTCAGCGAGTACGGGTGGAGCAAGCGCTTCTTCGACAAGATTGGTAAGCTTCCAGAGCCTGAAGAGGCTGAGGGCGTTGCGCGGGGGACTGATGCCAGGCTTGGAGGACATTACGGCGCGTGACTTTGAACAAGTCGGCGGGATTCCCGGGAAGAATGGGCTCGTGCTCTCCGCAGGGCAGCCGGTGGGAAACGGACTGAGCCAGGAAGCGGCGGCCCAACTCGGTCTGATCGAGGGCACGGCCGTGGGCAGCGCGGTCATTGACGCGTTAGTAACCATCCCGCTGTAATCTAACTTTCAGTTACTCGGGGTGGATTGGGACTGTTGCGGCTGCATCACGTGCGGATGATGGACAGCTGAGCGAGGCGGCCACGCTCGATGGAGCCGCAAGCCGCCTCGCCGCTGTGGCCGGTACAAGCACATGTCACCTGGCACAAACCAAGGAGGGGATCATGGTCCCAGGGTACGTCAGCCGCGCCGAAGTGGACTTCAGCTCACCCGCAGAGTCGTATGTTCAGCTTTTGACTGCAAGATCATGCTGACCGCAGTGGGGACCGTACCGCAACGCCATCTTCCCAGACTACTGGCTGAACGAGGGCGGGCAGTCGTCGACAGGCCAGCTGATTGACTTTGTCATTGCCAAACACGCTGCCTACCCGCAGTTGCTGGAGCTATCGAAGAGCACTGGCAAGAGCACATACGAGCTCCTCGGAGACCAGCTTGACAAGATGCAGGCGGTCGCGAAGGCTTCGACGAGGGTCCACCTCACCAAGGACTTGCACTTCTATCCGGACCTTGTGAGCCTCTCAGTCACCGCGCACCTGACACCAGCATGGCAATCGATCTCCCCTTGCGGATCCAAAGATGCGCGGCATGATCACGGGGTTGGAGCTCGACGCCTCCCTCGACGATCTCGCAGCAAAGTTCAGCGTCACACTCGAGGCGATCGCCCTCCAGACACGGCACATTGTGGAGACGATGAACGCAAAGGGCCACTGCATCGACAGCATCTACATGTCGGGCTCGCAAGCGAAAAACCTCCCGCTGATGCGCCTCCTCGCGACGGTGCTGGACATGCCTGTCGTGCTGCCCCCGCACCCTTCCGCCGCCGTCGTGTTCGGCTCGGCGATCCTGGGGCGCTTTGCATACGAGGCGTCACGGACATACTCGATCCAATCTCAGGCGGACGCAGACAGGGCGGCACAAGATAGTGTCAAGCTGTGGGACATCATGGTCGATATGACGCCCACCGCTACTCGCGTAGAGCCCATGAGAGGAGAGAAGGGCGCCACGGAGAGGAAGCTCTTGCAGGCCAAATACGAGATTTTCCTCGAAAGCATCGAGATCCAGAAGCGCTGGCGGCAGCGCATCGCTGAGGCTATTGCGTAATGCTGGATCGCAGGGTTGCTTAATTGTAGTAGCACTCTCGGGGATTACAGAATTATAGGACAATGGATCAATGGAATCACTGATAACATGATAGCTCGACTGGACCGGCCAAGCCGGCCACGGGCCACCTGTATGTCAATGAATGAGGAGCAGCACAGGCAGGCGCACATTGGTCATGGGATCGCGTGCCGCATGCGAGTGACTCGCAAGTGTCGGGGGCCCGGGGGGTAATGCACTACCATATCTTTCACGGCTGCCCGCATGCCCAGGTGCTCCACGCCTGTGCGTGGACGTGGAAGGGGCCTACATGACGTGCATTCGCAGGCGGGGAGGGGGCATGGAAGAAGAAGCAACGTGTGTGACAAGTGGGGATGCAGATTGTCAAGGGCTCGAGGCCCGAGAGGGGCGCGGGGCGCGGGGCGAAAGGGCGAGTTGGTGACGCGCGGCCAGACTCGCACCTCCCAACAATCCGGAGTCATGCAGCCCAGAGGCCAGAGGATAGCTATGACCGTAAGAACAGCCTTACGTGCCCCTTCAGCGACAGGCCATCCCAGCGACGCGTGATCACGCGTAGAGCCCTTGGAGCCTAGAGAAAGGAGAAAACAGAGATCCAGAGATCAAGAGATTCGCAGGAGAGAGGCGATGCGATCCCGACGACCCAAAGGCTCTAGGCAGTCTAGGCCCAAAGATACCACGATCCATGATCCATGATCCACGATCATCCACAATCATCCATGATGAGCAGTTCGGTCACTTTAGCGATCCAGCGAGCCGCGAGGGCGCACGGCGAGGTGAACAGGGGACAATCACAGGACGCGCCCGCAATCGCGCATCGCGCACGTATCGCAAGTCACTGACTGGGGATCCTGGGCCGATGCACCCGGCGACCAGGCAAAGGGCGACTCATCCAAGGGGTCTTTGAGAGAAGCAGTACCAGTATCAGTGACATCAATTCTGCACGCGAGGGAAGGTCAAGTCATGATCTTGGTTAACCCACTCTCAGGCTCCTCGCACGGACGGCCCATACCGCCCAGCAGTTACCCGTATATAAGGAGTACCCCTCATCTTATCGTCTTCCCATCATCATCCTCTTCTTCTCTCTTTGACTCTCTTCACCTCGTTTTCTGGAACAGCGCACCATACTCCTCCACGTCCTCTATCGTCGCAAGTGAGTTCTCACACGGCCCCTGGCCCCAACTCCACCGCCGCCGCTTCCGCCCCTCGCCTTCCTCAATTACACTACTCTTGACGTTTCTCCCCCCCCCCCTCCCCCCCTTCCTTCCCTCCCTCCCTACTGCGGCTCTCTCTGCGACGCGTATCAGCGCAAGTAGAGCAGCGGCGGCGCCAACCACTCTCATTGCCGCGCCTTCCGGTACTCTTATCATTGGGGCCCCTGCCCCACCCCACATCAGGCACGGCACAAGGTCACCGTCGTCCCTCCTCGACTTCATATTGTTCCCACAACACTTGCTCCTCTCGTCCCACAACTCCTCCTCCTCTCCCTCCCACAATTCCTCCTTCACTGCCCTCATATCGTGGGCTAATTCCCAAGTCCCAAGACAATCACCCAGCAAGATGCCTCCCAAAGGACTCGATGTAAGGCAGTCTCCTTAAACATACCTCTAACTCCAAGCCGGGGCTTGAAGGCGTGATCTCACAGATGGACGAGCTGTCCCTCGCACTGAAGGATGACTTCCTCCTCCAAGGTGAGTCCTTCAATGCGTTCATGCTGACTTTGCAAAGGTGCTCACCCCCGTCCCGGTACGTGTCGACCACTCCGACCCGAGGCCAACTGACTTGCAGACTTCGGGAAGGCCGGCCAGCCTGTCAAGGTTGAGGCCAACATGTTCCCGATTCGCCTGTCCCAGAAGCATGGGGCGGGGACCGTCTAGTACACTGGATTCATCTACCTTTGACTGACTTTAGCCACTATGATGTGTCGATCGCCCGCGTCGTCAAGACCCCCAATGACAAGTACGTCACTCTCTCAGCATCCAAGGTGTGCTGACACGGCAGGATGCCCAAGAATCTCACCGAGAAGATTTGGGCCGCAGCCTGTCGCCAGGAGGCTGGTGCGCCGGACAAGCTGGCCTTCGAGAATTCAGCCTACGACCTCATGTAAGCGACTTGGTGCTGGAAAGGGCTGATAGCAAAAGGAAGTCTGTCTACACTGCGAACCAGTTCAACCTCGAGGGCGGCAGAGTGTGTATCTCAATTTTATCCCTTTCACACTGATCATCGGCTGCCGCTGATGCGCAGCGCCAATTCGTGGTCAGTCTCCCCGAGGAGGGACGCGAGCTCGATGACCGCTCGCGATTCAAGGTGACCCTCAAGATGGCCAACACGGTCGACCTGCAAAGCATTATCGATTTCTGCAAGTCAGACAAGCAGGCGGAGCAGAATGCCAACGCCGTGGTGCGTGAAAACTCACGGCTATGTGCCCGAGCATCACATTCACCACGCGTTTATGCTGACGATACAGTTGACTGCCATCCAGGCTGGCAACATCCTGTTCCGCGATGACCCCTGCAAGCGATTCCACCCCATGGGCGCTCGTGGAAAGTTCTTCAGCATGGGTGAGCCCCTTTCAGCGATCTTAGACATTGCTGACCTCTAGACCGAGCTGAGCCCATCTCTGGCGGAGCTGTAGTCGCGAAGGGCTTCTATCAGCATGTATACAGCAGTGCCCCCTGCTGACGTCCCAGAAGCTTCCGCCCCACTTCCGATGGGCTCCCAGCCTTGCAGGTAAGAGGACTTCATCCTAGACCCCGCAACGCTGATCTCTAGTTGAGCAATGCTTTCACGGCCATGTTCAAGCCTGGCTCCTTAATGGTCCGTCTGAAGGACCTTTCCCCTTGTGCAATGCTGAATTAAGGCTTTGATCCCCCAGATCTTGGGGATGGACGGCGGTGGTGGTGGAGGCCGCGGTGGACCTCGGGGTCGGGGCGGTCCTCGTGGTGGCGGCCGCGGCGGACCCCCGGGCGGGGGAGGAGGTCATCAAGGCTTTGACCAGTTGAATCCGCACCAAATCCGGCAGCTCACCAAGCTTCTGTATGGCGCCAAGTTCACCTTACCTTATAAGAAGACTGCACGCACCTTTGCAATCAAAAAGTTTACGCCCCAGAGCGCGGCCGAGATTAGCTTCGTCGTGCAAGGCAAGGACGGTTCGCCTTCGCGGAAGTCGAGCATTTTGGACTACTACTTGCAGCAGTTCAACATTCGTATCCAGAAACCACGTCTTCCTTGCGTCGTGTATGGGAAGAATTTCATGGTTCCGTGAGTGCCGTACTCTTTCCTCGTTCCTCGTCCCCTCTTGTCCTTTCTTACTGACGTTCACAGCCTCGAGCTCGTCCACCTGTGCGAGTTTAACCCCGTTCCATTCGCATGCCTTTCTGCCAATCAGGCCGCGTGAGATTGCTGAGCCCAAGGCGAGCTGATGGTAGGGACATGATCAAAGTCGCTGCCCAGCGCCCTCCCGACCGTGCTGCCACGAGTGAGCAGCGGCGTGGCCACTTGCGCTGACGTCTACAGTCAAGCAGTGGCGGCAAGTTCTAAACTACTCAAGTTTGCCTAAGATTCGGGCCTGGGGCCTGGAAGTTGCGCCTTCCATGATTCAGCTCGAGGGGCGCATTCTACAGCCCCCCCGCATCAAGTACAAGCAGAGGGAGTTCCCGGCCATGAATGGGTGAGTTTCATTGTTGATTGTTCTGATTGACAGCGCATGGAATCTCAAGGACACACACGTACGCCATGGTCAACTTGGGGTCGCGCTAATATCAGTTTGCTCGCCCCGGTGCTCCACTCAAAGCGTGGGGCGTTCTTTCCCTCGACCGCCGCGTCGGGAACGCAGAGCTGGGTGAGCCACGTCCCATCGCACATCTGATTTAAGGCGAGTTCATCCCCTTTCTCATCAAGCAGTTGAGGGGGTACGGTAAGTTTTTGGTGGTAAATGGTGACCAGTTAGCTGACGACGGAGGCTTAAACGTCCTCAACGACACTCCCGATGTGCACCTCGCGAAGGGGGGCAGTCTCCTTGAAATCTGAACATGCTCTGCGCGACGGTCGCAAAGAGGAACAATTCGGCGCCGCAGCTGATTCTCGTTATTCTGGGAGTGAGTAGCTTGGTGGCTCGGCGGGTTTGCATGGTTGAATATTAACCCTTGCAGGGCAAGGACACTGCGACCTATCAGGAAATCAAGCACATCGCAGGTGGGTCCTCGCGCATGATATCTACTTGGGTGTACAACGCTGACGGCAGGTATGAGGCTCAAGGCCATGTTCCCTACCCAGTGTCTTCTAGGCCAGAAGATCACGCAGAATCGAGGCATCGACCAGTACTGCGGGAACGGTGAGTGTCAGAGCATGCTCTGCTCATCTCACAGTGGCTATGAAGATTCAAGCAAAGCTCGGAGGAGTGACTCACGAAGTCAATATGACTGATACCGTACGTCGAGTCCGCATGCGAGGTTGACCATCCAGTTCACCAAGACAACGCTCATGATTGGCGCTGACGTGTACGACTTCACTCAGTAAGCAGCTGACACCAGAACCCATCCTCCCCCCGGAAACGGCGGCCTGCTACAGCCGTCCATCGCCGTCACCGTGGCGGGCACCGATGGCGAGAACATTCGCTATTCAATCGGTGTCCGCCTTCAGGATGGCCGCGTCGAGATTATTGAAGACCTTGCCAATATGGTGGTGGAGCATATCAAGGTTTTCGAGCGGAAGGCTGGGGCCAAACCTCAGCGGATCCTCTTCTTCCGTGATGGCGTGTCCGAGGGACAGTATATGGCCGTCACAAAGTTCGTTCTAATAGGACGTTAGCTGACTATTCAGAATCGAGGTAGAGGCTGTCAAGAAGGCCGCAGCCTCCTTTGGAGACCCGAAGTACAAACCGACGGTGACGTTCATCATCTGCGCGAAGCGTGTGAGTGTCTAAGCGTGTCTCCGACCTCCCACAGAGCCCAGTCTGATCGCAGCACCACATGCGGTTCTTTGCGTTGGCTCCCAAGGACGTGGATCGTACCGGGAACCTTAAAGCTGGTGAGGTCAATCCGCAGAATGCACATTGACGGAAGGCTTTGTCGTAGACAGGAAGGTTACGCACCCGTTTGCGTTCGACTTCTACCTTCAGGCGCACGCCGGCCTCCAGGGGACGGCGCGTCCCACTCACTAGTGAGTTTGGTCACAGCGGTGCTTGCTTACCCAGTGTCGTTCTCATCGATGAGAACGGCTTCAACGCCGACCGCATGCAAAACCTGTGCAACAAGCTTTGCTATACGTACGCGCGCGCGACACGCGCTGTTTCAGTGAGTGTATGGTCCCGAGGCGTGCTGACCTTCAGATCGTTCCGGTCGCATATTACGCTGATGTCATCGCCAATCAGTGCCGCTTCCTGGCCTACACCGCTGATGACGATACTACGGCGGAGATCTCCAGCGGCCAGCGCGACAAGACGCGTACGTACGATCCGCTGCAGATTGGTGAGCTGTTGCTGACCCGTCTTTTGCTGACTGGCTAGCTAAGCGTCTCGGTTCGGTGGCGAACGTCGCTTGGTACATGTAAAGCAGCGCGATAGCTTTCAAGTCTCAGGATGTTCCTCCTTTGACAGAGTCTGTGTTCAATGCTGGCTGGACTCCTTGCTCCCTTTTCACTCCGTCCACAATAGTAAATTCCACTACACAAGTTGTCTATAACAAGCTTCATGTATAGCTGCAGTGTTTGTGCCAGCATCAGCGAGGGAGGCGACTTACTGTACAGTGTCGCGCAGATGTCCTCGCTGGACTGAAGGACCTCCACCAACCACCCATCCAAACCTCCACCCTAGCGAACCTAATGCTACCAATACTTCCTCAGCACGCCATGCTCCTCGGCCTTGGAGTGGACCTTCTCTCTGTTCCCCGCCTTGAGGCTCTCATCTCGCGCCGCACAGCTCATCGCCTGGCCGAGCGCATTTGCTCACCGCGTGAGCTCGATGCATTCGTCTCTCTTCCTTCGCGCTATCACGACCCGTCAACCCTCCAGGCGCAACAAACACGCTTCCTCGCGTCTCGGTAAGCCTAACCGCGCCGCGCACCTGACGGTCTGCGCATCTGGCAAACTGTTGACAGCGGTCATGCTGACAGAAGCTGGGCAGCCAAGGAGGCGGCGTACAAGGCGCTGCCGCGATGGCCAACCGGCTGGGGGTGGAAGAATCTCGATCTGCAATACACGGCGCGCGGCAGCCCCATGCTCGAGCTCGTGCCCCCGCAAGGACGGGATGCGGAGGCTGTGGCGCGCCGCCGGGAGCGGCGGGGCGAAGGGGGCGGGGGCGAGGACCTCGATCCTGCACGCGTCGGGCTCATGCTGAGTCTGTCGCATGACGCGGACATGATCGTTGCCGCGGTCGTCGCGCAGCGGGAGGGCGATTAGCTGCGCGCCTCTGTGCTGCCTGCCATTGCGTGCCACGGTCTCGTCCGCGATCGTCGCGGGGTCACGGAGTGACTGCAGCACGTCGCCGCGGCCCATCGCAGGTGTGCATCAGAGGTGCCGCTCGCAATGGTCGCGTCAACACGACACACTGTTGATAGAAGGACGCCTGCCCTTCCGGCCACTCCGCGTCGGCACACGCTCCACCAGCCCCCAATCACTCTTATCATTCTGCATATCTGTACATCATGGTGCACCGGCGGGACCGTGTGAACAACACTATTGACTACTTGCTTCCGACGATTCTTCAGGCTTACGAGCTGGTGGCGTTGTTGAAGGCGAGAAGGTTAACAGTGCCCGAGGGGAGGTCGCTGAGTTTGCCGGGGGTGGCGAGTGCAATGAGAGCCTTCTTGAGGCGCTTGGGCGTGACCTTGGACCCGAGATTGGAGGAGCGCGTAAGCTCGATCACGTCTTCGTTCTCGGGCTCGGGAAGGAACGTCTGCGCCCACTCGGGGAGAAGCTTGTACGCTTCGCCGTAGATGGACTCGGGCGCCTCGACGAGCTCCTCAGGCTCCTCGGGTCCGGCGAGCATTGTGAACGTGTCCGAACCCTCAATCGAGAGAAGATACGCGAGCATACCACAGATGTGGGGCGAGGCCATCGACGTGCCCGAGATGGTGTTGACAGCGTCAGGGCCGCCAGTCCAGGTCGAGAGAATGTTGAGGCCGGGCGCGAAGATGTCGACACACTTGCCGTGGTTGGAGAAGTAGGCGCGCTGGTCGGTGATGGTCGACGCACCAACGGTGACGGCGCCCTCAGAGGCAGCGGGTGAGAAGTCACACGCGTCCTTGTTGTCGTTGCCGGCTGCGACGGCAAAGTGGAGGCCAGACTCAACGGCAGCGTCGACAGCCTCGTCAAGCGAACGCGCCTTGCCACCACCCAGCGACATGTTGGCGACCGAGCCCTTGAACTTGGTCTTGCCGGTGAGGGCGAGCTCACGCGCAGCAGCGGCGGCGTTCTTGGCCGCGTCTTCCGCAGCCCAGACAACACCGGAGACAACGTCGGCCATGGTGCCAGAACCATTCGAGCCGAGGACCTTGACGGCTACGATCTCGGCTTTCTTGGCTACACCGTACTTGCCCGAGGCGACGGTGCCGGCGCAGTGAGTGCCGTGGCCGTTGCCGTCAATGTCCTCGTCATTGCGAGGAATTGTCTTGCCCCAACGGGCACGGCCCTCAAACTCAACGTGTTTGATGTTGACACCAGTGTCGATAACGTACGCAGTAACGCCGTCACCGCCGTGCTTGTCAAACTCGTACTTGTTGAAGGTGCCGAACGTCAAGCGGTTGCGGTGCGAGATACGGGCGAGACCCCAAGGAGCACCCTTCTGGGTGTCAATGTCCGAGCCAAGGAAAGGCTCGTCGACACCATAGATGTCGTCAGTGGTGTGGACAATCTGGTCCATCTCCACGTAAGCAACCTCGGGCGACCGGCGGATTTCGTTGAGGGCATCATCGGAGAACTTGCCAGCTAGGGGGTGTGAGCGGTCGATTATTGTGATAGGGGTTGCGCAATGAGATCGTTTGGAACTTACCATAGCCAACGAAGCCGCCCATCTTCTGGGGAGCCCAGACCTGGGTCACGCCGTCATCGCCGCCAACAAGAGGCTGGGTGGCGTCAGCATCGGCAATCATCGACCAGGCCAGCAGCCGTCCGGTCAACGGCGGCAAGTGTTCCCTAAAACCGTTTGCCACCCGTGCATATCAGTCTTGTCGAAGAGCATGGGGGCGGGGAGGGTGACAAGGTGGGTTGCCAACCCGCGGGTAACACCTCGGGATAGGACACGGGGTCTTATCGAGACAGACAAGCTATACCGGATGTGGCCGACAGACGACGCGCGTACTCACATGAGCGGACTGAAGCGACTGGACGGCGTTGAGGTGAAGAGCGACCTTGTCAGGGGTAACGTCCTTCTTAAAGACGATGATGTACGAGTTGTCAATCGTCTTGCCCTCGACGCTGAGAGGAGCAAGACCGGCCTGGTGATGGATAGGAGTGGCAAGGATGGCCGGAAGGAGGCTGAAGAGGATGGCGAACGAGAGACGCATGATGGCGGTCTAAGATGGTCTAGAGGATGCCGGACTATGCAGAGATGAAGTGGTAGAGGTAGTGCGTGCTGGGTACTGAATGCCTCTCGCTTGGACGAGTGCGAGGCAAGATGAGATGGAAGAGAGAAGGAGGTGTGATGGCATGCACGCCTCAAGTAGTCGCTGGGCAAAGGGGGGGGGGGGGGGGGATGGGGGGTGGCCAACGACTGAGTGGGAGGGATGGCTGGGTACGACCTTGGGTGACTTGTCATTGTGTGGGGCCATCTGCCCTGTCATTGGAGGCTGATAGGGGGGATTCGCCCGGTCATGGCGATGAGGCGGCGAGGCGCGCAGCCACTTTGGGCCATGGCACGCGTGACTTGTTGCCCGTCCCGAGCATCCGGCCGGCAAGTCGGGGTCTTGAGCACTCGAGCGAGCGAGCAGGCAGAGCCAAGGCGGAATGGGCAAGCTCTGCTGTGTTGCCACTGGTCGCCGACCCTTTCATCGGATGACGACCCCCGATTGCATTCAACAACGTCATCGGACACCCATGCGAACACTCAGCCAGCCTCCGACTTCCTGACGGTGGAGGTCCTCCTCTTCCAAGCTTCGACGATTGAGCTTCTCCCGTGCACACATTAAGCGCATGTAGTCTTGATCCGTGGCGCGAAACCCGTATCCCGCTCCCTCAATACCACTACTCTCTTGCTTTTGGCCGTCACCTCTACGCCGGCTCTCATCAACCACTCATTGCCGCTTGCTCCGGCCATCCAGCTGTCCTCAGGCGTTCCGCACACGGGTGTGGTCGCGTTGTCGAGTGGCAAATGCCGACCTCCACGTGGGTGTACCCTGTTCCACGCAGTGCTGCATGAACTGTCTGTGCCTGGCGTTGCACCAACTCATCTTTCATCTCGCTCACGAAGAACACCTTGAGCCGTACATGCTGTACTGATCGTTCATGGTATACATCGTCCCTCTAATCTCTAATCTCATAATCGCTGTCAGTTGTCAGGTCATGCCGACGAGCTACCAGCTGATCGTCAGTGGTCACATCGTGGGCCAAATGCGCCCTTCCGGCTGGCTTCAGGCTCGTGGACCGCGGGAAGTGCTTCAGTGGAGTTGACTCACCCACAATCCCAAGGAAGGTGACTGTTATCCTTCCATGCCTCTCATCATCTCACTCATCACGTCTCACACTCCTCACTCTCCTTGTGTTGTCCACTTTTCTCAGCACTCGTTGCTCCTCCTCATCCTCGGTATTCTAACTCATCACTGTCATCTCCACCGTCTCTTCGATCCCATCACTATCGCCCTCCCATCCCTTCAAGCAACACCTTCAATTCCACGCTCACCACCGGCCTAATGGCACTCGCCAAGATGCCGCCAGGCGGGTCGTCGCCCGTCCCCAAGCCCTCCGCCGCAAGGCTCATACTCGTCAGGAAGGAGTACGACGCCATCGCCTCCATGTACGCAAAGAAGAGGGGACGCGCTGCCACCTCCGAGAGGAATAGGTTCAAACAGGGCCGTGAGCTCCTCGATGCTGCAGTGGTATGTCGCGGTTGCTGCCTTCCTTGTCACCCATCCCTAGCTGACCATCACTGATGCACCACACACAGCTTGGCCGCCGCGATGACATTCGCGCATTCTGCAAATGGGTGGAGAAGGACGTGAGTTAACGTTAAGACCTTTGCTGAGGGTCAGCTCAGCGAACTGCCCAGTATCTCCATCTCAATGCGCATCGACTACTCCTTCGCCACCCTCGCCATGTTTCATGAGCTGGTCGAGGAGCATGCCAAAGACGTCCAGACGAAAGTAGTAGGGTCTCCGGAAACCCTCCTTCACCGCGAGACCGCAGAGGCTGTGATTCACCGCCTAGGCGTCGCCATTGGCAGCTTGCTCGAACTGTGAGTGTCTCATCCTCGTCCTACTTGTGCTAACAGCAGGGTCAGGGATTGCTCTGATGGTGGGTCTAGACTCGTATGTGGCTGACCGGAGATCTCCCAAGAGAGCTTTCCACGCATCAATGGGTCAGACTCCTTACCAGCCTTCTCAAAGTCTTCGCACTGGGTAAGGTGCCAAGTCAAGATGTCGCAGAATTGGTGAGCGCATATCAGAACATCCGCTGATTTCTGGCAGCAGATCTGGTCTCTTGCCTAGTCTCAAGCAAGGACGAAACCCTACTACGCTCGCTCATCGATGACGAGAGTTTTGGCCCGTGAGTCATAGTGTTGACGCAGCTTACGTCGTCAGATCAACCGTAGGAGAAGTCCTCGCAGCATCATACGGTGAGCGCTAGGCGCGTTGTGTCTGACCTCAGGGGCAAATGTCACCGTCAGCATGCTGCAGCTCGTAAATCAAATGACAATCCTGTACTTGGCTGGCGACGAGCGGCAGGCGTTTCTCCGAACCGTTTTCGCCCGTGGGATATGGAAGGACCACGTGCGTTCGGCTTTGATTGACATGTTCCATGAGAAGAGTAGTCCCAAGGCAGCACCAGACGTGAGTGTGCATCAACATGTGGCCTTACGGGCAGTTCTACCGCACTCTCGTCAACTGCGCCGCCGATGACGAGACTCACATTCGACCCCGCGGATTCCGCCTTGTCGGGCTTATTGTTGACGGGGACGATCTTCTCAAAGATGACAGGAACCAACGTCGCATCAAGGACGATCTTGTTGTTGTCTACGTTGACCTCTCTGACCTCATTTTCAGGCCATTTGATTCGGACGGAGGCGAGATTAGCCTATCTTTCGGTTGGAAGCGTGTTTCCAACTTTGCACGCCGCAGTAATGGCCGTGAGTCGTTCAGTACCGTGCTCCCATTGACGGAAAGGGTTCACATTTGAGACGATCGCGAAGTCGGATGAGCATTGCGGCGTTCCGGTGGAGTTTCTTATCCACGATCAAGATGTGACCGCATTCGAAACCTTTGTGCGTAAATGCCTCAATCAGGTGAGACAGTATCCGGCCTGGGTATTTATTGATGCTGGTAGAAATCTGACGTCGCGGAGAGCAATTACTCCGGTGCAGCTCTTGATCACAACGAGACCTCACCCAACTTCGACAACACCGTACAGATCGCGGATGGTGCAGATGTCGAGGCGGCTCTCCCGTCCGGAGCTGCCTTATCCGATGAGACACCGCGAGTTGTAATTCAGCCGGGCAAGCCGGAACAGTCCACCAGTGTGACCAAGCCGAAACGAAAGAGCTCTTCCGCAGCCCCCCGCCGCTCTTCCCGGGCAGAGCAGAGCCCCACAACTATGATCGCCTCTCAGGGGTCCTCGCCTCTATCAGAGATGAATACGCCAGACGCGGTGATACCGTCCGTGGCTTCCGCCAAGATCCCACCCTCCGACTCCACCAGGAACAAGTCGTGCGAGACGGTTGAGGAGACGCCATACGCCGCGGTTGCCCTGAGAAGCAGCCCAGAAGACTCCCTGGTTAGAGAGAATCAACGAAGAGGCATCTCGGGTGATGACAACGATCTCGTCGTTGCAACGACCGTTCACTCGACGCCTTCTTCTGAAAGACGATCGCCCACCCCTAAAATTCCTTTTCTCCCAGTTGAGGATGACGAAAGGATGGTGGGTGTGTCGTGAGAATGGACCTGACTTCAGCCCCGCGCTGCCACTGAGAGGATCTCTCCGTGCTATGGTACCCTTGCACTGGACCTTACACTGAACCAAGTTTCCTCGACCGATGCCTCTCCTACCGCTTTGACTGAAGACGTCACGGACCAGACAACTCAAGCTGAGAGTATTGCCAGATTCTGTGATCCCGGGTCACAATTGACGCCGAGACCGAGCAAGTGCGAGGCGGACAAACTGTCATGTGTGACTCATAAGGACGCGCTATCGACCAACATGTCGTTCCGAGAGAACCGGTCCAGCATCAGCCCTGACAGGTGTGCCAGTCCAGCAGCTGGCATCAACTTGACCCTTTCAACTCCTCTCTGCGCTCCAACCCCTTTCTCATCGACATTCCCCTCCACGGCCAACCGTAGGTGGAGCCCATTCTCCCCTCTTCCTGCGCCTGCTTTTTGGTCAAGAGCACCAACTCCAACCCTCTTCTCAAGAGCCCCTACTCCCGGCTCACCACACTACCGTCCCAGGACAGATATCGAGTCCCCTACACCCACAACTTCACGCGCCACGCACCGCAATCGCAATCAGAGCGGCACGGTGGCTCTACAGGCGACCACGCAAGAAGAGGCGGTTGATGACGTGTTTGAAGCGTTTTCCTCTGTCGCCCCCGCCAGAGCCGCGCACGGACAACCCTCAAAGGTGATGAGCACAATTTCCCGAGAAAATCCGGCCCCGAAGACCAGGCTTGAGCCTTCTCTCCGGTCTCCGGCTCGTCTGGAGTCTGACGAGCGGCCGCCTAAACGTGCGCGTTTCGACCTTTCTCCTCCAGAAAACACTACTTCAAGGGCTCGCCCAGCCGCCTTCGGCCTCGAAAACCCACCGACAGACTCACTTAACGTGAACAAACTCACGCAAGAACAGGGGAAGTCGAATGAGGTGCCTTTGGTGAGGCTTGTGAAACGCAGCTGCTGACGCCAGCTCTTCGCTCAGGTCTTCGACGTATGGTTCAACACACGGAGCCGGGCTGACCCTAGCCGATGCTGCGGTTGTTCACAGCCAAGGTCCAGGCGCCGAAACGAGCAATAGAGACAGCCCGCCGCCGAGTCCAGCTCAGCGCTGGTGCGACTATCCAGAACTGGGTTGACAAAGGGTGTGTCCTATGCCATATTCCAAGTACAAGCTAATGCCAGCAATCCCAGCTTAGAAGTTCTATCTGCTGCGCACCAGCAACAATCAGCCCAATACGACGAGCACCTTCGCGATGTCTTCAAGAGAGCAACGAGCGAGAATACCAAACGCCACAAACGCGTGCAGTCGATTTGCGCTGAAGCCAAACAGCAGTCGGCCTACCCCCACTCCTTCTGAGTGACGCGTTGCAGCTGCGGTGGAAGGGCACAGGTGCAGTGATGTATGTAGTGAAAGGAGATACGTGGCATATGAGGCGGTAGTCGACGACGTGCCATGTATCGATCACAGCCATGCGCTGGGATGGCAATGCGAGATGTACAAATACAGACAATCATCGGCCCAGCATGGCGAGTGAGGGGAAGGGATTGGTCTTGCCGAGGACGACCATCTGCTTCTCATGCGAGATGTATCCCTTCATGTAACCCTGAGAATTAGCTTAGGAGACGCAATATCTTTCACTCTGCTTACCCGATAGATCATGTTCGCAAGCATGCACTCAACCTCGTCACCGTCCACGTGCGCACCCTGCAGCCTGAGCGCGGCGGTGAATGCGCCAACCGGTACGCGCGAGTTCTTGTCATTTGCCATCCACGCGCGCTTGAAGAGCACACGCACACATCCTTCGCGGGCTCGCTCAATGGCGAGATATGTACCGAGCCCGACGAGGCGGGGCTGAGCCCACTCGAGTGCGTCGTCATATGCCTGAATATTGCCGGTGCGAATGGCGTCCACGAAGGGTTGGTAGGCCTCCCGTAAGCGCGGATGCCGCGCCATGAGCGTAGCTGAGGGAAGCGAGCCACGCAAGAGGTGCAAGGGAATGAGGTAAGTGAGAATGAGCCTGTTGTTAGGCACACGAAAGCTTCCTCGCAGGTGACGAGTAACGACTTACTCGAGATTGCGCCGCGCATCTATAGGGCAGTGGAGGAGGGCCCACTCAAGCTCCTCGAGGGCCTTCTTGTCTTCTCCCGCAAGGAAAGCCAGCATGCCGAGGTAGTAGTGCCAGGTGACCTGATCTCCGAGGGGCGCAGATGACACCGGCGGCATCTTGGGGTCGGAAGTAACTGCGCGCACGATGTTCTTGCAGAGATTCGGCTTGCCGACCTTGAAGTAACACTTGATGGCGAGCGATGCGAGGTAGTATACACCCTGGCGACGGGAATCACGGCCCTCAAACGTGCGGTCCGTTGCCGCGAGTGTGAAGGCCTTGGACACGGTGCGGGTGCATTCTTCCAAGGACGGTGTGCGACCTGTGGTCTCAAAGGTCAGGGAGTCGGCCTGTTCAGCGAGAGAACGGAGATCGCGCAGGAGAAGATATAGGATGGGCAGGGACCACGAAGGCTGGTCCTGCTGCCACCGGAGGTAGAGGGTGAGGAGGTGATGCTGGTGGGTGTAGCTGGTGTCAACATGGGAATTGTGGTGAGACTCACGCGGCGACATTGTCATGTGCGTAGAAGGCCTTGACGGCAGCGCAGTGGCGTACAGCAATCCCGTCCCATGGCTCAGGCAGCGTGTGCCCAGGATTCGCCAGCCGGCGCTCCTGTCGTCAGCTCACCCTCTGGCGCTGCTCACGTCGATGGGCGCGACGGTGTCGGCGAGTCCGCGCGCGGTACGATTCCGGGTATCCAGAAGCCTGAGGAGTGCGGTAACATCCTCGTTCCGGAGCGGATCGGCCAACGCGTGGATGTATTGAGGGAGCTTCATGGCGGGAGGGAGTTCGTCAACAACACAAGCTGTCACCCAGCTCGTCGAAAGTGAAGGTCGGGCGGTGCCTGAATGATGACGGTTAACTAATGGGAGGCTCTGATAGCTTCCCACGTGTTCCGGATCCGAGATGGGGGTCAAATGTTCTGATCAAGGTTGATGTCAAGTCGTTTGGGTGCTGTTAAGAACTCTCGCTCGACCCATCACACCTCACCACCTCTCCTGTACACACATCCCCCACCGCGGAGACAGACAGCTCCGCCACTCCCTTCCAGCTCACTTACCCCGCCCCCACCACCCGACAGTCCTCTTCCACTATGGCTGTCCGTGAGTACCTCTACCAGCGCGAGCGTTAGCTCGAGCTCGGACGGCTTGACATTTGACGACGGAGCTGACATCAGGCTGCCAGTTCGAGAACTCGACCGACATTGGAGTCTTCTCCAAGCTCACCAACGCGTGCGTCGGTGGCCTTCCTCTCCCTCCTTCGCTTCCTGCCTCTACATCCCTCCACTGACCTCTGACTAAGCTGACCCCAGTTACTGCCTCACTGCTCTGGCGTCTTCATCCAACTTCTACTCGGTCTTCGAGGCCGAGCTTGCGGACGTTGTCCCCATCATCCACACCACGATTGCCGGCACGCGTATCGTCGGCCGCCTGACCGCCGGCAACCGCCACGGCCTCCTCGTACCCTCGACCACCACTGACCAGGAGCTGCAGCACCTGCGCAACTCGCTGCCGCCGAGCGTGGCGATCCAGCGCGTGGAGGAGCGTCTCTCCGCCCTCGGGAATGTGATCGCTTGCAACGACTACGTTGCCCTCGTCCACCCCGACATTGACCGGGAGACGGAGGAGATCATCGCCGACACACTCAAGGTCGAGGTGTTCCGCCAAACTATCGCCAGCAACGTGCTTGTCGGAAGCTACTGTGCGCTGTCCAACCAGGTGAGTAAATATCTGTGGGGCGATGTTCCGGAGCAGGTGGAACGCATCACCAGACGTGGCGTGGCGAGGGCCAGGATGAAGTGCGGTCTGTCCACAAGGCCTCCTCAGGCCCCAGCCCTCGCGCGTCGGCTTGTTTGTGTGGTGTCCTGCTTGGCCACACACCTCTGAATCTGCTTGTAGTACATCTTCTGATCCCAGGGCGGCCTCGTGCACCCCAAGACCTCCCGCTCCGAGCTCGATGAGCTCTCGTCCCTCCTCCAGGTCCCCCTTGTCGCTGGTACCGTGAACCGCGGATCCGAGGTGATTGGTGCCGGCATGGTCGTCAACGACTGGTGCGCCTTTACGGGTCTCGACACGACCGCAACCGAAGTGTCGGTCATCGAGGCAACTTTCCGCCTCCAGGGCCAGACCTCTGCAGCCGTCATCAACGAGATGCGCGACTCGCTCATCGACCAGTACGCATAATCGCGTGCGTGACGACCGTGATGAGGAGATTTGTGCTTCGCCTTGAGGCGAGCTGGTCGGCCGCTATCTGCGGCGTAGGGGATAGACTTGAGCGGCTTGTACTATGCATCTACTGGCTATAGCCCCCGGGCGTACATGAGTGTAGTGTACAAATGACTAGAGTGTCCGTATAGAAATAAAAATCATGTGCGCCTCGCTGTGGCGTGCTGCGTGGAAATGGGAGGAGCACATGCGTCCTGTTGTGGTTGTATGTTGCGTGCGCTTGGCGGAGCGGGAATCAGGGTGTGACGTCGGTGATGGGAACGTGCATGGCACCCATGTCGAGCGTGCTCCACAAGTGCCAGAAAGCGAGAACAACGAGTGCGACGCAGACCAGCTGTCGCGCCGCCTGCGGTATCCCGCGCGCTGCGCGCCCTTTGCGCCCGGGGTAAACAACGCCGGGTGCAAGCAGAACGACTTGGTGTGGTGATGGTGGGGGCAGCTGGCGCTCGGCCTCCAGGTCTTGGTCGCCTGCTTGGGCTTCCGTTAGTGCGGTCCAAGCGGATAGGGGGATGGAAGAACTCACTGAGAACGATGCCAGGCACAACAATGCCGGGTACGGCGACGGTCGAGCTCGCCAATGCGCGCTTTTCGGCAGATGATGGGCCTGGTGTGAGCTGGTACGAATAGCAGGACCCACTTTGTCGTGAGGACATGGTGCTCATCGTGTTGAGGGAGGAGTTGAGGGGAGGGAGGAAGCGGAGAGATGATAGGAAGAGGAGGTCGATGGGGGAGGATAGTAGGAGGTCCGATGGAGGCCTAGACGAAGAGAACAAAAAAGGCAAGAGCGTGAGTGCGGGAGCGTTGCGAAAGAGAAGCGACAAGTCGATGCGGGGTAAGGAGTTGTGACGAGGGCAGACAAGAATGAAGACGCAAAGATGGTGAAGAGTGACAAGTGATAAGCGGACCGGTCGACGAGTCCGGCGTCTGCTGAAGTTGTGGGTGACAAGCGTCTGAAGCAAGTTTTGTCGGCGCGCGCCAGTGAGGAGGACTTGAGAGGGAGGCTGGGATCGGGAGCCGAAGAGGTTGGAGGTACAGGAGGTGGGTGCTCGAGCCGGCTCGATTAGTTCGGCAGCGAGCAAGGTCGTTGCGGGGAGGTGAGGGACAGAGTCGAGGGATGCGGGACAAGGGGTGCAAAGTACCCGATAAGGAGCCTGTGGTGGCGGAGGGGTGTGGACGTGCAATGTCGAGATAAGAGAGAGCGTGATAGAGTGGGTAGAGGAGAGATGATCAAGAAGAGATGTGAGGAGGATGAGAATGAGAAGGAGGAGGAGGAGGGAGTTGAGGAACGTCGAGGCAGTAGTGAGTTGAGGACGCTCGGCACGCCAGAAGGATGCAAGGAAGGAAGGAAGGGGAGGCCGTCATCACAACACCGGGCAACACCGACTGGCCCATGGCCCAGCGCCCCCTTCTCGTGTTTGCCCTGAGCAATTCGAATACCCTCCTGACCTCCTTGAAGCTTACAACTGAGACAATTCTCTCTCCACCTCGACGCTTCTCCTTCTCCTCCTTCTTTCAAGGGCGGGTTCCCCAACAACGTAAACACTCTACTCTTCGCCACGGCTGTTTAAAGAGAAACAGTGACAGGTACCATGCCGAGGGGCAGGTGATTCAGTGACAGAGTGGCAGGCGCGGAAGGCCTCCCTCCCGATCATGCCGACCAGCCGACAGCTGGAGTCCAAACAGTCTTGCCCAGGGGCCGCGGTCGCGTGAAAGGAGGAATGGATGACACTGCGGATCCGTTGCCCGTGGCAAGTGGCCGCCATGCCGCCAGATCCAAGTCACGGACGAATGGACGAGATGGCCATCCCACAGGCGCACCAAGGGAAATCCTTTGCCGCGTTTGGTGCTGCCCCTGTACTGTACGCTCACCTTTGAATTGATCCAGCTGAGCAGCTGAGCCTGTCGTGTGCAGCGCTGGAATGCTCAGAGTATCATTGCAACCTGGAATTGTTAGAGATTTAGTGTCTGTCAATTCTAGTGTTGTCGGATGGGGGGGTTGCGGTGTTCATGGTGTGAGCATGTGAAGGGGAGGGGAGGGGAGGGGAGGGGAGGGATGAGGGCAAAGCAAAAACATGCGCGTCTCATGAGGGTCGTCACGACCCAAGGTCAAGGGGGGGGGCAAAGGCACAACTGCGCGCCATACGCCACTCAGTTCCCCTCGGCTTCCTTTGGCATGCATCGCGGGCTCGACACCTATTCTCCAAGTCAGACGCCATCAGCGCCAACAATTCAGTAATCGTCAGTAATCGTATGGGCTCGCGTGCACCCGTCGGCTCGTCAGACGCGTGAGGGTGCAATCTGCGGGAGCTCGGGTGAGACACTATCAGCTCCTCCGGCTCCTCCGACGATTCCGGCGAACGCCAAAGCATCGCTGACAGCTCGCTTGAACTGAGCGCCGTCGGCTTCTCAACTAGTGTCACAATGTGGGGACTACCTGGACGACATGACAATGGCGACCCTTTCCAGGAACTATGAGAGCGACAATGGGCCATTATCAACATCTGATGCATCGCTTCCGATATTCCAGACTGAGAGGTGAGCTAAGGATGCCAGGTTCTATTAAACAACAGAAAACTATGAGATGAGGTGGTGATTACAGTGTTGAGGGAGGGCAGGTTTATGATCGCCATGAGGTGTCGGGTGGTCTATGCAAGGTCTAGGGGTTGTGGATCTATGCGCGGGCTGACATGGCAGGCTTGAAAATCAGGCCAGCCACGGCGTTGAGAGGATGCTCTCGCGTGCGCAAAGATTCGGCGGGCGAGGTATTTCCCGTCTGGACCTTGAGGCCGGCCATAGCGTGGGCGAGGGCATCCTCGGGCGACTTGCTCTGTCTGTTCGGGACCACTGCAAGGCGCGACTTGCCTGTTACGACTGCGGCAAGCTTGTCGGCATCGAGCTTGTTCGGCGAGCTGGACAGGGCAGACCAGAACGACGACGAGAGCTTGGCGGCAACGTGCTCGGTCGCCACCGTTGCGAGCGCCGAAAGGGCCGATTGCTGGTTGGCTTCGACCTTGTTCTCCGTGAAGAATTTGGGGCGCATGCTGGAGGGCATGCCAACCTTGTCCGCCGCCGCCTCGCGCGACAGGCGGCTCCAGAGCTGCATGCGGTAGTTCTCCATGGAGCGCAAGGAGAAGGGCGTCTCCAGTGACCACTCGGCAAATGACGACGACTCAATGTCGCGGTCGCCGGCGTGGAACGACGTGTGCTTGTCGCCGCGCTCGGTGGCGCCGTTGAGAGCAGGGTTGAGGTTGGGCTGCAGCGGCAGGGTGATCTCAGGTGTGAGCGTTGTGTGGCAAACGGTGTTGTTACCGTTGCCAAACATGTTGTCGTTGCCACCCCAGAAAGCGTTGCCTGTGGCGAACGGCGCCACATCTTTGCGGGTGTTAACCGTCGGCGTTGCTGTAGTGCGGCGAATGACAGTTGGTTGAGGCGCAGGCGCAGGCACGATTGCCGCGACAGGCGCGGGGGTGTCGTCGGAGGTGGCGGGAGTGATGGGCTCCACGGCCGATTGAGGGTGGAGAATAGACATGGTGCTGGCGCGGAGAGCGGCGAGCTCGCGTCGCAGATCCTGGTTCTCAGACCGCGTGGTGCTCAGCTCGGCACGGATGGCGTCGATGACAGAGTCCCGGTCCTTGATGTGCGACTCGAGCGTGCCAATGTAGTCCTTGCGGCGAGTACGGAACGCGCGCGCACTGAGCTTATTCCTAAGCTGGCGCTTTTCCTTAGAGCTGAGCTTCTTGTACTCCTCGGGCGAGGGGCGCCAGCTCTCGTCGTCGTCAATTTCCTCGCCATCATTGCGGACGACCGAGGACATGCCGCCACCTTTCTTGCCACCCTTGCCTCGGCCGGCGCTGAAAATGGAATTGAGCGGCACTAATTGATCAATGCGGCTGTCGATGTCGTCGCCTATCGAGAACGCCGAGGTGGCGCGTTCAGATCGGCTAGGCGCTGGGGAGGCCGTCTCGCCTGGCGCAATTGCGACAAGAGGCTCATCAGCTTCCTGCGACGGCGGGGGCGCAACGTGGACGAGTGGAGGGGCAGGAGTGGGAATGGTAGAAGCCGCTGTTGCAGCTGCCACGCTAGAGGGTGTAAAGGACGCGGTCGTTGGGGTAGACGGCGCCGGGGTGGAGGCGAGAAGTGACGGGTTAAGGGTTCCGTCAGTTGGGACGGAGAGGCCCCACTGCGACTGGTAGTTCATAAAAGAGGCCAACAGCTGATGCAGCGCCTCCTGCTGCTGGGCAGGAATAGCAGGAAGTGTGGTCTGCTCCTGCTGCGGAAGCGGTAGCATTTGCGGTGGCGGTGGCTGAACGGGTGCTTGCGCAATGGCGGCCTCGGTGCCGGGCTCCTGCTTGACTTGAATGTCCTCCATAAAAGCAGGGCCACCCACTGCCTTCTTCTCGTCGAAGAAGTCGAAGGTAAACTCGGACGGGTTGTAGGACGGAGGAGTGTTGACTGCGAAGCTTGGGGGGGAAGGCGTGTGGTTGTCCGACTCGGTCTTGGGCGACTGACTGTCAGAACAATTAGACGCGATCGATACTCACGCTCTCAGCGGCACTCTCCTCGTCGCCAAAGACTAGGAAGTCAAGCATGGAGCTGGCGCTGGGGTTCCCGACTAGGTCGGGGACCGGGTCGTACTCAAGGGCATAATCGGCCGAAGCCATGGGGAAGGTTGTATGAGGTGAGACTGAGTTCACTGCAAAGGTCGGACTGGGCTCGAAAGGCGCGAGGTGTCCGACGGTGGATGACGGCTGTTCAAGGCTGAGTGTAAGCAGTGCTTTAAAGTGCGTGGTCGATGTCGAAGATGTTGAGAAAGGATGAGCTGAACCGGAACTGAGTGGCATGATGCTTTGGGTGCTTTTGAGGAAGGTTCCAGCGCCTCCACCTCCTCGCACACTTCGCCACCACTCTGGCCAAGGAACTGCTTGGTCACCACGCGTGTAACCTGTGGCGTGGTTCGCACAGGTCCTCAAAGTTTCGTCGAGGAAAGAACGGTTGAGTGAAGTGCAGCACAAGGCAGTGGAACAGGTGCAGGCGAGAGGGTGCGACGACGTCGCTCACGGTTGACTTACTTGTTGCTAAAGATGCCGCGGCACGTTCCGGGAGAGTTGCTGGTGCGGGAAGGCAGTGGTACTCGTGCAGGTGGCGGAGGGGAGGAGGAAGAAGAGGAGAAGGATGATATGGCGTTGGTAGTCGTGTTGGTGTAGCTCAGTGTGAAGAGAGGATGTGTTGGCAGCCTGCTGCAAAAGCGTGAGTTGGAGATGAAGAAGATGAAGAAGAAGAGTGAATGTGTGAAGATGAAATGCTGTGGGGGTGCGAGGAGGGATAAGGAGTAGAGTTAAGGGTGAATGGCCATCGGGGAGGGAGGGAGGTGCTGCGAGGGGAGCGAGGGTGAGTTGGGCGTGCTGGGTGGCGTGACGGCGTGGAGGGCAGGAGGCCTGGGAGCTGGGATGATTTGTGTGGCTTGGGTGGGTGACGATGGCCGGCGGCGGTGCGCAGGGATCGAGGCCGAGGGGCCGAGGTGGCAAGTACAGTAGATCGGGGGCGCGAAGAGGGGGGACCGAGAGGATCGGACGTGACTGTGCAAATCTAGGCCAGGGCTGGTCTAATCGATTTGCTCTTGCTACGGTGCTACGCTATACTACGCCAGAACTTTCCAATTACAAACTCCCACCATCCCTCCCCTCTCTCCCCCTCAATCCCCTCAAATTACCTCCATTTGCTCCAAGATTATGACCTTCATCTCCTCCTTACTCCCTACTCTTACTCCAACTCGCAGCCATCTCGCCGACGACGAGCCCTGCGTCTGCGCCACTGATGTATCACTCCCATCATTAGCATCGGCTCAGAGAGACCACGCTACCACACCCCACTCGTGGTGGGTGGGCAGTTGAGTCAACCTTCCACGTCCTCTGGCTCCCAAGCCACTTGAGCTTGATGCATGGAAAATCAATCTCAAGTCGAGACCATGACGTTGGATCTTGCCCGCGCTAGCCACAAGTGGCCGATCATGGCCGAGGTGAGGTGGCCGCGACGACTCGTCAGCGTCCTCTCGGCACCGATCTGTCGGAATCAATTTCTCGGCTGTGCACAAGGCCCAGGCTGAGTCATCCATACAATGCTCGCACCAGCCTAAACCTTCAGGTACCAGGTGTCGCGTGTCGTGACGTCAAGAAGTGTGAATAGCTTCTGTGAGGCTTGTTCTGCATGTTCCAAATCTTCGCATGCTGGCGTGCTAGTTGCGAGGCATAACTATCATTGAGCAAGCTTTTCGAAAAGGACCCTACGAATGGATGAGAATGCTATTTGAGAGAGAGTGGCACATGCAGTGAAACAGATGTTGTGAGAGCTGTGCGTGTGTCTCTGTCTTGTGGATCGAATACGGCAGTCTCGCATTCTAAGGATTACTAGGGGCACTTGTGGAAATCGATCATACAGCCCACAAGTGGCACCATCGTGTCATGGCCTCAAGTGCTTCCATAGCGCCAAAGCTCGCACTTCCCACACGGTGCACCTCACAGATCACATAATATCGCCCGGAGAGCGGGGCGACGCTGCTTCCCCCAATCTGAGCTCCACGCCTCTTCCCACACCTAACGCCAATGCGATGGAATGCATGAAGGGTGATGATGCAAATGTCTAGATGTACACGTCTACTCCTCGCTCATGAGCCGCCTGAACTCCTCGAGCTCCTCCTTGGGCATGCCATAAGTCTCCTTCGGCACGGCCGGGTACCCGCGCGCCTTGACCTCCCTGACATACTCGTCGACGGCCGCGCGCGATGCGCGCCCAATCTCCCCGAACTGGCGGACGAACTTGGCCATCTTGGGCGGCACGTCCTCGCCCCCCGCCTCCGGCCCCACATCCAGGCTGCCGAGCACGTCCGTGATGACGAGCACCTGCCCGCTCGTCCCCGGCCCCGCCCCGATGCCGATGGTCGGGATGTTCACGGCGGACGCGAGCGCCGTCCCGACGTGGTGCGGCACGGCCTCGACGAGCAGCGCGAAGGCGCCGGCTTCCGACATCTCGCGCGCCAGCTTGACCATGTCGAGGGCGGCGGCGGCGGTCCGCCCCTGTGCCCTGTAGCCCGTCACGCCCGCGCGCTGAGGCTGCAGACCGATGTGAGGCATCACTGGCACACCAAACGCCGCGAGGCGCTGCACGAGAGGGATGATCTCGCGCCCGCCCTCGATCTTGATTCCGTCCGCGCCGCCGTCCTTGACCATCCGCACCGCGGCGTTCACGCCAGCTTCCAGAGAGCCTGCCACGTATCCGAACGGCATGTCCGCCAAGAGGAAGGAGCTGCCGGCGCCTCGCGCGACGGCACGCGTGTGGTACACCACATCGTCGAGGGTAAGGGGCACGGTGCTGTCGTACCCAAGACAGACCTGGGCCATCGAGTCGCCGACGAGCACAATATCGACGCCAGCCCGACTGCTCAGCAGTGCAGTGGGAAAGTCGTACGCGGTAAGCATCGTAATCGGGTCACCGGCCTCGTGCTGGGCCTGCAACGACGACACCGTGACCTTGGGCCGCGACGACTTCTGCGCAGACCCTGTCGCACCTGGTGCGACAGACAGTGCGCGCGCACTCGTGTGCAGTCCGCGAGCGGAGGTGTGCAGCTCCCGGCCGTAAGTGTTGAACGGGAAGCCCTGCCCACGGCGCTTGGGTCGTCCAAGGGCAGCGCCCATGTTGCGAAGCTCGGGGTCCATCTCGTCGAGTGGGCGCACCGGCTCGTTCTCCGGATGGTCGGCCTCGAACGCGCGGATCGTCGCAGTGTCCGCATCACGGTAGAAGAAGCGGTCGGCCTCAGCCAGCTCCACTTTGTCGGTGCGCGCGTCACGAAGTTTGGACTTGCGCTCGCGGGCCGCTTCGCGCTTCTCCTTCTGCGCGGCGCGCTTCTTCGCCGCCTCCGTCTTGGGTTCCTTCCGCTTCTTTGGTAGCTCGAAGATTTGCTCCTCGGGGACGTAGTCGGAAGTGGCGGTATAGACTGTCGCCGGAGCGTCGTGCTCCTCGATCTCAACCAGTGCGTCCTTGGCCAGCTCCTTAATGATGCGATCCATGTCCGGGTCGACCGGGAACTCGTTAACCTCTCCCTCCGCCTGCGCCTCGAGCCATGCCTTCTCCTCTTCTTCTGTGGGGATCGCGAGATCTTCCACACCGGGCTGTGTCAGCCGTCGGATTCCGCGCTTGCGCTCGACAGCCCCCTTGAAGGTATGTGGCCACAGGTCGCCCCACCCGCTCTTACGAGCGTCGTAGTAGCTCTGCTTGCCCAAGCTCTTCGCAACCGTGAAGCGCACGAGCTTCTCCTCGGGCATACACGCGTCCATCACCACGAAGCCCGAACGCTTAAGAGGCGGCGCGACGAGACGCGGCCACGAGTACGCCTCCGCCTTGAGGGCATTCTCCGTCTCCGCCGGGTCCTCTACAGGCGGGAGGGCAACATCGTGCGCAATCTCGACAACCTCCATCTCGCCGCTCTCGCTGCCTTCAACTTGTCGGATCTCCGTCCGGCCGGTAGCCTTGGCCAGGGCACGGGCGGCAGCCTCACGGCCCACGGCGCCGAAGCGGCCAATACCCTCTGCAAGGCCGCTCGGTGCCTCAGGCCGCTTGCCCCGCGACACAATGAGGTAAGAGTAGCTCACGTCCTCTTCGCCACGCTTTGCGTGCTTCGTTTTCCGGGTAAAGCGAGGACGCTGGATGCGCTGGCTGAACGCGCACGGCTCGATCATGTGCAAGCGCGGGCACGCGCCGTCGTGCGGACACGGCGCGGTGATGTGAAGAGGGTCCTCCTCGGTCGACTGTGCCAATAGCCACTGGCGAGCCTGCTTCATCGCGGTCCACCCAGCCTCGCCAGCCAAATCAACGAGCACGATGTGCTCAGCGCCGGTGTTCATGAGGTGTTGCAGCAAATCACGGCGTCCGCGGGCGGTAGGGAGGACCGAGAGCGCGAATGTGGCCATCGCAACTTGTGGGGGCGGACCAGAAACGGAGGTAACGTCGCGCTTGAAGCTGATCTCCCCGGTGAGGTTCTGTGCGAGCTCCTGTGCCAGATCAAGACCAAATCGCGTGCGATGAACAAGCGTGGCGTCCTTCAGCGCCTCTTCGCCGAAGACTTCTGATGATGCCCTGGTGATCAGCGGCGTAGCGAGGAGAGACGTACCAAAGGCCAGGGCCGAGCCCGCCGGAAACCTCTAGCAGAGGGCCCTTGATGCCGCCGACGCGCTTCTCAAGCTCCGCGAGGACGTTGTAGGAGGCGCCATACTGGGCGGGAAGAAACGCCGACGCGCGAGCAATGGCGTGCTGGGGTAGATTGCGAGACCCGCCGGGTGCCTTCTCCTTGACAGGCTCAATGAGCTCGAGGTACGCGTAACGGACGTGCTTCTTGTCCTCGGTGGCTAAAGTCAGCTCGATGCGCTTCAGTCAGCTCACCCTCGATGGCATCTTGGATCCCTTGTGTGAGCGCCTCTGGGAGAACGACCATGCCGATCTTCTTCGTGCCCATAAGCGCGGCAGGGGAGCGCCGCTCCTCACGGCGGTCTGCCCACTCCGGCTCTTCTCCTTCGGTCTGAACCTGGCGGCGAACGCCGAAGCCGTTGGAAACGAGTTCGAGTTCCTCCTCAACGTCTCTTGATGAGTGTGAGCGACCGCGGGACCGCATCTGCATGTCACCGAGTAAGACGTCGAAGGAGGGGTCGAGCTCCACCTCCGGCACCGCGTTGGACTTGCGCATTCTCTGTGCGCCGAGCACAGAGGTGGAGGCGGCGAGATGTTGAAGGGGGGAGGTGGAGAAGCATCGGGGTGTGGACAGAGAGCGGCGGGCAATTGCCGAAGCGTGTCCCCTCACAGAAGGCGCTTTGAGAAGGGCGCCCGCGACGGGCGCGCGTCGGAGCATGAGCATGGTGGAATGGATAGAATCACAAGAGGAATGGATGAGATTCCGGCTTTACTGGGTTGGACACCGGTCTGGCAAAATAATGTCACCCCTGAGCCACGTGGTGGGGTGGAGGTGGAGGTTGTAGAGGGTGGCAACTTGTGGACGATAGCCGGTTCCGGAGCTGATACGGACGGACAAAGCCGTTGAGTGCGAGCCGGGAGGCGACAATGACTCGGGGCGAGGCTGACTCGTCCATGTGGTGTGGCTTGGGGAATCACCGGCCTGAGAGGTGGGAGGAGAGGACCTGTACTGAGAGGGCACCTGGGGATCCCCAAAGGGAGGGGGGCGCTCGTACGAATTCATCTCGTACGAGCACCTTGGCCGGGACGACGATGTCCTGCGGAGGAGAGCGATAGTATCACTCCACTCCGCACACGCTCACAACTTCAGGATATCCGGCAGTGAGACATTTGACCGGGATCTCCGATGCGGCGCCGAGCTGCATACACTGGCATAGGGAGTGTGCATGCCAATTCTACAGCAGCACAGACACTCTGCCTACCACTTTCAGCTTCCAAGTTCAGACGCTGGGAGAATATCAGAATTTCTCGACTCAAAGAACCGATCTCATCTCTCATGGGCACCGAAATGACAACGCTCTCCGACGCAGACTTCTCCAGATCGAAGCGTACATGCTAGCTAATAATGATATTATGGGTATGAGAGTTACGAACGGCGGGCAACCTTCTTCCATAGAGGCTTCTTGTTGGCCTTGGCCTCGATGTGACGGCGGACTTCCTCTTCGAGGTCCTCCTCGTTGAGCTCGCCGGTGCCGTACCAGACAATGGTGGCAAACCCGACAAGGAATGTGATGATACAGCCGGCCATTGCGCCGATGGCCTTGGGCGTCCAGCCCATGACAAGCGGGAAGGGACCCCATGGCTGACCCTTGAAGTCGGTGGTGGAGAACTTGCCGACGACATTGCCCTCCGTTGGAACGCCGAGCTTGGCGCAGTGGTCCTTCATCTGCTGAGGAATCTGGAGGGTCTGCTGCATAACATCGGGCGCCTCGACAAAGACCATGGCAAGGCCTGAAGTCAAGTGCCAGTCAATGTGGCAGTGGAAGAACCAGGCACCCGGGTTATCGGCGCGGAAGCGGAGCGAGACCATGCCACCTGGAGGGATGGTGATGGTGTCACGGCGGGCCGGGTTGTCCTGCGACTGAACAAAGGCAGGGTTGGTCTCAGTGTCGTTCGAGGTGACATCGAAAGACTTGTAGACGACCTGGAAGACGTGCCCGTGGAGATGGAAGGGGTGGAAACCAGCGTCCCAGTTGTGGACATTAAGCTGGATGTTCTGCATGTGCTGGAGGGTGACGGCGGCAGTCTGGGCGCCGTAGATGGCGGGTTTATTGGCGTCCTCGCCCATGGTCATGGCAGAGAAAATGGAAGGCACAGTAGGAGAGATGTACGTCGTGTTCTGGAAGCCACCCTCGAGAGTGAAAGAGGCGCGGTTAGTGCCGTCGTCGTACGTGTCGAAGTTGGCGTGGACGGTGTACTCAACGTCGGCAGGAGCCATGACCTCCTTGACCAGCGGCTTGAACCAAGTGTCGTCGATGGGAGGGTCAAACGTGTCGTAAGTCATGATCTCAGCGGCGGCGGCGCTCTCGTTGTAGACAATCTGCACAGTGTTGTTGACGTTGAGGTTGATGGGGTCGTTGGGGAGGTCCTCCGGCTCGGCATCGTACATGTCGGGCGACTGCATGATGTTCAAGGCGAAGTTCTCGGCGGTCTGGTTGTTGGCCTCGACGTACATCGAGAAACGTTGCGCAACCGAGACGGTGATGAGGTCGAGCTGGTACGGCTCGGTCTCAACACCATCCGTCTCGATGACCGACCACTTGTGACCGCCGATGCCGATGTGGAACATGGAAAGCGCCGCCATGTTCACAAAGCGGAGGCGGTACTTCTTGCCTGGCTGGAAGTTGATCTTGGCGTTGTTTTTGAAGTCGGCACTGACACCCTCGCCGTTGGCAATGTTGCCGACGTACTGGCCGTTGTGCACAACGTAGATTACGGCAGACTTGGGAATAGGCTCCGCGCCGGTGGGGTTGGTCCAGGTCAGGAACTCGTTAACCTTCATGTCGTGATGCTGCTTGTGGTACCAGTCGGAGACGATGATGGTGTACTCGTCGTCCCATGTGAGGTTGTCTGTACGGTTCTCCTTCGGGTGAATGATCGACACTGCCGGTCAGGAAAACCTGCGTGCGCATGCCAAACAGTACTCACAAGTGCGGAGGCCGTCAACGTACTGGCCATCAAAGTGACCGTGGACCCAGTAAGTGCCGTGATTGAGCGAAGTGTCGATGTAGTAGTCGAGAGTCTCGCCGTTGGGAATACCGCACTGAGTGACTCCGGTAGCGCCGTCCCAGTAATTTGTGCCGTTGAACATCATGCCGTGAGCGTGGAGAGAAGTGGGAATCTTGTCGTCGCCCATGCCATTGTAGGCGTGGATAAGATGAGTGTCACCCTGCGTAGCCTCGAGAACGGGTGGCCTAGGCGGTCAGACATATCACTCGGCGAATTTCGTATGCGCTTTGTGACTTACGGCCAGGTGCCGTTGACACCGATTACACGGCGCTCAAAGCGTCCATCGGGGTTGGCAGTAGTGTACGAGATATTCCACCAGTGCTCGATGACGGCGGCCTGGGCCACCGACAGGAGCGGCAGAGCTGCGAGGAGGGCGGAAACCATCGGAAAGATGGGAATGTGGAGGTGAGGCTGTTGCGGGAGGACGGCGGGTGACCGGATGCGGACGAAAGCGGACGGCGGCGAGTCACTCGCGGCTGTTTTGTACACGAGTTCTGGTCGCGCGTATGCAGCAAAGCGAGACCAAGCCTGTTGGAAGGGGGCCGGGAGAAGTGGAAGTTGTGTGGAAGAAGAGTGAGATGAGAGAAGACAAGAAGTGGGAAAACGGGCGGTCGAGGGTGGGGAGGTTCTGAAACTTAAAAGCCGCGAGGATGGGAGCGGGGGCAGTGGCCAGATAACAGGGAGGCCAAGCCTTCTGAGACTTTTTTTAGTACAGGGGAAGTGCAGCCAGCAAGCTCTGCCGTCGTTGTGGCTGCTGTCGTGAAGGAGGTGGCGAGGTGGTTGGTCGGAGAGGCAACCCGAATATGATGGTGGAGGGATGGGTTGGATGGTCTGTGTGCTTTTCAATGGGTATCTGATAACTTCGGGCCCGACTCGTTTCGCGTTCTCTTGTCCCCCTGGACCGATCCCCATGCCCCATGCCTTCATTCACGCTCCAATGTCGTTCTGCACAGACTCGTCGAATGAATGAGAGCTCTGCACCGCGCTCTGTACGTCATGCACGTCGTACAAGCAGAGGAGCATTCATAAAGTGTTCTCAGAATAGCCTCATAGCCATCAGCCGTCAACGGCAGGCGTGGCCACGGGGGCTTTTCGCAGGTCGCAGCCAGGCGACATCCGAACTTGATCCCCGGCCGTTAATAAGAGGATAGTGGTGCGCAGAGGACAGAAGAGGTAGAGAACCTATCGAGACCTAGACCGCGGCCGGCGATGAGGTACGACAATGCATGCATGGCATGGAGGGCTCACGCGCTCTTCTTTGTACAGCTCGGGCGAATAGAGCGATCTCAGCAAGATGGCTGATCGGCTCTCGAAGGTATGGTGAGGATATGGTGCTGTTTATAGCCATCAGACGGCCGATAGCGAGCGATGGCATGGTGATTGGTTACTGATCAACATGTTTCGACCGACATGCCATCAATTCCCATACTCAACTGGCCGGCCATGGCCGGGGCCTGTTCATGCCTTGGAGGCAGTTCATGCCGTTAGTCTGGCTTTCTCTGCTCGATCTGCTCGCTTCAAGCGGCCGCACGCACTGAATTTGGTGACGCAAATAGCTGCGCCAAGTGAGCTCCACAAGAAGTTGAGTTTGCTGGCACGTTGTCGGTTGGGTGCTCGGCCCAAAGCTTCCCAACTTCCCGCAGGTCATCAAGTGGCTAGCCTTCATTACTTTGCGACCTCGTGGTCACCTCGCCCTCTGAGAGCCAGTAAAGATCTCGAAGCAAATGGCGCAGATGTGATTTGCTAGGCAAAACATCGGTGGGCTTCGACTGGCGCCCACAGATGGCAACCTCCGATGTCAGTGATGCATGACAAGATCAGTATGGTCATGCGACATGGGGTGCGATCTACAAGTCCGACGATCAGATTAGCGTTTGTGCATTCTTCCGTGTTTCATGAGCATCGATTAGGTAATTTGATGAAGGACTTCAGATGAACTCCGCCGACCGACTCCTCTTGACTCACTGCTGTTCATGTAACTGCTCGTATCCGCCACCACTGCGCCTGCTGCGAAACTCACGGCCTAGCTGCTGCAAGCCCATCAATACATATCGCCTCAGGCATTTGAGTTATCATGCATGCAGAATTCAACTTCCTGTGTTCAGTTGCTGCAGATGAGGCTCCCTCCACTCGAACACGTGATGTCGGCCCGATGTCACTGGCTGGCGCCGGAATGTGGCATCTGCGTTGGCCATTGGAGGGGCATTGCTGGCCTGGCCTTAATTTCAGCCCACCCACGACCGCTTCGCACTCTACGCTCCGTTCTCAAAAGCCATGTTCTCGTCTGTCCGCCAGGGTATGCAGCCGTGCCGTGCGAGCTGATAACAGGTCTCCGCACTGCTTCGCGCCACGGTGGTGAGTTTGACGTGGGCAGCGCTGCCTGGCCTCATCTTCGAGTAACGGGCTCACCTCAGTCCGTGCGCTCTCCACGCAGCCCGCCCGCACCGCGCCCCGCTACGCCGGTGCCGTCGCTGCCGGTGCCGGTGTTGCGGCGTTCGCGCTCTACCAGCTCAACAACACCGTTAAGCTGGAGGGCAAGCCCACCATCGCTGGCGAGTACAAGACCGCGTCGGAGCGCTCGTTCATCATGATCAAGCCTGACGGCGTCTCGCGCCAGCTCGTTGGCAAGATCATCGACAAGTTCGAGAGTGAGTGTGACGTGGGAGTGCAGCGTCGGGGCGAAGGGGAGTGCAACTACTGGATGCTGACCGCAGGCCGCGGCTACAAGCTCGTTGCGCTCAAGACTGTCACTCCCTCGAAGGAGCTCGCGCAGGAGCACTACGCCGACCTCTCGTCGCGCCCCTTCTTCCCCGGACTCGTGTCGTACATCACCTCGGGTGTCCCTGTCGTCGCCATGGTCTGGGAGGGCAAGGACGTCATCAAGCAGGGTGTACGTTTTCCACATAGGCCGAGCTGATGACAGCGCCGCATCGTAGGTGCCACCAACCCGCTTGAGGCCGACCCCGGATCGGTCCGTGGCCAGTACGCCGTCAGCGTCGGCCGTAACCTCATCCACGCGTCGGACTCGTTCGACTCGGCCACCAAGGAGATCGGCCTCTGGTTCAAGGAGAGCGAGCTCTCCAACTACGAGACCGCCGCCTGGGGCTGGATCATGGCCGACAACTAGGCCTAGGACTAGGCCGGAACAATGAATCAAAACTCGGCATGCATCCGCATGCAAAGGGAATGACGCAGGGGCTGCAGGTGTTGGGGGGCGTTGATGTTCTGCTTACTTGCAAGCGACTCACCTCGCTCACGGACTTGGGCGTGCAGACGAGAGTAGAGCTGTCGTTGTCGCCCCGGGCTCGCGGAAGAACATGTCAAGGTGACCCTTCCTCCTTGGACGGCGGTGTTCTTTGCGTAGGAACTGTCGCCTCTGAGTCGCTCCTCGTTGCCAGCCTACTCCAATACCCGGTGAGGGCCACCGGGCAACAATAGGCGACCGCGCGATGTCCTTCGTCAGGTCCCGGCTACAGTAGTTGCGAGTAGTCCTGCTGTTCACATCTGAACGCGACACGGGTTCGCTGCTGAGTGCCTGTGACGCGTCTCCTGCCGTGCATTGGAAGATCACGGCCCGAAACACAGTTTACTGACCGCAGGACACGGCAAATTCGATGCGATAGGCTTTCAAACGAAGGAGGGTGCGCACAGCATGTCTTCAATAACACGCTTGGCTCCGGTGCCGGACGGCCGTCGGTCTCGGGCGCACTCTCACGACGTGGCTCATGGTGCAGGAATTGAGTTGGGTGATTCACGTGACTCTTACTACAGGACGTTCGTGTTAGGCAGCTTGACGCTTTAGACTCGAGTATTTCGGTTTGGCAAGTAACGGCGACCGGCGTCTGCTGTATTGCGATGCAGATGGACGTCCGTTGCGCACAGCTCGTTGAGCCGGACATCAACAAGGTACGGTTGTGGGCGGAAGGGCCTTGGAGAGGAACAACCTTATCTCGGCTATGCGTACACGTCGGCTTGGCAAGTGACGATCAGTGATGCTTCCCGGTTGCAGGGGAGGAATAGCATACGCACGCACGCGGAGCTCGGCTGCGTTGCATCGACTTGCTTGTCGAGCCTGCATCACGGTACAGTCAAGTCGCACATGACGCAGCTCGACTGCTTGAAGGGATCCTTGACCTCGTCACCGGGACGAATACGCCGTAACTCATTGATAGCTGCTAGTTTCTCACTGGCGACCACCCACTGGCGACCACGTTGACGGCAGTCTGTTCACAGCGGATCCCCTCGAAGTGTCTGCCTTATCATGGGCCAGGCAAGGTTGGCAAAGGCCCGCGGTCGGCTCGGCAGGCAGTTGTCTTCTCGAGCACTGCTGATGATTCGTGCGCCGCGTGCGTCGACGACGTCGGCTCGTCTGAAGGAGACAGAGGGGACTTGTCGCCCCCGCGACTGTCCCTTTGTCTCCAACGCTCAGTCCCAACGGAGCCTTCGGCCTCTGTGATAGTATCACTGCAGCCGAAAGCTAGATGTGCGCCGGCCGGGTTGTCCATTGCGACGGCACGAGGCACAGATAACAGAACTGGGTTCATTGCGATGCCGAGCATCGGCAGGAACAAAGGCGCCGCTTTCCGGGTCCGGATACGCATGGCAGAGCGTGAGACGGTCGAAAGAGATGCGCCTTGGTCTGCCTTGCGAACTGCCGTGGCCATCGGTAGGGACCCGTGCCTTGTGCGCGTGTGCTTTTGGGAGGCTATTGAGAGGCTAAGCTTAACAAAGCCAGCGTCGATCCCTGGTGTTATCGTCTTGCATCGTCTCCGGTGGAAGGTGGCAGGCGGCCACCGTCTTCTAGTTAGCTACTCTCCCTTGGCGGTGGGCATGGCTATCTTCACTCACAGTCGAGGGGTGCTCGACAGGAGCGCCCAGAGAGGTCTTACCACGTCGGAAGACTTCACTACGCCCAAGCTTCCAGCGGCTCTTCTCGTCTTGCTGTCGGCGTCGTCCCCCATTGGAGATGTTTGCCTCAAAGCTATCCTCTCCGCAGGAGTACGTTTTCAGGAGTCGATACCTCAACGTGCAAGGTTGGGGGGAGCGACACCGCCTCGACTTGGCGTACTGCTCTCAGAACTCACAATCAATCACATTACTGCCACACAGCTCACCTTGCTGTCTCTGTTGCCTGTAACGCAGCTAAAGGTTTGTGTCGCTTACCATTGTGATCTTTGGACATCACATCCCGCGGAAGTGCTCGCAGGCTTGAGAGCAGCAGCACTGGCGAGCGAGCCGCACTCGACGTCCTCGACAACGGGGGTCGTGTGTTATTCTTCGGAAGCCATCCTAGAGACTAAGCTGTGCAACTGACTGGACTGCCCTCATGTTTTGGGCTGCTGAATGGTGTGGGGGGCGGTCGTATCGACTTTGTGAGCGCTCGTGTCGACTTTGTGAGCGACAGAGAGCCATCGAAAAAGACATATAAACCTCCGCCAGAAGCACGAACAACCCATCAACTCAAGTCCCAACACCTCAACACTCCAGCCCTCACTTAATCAACCGCCAACCAGCCAACCAGCCAACCAACCAAGCCACAATGAAGTTCGCTCTCGCCCTCGCTACTCTTGCCCTCGTCGCCGCCAACCCGGTGCCCTCTTCGCCCATCCAGCAGCGCGACAACGGCCTCACCTACAATGAGGACGGCGTCGCCCAGTTCCCTCACGCCACGCCCGGCGCCTGCAACCCCGCCGACGGCAACTGCTGCCGTGAGATTTCCTTGCTTCTAGACTGACGCTAGCTTCGGGCAAGGCCGTGTGCGCCGCTGACTGGACTTGCTGGCAGGCGGTTGGCGCCGACCACTGCTGCCCCCCCGGCCAGGTCTGCACTGAGGACGTCATGCATCCCATTGCCAACGACGACGTCGACACCCAGCTCAAGCCGTGCGTCAGCGTTACTCGCTGCGTCTGGAAGTTGTGCACGAGCCTCCGTGTTTGCTGGTAGAGAATTGAAGCTATGTGGCGCATGGAGAAGAGCAATGCAGATGCTGAACGTGACGAGATGTAGGGCAGTGGAGCAACTAATGAGCCGTTCTTTCGGTCACCAAAATGTGTCCTCAGCCACCGCTGGAGACAAAACGTTCCCCGCCAGGGAGTTGAACCCTGCTCTTTCGCGGTCATGCCTTGCTTGAGATGCTCGTGCACTGGCAGCTCTCGACTGAGAGGCGAATATACTAACCGATATACTAGCGAGGAGGACGGGTATGTGTCCAGTGTGCGCTTTCCCGCCTTGCCGTGGGCTCACTCAAAGATTGTCGACAAATCTCACAAATATGGACGAGATGTTGTGGCGCCACGTCAATGTATTAATTGATTGAAATTTCAGAATGATCTTGCTGATCATGTGATCGACACCACGTGTTCGACATCCGGAGGCTTACGGACTTGGCCGACCTGCTGAAGGTCAGCTTTGGTTTGTCACAGCCTGGCACTCGACACCCCACAGACTGAATAGCGACCTGCGCGTGCTGAAAGCTCATCTCCATGTGCATGAGGAAAGACTCCCGGAGAATACGAGAAGCAAGTCTGAGGCGTGTATAGCTAGTTCTGCGGGCACATTCTTCTCGCTGATACTCTGATACTCGTATCCGTGTCCATTGCCGCTTTCCCCCCCCCCCCCCCTTCAAAGAAAGTCACCGCTAACAAAGTTGAGATAGACGGATATGACCGAATACCGGGGAAGTGGGCCAACCTATGCGACTGTTATTGTGCGGCCAGGGCGGCGGCCGGCGTGGCCAGGGCTCGGTGGGTGAACAATGGAGCTCAGTGCTTGACCGATCGGGGCGGGGGATGGGGGGTGTGATCTGCGCCCGCTGATACGTAAGATCGTAAGATCCGGCAATGAGGGGGTGAAGGTGCCGGCGTAAGTGGGAGTACGTGCGGGGACATAGCCGGCGGAATGGTATAGGTCCTCTGTAATTGGCTGATTAAGGGGGGTGTGCTTCCCCGCGTTTGTATGAGATGCAGGCAATCCTCACCCCGCATGGGCTTGTGCAGGCGGAATGCCCGCTAATTGCCTTGTAATTGAGAGAGAGAGCCAGGTGAGCGCCACGCTGCCACCCAGGCATCATACAGGTCCTACCCTTGCACCCACCGGCATTCAACCTTGCCCCCTTCCCGGCTAGACCGCGTCCGCTTCACACGATCCTCCCGCACCCCTCACCGTACAACGCTCGACGTATAAGCGGGCACCGAATACCGTCTCGCTTCACTCTCAGCGTCCGGTACAAAACCGCCCACACCTTCATCCACCATCCCCTCATCATCACTCTCCTTGTCGTCGCCGTCTCTTTCATCAGCGACGCTCTCCCATTCATTTTCTAGGTAAGCTCGTCCTCCATCCCTTGCCCAATAGGCCCACAGACATACGCTGACACGCCCTTCGGCCACTTGGTTCCCATCACATTGCCTCAAATCGCCTCGCCCACCACATTCCCCCCTCACTCACGCCCGCCTTCTCTTCTGCCTCTGTAGACTCCAGCACATTCATATAAACATAGCTTAGCATCAATGTCCGGCAACAAGGTCATTGTCGTCGGCGGTGGTCTCTCCGGCCTGTCGGCCGCCCACACCGTCCTCGAGCGTGGTGGCAACGTCGTGAGTACTGCAGGTCGCCCAGCCACCGCGCTGGGCGTGCCTACCAACTGTCCAAGTCACATCTGACCAACCACAGGTTCTCCTTGACAAGAACAGCTTCATGGGCGTGCGTAGTCTGAATCGTGTCTCGCGAAGAGCACAATCCGCGAGAACTGGTACTGATCGTCCGTAGGGCAACTCGACCAAGGCTACCTCCGGTATCAACGGCGCCAACACCCAGGTGAGCACTTCTCGCGCCTTAGCAACGCGTCCCCTTTAGTTTAAATGGCTGACACGTCACAGGCCCAGCAGGTTAGTTCGATACACCAGAAATATTCCCGCGGGTATGCTAACAGCCGTATAGGAGCTTAACATTCCCGACTCTGCCGCCAAGTTGTGAGTAATTTCAGATGATCTTGGACCCCGTGCTGACTTGCGCAGCTTCGCCGACACCAAGAAGTCGGCCCGTGACCTTGCTCGCGACGACCTCATCCACGTCCTTACCTACCGCTCGGGCGACGCCGTTAACTGGCTCGTTGAGCGCTTCGGCCTTGACCTCTCCAAGGTCTCGCGCCTCGGTGGCCACTCTGAGCCCCGTACCCACCGTGGTGGTGCCCAGTTCCCCGGTATGACCATCACCTACGCTCTCATGGAGAAGCTTGAGGAGATCGCTGCCGCCAACCCCAACCGCGCTGTCATCCACAAGAAGACCAAGGTCACCAACCTCATCAAGGACGGCGACCAGGTTGTTGGTGTCGAGTACGAGAAGGGTGGCGTGAAGGGCAAGGAGTACGGTGTTGTCATCCTTGCCACTGGTGGCTACGCTGCCGACTTCACTGAGGACTCGCTCCTCAAGAAGTACCGCCCCGAGTACTACGACCTCCCCACCACCAACGGTGACCACTGCACCGGTGACGGCCACAAGATGGCCATGGCCGTCGGCGCCAAGGGCATTGACCTCGAGAAGGTTCAGGTCCACCCCACTGGTCTTGTTGACCCCAACGACCCCGAGGCCAAGGTCAAGTTCCTTGCTGCCGAGGCTCTTCGTGGTGTCGGTGGTCTCCTCCTCGACAACGAGGGTGACCGCTTCGTCGACGAGCTCCAGCACCGTGACTTTGTCACCAACACTATGTGGAAGCACAACAAGTTCCCCGTCCGCCTCGTCCTTAACGGCAAGGCTTCGAAGGAGATTGAGTGGCACATCAAGCACTACTCTGGCCGTGGTCTTATGAAGCACTACAAGAACGGTGAGGAGCTCGCCAAGGCTATTGGCTGCACTCCTGTCCACCTCAAGAAGACCTTTGACGACCACAACCACTACGAGAAGAACCCCGGCACCGACCCATTCAACAAGAAGTTCTTCGCCAACGGCCCATGGTCGATGGACGACTCGTTCAACGTTGCACTCATGACCCCCGTCCTCCACTACACCATGGGTGGGCTTGAGATCGGTACCGACGCTGCCGTTCACGACTCGAACGCTGCGGCCATCCCGGGTCTCTTCGCCTGTGGTGAGCTCGCCGGCGGTGTCCACGGCGCCAACCGTCTCGGTGGCTCTTCGCTCCTCGGCTGTGTCGTCTTTGGCCGTGTCGCTGGTGGCTCTGCCTCGTCCTACCTCCTCTCTGAGCTCTCCAACGAGACCGCCGCCAACCGTCTCGGCACTGTCGGCGGCCACCTCTTCGAGACCAAGGTCATCGCTGACCCTGCCACCAAGAGCGTGACTCTTAACTTCTCCTTCGGTGGTGCCGGTGGCGCCTCTGTCCAGACTTCTGCTGCTGCGCCCGCCCCCGCCGCCGCCGCCGCTGCTGCCCCTGCCGCTGCTGCCCAGGAGGCTGCCCCCGCTGCTGCGCCCGAGAAGAAGCAGGGCGAGTACACCGCCGAGGAAGTTGCCCAGCACAACAAGCCCAACGACTGCTGGGTCATCATTGGCGAGGACGTTCTCGATGTGACCGAGTTCCTCAACGAGCACCCCGGTGGCGCGAAGGCCATCCTTCTCTACGCCGGTCGTGACGCGACAGAGGAGTTCGAGATGGTGCACCCAGACGGCGTTATTGCGTAGGTGTTCCCCGATTGAGCTCTAGCTAACGACAGGAAGTACGCCCCGGATGCGATCATTGGTCGCCTTAAGAAGTAAAGGAAAACTGAGAGAGCTCAGTGTCATGGATGAGATCGTTGTAGTGACCTATGACAACATTGTGTACGCAGGCAGAAGAGATTCCGCATGAGCATTTCGGAGCGATTGCGCCCCGCTCGCGCTGCCCGCCGGCCACATGTGTGAGCTAGACGGCACTGGCAGAGGCTCAATCATCGGGCGATGCGCTGGCATCATTGCACTATGCGGGATGTGGTGCAAGTGGGGGACTTCTTCTCCCCGATGTCTCCCGCGTGCACGAGCTCGACAAAGAAGCTGTCGGCATTCCATGATCTCTGATCGCTCCTTCTCAGGGCGCAATGCATCGCAACATGCATGCCTGATCGTCAGCGGACATGAGGCGAGCGCACTCCGGAATGCGGGGAAGGGGACGGGAAACACGCCACCGAAAGCCGGCTCACCGAGCCATCCCCGGCGATAGTCCGGCTTCGACCGCATCAGCGTTCCGCGAGATATACGGCGCGGAGCATGCGGCCGTATCGTGGCAAGTTGCGGCTGAAGGGAAGATCGATGTTGGGTTTCGCACATGTGCCTGCTGGGTGTTCGGATGAGCGGGACACGAGCAATGTCAGCAATGCTCATGTTCTGATGGCAGGGAACGGCGATCACAAATGCGTGATCCTGTATCAGCACAGCGCCCCACTCTCGACGCCGCAGAGCTCGGCTATCCGAGCATATGTGTACATCGCATCAGTCTACTGCTCGATGGCGCTTTCGTGCTTTTCGAGGCGCACCGCGTCGCCCTGGTCGATGCGCTCGTACGCGAACGTGAGGCATATCTCGCGATATCCCCACATGAGGGCGAGCGCGCCGCCGGGGCCGATGACACACGCAAGCAGCGCGAAGAGGAGGAAGCGGCCGCGGACGTCTGGCCCGCTCCCGCCGTCGGCGGTGAGGACGTAGCTCGCGACCGCGAGGGAGATGACGCCGAGCTCGGCGAGGAGGAGGACGTGCATGGCGTGCGCGAGCGACGCGGGCCGCGGCTGCGGCCGGAGCAGCAGGTTGTCCGCGAGCGCGGGGAGGAAGCGGAGGTGCGCGGGGATGGAGGGGAGCGCGCTGATCGCCGTGAGCGCGACGATCGCGAACGCGCGCGAGCCTTCCGTGCGCGCGAACGGCCACAGGGCCGCGATGATGCGCGGGCTCGCGCATGCGAGCGCGAGCACGAAGAGCGGGAAGATCTGCCATACCGCCGTAGAGGTGTATCCCCACCGGCCGAGCATGGGGAGCGAGGGGAGGATGTATCCGAACAAGGCGACGAGGACGCCCCACGCTTGCGGCGGCGTGGGGAGCGCGTACGCCAGCAGCGCTTTGCCGGGTTTCGGCTGTTGCATGGCGCGGGAGTGCGCGATGCGGCCGCCCGCGGCGGTCGAGAGCGAGGCCGCGAGGAAGTACGCCGCGTAGCATACGCCGCCGAGGGCTTGTGCGATCAGCATGAAGAGCGAGGCGGCGCGCGCGGCCGTGCCGGCCGCCGAGAGGCGGTGGACGGGCCGCATGGACTCGTAGACCATCGCAGTGGTCGCGGGCACGAGGAGGGCGCCGAGGACGTCAGCGACGCGACGCCCGGGGCCGTGCACGGCACGGAAGATCGAAGAGACGGCGCATGCGGCCTGGTCCAGCGCCGGCGGGAGGGGCAGGTGCCGCACCCCCGGTTGCGTGAAGCATGCCGGGGTAGAGAGGAGCTCGGTAGCGCTCTCAAAGCCGGGCAGGCGCATGGCTGATATCAGCGCGGAAGTGGTGGGACACTCGCCATAGCCGTGTATCAGGGCTGCGCTGGCCACTGCCAGCGCGCTGTAGAAGACCGTCGAGGACGACGGCATGGTGTGGGAGGCGGTGCGAGACATGACTTGGACTTGGGACTTGAGAATGAAACGGAGGTGGAGGTCAGTTTCAGGCACGGTGGCACGACCGTTAGCCATCTGAATCATGAGACGAGAGCCAGACGCGTTTGAGACCTGATCGGCGTGATCGGCTATCACGTGGATGTGGAGAGCAATGGGGCACGCTACGATGTTTGTACACTGTTGTGTCGAGAGGATACACCTCATGTGATCGGACGCGACAGGTCCAAGATGGGAGGTGACACAGCGCACATCTCCGCCGTTGGCGCCGGCTCATTTGCCCACCGATGTAGCGGCTTGGCGGAATGCTCCGTGAAAGACACGACCAGCGAAGCATAGGACGCTCGATGCGCTATGTGCGCTAGCGAGACAACCGAGAGAGCCGTACGAGGCCGCAATAGATTTCCGTCTATCAGAAGAATGGCAGCTACGACTGTGCGGACACGGCAGCTACCCAACCGACGATACGATCCACAGCGCCCGCAGCTCCTGATGATGCTGGCTGCTCGATCTCAGGCGGCGGCCCTACGGTATCCACGCCGTGTAGCCGTGAGACACGACAAGCTGATGGGAATGGCCGAGCACTTTCTGTCCTGCAGGTTACAGTCTGTTTGATTACTAGCAGTACCACCGACAGACCCGTTCTGCGGCGCATCCAGTGGCGCCATGAGCTTCAATCACTAGCGATGGTTGATTCTTTCCACTCAACCGGGGCACAAAAGCGACCATCACCTCCTCTCCTCGACTAACGCCTGTGCATATCACTAGAGGTCGTGTCCATCTCAGGTCAAGGAGATCACTTGGCCATGAACTTGGACGCAATGCTCATAAGCTGGCCAATGTTTGGGCCGTTCCCTCCCGAGCCGGTGCCGCCGCCGAGCGCCTAAAGTCAGCTTTCAATACAAGTTCGTGCAACTCACGCCCTGCACCTGGTTCTGGATGAGCAGCTTCATGAGAGCCTGCCCAGCAGCACTCATCACGTCCTGGTGTCAGTGGTCGCGAAATGCGGGGGAAGTGGAGGTGGAGGCGGGGACAGGCACGTGACGTCAAGTGGGCAATCAAGGCCAGACCCGTGCAATGTGAGGCACGGCTGACCAGCAACACGGAAGAAGGTCCGTAATTGTTGTTCTCATGCGAGCTCCGCGGCAGTCGGCTCTGGCGAGGTGAACGGGGATCGGCCGGACTAGGTGCTGCATGCCGGTGGGATGTACTCACTGCTTCAGACCCGCCGTCGGCCGCACCGCCGGACTTCTGGAAGAGCTATCGTGAGCGCTGCGCCATCTCTCGCCCACCTTGACAGCCTCAGACATGGCCATGCCGAGGAGCTTGGAGATGAGGCTCTGGTGACCCGGCCCCTCCTGCGCCTGGCGGGTGCCAGCGCCGGCAAAGTCCTTGAACGCCTGGATTGCGGCGGCGGCGCCCATGCCCTCGGTGGAGAGCTGGTGAGCCTGGGTCGGGTTGGCGTGACCGTTGTTGTAAGCTTGCTGGTGTGCCTGGGCGAGAGCGCTCTCGTCGACGGCAGCGTCGGGCCTCTGCACCGTCTGGATCGAGCTGAGGACGTTGGTCATGGGCTTCTCGAGGTCGTGAGGGTTGCCGTGCTGCATGTTGGCTCCGGCGAGGAGCGCCTTGAGGTCGACTGGGGTTAGCGAGGCCAGGGAAGGTTGCTCACAGCCGCCGCCGCTCTGGCCCATGAGCTGGGACGCAAGGTCCATCAGGCCCCCGCCGAGCCCACCCTGCTGCTGCTGCTGCTGAGCCGACTGGTTCTGGCCCTGCTGGGCTTCTGTTCGTCAGTCAGTCGGGCTGACGGAGAACACACGGTTGTAGTTGAGGATGCTGTCCATGTTGTTGTAGACTGTGATGTGGAGGTATGCAATGTGAGAGTGTCAAGTGTGAAGTGTCGAGTGTTGATATATGTGCGGGAAGGTCGAGCCAAGACGAGACATGTCGATCACTCGGCCACTCGGACACGATGGGAATGGGGTGGGCCGTGTGCCGTGGGCCGTGGGCCGTGGGCGGTGGGCGCGGTGGGAGACGGGCCGGGACAGGGTGGTGCGGGAAAGCTCTGCCCAGCTGTGACGGCTGCCGCAGTCAGGCCTCGATGGACGGCCCATGTCGCGTGGCATGCCGCTTCCCTCGGTTCGGGCTCACCCCACCCCACCCATGGTCACCCAACGGCCTGGCCAGATCATCAACTGCGGTCACTCTGCTTCTGTGCTGCGCAAGGGGCCAGCGGGTCAGCGGGCCAGCTTGGTGGTGAGCGCTCCGACTATCAAATCAAGGCCGTTTCGATCCGCACCAACCGTGCACCCCAGGTCCGCCGATATCTCCGCATACCGAGGCTCCAAGGCTGCAGGCCTCGCGTACTCGCGTCCGTCGCGTCGAGGTCATGTGATGGACATGACGGGGAGAGTGGAGAGATGAGCTCATACAAAAAAAACTGTGTGGTTATGCAGAATGCACACAGCGTTGGGAGCGGGGGCGCAAGGTATGTGGGGTATTAAGTGTGCGGCAAGATCGCAATGTCCGCAGCCATCTCCTCATCGATTGGACGAGATGCTACAGTATCTCATGCCCGTCTGCGGAGAGGTCTCGTGCGAGATTGGGAATGCATAGGCTCAATGAGATCATGGAGAGCGATGACGGCGTGTGGGTAGAATGCATTGAGACGACGGCCGCGGTTGAGCGTGTGTCGCCGCGATGACCGGGGCGGGAGGGGAGTCATGTGAGGCAAGGTCTCTAGAGTTGGGCACTACGCGAGCTACGAGTGAGTGGCTTGAGGGAAGGAGGAAGGATAGTAAGGGAAAGCAAAAGGGATTTGAGGGTAGATTTGGGCCTCCACCGTGCAGAAAAGATCAATCAATTTAAGATCACAAACCGATCTTCGCGTGTCACGTGATTTATGGCCACGTGTGTGTACCGTACGGTGGAAGATTGGATTGATTAGACGCGACTGCTGTTTGCACCCCCCCTTTGGCCACTCGTGGCTCAGGCACAAGCCTAAAGGGTGTGCTGGGGTGGGAGGCTGGCTGAATGGATTCCCCCTCCCCCCCCGCCCGTCTCTCAGTAGCCCATCCACCTGCTGGTTCTTCGACCTCTCCTCTCATTCACCCAATTCTCTCGCTCCTCTCATTCTCGACAGTAGACAGTCTTACACACTTCTTCATCATCTCCATCAACTGCAGTGACTCGCAACTGCTCAATTGCTCAAGAAACCATCGACAAAGGCTGGTGGAAGAGGTGCGAAGTCAACGCCTCGTCAGGGACAACATCCTAGAAGAGCCAACACACCACACAACACGCACAGGCGCACAGGTCGCTCTCGCTCGCCCAGCCGGCCAGCCAGTGTCCTGTGGTCACGTCCATCTTCGTACATTACTCTCCTCTCCACTTCTCCCACCTCCTCCCCCTCCTCTCTCTCTCTCATCTCCTCGTCCTCTCTCATCTCCTCAAGCGACTACCTCAACAAAGCATCACCAACCCCCACCACGACACGGCGCCTTCAAGGCTCCATCCGCTGCCCTCTCTCCCCTCTCGACAAACTAGCAGCGGCCTCGTGGTCGCCAACCCCGAGTCGCCATGGCCAGTGGAATCCCAGTGAGTTGTCTCCCCCTCCTCTCCCCGTCCTCACTTTCCTCCCCCTCTCTTCATCCACGCCGGCCACATCCACATCCACACGAGTGCCATACGCACTGTTTGCCTGCAGCCTGCCTCCAACTTGATCATCCTCTCCTTGCGGACCGCTCATCGGCCTACGTCGACTATCACATGATTGTGAGGAAGGCGGGTTCGACGCGCGACCACCACATGGCCAATGCACCCTCTTCACATTAGCTCCACCCAAACGCGACCCTACACGGACCGCCGCTGACATGACAGACCCGCCGAACTGCCCGTCGCATTGACGAGAACGCTCCCCCTGCTGCGGGTACCATCGCGACTCGTACCCGCACTACGGGTGTCGGCACCGCCACCAATGCCTCAACGGCCATCCCTCAGATGAAGCGCACAGCGTCTGCGCTCAACGCGACCACAACCCGCTCAGCCGCTGTTGAAAGCAAGCCTGCCGTCACTGGCGCCTCGACCACACAGGCGGGCAAGCCTGCGACCCGCCGTCGCCCCGCGCTCGGCGAGATTGGCACTGCACCTAACGCTGCCAAGGGTGAGAAGGGCAAGGCTACTGAGCGTCGCCCTTTGGCAACACGCGAGACCGCTCAGCCGGCTGTGCGACGCTCTACTCGTTCCACCGTCCTCGAGCCTGCTCGCGACGAGAAGCCTGCTGGCCCAGTAAAGCGCAAGGTTGGTACCGTTTCCACTTCTAGTACAACAACGCTTCGCCCCCGTCCAGGGTTCTCGCGTCATGGCTCTGCTGTTTCCAACGCCTCGACTTCGACTTCGACCTCGACTGTCCGCCCCAGCCGCCAACTGAAGGCAACCGTCTCCATTACGGAGGAGGGCCCTGCTCCCAAGCGTCCGCGTCCATCCACTCCCGAGGACGTCTTTGTCGACAATTACGATGCAGACAACAAAGAAGTCAAGGTGGTGGCCGAGCCGAGCACCAAGGCCCCGCTCCCCAAGGACTATGGGTGGACCGACCTTGACGCTGAGGACGAGGGTGACCCGAGCATGGCATCCGAGTATGTGGTCGACGCCTTCAAGTACATGATGGACCTCGAGGTGAGTCAACCCCGCCGTGTGCGCTCCGGAGGCAAATTTGTTAACATCTCTCAGAAGACGACGATGCCCGACCCACAGTACATGGACAACCAAGACGAACTGCAGTGGAAGATGCGCCTGATACTAAACGACTGGATTGTGGAGGTGCACTCCAAGTTCCGTCTCCTCCCCGAAACACTCCTAATCGCCATCAACCTTACCGACCGCTTCCTTTCCGCACGCACCGTGTCATTAGAGAAGTTCCAGCTCGTGGGGTTAACTGCCCTTTTTGTGGCGGCCAAGTACGAGGAGGTCATCTGCCCATCAGTCACCCATTTCCTCCACATGGCCGATGGGGGTTATGAGGTGCAGGAGATACTGCGTGCTGAGCGCTACCTCCTCCAGGCCCTCGACTTTGATCTTGCGTACCCAAACCCCCTCCACTTCCTTCGCCGCGTCTCCAAGGCGGACGGATACGATGTCCACGCGCGAACTGTCGCCAAGTTCTTTATCGAGGTCAGCTGCGTTGAGCACCGCCTCCTCCCCTACCCTCCATCCATGCTCGCCGCTGCGGCCATGTGGCTCGCGCGTCTTTGTTTGGACCGCGGGCCCTGGCACGCCAACATGGTCCACTACTCTACGTACGCACAGCACGAGCTGCTAGAATGCGCGCAAGTCATGCTCGACTTTGTTGTCGACCCCGAGCTCGACTTGTCGACGGCCTTCTTTAAGAAGTACGCCGCCAAGGTGAGTCCTCGTTCATCTGTGTATCCCGACTGACATTAGAAACACCTCAAGGCTTCAGTCTTCGTGCGTGAATGGGCCCAGCAACGCTGGCCCGCATCGGCTCGGGGGCGCTCGCCGCACCAAGGTCGCGAGCTTGCCTTTGAGTTTCGAGGAGTGCAACAGGCCCCTCCACCACCTATGAACCGCTCGCCAGGCCGCTAAGCGCCACTAGCCCATCGACGTGTAACGCTCCACCGCTTCCATACCCCCTCCCCACCCCCACGCCCCCACGATCAGCAACCCCCGCATCATTCCACACCATCGACCAGTAATATGTCCCGTGCCGCAATGTAGCGGTCCCGCCGCGTTGACATATGTTTCCAACTTTGCATTGCATGGCACTTGTGCCTGTTTTGTATCGTCCTGCACGACCTGTGTTTTAGTCTCAGTAGCGGGTCGATGCACCATGTGCCCCTGTATAGGTGTGGGAGGGGGGTTGTAGTTTTGCCCGGAGCTCGGAGGGGGTCGAGGTTTATATAATGCCATGTGGATGATACCATGGATGGGCCGACAAGCTCGCAGCTTGTAGCGCTGTAGCGAGTCATCCTTGGCTAGGATGTACAGTAGCAATCGGCGAACTGATCGGTCACGGGAAAGGACACGCGCGCACGCGCCGAGCGCGTCGAAATATCGAAATGTCATAACGGCCATGTTGCGAGCAAGGGAAGGTCGTCGTCGCGCCCTTGGCCCTTGTGGCGTTGTCACGCGTGCACGCGTCCACGCGTCCATCACGCACTCCTCGATCTTGCAAGACCCTCTGTGCCGTACACCATGGGCCACTTGTGAAGAGGGCAAGGCAGAAGTACAGAAAGTATCCATCGTCGCATGCGTGCACATGTCTGAGATGAGAGGAATGGCGACGCATCTGTAGGTCTGTAGACGGGCGACAGAGTGACATCAGCAATTGCATCAGCATCGGCGGCCACAGTGTTATGTGTGCATCAGTAGTGTGTGCATTGTGTGTCTGCCATTAACCATTCGCCGTTGCCGTTGATCGCCTGATCGCTGATCGTCCATCGTGGCTTCGTGATGCAACCGGGCCGGCGCCGGCCGGCGATCCGGACGTCAGTGGCGTCCACACCAACCACATGGTTCCCACATGGTCCCTGCAGCATGCGGAAGATGGGCGCTTGCTCCGTCGCCGTCACAGCACATAGCATGCAGATACAGTATGCAGGATGAGGAGGCACGGGCGCCACGAGTGAATTGGAGGCGTAAGGCGCAGGATGGTTATTGGACATGCATATTGTCCTGAAGCGATGTTTTTACTCTCCCGGGATCCCGGGAGGCACGGGGTGGCCCTGTTCCGATGGAGTATGGAGTGGAGTGGTGTACAGCTCGACAGCAGAAAAGAGGCGGAGAGCAAGCAAGCGAGTGCGCCGCCTCGTTGATGGACTGGAGGAAGGAAGAAGAAGAGCACAGGCATCCCGGAAGATGCGGAGCGAATGGTGCAAGATCGACGTGTGACGCAAGGGGAGGAGGGGAGGGGGTGCCGAGGTTACATTCGCACAAACATCAGCTTGATGGCTGCATGGCATGCATGGCTGCATGGCTGCATGGCTGCATGGCTGCATGGCATGCATGGCTCGAGGATCGAGGACCAATCCGTAATGGACATTGTTTGTTTGGAAGCGAGCTGATCAGCCGCTCAGCTGCTCAACCAGACAGCGTTGATCGCCATGGTGGCCGACATCCGACGGGCACCGTACCACACTCACCCATACCAGAAGGCTGGCGGGAATAGAGTTGACGTCGTGCGTCAGATGAACATGCAACCAGTGCAGCTGGCGCCGGTGCCAGCGGAGGACACGCATACGCAGACCGCATTGTTATGCTTGCTGTTCCCGAGCTGACGTGCTGAAACTGTTGCGATGCGACCGCCGGTGGTGTCGTCATCCAGCCGGAGTGGGGTGGCGCATCAATTGAGCTAGCAAAAGCATGTTTGCATGTTTGGGCATGTGTGCGATCGGCCGCTCACGACGCCACACCCAACCCAAAGTCTGGAGCATGTCCGGCCGGGCTGTACTGTGGAATTGTTCTAGGCTATTGTAGTTTGATTAATTGCCCCGCCGAGTTGGCCCGTCGTACCAGCCCATGCCTGGGACAACTGAGACATGAGAGACAAATTGTGGTATGGCGCGGAACGGGCGACGCGTGAGAGGCACCCGCGCCCACTGGTGGGGTTAAAGAGCCGGGAGGGGGGGGGGGCGCGACGCGCGACGCGAACCAGACGCGTTGATGACGAGATGGGTGAGATGCCGGAACTGTTGTGCCCCCGTTTCAGGTGCCGGCGACGGCCGAGTGGAGTGCCGGAACGCCGGGAGGGGATGGAGGGGACGATGGAGAAGACGGCGACGGTGAGGGGAAGGATGCATGAGGTGGACGGAGAGACAAGACGACATGAGGCAAAGGCGAGGCACGAGGCGGGGACCATGGACCCTGCGGAATAAGGGCAAGCATGAAACATCGAGCGCTGCGCGAAGGGCGGGAGGGCTGCCCTTGGCCTGTGGCCTGTGGCCGACATTGCAGCATGCCTGCAAGACTGGATGGGAACAGTTCCGAGTGCGAGGGGAGAGGAACAGGGGCGGATGTGTAGTGTTGCATGGTTGCCTGGCACCCGCGGTGAGTCGAGCTGCAGCAACATGTACAGTACAGTACAGTGCAGTGCAGCACAGAGCGCGCCAAGGTGTGCAAGGGGGTGCGCAGAGAGGAGTGGCAGTTCAGACGAGAGTTGTGAGATGGAGGAGGTCAGGGTTCCCCCGCCTGGCTGCCTGTTCGTCTCACCCTGAAATTCCAAGCCACCGCACACGGTAGTTGGGCAGAGGCAAGACACAACATTCTCCTCGTCGTCTCTATGGTCACTCTCACTCCCGCACCTTCCTTCCTCCCTCCCTCTTGCTCTTTCTCTTTCTCTTTCTCTTCTCATCTCTTCTACTCTACTCTACTCTACTCTACTCTACTCTCTCTCTCTCTCTCTCCCTACTCCTGTCGCTCTCTCGTTCACCGCTACGACTTATAACTCGCAAACAACCCCCCACCTTACCACCCTCTTTTGACGATACGCCCTCCGCCCATCTACCAAAGCCACAGCCAGCGCACGGCCACCGACAGATTCATCTGTCACACACCTTCCATTTAATCGCCTCCTGCCTATCGTGCATACGCGCCATCTAGCTTCAGCACCATCCACAACGACGCCCCCAACACAGGGCACAGCATGCTGGCCCAGTCCCCCGCCCCAAAGTACGCGCCTCACCCCGGCGAGCTCTCGGGCGAAACCTGGCCCATGTCCATGGCCGACATGACAGAGGAGCTCCTCCGCACTCGCAACCGCAATCGCCACAACTCGCTCATCCACTCAAGTGCGTACGACAACCGTGCAGAGGCCGCAGCAGGTGCCGCAGCCCTTGTCGGCGCGACACACACGGGTCCTTCCCCCTACGCAGCTCCAGCCGCCCCAGCCGCGCCATCGCCGTTATCCGGGTCTGCCCAGCCGCTCGAGCGCGCGCCTCCCGCGCCAGCAATGGCATCGCCACCCCTTGCCGTCTCCGCGCAGCTGCAGCAGAACGGGTCCGTCGCTGGGCCGCAGCGCCGTTCTCAGCTTCCACCGCTCCGCCTGCCCGTCAGTCCCTTCCTCGCCGACGACTATGTTCTGCCGAGCGTCGTCCTTACGCCCCCACCAGGTAAGTCACCTCATCCGACTCGGCTGATGCCAGACGACCTAGATGCACCCGTTACGCTATACCCGCGAGCTTCCCCCGACGGCGACTACCCTCAGCGCGGCATGTCCACCCCTATACTGAATGGCGCAGCGGTGCCGTCACCCCCCCGCTCAGCCTCCCTCCCAGCCATCTCCAACGAAGCGGTGCAGCAGCGGGGTCCACAGCCGCCGGCATCAGCCCAGGCTGGCCCGGCCTCTGTTATGGGCTTCCAAAAGCCTACACCTCCCTTCGGGCGCAAGCACCGTTCATCCGTTGCCGCTGTCGTCATGCCCAAGAAGGCCGAACAGGTCATAAACGAGATGGAGCGCAAGAGCGGCGCACGTTTCGACGCCGAGTGGAACGAGCTCGTGGAGGAGCTACCGTCCCCGTCCCAGTCCCAGGCGAATGACGCAAGGAACGCACCAGTGAACAACCAGCCCAAGACGGGCGCGCCTCTTCCATTCCCCTCCCGCCCAGCGCCGCCCCCGCCATCGCAACCATTCCCTCCCACTCAGCAGTCGCGATCACCACGGCAGCAACAGCGATCCGTTTCCGCTCCGGGTGAGCCCTTGCGACCGGAGACACCGAAGACTCCCAAGTCGAAAAAGGGCAAGCTGCCCAAGGAGCCGTCTACCCCCACAGAGGCATCGTCGAAGACGCCCAAGGCTCAGCGCCGCCGTTCCCTCTCTCTCTCAGCGCTCTTCTCGCGCAAGAAGAAGCCCAACTTTGACGATCTTCCGCCCATGCCAATGCCCCCGACGCCCAAAACGCCCCAGCGTACAGAAGCTCCCCAGCTTCCAGACATGCCAAAGTCGACCACTTCTGAGAAGCGCAAGACTCTTCTCAAGCGCGCCTCGTTCAAGGACCTGTTTGGCGGTAGCAACAGCGCCGAGCGCAAGGCTCTCCGCAAGACGCAGAGCAAGCCTGAGCTGCACACTGGCAACCGTCTCGTAACCGAGGACGCGCCCCCTGTGCCTGCCCTCCCCTCAACGGCGCCTGGTTTCACGGCTCCACGGGAGAACAAACAAGTGGTGCCTGATGCGCTCGCGGCTCTCACCGCCAACTCAAACACCGCCCCCAGCGAGCCCGCCGTTGAAATGGTGCCGGACCTCTTCGCTGCATTCAACTCCAGCCAGACCAGTTTGCAGCAGCGTGGCGTCAGCGCTCAGCTCAAGGGCATCAGCGCCCCGTCTAACCCGCGCCGCGCTGAGTCGCCGTTTGCCAACTTTGAGCACTCGACAGAGTTCGCTGCGAGTCAGCAGCGTCTACGTCAGGCCAATGGCAGCCAGGTCAGCCTTACTGCCCCTGCGACTGAGGCCAAGCGTGCCCCCTCACCTTTGGCACACTCGCCGCAGAAGCCGGCCGAGAAGGAGGAGGACCCCAAGGCTCACCGGCGTTCGCGCTCCCTCTCAAAGCGTCTGTCCCTTAGCGCCCTCTTCTCGAAGAAGAAGAAGGACACCGACCCGGTCCCCGACATGCCTACCCTGCCTTCATCGTACCAGCGTGCGGTCCCGGCTCAGCAGCCACCCGCTCGTCAGCAGGCTTCATCGCAGCCGGGCAGCATTCCCAAGTCAGCCTCGGCGCAGGAGCTGCCCGCTGTCCGTGCCTTCTCCCCAATGATGAACGGCACCGGCGAGAAAGCTCGCCCTGTCAGCGCTAAGCCGCCTCCTCGTACTCCAACGACAGCTCGCGTTCCCGTGCCTCGCATGGAGAACGGCGCCGAGGCCGTGAGCCCAGAGAAGCAGGTGCCAGCTCCTCCCTCCGAGCAGGAGGGCCCGTCCTCGACTGTTAAGAAGTACCCGGACCCGAACATCTCCAAGCAAGCGCCTATGCCTCCTGCCATCGCCGCTGCTGCCGCCAAGCTTCGTGGAGAGTCTGCTCCTATCATCTCTGCTCCCGCTCACGTCGACGGCCCCAAGACCGACGATAGCGCCACACTCCAAGCTCGCCGCGAGCAGTCTACCATTCCCTCCTCTTCGGCCGAGTACCTCCGCCAGCAGCAGGACGCGATCGCGTCGCACCAGCATGCCCAACAGGCGCTGGTGCAGCAGTTCCGCTCTGCCTCCGAGCCAATCAGCGCCGGCCCTCCCCGCTCGGCGTCGGAGCAGTCCTTCCAGCGCGCCGCCAACCCCTTCGCGGAACAGGCTCCGTCGGCTGAGGTTATTCAGCAGGCTGCGGCGCTCGTGCGCAAGCCTGCGCCAATGCAGGTTGTGCAGAGAGCCGAGGCCGAGTACCGCAAGGACAAGGAGCACGCTGAGAAGATTGAGAAGCTTGACGAGAAGCCGCTTCCAGCCTCTTGGACGACCTTTGACAGCGAGCCGAAACCGCATACCACTCAGCCGCTCAAGATTACCAAGAAGAGCAGCCTCAGCGCTGGCTCCAGGGACAAGGAGACTGCGCCCCTCCGCATCAACAAGGAGCAGCCGATCTCGCCGCCCCTCCCCGCTGCTATGGCTGGTGCTGCTGTCGCCGGCGCTGCAGTTGCTGTCGTCGTCACTCCCACTGACGCCTCCAAGCCTGGGTCTCCTGGCAAGCCATCGTCGCCCCAGTACAAGGAGAACCCTTCGTTCTCGTTCCCGCCCAAGCCCAAGGCTGGTGCGCCGACGCTGTTCCAGCCTGCGCCCAAGATCCGTCGCGTGTCGGTGCCGCCTCTCCAGCCCGAGTCGCTCAACTCGCCGCACTCAGCCATCCCCGTGCCTATCCAGGAGGCCGGCGGCCCGTTCTCTGACACGCCTGCCCAAGTGCAAAGCACTCTGGCTCCCAGCCCCGCCCTGGTGAATGCTACGCTCGACGCCGAGCCTACCGCCGCACCGATAATCAATATTATCACGGCTACTCCGGCGCACTCGCCCGCTCCGTCGCACGCGGGTGGCGAGTCTTGCGATTCCACAGCCCACCGCGACGTCGTGTCGCCCGTGCCAAGCGAGACCTCGCGCGCTGTCGTTACCACAGCTGTGCGCACGTCCATCGTCCAGACAACCCCTCCAGTCCTCACCTCAGCTGCCAACATGGCAATGTTCAACGACAACGACGAACGACCCCAGCCTGGCTCGCCCTCCGACTCAGAGTTCACTCTTCCGACCCTTGAGTCACACTCGCCCTTCGCGAGCGAGGAGGCGACTCCGACCGACGAGTCATTCAATCAGAGCACCACGCCCACCAAATCGTCCGGCATGCCTGCCGTTCTCGTTGCTGGTGCCTCTGCCTTGGCCGCCGCTGCCACTGCCGCTGTCTCTGCCGTCTCTGGCAAGTCCGAGTCCAAGGAGGCAGAGGTCCCCCCCGTCAAGGAGGCCCAGAAGACTGAGGAGCTCATGGACCCTGTTGAGCCAAAGACACCTGACTCTGTCGTAGAGACCGCATCCGTCGACCACGGCCTTGCATACCTCGACAGCAGCTCGGTTGACACTCACGAGTCTGTTCAGACGCCCGGCGTGCAGCCCAACGCAGGCTTCCTTTCACTGCGCCCTGTGACCGACGAGGATATCTCAGCCGCCAACGAAACTACTTCCGAGGAGGAGGTCGACACTCCCGTCGCCAAGGTTAAAGGAACTCCAGTCGCCGAGACTGAGGACGATGACAGTGCCACGCCCACCGCCATTGTCAGGAAGGTTCCAGTCAGTGAAGGGCCTGAGGCTGGTGCACCGGTCCACGAGGCGCCTGTGATCGAGCAGAACGAGCGCCCCGCCCAGTCAACGCACGCTTCCAAGGAGGAGCACCCTCGCAGCGAGTCGGTGCCGCCCATGCACAGCCCGACCCTCATGCCGGGCGGCCTCTCGATGTCGTCCCTGCCGACTCGTCTCAGCGTCTCTCCTGTGGCGGAGGGAGTGGCCGCGCGCCCCGCGCAGCGCTCATCGATCTTTGCTATGGCCGCATCGGCCGCATCTGCTGTCTCGTCTGCTGTCAGCTCGGCCTTCGCCGACGCGTCCGAGACGCTCGATGAGATCGACGAGAAGATCGAGAAGACTGTAAAGGCTGCACCCGCAATCGCCAACATTGTCCCCACCGCGACTCCCGGTAAGGCGGCTGCTGTCAACGCCACAGTCGTGCAAACCGGCCGCGAGTCGCGGCAGGGATCTGTATTTTCTGCCCGTCGCCGCGGTTCATCATCTGACGACGGCGCTTCGATCTACACCACCCCCATGACTGACATGGACGGTGACTATTTTGACTCGCCGAGCGCGTCGACCACGAGCTTTGAGACGGCCTCGTCCAACGCCACCCTCTCTCCCGAGACCCACACCTCGATGCTCCCCAGCTATTCGAACAGTGCGCGCCCGCCCAGCATCGCCCTGTTCGATGACTTGCCACAGCCACCCTTCGCCCGGCCCGCGGCCGAGCGTCGCGGCTCTATGCCAGCCGCTCTGGTCGCGAGTGCGGCACGCAAGCGCGGCGTCTCCTCGCCGATAATGGGCTCCTCGGAGCTGCCATCGGTGACGATGCCCTCTGCTCTCGGCATCGGCTCGCGCAGCGGGTCGCGCCAGGGCCAGCGCTCCGCAACTATGCCTATCTCTACTTCCGACATTGCGAACTTCACTCCACCGACCCTCCCCGCCGCCTCTGCCGACGGGCACTCGGAAGAGTCGAGCACTTTCCACCTCGACACGGAGACCATCACCGACTCGCCCACCGAGAACTTTGCCGCGCTTCCCGATTCTCCCACCTCTCCGCGTAGCCCGCGCAGCCGCATGCGCGACGCCAGCAGCATGTATGTCGTGCCGTTCAGCCCCGAGATGGAGGAGCTGCAGCACAACGAGGCGCGCACGCAGACCTCGTCGAACTACGTGCCCTCGTCCGGCGTGCGCGAGCACGTGCGCCGCGCCTCTGGCGGCATCCGCAACGCCCTCGCCGCAGCGGGGTTTGGCCGTAGCGACGAAGTGCGCACTGTTGTCTCGGGGCAGGCCCAGCCCATCGTCCCAGAGATGCGCAATAGCGTCGCGGTCGACTACTCCTCGCCTGGAGGAAGCAAGCGCGCGTCCGCCGCCCCCGTCGGGCTCGGCATGTGGACCGCCGACGAGATTGAGGAGCTCGGGCCTTTTCGTCGCATAGCTGAAGCCGACACGTCTATGGAGGAGAGTTGGTCATCGGGCAGCGACGACCACGAGTCTCCGCGCACACCCCGCACACCAGAGCTCGATGCCCTTGTCACCCCCTCCGTCCTCCCCGGCCCCGGCACACCATCGCCCGCCGACAAGGGCCCAAAGCGCACAGGCGCGCCGTTCCGCGCCTTGCACGTCGATATGGCCGCCGAGGCCTAGTTTCCCCCAAGGGATTTAATGTATCTTCCGGATCGCGGCCGGCGCGCCGCTTGTAGTCTTATCCTACGTACTATATACCCCTATAGCAAATGAACGGACACTGAAATCTTGCTGTTGCGATACATGCTTACATACAAAGGGCGGCTCTCTACGCATTCGGACAGTTGCTGGCCCAGTGGCCGGGTTCGTTACACTTGAAGCACGCGTCTGTGATTAGTGTGGCCGTAGATGTCGAAAAACCCACCAGATCCACCACCGCCTCCTCCGCCTCCGCGGCCTCCTCGCGCACTGCGACTCTGTCCACCACGACCTCTCGTACTCGTTGAGCCGCGCGAGCGGGACGCCCGCCCTGAAGCCTCCGTGCAGTCGCGCGCCCAATGTGGACCCCCACAGTTGAAACAGTCTATTGTCAGCTCCTCTCCTCAATGCCAATGTCTACCCACCTCCTGACCCTCCACTGGTTGGCCCGCCTCCTCCGCCTCCTCGTGGCGGCATTCTGCCAGCCGCGTCCTCGCCGTCATCGTCCGCCCATTCGAAAAACCCGCAACGCGCGTTGCGCGTATTAGGGCACCCCCTGTCATCAGCTTGAGACGGTCGTGTGACCTCACCTGTATGCGCGGCCTTCGTTTGGCCCGCTCCCTGTGACGCCCGTGGCAGCTTCGAGGCCGCAGTGGCACCGCGCAGTCCTACTACCGCGCGCTGCGGTGGCGGTAGAGCGCTGGCGTTGGGCTTGAGGTCGAGCTGGTGCAGAAACTGTCGCAGAGCCGCCATCATCTGCCCAAACCTGATTGTCAGAGATGCCTTCACGCGACTCACGAAGAAGTCGCACTGCTCGCCCCTAGGCTTGCTGCAGGCATAAAACTGCCGACCTGCGTTGGCGGTACTTGGTCCAGCGGTGCGCGAAACAGCCGGCAAGTCACAGGAGCAATCGGGAGGATGGTCGTCGTTTGCTTCTTTACGAGGTCGTTTGGCGGCAGGCCCATCGCCGTCCCCCGTCGATCGCGCGCCACGACCCCGGGTAGCCCCACCTCGAGCGCCTCGGGCCCGGGTGCTTCCGCGTCCACGGCCACCACCTGGTGTAGGCCCGCTATCGCTATCATCGTCGTCGTTGTCAGAGTCTTGCCGAGCACGCCGGCCACCTGCTGCTCCACCTCCCCCGTGCCCAGCTCCGCGAGCGGCGGCTCCGCGGGTGCCTGTTCCACGTGCACCGCCACGGGCGCCCCGCCGTCCCCCATGAGCGGCATCACGCAGAGCCCTCTGCGCTTCTCCCTCGCCGTTAAGGTATTCGGCAACAATGTTGACCACTGTATCGAAATCTCGCCTGGCCTTGACGTAAACTTCCTTGTACTCCTCAACGCTGGTTGATAACACTTCTGCTTTGGTCTGCTGGCCCTCGCAGATGAGCACGAGGCGATGCTCAGTCTGCTGTCAGCTTTGTTCTAAATCTGCTCACCTCTCGGCGCAAATGCGGTTTGCTGAGAGAGCGGTCAAACCCGATGGCGTTGTAACCTTCGACGAGACCGACGCCCAGCGTAGATGGGACCAGGAAGTTCTCCTTGCCTTCTTTCTTAGCGATGACATACTCGCGCTCAATGACCTTGGCAATGTGCTCAGCGATTGTGGCGTCCGTGCCGATTCCATTCCTATCCATGAGACCGACGAGATCAGCTTCCGTAAGAAGCTTGGGCTTGCTGGTCGAGCCCTCCAGCAGATTGCAGGAGTCTGGGATGAACTGTTCGTTGGGTTGGAAGTCCGGGAGCTTCTTGCCTGCCCACTTGTCGTAAGGATAGATTTCCAGGTAGTTGCGCTCAAGGATAATGAGACCTGATGTTGAGAAGTATTCCCCCGCGATCACAATCTCCACAGACGTCTCCTTCCCCTTCGCGTCAGACGAGCAGCTTGCAAGGAAGCGACGAGTGACGAACTCGTAGACTCGTCGCTCATCGGCGTCGACGTTGAGCGCAGCCGCTGTAGGATGGATGGGAGGGTGAGCTTTATCATTTTTCCGGCCATTGCGCGGCCGCTCGAAGTCACCATCGAGCAGCCTATCGGTCAGCAATTATCTGGCGGCCGGCATACTTCTGTGCGTACGCCGCCCACGCGGTATCGTGCGTCTGCTTCTGGATCAGTGACATGAAGTCAAACTGCCGGTCGTATTCGTCCGTCTCCGTACGTGGATAGCTGAGGAAGCCCTTCTGGTACAGTTTCTCGGCAAGCTGAAGTCAGCCTGTTGCGGGACATGGCGTAGGTTGGCCAGTTCTCACATCCAGCACTCGTTTGGGCGTCATGCCAAGCAGGCGAGACCCGGATTTCTGTAGCTCCACAGTTGTCAACGGATACGGCTTTCTTATTGTCAGTCAACTGTGACGCGAGTTGACTTACCGCTTGGTTGTAGGCTTCGTCTCCACCTTAATCACTGTCGCCATAGGCCGTTCCACCGTCTCCTTGGCAAGGTCGAGCGCAATGTCGAAGTCAAACAGATGGTTGCGTCGCCAAGCGAACTTGACCTCCACTGGTTCGTCCTCGTCCTCAAACTCGCGCATCGTCGTTACCTCGATGTACCAGAATGCCTCGGGGACAAAGGACTGCACCCGGTTGTACTGGTCGACCACAAAGCCAAGAGTCGGGAACTGACAAGGGCCTTGCGTGAGCACATCTCTTGACATTACAATGTTCCTCCCTCTCTTCCGGGCTGACTCACCGTAGCTGACCACCTTCTTCTCAAAGGACTCGGGGATTCGGGTTTGCAGCGTCATCGTCATCAGGCGAGTGAAGGCGGCACCGATCCTAAGATCGAGAACTTGTCGGACCGCAACAGCGTTGACCATGCGCATATCAAGGTCGTCGGCCTGACGGCATGCGTTATGAATCTGACTGAGAGTTAGATACCACAGCAAACTGATGAGTCTCACGCATCAATAATCGCGCTGAACCTCGCTCGCCTCACTCGCAATCGATTATTGACGGCGCGGCAGACCTCGACAACCTCGTGCCCGATATGTTCCCCCTCGCGATCGCAATCGGTCCAGATCATCAGTATGTCTGCGTTGCGAGCTTCCTTCTGAAGGTTGCGCTCAAGTTGTCTGAGGTCCGACGTTACCCTTGTCTCGACTGGGGCGTCAAACAAGGCGAACGGGTCGCACGATGACCACCGGCGAAAATCATCGCCGAAGTCCTGTGGGTCAGCCGTCGCAAAAGATGAGGGTGTGCAGAACGTCAAGGAAACGATGATCTGATGTGTGGCACCTTCCCCATCACGATCACGCGCCACCCTCGTCAACAGCAGCATCCTGTCACTCAGCACACTCACAGTTTCGGTGAGATGTCCAAGCACACTCGTGACGGTGAACTGACAGTCACGGTTGTCTCCTAAAGGTGGAGGAAGACGGTACGGGAAGTCAAAGTTGCGGCAGTACTTGTGCATTCCAGCTCGGTTGTCGAAGTGACCGCGTGAGAGGATGCGGGCAAGCTCCTTGGCGATGCTGGGCTTCTCCGCAACGCAAAGAACCCGCATCTCCGGCGGAGGTCAAGAAGGGAGCGAGATAGCGACGCAGACGTGATGGGTGGCGTGGAAGGTGAGGTAACGTGTGGACAGGAGTGTGCGGTTGACGCGATCTACGCGACCCTTCAGTGATCTACCTCCACCTCGGTGTTGATGCGATATTTTGCTTCCGCGCCATTGTGGATAGATTGGATGAGCGAGCCAGCAGGATCGTAGTCTTTCAAGCAACTGAGCGCCAACTGCTTGTGCGAACAAGCCAGTTGCTTGATGGTCGGCTACAGGTTTCAACCAAACAGTAGAAACTTTGGGCTCGTATGAATAAATGATACGCAGTGAACCTTGCTGAGAGAAGTTGAGGATATGGGAGCTAGGACACACTGCACTTGCTATGTCTGGCATCTCTTAAGCTCGCCATAACTTTCGTCGTCAAGCTCGTCAACATGTAAACAATCCAATATGTGGGGCATGTTTCCAACAGATAAAGCCCAGTTCCAACACCAGCGGTACTGGCGACTCGGCCCCGCTTTGTGTTACCACGGCGCCGGATGCACCGCGTATAGCCGTATCTCAGCAGAATGCATGGCGCAGACAAGCCGAAGAGCTCGGCTGAGCATTGGTGGGGGACACGGATGGCGTGTTGGCCTTGGAAAATACATTGGGCTCCTTGGAAACTGGCCGTTTCCAAAATGCAGCAATGTTGGACATCCCGCTCAGGCATCATGGGTGGCTGGGTGACCCGGGGTGGCGGGGCCTCGGCGTCATTTCCAACAAGTTGCCGGGATCTCCCTCCACCTTGTTCGCTGGTGGGCAGCGGCAGTGGTTCACGCGCCCGCTCACCTGCTCTTGGTTCCTCATCAGGTCACCCGATATAAGTCACAACAGCTCTTCTTGCATCGCTCGACGATTCTCACACCCCCACACGCATTCGCTGCTTCCCCTCACGCCATTGCTTGCTGCCCGACGCAACTGCTTCAACCGCACCGTCGCTTCTCTCGACCGTCTATCTGCATCTTCGCCTCTACCTGACACCTGTGAGTGAGTCCCGACCGGTCGGTGCATTCGTGGGAGCTGCAAGTTGGCAGCCAGGCCACAGTGGGAGGGGAGGCATGGCTGCGAGCGGAGGTGGGCACTTGTGCGGTCATGAGGTGGAGGGTAGAACACGGGAATGAGGAACGTGGTTGGCCGAGTCGTACAGACGGCACGGACGGCAAAGACCCATATGCCATAATCAACCTCGTTCATCTTCAGCCCATTGCGGCTGCGGGAGACGAGCGGCGAAGAGCTCAGCGGAGTCGGCGGGGCTTGCGAGGTCGGAGTACAAAGTTGCACCAGACACGAGCAATTGCAACTGCGAACAAGCTGCTAACGCGCCACAGGAACGCCCAATCGTCACCGGACGGAAGCAAATTTCCAACTCTGTTTCGGTCTTGCCCCGCCTGAACCCGTGCTGGCCCTTGCGTAGCGCCATCGATTTGATTCGGGATCTCCCCTGCCACTCGATTTTTCTCCCCCCGTTTACAATCCTCTAAATGCCCGCCCTCCGCTCCCTCACCAACCCCCTCCGCACTTCTCTTCTCTCTTCCACATCCACCACTAGCGCACTCCGCCCCTTCGTCAGGATGTCGTCTTCTATCCCCATCCCCAATGACTTCGTGAGTATAACCGCCCCGACCGAGGCTTGGTAGTCCTGGCGGTGGCTCACAAACGTGGCCTGGCCCGGACGTCACCACCGAAGTCTGAGAATCACAGAGACTAACCCTGCGCAGAACAAGATGCTCTACGAGGACATCTCGGTCTACGACCCCGAGGTCAACGAGCTCATCGAGAAGGAGACCTGGCGCCAGTTCTCCGGTCTTGAGCTCATCGCTTCCGAGGTAAGTCTCCCTTTGGATCCTGGCGTTTGCATGCCACGTCGCCGACCACGGCTAACCGCTAGAACCTGACGTCGCTTGCCGTCATGCAGGCCAACGGCTCCATCCTCACCAACAAGTACTCGGAGGGTCTCCCCGGTGCCCGCTACTACGGCGGCAACGAGTACATTGACGTCCTCGAGAATCTCACCCGCGAGCGTGCCCTCAAGGCCTTCAACCTCGACCCCAAGGTCTGGGGTGTCAACGTCCAGCCTTACTCGGGCTCGACCGCCAACTTCGCCGCCTTCACTGCCCTGATCCAGCCCCAGGACCGTATCATGGGTCTCGGTCTCCCCGACGGTGGCCACCTTACCCACGGCTACTACACCGCCAAGAAGAAGATCACTGCTTCGTCGATCTACTTCCAGTCCTTCCCTTACCGTGTCGACCCCAAGACTGGCCTCATCGACTACGAGCAGCTCGAGACCAACGCCAACCTCTTCAAGCCCCGTCTCGTTGTCTGCGGTGGCTCGGCCTACCCCCGTGACTGGGAGTACGAGCGTCTCCGCAAGATCGCCGACACCCAGGGCGCCTACCTGATGTCCGACATGGCCCACATCTCGGGTCTCGTCGCCGCCGCTGAGCAGAACTCGCCCTTTGAGTTCTGCGACGTCGTCACCACCACCACCCACAAGACCCTCCGTGGCCCCCGTGCCGGTCTCATCTTCTTCCGCAAGGACAAGGACGACCTCGAGAACCGCGTCAACGCCGCTGTCTTCCCCGCCTGCCAGGGTGGCCCCCACAACAACACCATTGCCGGTATCTGCGTTGCCCTCAAGCAGGCTGCTGAGCCCGCCTTCAAGGACTACGCCAAGCAGGTCCGTGCCAACGCCGCCGCCATGGCCAACGTGCTCTTCAAGCACGGCTACCGCCTCCAGACCGACGGCACTGCCAACCACCTCATCCTCTGGGACCTCCGCCCCATTGGCCTCACCGGCTCTAAGATCGAGAAGATCTGCGACGCCGTCCACATCACCCTTAACAAGAACGCCGTCGCTGGTGACACCTCGGCTCTTGTCCCCGGTGGTGTCCGTATCGGCTCGTCTGCCCTCACCTCGCGTTCCATGGTTGAGAAGGACGTCGAGCAGGTCGCCGAGTTCCTCCACCGTGTTGTCCAGATCTCCCTTCAGGCCCAGAAGGAGGCCGGCTCCAAGAAGCTGAAGGACTTCGTTGACGCCTTCGAGGGCAACGGCGAGTCTGCCAAGCTCGTCAAGGAGCTCAAGGAGGACGTGAAGAAGTTCTCCACTGGGTTCCCTCTGCCCGGTGTCATCGACAGCTCGTCGATCAAGCAGTTCGACTAAACGAACGTGTAAAATCGTCTGGAGACAGTCCTTGGATGTCGCGAGGCTTGGGTTCAACAGATAGCAATTTGTATTAGAGTATCATTCACCTGATGCAGGGGTAGCATAGCACAAGTTGGTGTGGCTTACGAGCTTACGAGAGCCTGCCAGTGTGAGTTCGAGTGTGCTGTGGAGGGTGCTTCAGCTCTGAGGACTGGGTCTGCAGGTGGACCGAAATTCTCTGTCCCAAGCGTGCACACGCCACGCCAATCAGTTCGCAATGGGCGCAGTGGGCGTGCGTTGATCGCGTTGGCGGAGTCATACGATGCCGACGTGGGCGTGAAAGCATGCCGATGCTCGCCCGCTCTCGGACTGAGCCGAAAGGTGGAGGCGAGCTGTCCTTCCGGAATCCGGTCCGGACACCGGCCCGGCATTCCTAGTCGTCCACCCCCTCATTCAATAATATGGCCCACTTTGCACAACAGTCTCACCCACAACCACCATGTCTTTGCGAACAGCGACGAGACTTTTCGTGTCCCAGCGATCAGTGGCTCGCCTAGCCCCTCGAGCGGCTCGCCTAGCTTCTACGTCCTCCTCCTCATCCTTTTCATCTTCCTCTTCGAGCTCAAGCTCACACCATGCCCATTGGCGATACTGGCGAGCCGCGGCGGTTGCTGGTGCAACGGTGAGCGACCTACTGTCTGCTTCTCAGAAGGGAATTGACCTCAGGCTCTGACACTCTACGCGACTACCAACACCGCGAACGCCGAAGCCCCGGCGCCATCACGAAAGCTCATTCCCTTCGACGAGGTGGCCAAGCACAACAAGCGCGACGACTGCTGGGTCATCATCGCGGGCAACGTATACGATGTTACAGAGTTTATGGCGATCCACCCCGGGGGAGCAGCAGTCATCCTCGCCGCGGCGGGCAAGGACGCAACAAAAGTCTTCGTGCCCTTGCACCCTCCAGATGCGCTCACCATGCTTCCAAGAAGCAAGCACCTCGGGCCAGTCGACCCCGCAACGCTCCCGGAAGTGGAGGACGAGCCGACGGAGGAGGAGGAACGGATTGCGGCTGAGCGGGAGCACCTTCCGTCGGTCGAGAACATGCTCCTCCTGAGCGACTTCGAGGAGTGGGCTGAGCGCGTGCTCGGCGCCACGGGGTGGAACTACTACCGCTCCGCGGCGGACAGCGAAGCGACGTTCGACAACAACGAGGCGGCATTCAAGCGCTACTTCTTCCGCCCGCGCATCTTGCGCGACATCACACAGGGCTCGCTCGAGACTGAGGTGTTGGGCCAGAAGACGGCCATGCCCGTCTTCATCAGCCCGGCCGCGATGGCCAAGCTCGGCCACCCGGTCGGCGAAGTCAACTTGACGCGCGGCGCCGGCGCCGCCGGCATCGTGCAGGGAGTGAGTGACTCCACTGGTGCCGCTGACCGAGATCTCGATTAACGCGTCGTGCTCGCTCGACGAGATCATGGCCGCGCGGCAGGCGGGCCAGAACGTCTGGTTCCAGATCTACCTTAACCGGGACAGGGCGGCGTCCGAGCGCCTCCTGGAAAAGGTGACGGCGCTGGGCGCCGCCGCGGTGATTTTCACCGTCGACGTCGCGTGGCAGAGCAAGCGCACGCGCGACGTGCGCGGCAAAGCCGCCGTCGCGGCGCCCATCGCGACGACGGACGCGGAAGGCGCGCGCGGCACGGCAGGCAAGCAGGGCGCCGGCGTCGCCTCCGCCATCTCGGGATACCAGGACCCGCACCTTGTGTGGAGCGACATCGAGTTTATCCGGAAACACACGAGCCTCCCGATCATCGTCAAGGGAGTGCAGAGCGTCGAGGACGTCGCAGCGTGCGTCGACGCCGGCGTGCAGGGTGTCATTTTGAGCAACCATGGCGGGCGGAGCGCCGACTATGCGCCCGCACCCATTGATTTGCTGTATGAGCTGCGCGCGCTGCGCCCCGACCTATTCGACAAGGTCGACATCATGATGGACGGCGGGGTGCGCAGCGGCGCCGACGTCGTCAAGGCCCTCGCGCTCGGCGCTAAGGCGGTCGGCCTCGGCCGCCCATTCCTCTACGCGAACTCGACGCATGGGCAGGACGGGGTGGAGCGTGTCTGTGAGAGTGAGTACGTGCTCGGTCGGAGCTGACATAGTCTTGCACGAGGAGATCACAAACACCATGCGCAACTGTGGCGTGTCTCGCGTCGAGGACCTCAAGCCTGAGATGGTCGGGCCAGCTGGGCCATGGGTCGGCGCCAACCGTCCTCCATGGCTGTAGGATTAGGTTAGAGCATTCAGAGGGTTAGTCATGCACGTACGGTTCATCTTGCATGCTTTGCAGCGACAGAGTTGTGTCGAGATCAAGCCGGAAACTCGGATATAGCATGAGGTCGGCATAACTGGGGCCGGCCTGGACATTGGGGCGGGCGGGGTATTCCTTGAAAGCCAAGTCCTATTCGCCCGTCAGTTCACCGGGTCAACCAACTTCACTCAGCATGCGATGCCAGTGTGCACGCGCGTTAGTCACAATCGCACAAGAGTACGCCGCGCAAAAGCATTCAAGCCGGGGCGCCGCTGTGCTACACTTGATCGGCCAACTTCCGCTTGCACGCACTCCGGGGCGCCGCGCCGGTTGAATCGATGCATATTGTCTCCATAGCTCCATACACTACTGACACACTCGTTTACACGGGCGAGGGGAGGAGCATGCGGCGGGGGTCCTCGAGGTACTCCTTGACGCGGACAAGGAAGGTGACAGCTTCCCGGCCGTCGAGAAGTCGGTGGTCGTAGGTGAGGGCAACGACCATGATGGGGCGGATGACAATCTGGCCGTTGACAACGACCGGCTTCTCCTTGATCGAGTGCATGCCGAGGACGGCGCACTGGGGGAGGTTGATGATGGGGGTGCCGTACAGCGAGCCGAAGACGCCTCCGTTCGAGATGGTGAACGAACCGCCAGCCATGTCCTCAATGGTGAGCTTGCCATCGCGCGCCTTGCGGCCAAGGTCGGCGATAGCGCGCTCGATGTCGACAAGGCCCATAGACTCGGCGTTGCGCACAACGGGCGTAACGAGACCCTTGGGGGTGGCAACGGCGACCGAAAGGTCGACGTAGTCGCGGTAGACGATGGTGTCGTCCTCGATCGAGGCGTTGGCCTCGGGGATCTCGCGCAGCGCGAGCACCGATGCGCGAGCGAACGCGCTCATGAAGCCGAGCTTGACACCCTCGTTCTTGAGCACGCCGTCCTTGTAGAGCTTGCGGAACTCCATGATGGACGACATGTCAATCTCGTTGAAGGTGGTGAGCGATGCAGCGGCGTTCTGCGATGCCTTGAGGCGGGTCGCGATGGTCTGGCGCATACGCGACATCTTCACGCGGGTCTCCTTGCGCGAGAGAGCATTGGACTCGGCCTGCTGCGCCGACTCCTCCTTCTTCGGCGCAGCGGGCTTGGGAGCGGCGGGCTTTGCCTCCTCCTTGGGCGCAGCGGCCTTGGTCTCCTCCTTCTTAGGCTCGGGCTTCGACTCCTCCTTCTTAGCCTCCTCCTTGGGAGCCTCGGCGGCCGGCGCCGACGAGCCACCCGACGATCCATCGTCCTCTCCAGGCTCAATCTTGGCGATCTCCTGGCCGACCTCGACAGTTGCGTCCTCCTCAACAAGGAGCTCGACGATCTTGCCGCTCTGAGGAGCGTTGACCGAGACGTCAATCTGTGGTGTCAACAAGCGCCCCAGGAAGCGTTTAAAGAGGCACAGAACACGCTTCAAAAAGCGTCGTCTGCACTCGCGCAGCAGCTCACCTTGTCGGTCTCGATCGACGCAAGCTCCTCATCCGCCTTGATGAAGTCGCCAACCTGCTTGTTGAACTGTTTCAAGGTGCCCTCGGTGATCGACTCGGCCTGGGTCGTTAGCTTCCATCGTGCCAGGCGCCATTGCTCGGTCGCGTGGGATGCGTACCATCTGGGGAACCTTCACAGAAACGACCTCTGGGCTTGTCAGCAACTGTCAACAACAACATGGGCACTACGTACCAGATGCGAACGAGGTGGCGTGGAAGGAGCGGGTCATGGGGACTGCGAAGGCGCGCGCCCTGGTTGTCAGCAATGTTGAACAGCTTGGCGGGTATGACTGGGTGACGCTTAAAGCGGAGACGGACATCTGGGGGGGAGAGGACCTGCGGACCGAAGCAAAGCCGCGAGTGGCCGTGCGGGTGACGGTGGGGAGGGCCTTTGAGGCCACGGAGAGTGCGCGGACTTGTGTGCGGAGCATGATGATGGTGAGGGGGTGAGGGGGGGGGATGGAGAAGAGAGGAAAGAGGATGATGAGGGAGATGTAAAACGAGGTGGTGCGTGACGAGTGGATGAGTGGTGACGGGGGTGGTGCGTGGTGCACAGAGTGAGTGAAATGCGGGGGAGGGGCGGCTGGATGGTGGGTGGATTTGCCCGGCCCCGTCGCCCAAAGTCGATTTGCTGCACTGATTATGGCGCCGTGCCTGAATCCACTCCTGCCGTCTTGCACCCGCTCCTCCCCCTCTTCGGTCGACGGAATCAAAAAGCGGCTTGGGCGGCAGTGGCGGTCTGCCGCCTTCGGCGTTGCTCGGCGACCCCCGACACATGGACACAATCGCCCCACCCAATCCCTACCACGGACATCCCGCACCCCGCCCACTGGCTCAAGCCCGCCTCAGCCGTCTCAGCTCTTCGGACTTGTAAACCAGCGGCCTTTGCGCGTGCATATTTGGGGTAACGAAATGTTATCTCTCTCCCCACACTCCTTCACTGATCACTGATCACAGACGCTCTCAGGTGATTCTTTGTAACCAGAACTCCACCCACGCTAGTCTCAATCCGCATCTCTGTCCAATGTAATAATGCACACGACTCTATTCAAACATCCCAGGCATGCCAGACATGAGACTCATGTAAGATCTTACTCATCATTGGATGACACGTGTGGCATACCGTGACTCACCGGGAAGCTCTCAACCCCACTCTCGGCTGTGAGTGTGAGGACGTGAGGATTAGGGGCGACGTCATACACGGCAGAATCCACCATCCCTCCACACCCGCTTCCTCGCGTCTGCGGCCGCGCCCAACAATGCAGTGATGCATGCGGCCCAGCAACCATGAGCGCAACTTCTGTCCCTCTTATACACTGATCAACACCCCCTGGACAACTCTTTGGCTTTCTTGTCTTCAGCCACCAGCTCGTCAAACTTGACACCGCTTCCCCCAAAAATGTCGAGCGCGCTCCCAAAAGTCAGGTCCACCTTGCCGTTGGACAACCTGTCAACCAGGGCCAGGTCGCCCAGTTCCTTTGCTCCACCAGCGTACGTGCATGGGATGGAGACCCATTCCCCAAGGCCTGTGCGGTTAGCGAAATGCTGCGTGTCCAGACGCGATGTTCGATTGTTGCCAACCGGGCGTCGTCTTTCCATATTGCACACTCACGCTGAACGAGCTCCTCGTCAATCCCCTGGCATAGACCCTCGACGTCCGCTGCATGGATGAGCAACTCCGAGCAGTACGCCTCGATACGCTTGATGCTCTCGGCGTTTACAGTCATGTCGGTCAGAGTCTTCCACCCGTTCATGGCGACGATCCAACCGGACTCTCGTTTCCGGCAGCTGCAGATTAGCCTGTGCTTGTATCACCCCGTCGCGCCGTCACGGCAAGCAAATCTTTCGCAGTCTACCGCTGAGTCCGATCAACAGCGGCAGCCACGCGATCGTCCTCTTGTGGGTGCGCGTGAGAAGCAGGTGGCGCCGCACAAGACTCACCTGATGTCCACCACGAGGCGGTCCTTCCCAACAGACGCGCACAACTCCTTCAGAACCTCCTCCTTGAACTTGCCACCGGGGAAAAGTGCAGACGTGACGATAACCTACCGTGTCAGAGGTGCCACAACAAATTCCACTCACCTTCTCCGCGCCTGCATCAAGCCACTCTTGGGCATTGTCAGGTGTGATACCGCCGCCCAGCTGGAGTCCATTCTTCCACGTCCCGACCGCCTCACGCGCCGCTTCGTCATTCCCAGGACCGAGCTTGATTACATGGCCGCCAGTGAGGCCATTGTTCTTGTAGAGTTCGGCGTAGTAGGCTGGCGGTTTGCTGAAATTAGCGCGAGCGGTGGGGAGGTAGTGGCGACGCGAGAAAGGTTACGAGCGCCTTTAGACCAATGCAGCCCATAATCACAAACACCCATAATCATCACCGGGATAACAATGAATAGCCATCAGGTCGGAGTTCCGATGGTGGCGCCCGCGGGTGAACAAAGTACATCCAAATAGCACTGATGCTGCTAACAACTCACGTCGCGACAAAGTTCTCACGAGGCGCGTTCCCTTCGCCGTCGGCAGTCAAATCGAGGGTCCCGCCAACAATCTGCTTGACTACACCACTGTGAAGATCAATGCAAGGGCGGAATTGGGAGTGTCGGCGGGTCATGTTGTCGTTGCAGGATGAATCAAGTCGAAAGTCGGGTCGAACCAGACCAAGACGGTGGAGGTGGCAAGCCACGTGCCAATTCAAGTCACGTGCTTTGTGCATTCAGTGGATTCACTCGATTTCGAGCGCTTCATGTTCATTGTGCCTCCTTCTTCATAACTCAGATGGTAACTGCGATACTGAGCATGCGGCCCTCGCCATCGTCAAATCTAGGATAAAAGGGAGTGCTGTAGGCCATGACACTCTCCAGCCCTCACTCATGTCTCCGGTCAACGACTTCCTCATCGCGTGCGACTTGATCCTCAAGACTGACGCTGCTTGCAGAGTCTGTGATAGACTCGGCTGGCTCGGCCAGACCTACCTACTCGTCAGACTTGTGTTTCTTCTCTAACCCCAGACCTCGCACCACCTGGTGGCCACGCTGGCCATTCACGTGAATGCCTTCAGGCCCGTCCACGGCACGCCTGATGACATCGCCCTCTGGATGGGAAACTGCGTCTCTATCGCCGGCCTCAAGCACTCTTTCGACCTTGAGATCAACAAGCATACCGGAAACTACCTCCCTGATGCGGGGGAGTGTGGGGCTCTCCCCCTGAAAAGAGCTTTGGACCTCTTTGAAGCTGCAAAGCGCCTAATGCCGCAGCTCGAGATCATGTTCCAGCTCGATGCGCTGCAGGCGAACGAGGCGGGATTCGATCTCGTTAAACGTATTCAGATGGTAGGTTGTCGTACCGCGCGTCCTGACGCCAGTTCATCAGGCAGAGCGCTCTAACGGCTGCCCTCTGCTATGGCTGCTGGGCGATGAAGAAGCAGAACGAGCAGGCTCTGGCTGCGGGTGGACCGCTGCGTCACTTCGTGGATCTGCAGTATCATCCTTACTACCTTGATCTGCGTCTTAATGTTTACACGGCTACTCGCAACGCCCTCATTGCCGACATTGCGACGACCCTTGACCGCGCCTGAGGAGAGCTGGCTGTCACCAGCTCCTTTTCGCCTCGCGGAACCCGAAAGCCTCGCACATCTCATGTCGTTTATACGCCTGGCATTATGGATACCATAAAACCCCTCCATCAGTCCGCCCATGACTGTTCATCTGCATGCGCATATTCTCGCACTAATCACGCTTTGTGCGGCACCAGCAGCCACGCGCACAGCCCGTGCACCGGCCCAAGCGCGCCGCTGCAACCACTGTGATGCGAATAACGTCGTGACGGTGCTCTGCATCACTATCACCCATCTCACACTATGGACTGGCGGCCATTCATCGACGAGTGCCTCTCAGCGCTGCACCCATCTCCGCTACCCGAAGCGCCGTGCCTGCACGCCTACGCGCACTCGAAGCTACAGGTACGCCGCCCCGCGGTCTCCCGCGCTCTGACCACAGGCCGCCCAGCGCTTGACCGAGGCCTACTCGGAGCATTTCGTACCTGCGGGCATCGGGCGCGCGGGCGTTGCGCTCCGTGCGGCCGGCTTGCGGCTGAACGACGAGTGGGCGACGGCCGAGAACCTCTACTCACGTGCTTTTGGGGGACACTTGACGCAAGCGCGGCGGTCGCATCACCACGCGCTGAGCCTCGACGCGGCGCGCTTCGAAATGGATGTGCTCGAGCGGGATCGCCAGCTCGCCCGGCGGCTCGAGCATGTCTCGGGCGAGCTGCGGGATAGCGTCGACGCGATATTCGACGCCCTCGAAGCGGAGATGCAAGTCGACGAACTCGGGATCCTGATGCACAACGTTGAGTGACAGTCGTCGGCGCCAAGCGCTGACCGCAGATCATTGTGTTCCACCTCAGCGTCGCTGCAGAGGTCTACCATCAGGTCGCGACGTTGCATCTCGTGGCGGGCAGCGTCAAGGCGCGCGAGCGTACGGAGCGCACAGTGCGCAAGGTGTGCGAGTTTGCCGAGATCAAACTTGGCGAGTTCCGGCGCAAGCTGCGCACCATGGCGCGAGAGTGTGGTGAGGACGAAGCTGGCGATGTGGACAGCGAGACGCTTTCGGATGAGGCGACGGACGAGGACGGACCACACTCGGATATCGAGTCGGTCGAGGGCGAGAGTGCCGGTGGATAGGCCAAGTGAGCGAGGTTGTGCAGCACGGAGATGTATCTTGTGGCTCGGCCACGACAGGCCGGCTACATCCAAAGCGGCCTGGCCAAAACGTGACTCTCACGAGGCGACGTGAGATGCCGGAACATCGGCCGGGCGAGACTTCTTAGGATGGTGGGCCAGGCGCATCTGGCCAGCAGATGAGCTTGCAAGCCCTAGCCAAGGGCTGTCAGCACCTCTATGCCGGATAAGTGAGATGGAATCGATCCGAGGCGTGCGCGGAGGTCGCCCGCAGTCCCCTTCCAGCGCTTAGCCCATGCCTCAAACGCGCGTGCGACCTCGCGATGGGGAGGATCAACCACAAGCTCTAGCGATGCCCCCGCTGCAGACGCTGCCATCCAGAGAATGGGGAGCTTAACGGCGGCGTCGCCACAGAAGGCGCCGCACCCCCATGGCGGTGACGTTACTGTATGCTGGCCGGCGAACGCCGTGGTCGCCTTTTCAAGCTCGCGTGCAACGTTCGCGGACTGTAGGTTGGCGTCGCGGCCCAGCTCGTCTATCTCCGGCGTATCCATAAGAAGGAGTATCTGCGGTGCAGATCGCCGCCTGGTCCACGAGATGCTGCGTCGTGTCCCTTCGATTTGGAGCGTGAACTCTACGCCGGAAACAACGAGTGCCGACTGCTCCAGAGCCGGCACGAACAGTACAGCCGGACAGATGTCAGGCGCGCCGCCGAAGTAGAGCTCCTCCTGGGTCGCTGACCGCCCAAATCCAATCACTTTGTTGGCGGACACCACCATGGCGCCTTCCGTCGGATGTGGGGCCGTGAAGTGCTCAACTTCGAGAATGCGCACACTGCTCAAGGATTTACTGAGCGCTGGAGTGATTGAGGCCCGCAGATCAAAGGTGACTGTGCCATTCACATCATCGCTGGCGAGATATTCGAGCACTGATGTGAGGTACATCTCTGCTGCAAGTGGGTGAGGCTGCTCCGAGTGGAACCAGATGTCGAAGTCCACCCAGCCGTCTGGCGGTCGATGGGCAGGGTGTACGAGAGATGTGAGAAACTGGTGCGCCACCAAGGAGCGGAGATGGGTGCGAGGAAGATGTCGTATGTCGCCTGGCGCCATCAGAGGGAGTACCGGGGGAAGCATGTCGATAGCAAGAGCTGCGGCAACGATTCTCGGCCAGAAAGGCATGTAACCGGGCAGGACAGCACGGAGAGTGTCGTAGTCTCCCGATGTACCGCGGAGGAGCACGGCGATCTCGCCCAGTATGTCGATCACATCGGCCGGCGAGGTGACTTTGCGCTGGAGAGTCGCACAAACCAGCGGCCACCAGGCGACATATCCATCCTCGCCCTCTGCGTCATTTGGGAGGGTGCTGAAGCGGTCCAGAACTCGGATGTGAGGCGAGTGGGGGAGATGGTAGTCCGGCATTGGGGTGTTTCCGAAACTTCCATCCACCATCGTCCCTTGTATGTTCTCATCCGCCTGTTAGGTCCGTGCCACGTCGCCCCCTCTCAATCTTGCCCCCCGTAAGCGTACTCGCACTCGATGCATAGTTGTCATCTCTAGGCCTCTCTTCCTTCATCGTTGGGCAGGGTGGAAGGGTTGCATCTGCATCAGCAGCGAGCTGGGTCCGACGAAGATAGTCACTAACCTCTCACGTGACCACCCTGCTTGGACACCCCAGCATATGTACCGTTCAACAAGCTGCCGTGTCCATACATTATTACTCTGTAGAATCGAGTACCGGTCTACCCTCTGCTTTACCAAGCAGCGTACTCACCTAGTACGAGGCTCACATGTCGAAGTTCTTCAAAGTGCCGGCAGATGCCCTGCAATTCTAAGCAGATTCAACTCCAAGCACGAGGCGCACCCATCCTGCTTTCGTCAAGTGTACCGGCACCCACTACCGCGCGATTAGGCAGTTGCCCACCTAGTACACCGGTGCACCAACACTACGCTTCTAAGCAAATGCTCGCTAGCTCTCAATGGAGACCTGGGCATCCGGTTGGTCGCTGAGAACGGACATAGCATTGGCAACCAGTTAGCCGGGTGTCGGGTTCATGTTCCAACGAGCGCTCTTGAAAACAAGCTTAACCATGTGGAAGGTCGCTAAGGTGAACCGTGCGCATCCTTTGTAGAGAGGAGACTGATTGTTGCGCGGAAACTGAGTGAACTGTAACCGAGGACTATGAGAGGGAGGTCGGCATGTAGATCAGGCGCTGCGCGGAGATGAGGTGAAGATAAGATGTCATGTGTGAATAGCCGTGATGGCATTTCACGTTGGGAGCCGATTGATATCCCATCGTTGCTGTCGCAACTCAATTTGCATCGCTTACGCACCCAACCTCGTATGTTCCTGTGCGGGGTGAGTCAAGAACACTAACTATCAAGGTTATGTTTTAGGTTTACATACGGAAGCGAGGGGATATCTCCCATCGGAATCGGCGTGCGAGTTCGGTTCAGTCTTGGTGTTCCGAACCGATGCCTGTATACAGCCATCTGATGTCGGAGGCCACCCCAGTCGCCATCCTTGTCGTACTACATTCAGTCTGCCCATCATTAGAACACCGCATCTGCAGAAGCGACACAGGATGTACAGCGGCCAGCACCCCCAGCCCTCGATCCCGTTGAGGCATGGTTTGTATCTGCGCCGAGAGGCCACCTCCGTGTCAGCCGATGGTCCGTCCTCGGCTCCTCTTTGAGACTGCCCTCCCTCCCCGAACGGAGTGTACAATTCTGAGAAGACAACAGGTGTTCCCACCAGGGCGCTGCGTTGCCTAGATTCCGGGCGCGACCGTTCGACAAACCGTGAAGCATGCACTTTCATGGTCAGCTGTCCGCCGTCGTGAAGTGCTTCAAGTTCACATTCCTCAACCTTCAGGGTGCAGATCAGCGCTGCGCGTGTCAATCTACGCTCAATAGACAACGGAACGGCGAGCTGACTTCAAGCGCTCCCGAGAACCAGTTGTTTTGGGCTCTTAGTAGCACAAAGAGCTTGGAACTTGGCGTCGACCGATAGGTGTGGTTCAGTTTCTTGCGGGGGTACGACGCACGTGTATCTTTAGCTGGCTCCATGTACAAAGTATTCGCTCAAACAGGCGTCGGCTCCTTGATGATGCACTCGCCGAAATTACTCAGAAGCATTAGCACTGCTTTACTAAGGTTCGCTGCGGTGTGCCTTCGTCCGGGTAAGCAGAATATGTCTAAGCTCATTTTGCCCACCTTTTCCTCCTTTCACAAGCCGCACATAGGCAGTGATCATCGTTGGCTCTTGTCATTGACAACATGAACACTAAGTTTAAGCTAGAAACCAAGCTCTTCATGGATGAGGCATCGTTCCTTGAGCCGCCTCGACACGCCGGACGAGGCAGTGAAGTCAGCCGTTCCTGCAGCGGCTAGCGACATGCGGTGCATTGTAGTTTTGCTGCTTCACACTGCGTTGTGCTACTCTCTTCCACATCTCCCATACCCCACACTTAGCGTTAGCGCTACATGTACGTATGGCATACATAATCCGAGAAAAACAAAGTGGAAGCTATACAGCGAAGCCACCTTCTGAGGCGTGCATTCGAACGATTGGGCTGAGGAACTGAGGAAACTGTCATAACATCCTCTCGCAAGTGTCGAGCTATGGGGTTGGCATGCACACCCCTTGCAGAAGTGGTCGGTCATTGTTGTGCCGATCGGGTCCGATCTTGGCTACTGCCAGACATCTTCGGCATTGATTAGGCTCGCGGGACCGGGAGGCGTTGATTTAGCTTTTAACCATATCGACAGTAGACTTTGGTCCAAATCAAGAGAAGCTTGTCCAACATTGCGCACCGTCACCTCAGGAGACTGGGGATACATCCCCGGCTTTCGCTGGACAATGGGGCTGTGTCACAACCTGATCAAGAGTCACATGATACTGTTGCTGATCCCCACAATTTTGTCAACGTCCAGACGAGCAAGCGAAGTTTACCTTATTCAGAGTTCTCGACCTAAATGAAGTGGTGAAGCCTTTCGCTGAGACTGCGCGGCGTCACTCTCACGCTAAGATGGCAAGTCGAGCATGTTCAACTAACTTGCTTTCGGGACCGTCACTTCCTACTGATTCACACGCTGTTGGAATGTGGAGGAGGAAGATGTCAGCTGAGACGTCGAATCGAGCTATCCTCAAGCGATGCGAGGATGCCTTGTTCAGATTAGGCGCCATCACTGACCGGCACGCTGCCATCTTTGGGCCTTCCAGATGCTATATAAGCGCTGAGATTTTCATTCTGCCCAACACCAGCTCTTCGCCTCAACCTCATCAAGTCACATTAACCCACAACAAACATGAAGATCGCTCTTCCTCTCATCGCCACCCTCGCTCTCGTGGCCGCCAACCCTGTTCGCCTCAATGAGCGCGATGACAACGACACACTCAGTGTTGCGGTGGCCGTGGACGGCAAGTGCCCCGACGGCGGCTCGGTCTTCCAGGCCAACGGCAAGGACCTTTGCTGCCCCGCCGGCAACGTCTGCGACCGTGAGTACGATGAGAATCAACGCTGACGCGAAGAGGACGTCATCCGTCCTGAGGCAAACAACGATGTCGACGTAGCTCAGAACGGCTATGTTTGCATCAGGTACCTTCTGTACTGCACCCGCTACTGGTGCTACTACCGCCGCATCTGCTGGTACACCTGATGAACACGAACCGCGTGAAGAAGAAGAAGAGCGATAAATGCAGGCAGCGCTGTCGTAGTTGAAGTTTTTCCCGTCCACGGTTTTCTTTAGCTATGTAAACGGTGGAAAAGAACGTGCACAAATGTAGACGCTCGTGGGGCTCAACTAAGGGGAGTAATCAAGCTCGCCGCGCCATCTGAGCTTCTATGAGTTATCAGTGGAGCCGACGACCTCGACCAGCGGAAGGTACTGAGAGGGCTATCCTGTCAGCCTGCCAGTGTTGCTACCCGCACAGTGTGACTGAATCGACGCCGTTGCACTTACAGCACAGCTCCTTTCCTAGCCGGCATATCGTATCTCGGCTTGAATTACCAACGCCTTACGTCAGTCTCGAGACACTTAAATACGCTCTTACTTGTAGCAATCGAGAGAGCCCAGTTTGTATCCCCGCAGCATATCGTCATACTGATCACCGTTATGATCACAGTTGAACGAGTGGAGCGTTATTGTGGCAACGGTGTCCTCTGGGATGGAGTCCGTGGTGGGGGCGAGAATGATCAGACATGTGTTGTCCCAGATATTCACGCAAGTGCTTGATCGAGTTATCACGGACACGACGGTCCTACATGATGCGCAGCGAGACAGCATAATCTTGGAGTAGTTTACCTGTGCCTTGGAACTACTAACAAACTCTGACATACTGCTCGGTGGCGTCATCGCCGTGGGCCTTTTCGGAGTCGGAGACAAAATTGTAACCGACTTGAGCGGTGACTTGGACACACGGCCGAAAGACTTTGCCGATGTGCAGTAGGCAGTAGGCAGTAGCTGGAGCGTTGTTTAGTTCCACAGGAACTCTGGAATCAAGGCAATATTTGCACGTGCCTGGTTGGAATGTTCTGCTAACGGTGGTCGGCTAAGAGGTGCTTTCATGTCAACAAGGTTTAGGGTGTGGTGAGGATGGCACGTCGCTGTGGAGCCCAATGTGGGGCGCTTATCACGATAGAACGCGTCCCAAATAAGCATACAGAGCTCCACGGGGACTTACCCTTCTCTACACACTCGTATCCAAGGTAATGTCCGGTGGGACTTCCAGGACCCCGGATCCAGCGAGCCGTCGAAGCAGCAGAAAGTAGTGGTTATTTTCTTAGGGCGTGCCCAGTGGACAGCTGATGTGCCTCTTTGCGGCACGCTTCGCAAATCCTTCTTACGGCGACATCATTTTCGTCGGAGCTCTCGAAGAGATCATCCTTGCGATGACATGAGCATCAGACGCCGCGCTTCGAGTTACTGGCTCCGGATGTCGGAGGCAAGACGTGTGCTCCACTTGGTGAGGTAGGAATGCACTGCCACTGGCTCGAGATGTCGGCATAGTGTAACTGCTCGTGCCCGATATCCGACGGAAGCGAGTTCCACTACGCATCTGTCGGCGTCAACAGTCGTGCCATGTCGGCCCTGGTAACCGCTCCTCAACTCTCCATCGAAGTGAGGAGTGTGAGTTTAACATAATCCCGCTAAAGGCGGCGGGCGTTGTATTGATGATGCACTGTTTGTCACAGTTTCCTTCACCTCAGTCTCCATCGCGCATCATCTTCCTCTTCTGCCTGCTGCACGAGCCATTCGTTTGGCAGATGCTCCATCGTTCCTCTTCCAACACCTGCAAGACGCCAGGGAGCGGCTCCAACGTTCCTCTCGATCGCTTTCACGAGTTAGCAGAGCAGTGTCAAGGATTCTTCGAGTGTGAACTACCCTTTCTCAGCGCACATCCATACAGCCAACGTTGGTAGATGGGGCTCAGTGAGGATTCGACCTTCTCGAGAAGCATAAATACCGGCGGTTTGAGCGTCCATCTTTCCCAACAACATCAAGTCTTCCTCTCAACAACTCACTTCGCCAACTACAATCTCCACCAACTCGCAACTCAGACCGCGATGAAGTTCTCTCTTCCAGTCCTCGCTCTTGCCACCCTTGCCGCGGCCTCGCCTTACCCCCGCCAGGAGCCCACCATCCCCGGCCTCAGCTTCAAGAACGGTCACGCGGACCTCTTCACCGCCTCGCCGGCTCAGTGCACCCCCAATGGTAACGCTACGGACAGGTGCTGCCGTGAGTTACCTAGTTAACAGCCAAATCCTTCGTGGGCATGGGGGCTGACATCAGCGTCGGGCCGCAACGCGTGTCCTCAGGGCTGGAGCTGTTTCCAGGCCCTCGGCAAGGAGCAGTGCTGCCCGCCTGGCTTCGAGTGCCACGCCGATGGTACGCTGCGCCAGAATGGCTCCGACGATGTCGACGTCGCGAAGAACGGATGCGAGTTCGTTTTGGTCTGCATCACCATCATCTGCGGCTTCTCTCTTGTGTGCAGCTAAACTCCATAAAGGAGAGACCAGAAAACAGTTGGTGTAGTGTAGCAAAAGTCGGCTTGACGCTGGTCAAAGCTATGTGAACGTCGTGCAGAAGATCAATTGCCCCCTGCTCACCGGGTTGCATCAATGGTACTTCACTGAACACTCTTCGACTGACCAACCAAACTGAAAGACACGGCTAGAGCTTTCAGACGGCCAATTCGACGAGATGACCGGCCGAGGCGTAGATGGTCAAATGACAACTTCTGTCAGTTATTCCATATCAGTTCCGCGGTATGAGGCTTATTTTGACCGAACAACTCGGGGTCCAACTACTTCACGGTGTTTTGTTATGATCGCACCGCGCATCCTCCTCCCGTCGCCTTAGGCTAGCTCTCCCGCCGCATACGGGGTTCCAGTCAGTGAATCTAGGTCAGCAAAGCACATCCCCGCACCTCTGTCCTTCAGGCCAGAGCAGCTTAGTTCGTCCCGGTTGCAGGGTACTGTAAGAGATGCCGCGTCATGAGAATGCGGCGGACTTTTGCATCCTTCCTTCCGGCCTCTAGACCGTTCATGTCAGGCAAAAATGCGAACGATGAGCTGCTTTCAGCTCTCTGAATGCGCGTTAAGCGTTTGCGCCTCATCTGCCTTTACCTGTAGCGCCATTCTGAGGGTCCCATGCACGCTGCTCCGTTCCTATGATTATCACCTCATCCTCGGCCCACAAAAGGCATCGATGGTGCCCTGTGGTCAGCTCGTCTCGATACCCATACCCACATGACGGTCAACTGCAGTACATCCGCATCAGGCGGCATCCCGGCGATGAACGCAACCGTCTCGGCAACACGCTCGACGGGCATCATGGGCTCAGCCGCGATTCTTCCATCTGCTTGCGGCACGCCCTTCGCGCTCTTGCTGCTCAGATTCGTGAGGGCGTTCCCAATATCGAGCTGAGTCGCGGTGATGCCGTACTTGCGCCCGTCAAGTGATGTGCTCCTCGTGAGGCCGAGAATTGCGTGCTTAGACACAGTATACGCCGTGCTGTCCGGGCGCGGTGACCAGGCCGATATCGAGCCGTTGTTGATAATGCGCCCGCCAGGCGGGTTTTGGGCTTTCATGATCTTAATCGCTTCGGCAGTGCACTGCCTGTCAGCCTAGTACAAAAGTGAAATAAGGGCGTACAAGGACAGCACCCATGACGTTGATATCCAGCGTCGTGCGGAACTTGTCCATGTCGTTGTCCTCGAGGGCGCTCCCCTTGGTGAGGTTGACCCCGGCATTCTTAGTTTGTCAGCACAGCGACACGCAGGCACTCATCGGCTCGGTTCACGCACGTTGAAGAGCACGTCCAGCCGTCCATACTTGTCCTTTATCGTGGAGAAGATACGTCCGACATCCTCGTCCGAGCTCACATCGCCCCGCAGAACTTCCGTTACGGTTCCTTCGCGGCACAACGCGGCCGTCGCTTGGAGCTCATCTTCGCGGCGGCCGACGAGAGCGAGCACCAGCGGTTCTGGATGCGTCGCGCTGGGGAATGCCTTCGAGAGGCCGATCGCGCACGCCCGCCCGATGCCTGCCGACGCGCCTGTGACGAGTATCACGCGGTGCAGGGTACTCATGATGGGATAGGTGATGGAGAGGACGACTGCAGAGTGCATACGAGGTATGATCGTCATCGGCATGGTCGGGGCCGGTGGAGGTGTGGAGGTGGAGGCGGCTTTGGCCGTTGGGTGATCCGGCAATCTGATCTACTGGCTGTGCACAACATACCAGCATGCTTACTTCCACATCGAACATCTCGTTCTTCTGGTCTCCTTGCGACAGGCCGCAGCATTGTACGATGCCGATACTGCTGATGGATGGCGTTACGCTTCGTGCACCGCCGTCGCTCAACACTCGGGCTTGATCCAGATCAATCACGTGATACGCGGCATCGCGCCTGTCTTGTTTACACGCTAATAATGCTCCCGCTCAGGTGGCGTCCATCCCACGCAACGAAACAACTCCACTTCAAGTCCTCCACTCCAATCTCTCCTAGCCCGCAGCCCAGCCCCAGAGCGCGTCGCGCTCTACCATCTTGGACTCGTCCTCGTCTTGGCTCATACACACATACCCCTGTCATGCCCGTCACCAAGAAGAAGGGCGCCATCTTCGCCGTGTACGCCGACACGCCACCGCGAGCCGGCCCCGCGCCGAAAGAGCCCTCACAGCCGCGCGAGGGGCGCCGCGCGCTCACGAACATAGAGCCCGCGCCGACGCGGCGTAAGGCGAGTCCGGAAGGCAAGCGCCGCGCGCTCGCCCCCCGCTCCCCATCGCGCTCCACGAGAAGCAAAATGGATGTGTTTGTTGACACGGACGCCGTCCAGACGGAGAGGCCTAGACGCGCGCTTGCCGCCAGACCCCTCTCGACAAAGCTTGCCAAGCCCCTCTCTAATACCTCCATGATCGCGTCTGCGAAGGCGCCGTCGTCAAAGCCGCTCGCAGCAAAATCCGTCTTGAACCAGCCCAACGCCTCTTCCTCATCGTTTGAGCCATCCTTATCTAAGCACGCCATGTCCAAACCCTCATCATCCAAGTCTGCCGCTAGGCCTCGGGCTGCCCTCGTCAAGCGTGCCCGCTCACCGACGGACAAGGAGAACGCCGCACCCCCCGACTCCCCAGCCAGCCGGACACGGAGCAAGCTCGTGCTCCCCAAGCCTTCGATTGAGAAGAAGCCGATGAAGAAGTCGTCGCGGGCATTCACCGTGTTCGTGGACCCACTTGCCGACGTGAGCGAGGCGTACGGCGCAAGTGGAGATGAACCCGCGGGCTTCCCCGCGCAAGGGCGGTCATCAATTGTGAGTGCGCCGCTGATCCGATCACTCATTGCAGCGCTCTTAGTCTCGTGCGGAGCGGCGCGTTACCTCGCCGAACGCTGAGGTGTCACCCCGAGGCCGACGACGCTTACTCGATCGTCCTGTGCATGCGTATCACCACGGCGACGCCACCCTGTTTTCACTAATCCTGTCGCGTGTATACTAGCTCTGGAACTTGGCATTGACATGTGCATACATGCGTATAGCAACCGATGTAGTGCAGTGCTTGGGGCTGTGGCAGTGGCCGTACTATACAACGGAGGATAGAGTAATCTATAGACGTCTAGACATATATCGCGGCGGAAAATATTAGGGGATAATGGTCACTACGACCCTCGAGGCGGCGCATGTCCACATCCTCGAGCGTGCCGTAGTGCAACACCTGTACCTCGCCCACCAAATGGCGCCTGGGGGCCTCCGGCGTCGGTTCCTCGGCCTCTGCCTCGCTGCCGTGGAATAGACTCACACGCGAGTGGAAACGGCCAGGCAGGCCGCGGAAAAAGCGCGTCAGCGCGTTCAGTCCGCTCTGTGGCGCGTCGCCGACGCTCAGCCCACCGTCCGAGTTGCGGTGCATGCGGCTGCGAGCCTCACCGACCTGGCCGGTGCTGCGGACGGCCTTGAGGGGGTGCAGCTGTGGCGAGCCGGTGCGGAGGAAACTTACGTCCTCGCTGCGCCGTCTGCGCGAGGATGCGGATCCCATTGAACCAATGGAAGACATGCTCAAGCGACGCGCAAGGCTTTGGCGTCTTGACGGCGTACTCTCCGTCGAGCTGGAGGCCCGGCGATGGAGCTGTGGAGACGGGCCGAGGCCGATGCTGATCGGCTTTTCCAGAGGAGTAGGTGTGCTAGGCACCTCGGCGGTCGGGGAGAGGTCGCGCCGGAGGGCGAGCGATAGCGGTGCGGGGTGCTCGAATGTCACACTGCGTCCGCGCTTGCGGGCAGATGACAATGAGCGAATGTGGGCGGGAAGCGGCGAGGCTTGCCCGTTAGGCAATACGGAGTTGGTAAGCAGCTCGGGCGAATCGTGGAAGGGCGGCTCGCTTTCTGCAGGAGTGGGTGGATCCGACTCAAATACGTGCTCGTCGGGCACGATTGGGGTCGTTTGCTCAGGGACGACGAGCTGGTCGCGCGCCGTAGGTTCGGGTGGACCTCGTTGATCTGGGGCGACAGTTTGTTCTGGTGAATGGTGTTGGTCGGGAGGGACGGACGCAACGAGACCGTGCGGCGCGGACACGGAGTTGACGATGCGTGGGAATGAGGTGCGGGGCGTTTCCGCATCGCCGTAGAAGCTAGAGCGTCTGCGCATGCGCTCCGAGAGGCTGGAGAAGACATTCGAGAGGCGCATAAGTGGCCCGTTGGACGCTACACTTTCGTCGTCATCATCAACAAGATCTTCGACAATGTCGGGGATCACATGGGTCTTCCAGAGCACGCGATCACACCAGCTCGGGATGCGCCCCTTTTTGCTTGAGTCGTACACGCCCGTGCGTGTGTCGACTAAATCGTTTGGCTCCTCCTCGTCCGCCTCCTCGGTCAAATCGCGCCCCGAAAGGCTACGGATGAGCGTGCGCGGTCGACGCGGCGGTGAAGCGAGTCGGCGCCCGCTCACGCTGTACACCGATTGTGATGAAGGTGTTCTGTGCACAGCTTCACCGTCAGGCAGCACTAGACCAGGCTGTGTAGGCGTGATGTCCGGGTCTAGGCTCGCTCTTCCCATGAGTGGGGAGGAGGCGATGGGGCCTGGTGGTTGTGGAGGGTCATCACTCAGTATCGAGAGACGGCCCTCGGACACGCCGCGCGAGCGGGACGAAGCTACGGACGAGCGTCGCGACGAGTCGTCTGGCATAGCCGGTGGAAGGGGGCGGAGGGCAGGCTTGCGCCCCAAGCGTATTATGCTCATTAACTTCTGGGTCTTGGCCTTCAATGTGTGACCGCTGCGCTTTGTGACGTCGACAGTTGCACCGACCAGATCCTTCGTGGCAGAACGCGTAGTGCCTCTCGACCACCCGCCAGATAACCTGCGCTGATCCTGAGAAGTCGGTGTCATCGAGGAAATCTCCCAAGGACTTGGTGAGTGCCCGTTGGTGCTCTCAGAGGCGCGGTCGGAGCGCTCGGACCGATACGTCGCTGTCGATTTGCGCGACGCGTCCGCAATGGTGGGATCCCGAGATCGATCCGGCAGTCCATTGCTGTACTGCTCCGCGCTGTGATTGACAATCGAAAGCTCGTCAGGCAGTGGTAACTCGGAGAGAGGCGGTGTTTCCGGCACAGGGCTCATGACTGGTTGACCCAGAAGGACTGAGTGCGGAATCTCTGGACTCTCAGGCGCGGACGAACTCTCTTCCACGACATCAATTTCCGGAACGCCGTCTAATCTCGGGCTGGAGGGTCGCTCCATCGACGGCCGAGTCGACTGGTCGGAGGAGCGGCGGGCGCGACGGATGGATCTGCGCTTATCCCGATTTGTCGCGCTTACCGACTTCCAAATGTCGTACTTGAACGTCGGCATGAATTTAATTTCGGCCTCCTCAAAGCCGCGCAGAGGGGTCTTTTCCTTGTCTTTCATGATATTCTTGAGCTGGTCCCACTCTTGAGCCTCTGCAATGTAGCGTTGCTCCTTCAGCAGCCACTTGGCGTGCAAGGGAGTGATATCGACGCGGAAGTTCACTGCTATTAGACGGAATGTAACCAGATCGACTCACAATCTCCACACCAAAACGTTGTGTCAAATCGGTCCGTGACATCTGGCATCGCCACGCGAGGATCGTCCGGCGCCAGGAAACAGTTAGGCTTCAGCTCGGACTTGATCTTGTTGATGTTGGCAATGCGATCATCATTGCACTCCGTGTGGGCAGCGAGGTGCGCGTTGACGAACAGGAGTCGGTGACCCTTGAGGTTGAGGCTAATGCCGCTACCGTCAGTTCCGATTCAAGCATCCCTCGCACTCACATTCCCCCTTTGTTGCCGATACGACCACCCGCGAGGCCTGTCCTCACGAAGTCTTTGTCGACGCCCTCAACCAGGTGCTCACAGCCCTTGTACACGAACACGTGGACATAGAGGCCCATCAGACGCTCCTTGATGAGGTGAACGTACGCACCGGCTCCAGGCTGACGGAAGAACCGCTTCACAGGCACCTCATCCGTGATCGGCGAGTCAAAAATGCCAGGTGACCTGCCCATCTCCCGAACGCTAGGCGACCGGCCGAAGGGGCGGTCCTCTTGCTGAACAAAAAAGGAACTTGTCGACGTGTCAACGGACTGGAAGGAGTTGCCAGATAACGATCTGCCAAATGGGGCGGAAGGGACTTCAAGCGTGCCGTTCGCCACGGGAACTGGGATCTGCAGACTATGCGCGATGCTGCTGGGCCTTGCACCGGACTGCAGCGAAGGAGATCGCTTGTGCGATGCAGACAACGTGCGGTGGTGCGATGCAACAGATTGGCCGTTCTGCGGCGGAAGCTGATCGCCCGGAGTGCGTTGCTCGGCGAGGTCCGCCCCGCTCCTAGGCGGTGAGGAGAGGAGAGAAGTATCACGCCCAGAATGAGGAGGGCCAGCGCAGAACCATTCTGTGCGATGAGCACGATACGGGATGTCAACTCACCTTCAAGCATACCGCTCCACCCCTTGCGCCCGATAGCGCCCGCGAGATCGCTCATGGGGCTGCCTAAGCCGATATCGAATGCGGTATGGCTGCGTGCTGCGATAGCTGCGTCTTTAGGTTCGACCTTGCGCTTGTACAGTGGGTCTATCCTCAGCTGCTCCCGAGAAGGCTTCTCCTTCACCTGCTGACCGGGCGTTGCAGGCAGAAGGGCTTGCTCGCCATCCAGCTCCTTGAGTTCCTGTACGGCTTTCGGTTTGGGAGGATCTGACGAGTGTGGTGCAGAGTCGCCGCTCGAGGTGGCGACGGAAGCATCCTTGGTGCCCTCGACGTTGCTTGGCGGCAAGGCGACCAGGGGATCGACGTCTGAAGGTGACATAACCGACGGTAGTGGTGCCGCGGCGGCGGCTGGCGCGGACGACACACAGCCGTCTCCTGTCGAGGAGTCAATTGAAAGAGCGGGAGTGTTCGCGCCTCCCTCACTACTGCTAACTGGATCGGCGGCGGTGATGCTCCTATCGGCGGCACTAGGACCTACAGAGGTCAGAATCCCGGCGGTCTCCGGTGCCGGGTCGCCGTTGGGCTGAGCGGCCAAGCGGAGAGAATCACTATCCGAGACATATCCTGGCGACACAATGGCCTTGGACTTCTCGAGAAGATCCTCTGTAAGGCCAGACAGCGAGATACCCAGCCCTGGCGCCTTGATGTTCTTCTCCTTCTCCTTTGTATCCTTGTCCTTGTCGATAAGATCTTTGAGGCTCGCCGCAGGCCCCTCACGCTCCTTGTACTCTTTCCGCAATTCTTTGAGGGCCTGAACAGCGTCCCTCTCAGCAGCCGCGTTTGCTGAGCGATCAAGAAACTCCTTGCGGATCTCGCGGATAGCCTTCCTCGCCTCCTTTTCTGCTTCTTTGTCTTGTCGCCTCTTCTCCTCCTGCTCCTCCTTCTTATCCTCACGCTCGCGACGCGCCGCCTCAGACTTCTGCAGGCCCACGCCCTTCATGAGTGAGCCTCCCAAACCGCGGGGCATGCCTGACGCGCTGGGGCACTCCTGAGCGGCGAATACCACGATGTGATACGGATGTGCGTCCTCGATGGGCAGCTCTGGAAGCTCGTCACCTCTCGCGGGAATGTCGTATGCGCTCGCCGGAATATCGCCAAGCAACACCGATAGATCTCCCTTGGGCTGATGGTTAGAGACAAATCACAGCTGCACGGCTCAGCCGACAAGAACCCACCACCGAGTCCGCCATGTTCCACGTGATGATCTTGACCTTTATCGCGTTGCGGTCCTTGAACGGCTCTGGTTCGCGCTCGGGGATGTCGGGGTCGAGCGCAAACTGGCGCGGCGAGCCCGGCTCACCCTCGGAGGTGAACATCGAACTAAACCGGCGGCGAAGTATGCCCGTCTGCTCGGAAGGACTGGCGGAGAGTAGTGTTGATGACCGCCGGGGCGACCCAGGTGAACCGACCATGTTCGAGAAAGAGCGTCTCCGCGCGCGTGGGGGTATGGGCATCGGAGCGGCCGATGGTGGTGGCGCCGGGCCAGAAGTGTGCAGTCCCAGCGCCGGCGGCGGTTGTGGAGTGTGGGCGCCGCGCATGCCGGAGCGAACTGTTGCGCGGGGTGGCCACAGGGAGTATCACAGCCAGGTTCAACTGAGCCTGGCGATGCGACCAACGTCTCAAGCGACTGTTGTTCTACCTGGGGTTTGGAAGTGAGGACAATGTGAGGTCGAGGACACAGGAGACAGGTGGAAACAGGGCAAACTGTAGTGATGTGTGTCAATGTTGTACAGTTGCTCTGAGGTCGGTGGGGAGGTAGGCACCCCTCCCGGCGGGATTGGAGGCTGGGAGTACAGCTGTCCAGGGGTTGGCGGGATGACGGAGCGCTGAGCGTGGCGAGCGAGGTTGCGGGGACGAGGGAAAGGGATTGAAGTGCGTGTGGGAACGACAGAAGATTGATGAGTGAAAGAGTGTGAGAGATGATTGAATTATAGAAGTGTGGAGAGGTGAGACTATAACTAGCTGCGGCGGAAGGGTGGATACAAACTGTTGGATCCTTGGCAGCGATGACGACTCCGCCGATCACTTCGCTCGATACATGATACACCGAGCCGCCGAGGAATGGTGGGCGCGTCGACCTCCCCTACATCCTATCCGCCTCTCGTTCCGGTCGTCGCGAACGGTGATGTGGGGCGCGGGGATGCACAAGCGACCTCCCCGGGTGGCCGTGTCCGGGGCCGTAACATGCATTGGCCCGTGCCAGGCGCAGGCGCAACGCATCAATCAGCCCAATGTGGAGGAACCTCCACCTGCACCGGTCTCAACTTGAATTGTCTCAACTTGAATTGTCACAACTGCCATGCTCTCCTCAGGCCAGCTGTACGCCCGCGCAGCCGCATTTGCCGCCCTCTCCGTCGGCGCTCTTGCCCTCGCCGCAACGTACCTCTACTGTCCGGTACGTGGTAGCCTTGCAGCCAGAGGCAGCCGCGAAAGCTGACTCCAGAGCGGAGCATTATGCGCCGACACGCACTACAAGTATCTCGTACCGATCCTCATCCCGGTCACTGCGTGGTTTGCCATCGCTAACTGGGTCGGGTGGACATACTTCCGTTTCGCCTAGCGAGGTCTTCGCACCATCTAGAAGTGACTCAAGTTGAGCGACGAAGCGAGTCAACAAAGGCGTGCACCATGGCTTTCAAATGCTACCTTCATCCGCTGCGCCCTCCAGTAACGCCGACGGACCTTCATCTCCCCCAATCTCGCAGCGACCGTTGCGAGTCCGCCTATATGACAACATGACACCGGTTGTCTACTCGGTCTAGACTCTAGACGGGACAGATGGTGCCACTGACGATGGCACGCTTTCCAGAGCAGACCGTAGATCTCACACGTCAATCGTGTCCCGACATGCGCATCCTCTGTTCGGGCCGCGCTCCAAGTACACACTGCGTAAATGATCCTAGTATAATAGATACACGATCTAAGCGACTAGTCTACCTTACTCGTCGTCCTCGGGCTGCTGGTGGTGGATGAGCTCCTCCTCCTCCTCCTCCTCGAAGGCGTTGTCCGGCACTGAGTACAGGCGAATGACAGGGCTGTTGGGGTCCTTGACGAGGACATACATGCCCTCGGGCTGCTTCATCACCATGTCGATGACAGTGCGGACGATGCCCCAGCCGTTGTTGAGCGAGACATTCATCTGTCTGGCAAAGTCGACCGGCTTAGCGCTCTGGATGCCAACAATAGTGTGGCGCTGAGCGTCGCGCGGGTTGACGCGCGAGATGTAGCCGAGCTTCATCAGCTCGGCGCCGGCGAGGTACGACTGGACGGCCCAGCGAGCAAGCTTGACGCTGTTGTTCTTCATCTCGTTGGCGACGATGGCACCCTTCTGGGTGTCGAGGTTCTTGCGCCAGTCGAGCGCCTTGTTGCCAGCACCCTGCTGGCGCGGGTCGTACTCATTGAGCGCCTTGACGGTGATGAGGTGGCTTTTCTTGCCGAGGTACGCATCCACCTCAGTACGGACAACAAGGTTGAGCTCCTCGTCCTCCTCAATTGAGAGGTCGAACTTGCGGTAGCGGTACAGGGTCGAGGCGAGCGGCTCAGTCTCCTCAGCGGCGTCGTAGAAGGGGTTGGGGTTGGGCGTGTAAGCCTTGCTCTTGAGGTCGATGACCTGCGAGGTGAAGTTGTGGTTGATGTAGGTCGCCTCGAGCGAGAGCGAGGCAGCGCCGTTGAGGTCGTCCGAGTCCGCGGGCGGTTCAATGGCGTTCTCGTTGACGCTGAGGACATCGAACGGCGCTCCACCGCGCTTGTCAAGGAAGATCTGGTCGCCACGGCGCTCAATGACAATGTCCCAGGAGTTGACGGAGCGGGGCGCACACATGAGCACAGAGAGGATGGAGTCGGTAGCGAAGACGGTGCCGGCCTTCTGCTCAGAGAGCTTCTTGATAATAGGGTCTTCAGATGTTGTCTCACTGTAGCGCACACGCTCCTGAATCTCGAGGTTCTTGAGGTTGCGGGTGTTGATGCGGTCAAACGCCTTGTCGTAGCCCTGCAGCGTACCAGCGCTCTCGAGGTTCTCGGGCTCGTCGACGCCCATGCTCAGCTTGTTGAGACGCGGGAACTCGAGCTCCTCCAGCACCTGCCAATCAGGGCCGATAGCCACAGACGAGTCACGCGTCCGCTGGGGCTTGTCGTACCCGCCGTACCCGCCGCGACCACCACCACGCCCACGCGAGCTGTAGCCACCGCGCTGGAAAGCACCGGGCGCACGGCCCCGCTGAGGCCCACGCTGCGCCGAAACCATCCCGCGCCCACCAGTCGTGCGGCCACGCAGACCGCCGGTGCGGCCGCGCGCCGCGGCGCGCGAACTGTTGTCGACGAGCGAGAAGCTCTTCTCGTCCTCGTCATGCACATAGCCGAACGCATTCGAATCGGACGCGCCGTACGCCTCGCGGCCCTGGCGGCGCCCCTGCTGCTGCTGACGGCGCTGGTTAGAGGCACCGGCGTCGGCCTCGGTGTGCCAGTCCGCGACTCTGCTCAGCTTCTCGTTCTTGGCGAACGGCGCGTAAGGGATGCTGGTTCATCAGTTGTCTGCGGAGTAGGGAGATGACAGGCGAAACGGGAAGACGAGTGGAAGTGGGACGAGAAGTAGCTCACTCCTTGAAGCTGGGAGGGAGGGCGCTGGAGCTAGGACCCCAGGAGCCGTCCTCGTTGTCGTGGATTGGGGGCAGCACGAAGTTGAGCGACATTTTGAGTGTTGTTGTAGATGATGATGAGTTTTCCGGCGCGCTCATTGTGCTCGACGGCTTCCACCACCGCTGAGGCATGGTGAGCCACAGAGGCAAATTGCAAAGTCCAGTGCTCACGTGGTTGAATGTAAACCTTCCCCCCACTTGAAATTTCTGCTCCCACCTGCGCTCGAGGTCAGTCGCCCTCTGCTTCTCGAATTTTGCCCAGCACAATCTCGACGCCGTGCAGTCACCTCTCCCAACCACAACACAATGGCCGAGCCATTGATTCTCCCAACACAAAAGTCTTCGACGAAGAAGAGGCGAGAGGCCAAGGGCAAGGAGCGAGAGCGCGCGCGCGAACAAGTTGCAGCTGCGTCTGGCTCAGCGGCAGGCCCCTCCAAGCACAAGTCCAAGGCCAAACAGGAACCGACGGAGAGCTGGGACTGCATTCCCATCGCGCGCAGCGAAGTGTCGTCGGTGCCCCCTGTGTGGTCCAAAGATGGGCGGTGAGCTTGCCCTTCCAACTCGTCTAATGTCAGATTTTACTTCACTGCGGCGGGGACGTCGGTCTTTGTTCACTCGTCAACAGGCCCCAACTTTGAGCGGCTGTCAACGCTGTCCTCCACCGACCCTAACGGACACCGCAAGACGATCAACGCGCTGCTTGTGCATCCCACAAACGCGCTCCAGATCATCACGGCGTCGGATGACGGCACCGTCAAGGTCTGGGACTGGGTGGAGGGCCGACTTGTGCGAACCATTGTCGCCGCCCAGAACGGGCACGTGAAGCAAATCTGCCTCGGCGAGCACAATGGCGTGTGGTGGATCTATGCCAACATCAGCACTGTCAAGTCCAAATCGGGCAAGCACTCGAATACTGACCGTGAGTGCCCAATAGAAATAGCTTCTGACTCTAGCCACAAATCTCTCGCACAAGGTAGTGCGCATGCCAATCTCGGGCCATGCCAAGGAGGGAGATACGGCTCCAATTGTGCAGCAGTTTGGCAAGCTGCGAGCCCCGCCGGCCGCTCTGTTCCTCTCCCCACGGTCGAATTATCTTGTTTCGCTGGCCGGCACCAAGGTGTATGTCTACCGCCTGCCCAAGGACGTCGCGGCGGACGGCTCATGGAGGCCTCAGTGCGTCAAGTTCGTTAGCGACGAGATCTTTACGTGTGGTGCATTCGCTCCACACAGGCGATCAAGGTCCGGCGCAGAGCAGGAGGAGTGGTTTGCGACGGGTGATGTGAAGGGCGTGGTCCGGTTGTGGCCTGCGCTCGCCCCCGCCTTGAGGCGGCTCGACGCGGGTGCGGGCCAAGCACAGCAAAACGACACCGAAAAGCGGCTGGAGACGACCTCGTTGCATTGGCACGCGCACGCGGTTGCAGCGATTGCCTTCACCACCGCGGGTGCGCAGATCCTGTCCGTCGGCGAGGAAAGTGTGCTGGTCCAGTGGCACCTCGCTTCGGGCAACAGGGAGTACATCCCTCGACTAGGTGGACGGCCAATTCTTAGTGTGGCTGTGCGACCTGGAGCGCGTGGCGTGCAGGATGAGTTCTGGATGGGCTTCGCGGACGGCTCAATGATGCGCGTCGGTGCCGTTACCGGTGCGGTCTCCCCAGTCGGGCAGGATGTCCGCCTCGATCCGCTGCGGCCCACCTCGAAGCGCGCCTACCCTCTCGCCGTGCACCCCGTGAGCAAGGCTCTTGTTGTGCCGTCCTCGCATCCCTCCACGTTGCAGTTCATCGATCCACTAGAGTCAAGTGTCCTCTTCGACTTGGAGGTCGCCCCGTCCAACCGAGTTTCCCGGCGCGACGAGAAGGAGCTGGAACCCGTGGCCGTTGAGATGGTGGCATTCAGCGCGGTGCGCGACGGGCGCTCTGAGTGGATGGCAACGGTCGAGGGCCGCCCGGCCGACGAGACTGAAGGTGGCGGCCTGGTCAGGACGCTGAAGTTCTGGCGCTGGAACGGCGACCGTTATGTCATCAACACGCAATATCCGCGTCCACACGGGACCGAGGACCTTACGGCGCTTGCGTTCGGCGAGACTGGCACCGAGCCCTTTGTCGTCACCGCCGCTTCTAGCGGGTCCGTCAAGCTGTGGCACGTGCGCCAGGCTAAGAAGAGTGAACAGGGTGAGTGCTCTGGTGGGGGCTCCCAATGATGATAAAACAACAACACATTACTAAATTTCCGTATGCCTCATGGGGAACAAATGTTCTGCAATCCTGAGGGAGCCCACTCTGTTTTTTGATCACGCTGACAAACAGGCAAGACGTCGTCGAAGAAGCCGGAGATCGCTGAATGTGAGTGTGGCTATGAGGGAGGTTTCATGATGAGTAAACCCATTTTCAAGCTCAACAGTCCTAAACTTGTTGCGGATACCCTACTTCTACTTCTGATCTGCCTCTCAGCTCCTTTTTCGCAACACGAGCTGACATCAGTGTACTGGTCGCTTCGCTCGACTTTCAACTATCGCGCACTCCCGGTGCACGCCGGGGGCTTCTCCCCGGACGGCTCGCTCGTTGTCCTTGTCCATGGGCCCGTCATTACCCTTTGGAACGCCGCAACGAACGTTTTCGTGCGCGCCCTCGAATCCCCAGTGGACGCACGCAAACTGGCCTTTGCGGGTCCTGAGGGGCGATATATAGTCACGGCAGCACGTATCGGCGTGGCTGTCTGGGACGTACTCTCGTGCGAGCTGGTCGCGACACTGCCCAACCAGGCGGCGGACATGCTCGTCGGCCTGCGCTCGGGCATTCTGGCAGGGCGCGTCGTCCCGCAAAAGGGCACCGAGGCGAAATCGAAGACAGAGGTGACAATCCTTGCACCCAACGGCGCTGCCGGTCGCACGGTGACTCTTGCCGTGGAGCTCTCGGCTCTGGCCTCCTTGCCGTCTTCTGCTGTGCACCTCGTTGGTATCGCTTCCAGCGGCGAGATCTACCGCTTCGGCGAGCTGCAGAAGGCGTGCGCACCCACAAAGCGCGCCATCAACGCCGACGCTCCCCGTCGCGCCACCAGCATCTGGCAGGAGATGTTTGGACGCGACGCGTTCTTGGACGAGCTCGCCCCACCGCCCGAGAAGGAGGAGGCAGCCGTTTCCGCCCTGCAGCGCGCCGCTGCCGGCCGGCCAGAGGCCGTTTTCGAGGGCGCGAGCCACACGCTCCCTCCGGTGGGCTTGTTGTTCGACGCTTTCATGGACGAGCTTCTCGCCCCCCGTCCAGAGGGCCATGAGGAGACGATGGACGTGGACGAGGAGGAGGCGGTGACCTTCGAGGCCGTGGTGGCTCCGGATGCTGTGCGCAGCGTGACTGATCGCGAAGTGGAGGACCTGGAAACCTTCTTCCGCAACCTCAAGATGGGCGCGAAGTCCAAGCCCAAGCCGCTGCCCAAGGCGGTTAAGAAGCCCAACGGCCTCCCCAACGGGAGCAGCCATGGCCGGACTGTGTCGACGCCGGTCAAGCCGACCAAGCCGAAGAGCAAGAGCGTGCCGGGCACACCGGGCACGCCTGCCACACCCGAAATGGTGGATGGGAAGCGGAGCAAGAAGCGCAAGGCGCCTAGACATAGCGAGCTGTAAATGGAAGGGGAGCACATGTAGCATCATACCATATCATGGAGTGCATCTGCATTGACAAGAGCGTTTGGAAGCTTTATTAGTGGTGTGGGTCAAGATTAGCTGGAATGAAAGGAGATGGGCGGCCCGTGCCTGAAGTGGCCAAAATCATTCCGCTCGCGCGACGCGTCTCAACATCACACCATGTTCATCGCACTCGTCGGCACACCCTCGTCCGGCAAGCACGCCGTGCTGGACTACCTCGTCCAGCGACACGGATTCACGCGACTTGACCTGGCCCCGAATGCCGTGGCCGTCTCGGAAGGCGAGCCAGAGCGCGGCGTCTCGCTCGGCGTGGATGAATGGGTGCGTGTGACGGCCTTCCTTGCTTCCACAACGCCAGACCAGGCCGCCTGCTCGACAATGCCCTCCGTTTTCTCGACTCCGGCCTCCGTCACCCTCTTCTTCATCGCCACAAACTCTGTCCTGGCATTCCCCTCACATGACCCATGCACCGGTAGCTGATACCAGCGCACATATGCTAGCTCGGAAGCTATGCTCGATGCCGCTACGCGCGCCTGGCGCGCGCGGCACGTCACGACCTCCCTTCGCACTTGGGAAGACATTGAGCCGTGGCTGAAGCGGCCTTGGTTCCTCCTTGTGGGCGTGGACGGCCCACTTCGCGCCCGCTTCGAGCGGGAGCGGCGGCGACGACCAGCGTGAGTGTTCCTCCAATCTGCCAGCAAGCGAACGCCTGGTCATCACAACGGTACCCTTGCTGGCGCATCGGCGAAGACGGCAGCTGCGCTCGTGTGTTGGTATTATTTGCGCCCAAGCCTACGCCCAAGCCTGCGCTCTGCGCCCCATTCCGCAACTCAACGTACGTTGCTAATCGTAGACTCACACTCGACGCCTTCGTGGATGAGCACGACGCCTTTCTTCACGGATCGGCGGGCAGTGCGACTTCCACCGGAACCGGACAGCAGAGCGACCTCGCGCGCGTGCTCACCGCCGCCGCACTGCGTATTTCCAATGGCTTCTCTGATCTCGACGGACTCTACCGTCACCTTGACACGGTGAACTTGCTGAACGAGGAGCGGCTCCGGCCGGGCTGGGATCTCTATTTCATGGTGAGTCTGATCCCAGATTCCCCTCTCCGCGCTCGTACTGCCGATTTCCACGGTCTTTCCTTTTCTCTGACCCTTGCTCCCCTCTCTCGGCCTGTTGTTAACGTTAGACCCTCGCGTCCCTCGCATCTCACCGGTCCAACTGCATGAAGCGGCGCGTTGGTGCCATCCTCGTGCGCGGCAAGCGCATCATCTCGACGGGGTACAACGGCACGCCGCGCGGCGCGAGAAACTGTAATGAGGGAGGCTGCGCGCGCTGCAACGGTCCCGCGAAGGGAGGCGAGAACCTCGGCGCCTGCTTCTGCCTTCACGCCGAGGAGAACGCGCTTTTGGAAGCGGGGCGGGAGCGCATTGGCCCCGACTCGGTCATCTACTGCAACACCTGCCCCTGCCTTTTGTGCAGCGTCAAAATCGTGCAGTGCGGTGTGCGCGAGGTCGTGTACAACCAGAGCTATAGCATGGACACGGCCAGCGCGGCTCTCCTAGCGGAGGGAGGCGTAATTCTGCGGCAAATGAACATGCCGGACGACCATGTATAAGGGCGGGTGTATAGGTGACATCTAGGCATAATGACAACATGTATTTGGGTCTACTGCTTAGAAGGCAAGTCTAGTCGAGATCCAGGTCGGCGTCGAGCGTGTACTCGATCTCCGGCTCCGGCTCCGGCTCCGGCTCCGTCTCCGGCTCCGGCTCCGTCTCCACGGGCGCGTCAACCGACGCGTCCAGATCTACCTCTTCAACAACCCCCTCCCCATCACCACCCTCAGCGAAAACTGTCGCGACGTTCTCCCTGATTTCCAGCTTCTCGTCGCGGAGGTACGCCCACACGCCCCCCACAGCGCCAGTCGTGGCGCTGAGGGCAACCCAGAGGGCGTCGCCGTCACGCGCCCCCAAGGCAGCATACAACTCCACGGCGCGCTGCTGGATCTCGGTTTCCGCTCTCCTATCCAAAAAGGGGCGGAAAGACAGCATCATGTCCCACAGAAGCCCCTCCTTGACGGGAACCTCAGTCGCAATGAACTTGGCCGTCGCTATCAGCGACAAGTACAGCCGATGCGCGACTGTGTACGCACCCTTGAGGCTCGACTTGGCCTCAAGAACCTTTGTCGCCCGCAGAATCTGGGCCATGCGAGGCCATGCGTCGTCCGCCACTCGCCGAGAGACGTACTCGCCCACATACTCGGAGAGGGACGCGACAACGGCGGCGGCCTCAGAGACGACGTATGGTAAGCCGTCATCCAGCCGCGCCATAATCGCAGGCCAGGCGCCATCAATCACAGGTAGCAGGTCGCCCTCCCTTCCTGCCTGTGCCAGAACAGGGACTGCACGTGCAATCAGGCCTAGAACGCGTGCGCGGAGGAATGGCGATGCGTGGCTCAGGTAATAGCCGGCCTTGGCCAGGATCTGGGCGGCCACCTCCTGTGAGCGTGTGGGGGGTGGTGGACCGTCCGGCTCCTCTGGTTTGTCTTCGTCCATGTGATCCGTCTGATCTTGATCCTTCGCATACTTGCCAAGTGGACCTTTGGGAACGCGCTCTATAATCTCCTCGGCCTCAGCACGCGCAAGATCTCCGCGCGCCTTGTACCACTGAGCAAAGTTGCTGAAGTCACGCTGCGGGTTGGGCGGATCGAGAAAGCGCCTGGCCTCCGCTCTTGCAGCGGCGCGTTCCTCCGTTGGTCCCGAGGACGCGATGTCGGCGGCCATGACGTCGATAAGCGTGGTAAGGACTGCAAGGAGGGCTGATGCGAGTGCGGCATATCCGTGGAAATCGTCAAGCGCGTCAAAGACCTCGTCCACCACATCGTGAACTAACGCCACGATGGGTGCGCCCACGAGCCTAATCATGGCGATGAGCACGAGCGGCGCATGTGGGCTCAGGCGGTGGTACGTGAGGCGCTGGGATACAACATTAACGACGTAGTCGACGTTGTCAAGCACCATGTTTTGTGAGCTTGCATATCCGCACTCGTGAGCGACGCGCTCCAAAGTGAGCTCAGCATATGATCGCACAAGGTCGTGTGGCGATGAAAGGGCCGCGAGGATGGTGTAAAGTGCATGGAGGAGTAGTGGACGGAAACCTTGCCCCAGACTAGAGGCGCACCCCGCAAGCGAGGAGAGCGAGAGCGCACTGAGGAGTACACGTTGAGCCGCTGCATGCAAGCGTGCAGTCTCGGCCGCTGCAGTCGAATTGCGTGGTGTCTTGTCCAGCAGTGTTGTGAGTTCGTCAAGTCCGCGCGCGCGCTCGACAGGGACCAGTGCTTCCGCGTCGGCCGGATCGGTTGTCTCATCGTCCCACTCCCCGTCCTCGTCCTCATCATCGTCCATGGCCACCAGTGTGCGCGCGACTTGCCGTGCCACCTTGCGTACGGCGCGAGGCGCCTTATCAGCGTGCATGGAGGCAACGCCTACCAGCAAGTGTTGCACAACCCACACCGCCGATGCAGCCTTAGCGGGGTCACGGAGACGGTGGGCTTTTGCAAAGCGGATGAAGTAATCGACGCTGTGCAAGCCCGCCTCCCCGCCCGCGGCGCCGAGAGCTTTAAGCATGGCGCCAAGGGCATTCGCGGAGACCTCCGACTCCACGTATCGCAAAGAGAGGTGAGGATAAGTTATGTCCGCACTGTCACTTCCCTCAATCATCTTGCTGGACACCATGCTGCCGGTCCACCCCAACTCTGCAGTTCGGTGCGCAGCATTAACACCAGAGCTCCACCCCAGCGGACGCCCGAGCTCAAGACAATCGAGCAGCGCCCACGCCCAGCGCTCCACATGTCCGCTGGGACCCAGCAGCTGAGCGATCGCGGTAGAATCCTTGGTGGATGTGACATTCGCAATCGCGGTAACGAGGCGAGCGGCATCGTTTACCCTTGTGTCGTCCCCCGCCCGAATCAAGCGGGGAAGCGCGTTGATAGAGCCGCTGAGGAGGTCTAGCAGTGCACCGTCGAGGTCGTGAGCTCGTAAAAGACGGTGGAGTTTTGCAAGCGCGTCGTCACGTATCGGACTAAAATCATCCCTGCTCAAGATGAGCAGTGTGGAAAGAGATGGCGGCAGGAGGCGTGGAAGAGCCTCGGAGCATTGCTCGATGAGAGCAGATGCGAGCGACGCAGCGGCGCACCGCGCGAGGTCTGAGTTATGCCCGGTAAGCGCAATGAGCACTGGCGGGATGGTACTTTGTAGCCTTGCGCTCGTGAAGTCGAGGTAAGACGCCGTGAGCGGAGGGAATGGGTCGGCCGGCTTCGATGTCGCGGAAGCTGTGGACGGTGAAGGGGAAGGTGGCTCATCCATATCACCACGCTCCCACCCTTCCGCGAGCTCGGAAAGACCGTTGAACTGCGGTCGCAGCACACCAAGGCGTCGCAACATCTCGTCGCCAAGCGTCTCCGTCACGACGTCCTGGATCGCGCCGACCATTTCCGCTCCCACGTCTCCCTTCAGAGCCTTGCCCAGACCGAGGATGTCTTTGGCCATGGCGCTCACGATACCGGGAAGAACAGATGCCAACACGGCGCTCTGACCCGCGAGGTATCCGAGCAGGGTGCGAATGAGGCGGACAGCTGCACGCTGCAGTGCGGGATGAGGAGGTGATGGAGCGGCGCAGTCAACCGCGAAGGTGATGCTTTGGAACAGTGTGGGCATGAGCGGTGCTTTAGGGCCGGAGGTTGCGCGCCTCATGGCTGGTGTGGGGTGAACCACACCCCCTTCGGAGTGCGGCTCCAGGAGTGAAGTGATTAGTTCCAACGCGTCCAGCTGCACCTCTTGTCCGGCCGCGCGGTCCTTCCCTCTCCCCCCGGTTCCGACGGCGGAGACGGTAAAGCGCCAGAGCTGCTCCCACGCTGCGGGATCCATGCCGCCGGGTACAGCGCGCCAGTGCCGCACCACGATGGAGAGCAGACGAAAGGCCGCCTCGAGGAAGGCATCGGGCAGAGTCGCCGGTGCGGCAGTGTGTCGGAGTGTGGTGGTGAGTGGGAAGATGAGGTAATTGATCAGGCTGGGAGTGAATGCTGCTGGGGGAAAAGTGCGGACCATGCCGACAAGGGAGCTCAACAGCCCAGCATGTCGAGATGTCGTGGTCGGTGGTTGGGCCGCGATGGACATGAGTTGCACGCATGTCGGCTTGACCTGCCGTTAGCTAGCCAGACCAGTGTAGAGCTACCTTGCGGAAGGCCTCCATTTTGGCTTCATCTTGTGGATTTCGAGGAAGGGAGGAGGCGGACGGGCGAGTGGGAGGCGGGCGAAATGGTGGGTCGGACTCGGATGTGGAGGGTGATGAGAGGCCCGTTGGCAGCGGCCGTCCAAAGAGGTCGCGCTGGACCGGCATTGCAAGTATGATGAGTCTCTCAATATGCGATAGATGGACGGGACCCGCTGTGTCGTTGTTGCTCAGATTGAATGAGACATGTTGTTGATAAGATGTGCAGAACGTCACCGAAGCAAGACCGACGTGAGTGCGTTCCAGGAATGCTGGGAATTTCCTGATTCCAGTTGGCTATATCCGGAGATTTCATCATATTCTTCATCAGGCCGCGCAGGCTGCAGGCCGACTGCTCGTCCACAATGCACTGCATACATGCCTACTGAGTGTTCACAGTCCTGACCTCTCGCGCCACATGCAATGCATCCATGCTGATATGATAAGTGTTCCACCCACGACTACCTCATCGCCCCTGGCTGTAGTCGAGCGCGCCAAACACGTCCTCCAAACGCTGCATCGACAGCACCATCTCGCCCTTCTCCGAGAGGTCATTCTCGCTAAAGTCAAGGCGGTAAGTAGCAGCGCGGTCGAGTAGACGTAGCCCGGCGCTTGCGTTGGGGTCGCGAATGTCGAGCTTGAGGTAAGGGTTGACTTCCCGGCCGCCCTTCATCGTCTTGCGGCCGCGGAGCAGCTCGACGTGCGCAGCAGCGATGGGGATCTCGCGGGGGGCGCGGAAGAACGGCAGTGCCCCTTGCACGGCAGTGGTCATGCGCAGGAACTTGCGCGCCGAGGCAGGTGGTGCGCCAACAGCCTTCTGCTGCACGAGGGAGAGGCGGGAGACGAAGCGCGACATCATGAAGAGGCCACCGACGGCGATCGCGCCGCACACGGCTACCCACCCGCCCGTCACCCAGGTGAAGAAGGTCTCGAGTGGCATCCCCATAACGTCGCTGGGCGTAAGCGCATTTCCGCGGGGTTGGAGATCTCGCGACGCCGCTACGGCCAGCCGCTTGTCACTCACCGGTCCTCCTCAGGCTTGATACCCTTTGCAATCGCCTCCTTCGGCGACGGAATAAGGATCCAGTTGACGATACCGAAGGTGAACACGATCGACATAGCCCAAAACGTCTTGCCGAGCGTCTTGTTGCCACGCGCGAAGATGACGCGCTCGATCTCCTCCATCCCAGCGGGTGGCTTCTCAACGACATGCCAAGGCCACTGCTGGCCCGTGAGCTGGTTTTTCAAAGCCCTCCGCGGACGAGGGGCGGAATAGAAGCGCAGGCCGGATGCGATGCCTATGCGAGAGATAGCTGGCCGAGAGGAAGAGGGCGGAGCAAGGGATGTGATGAGGCCGGAAAAAGGAAGGGTGTGTCGCGCGCACGGCAGGCGGGATGGCACTGAGGCAATTGGGGAGACCAGCCGTCTTGAACTGGCCGTCCCGAGTTGAGCGAGCAACATGACTGCCTCGGGTGGGTGTGCTGTAGGAAATTTCGGGACGCTCCTCGCATACACTGGGAGATCAGAGAGCGGTCGCTGGAGGAGGTCGGCGATCGACGATTATGCTTGCTGTTACGTAAAATAATCCCACGTGGTCTGACTAGTGACGAGATCTCTCCTCTTTGAGTTGAAGATTGAGGAGAGGCTCGGGCATCGGGGATGGCAGCGCTCGAGCTATGAATGGGATGACATGAGACAAGTTGAGACAAGTGGTGCGCGTGAGATGTAAAACGAGTGGCGATAAGCGGCGTACGCGGCTACAATCCGTCTTGAATAGGGTGCAAGCATCAGAGGTGGGGGAATGATGACAGCAAGCAGGAGGCAGGAGGAATCTCCGCGCTTGACAGACACCGGATTGCCACAATTGCCACTCGCTACCTACCTCGGCAGCCTCAGTTCTAGATGGCGCCTGCTTCCGAATCCATCTCTCGGGACTCCGCGCATAATTACGAGCAGCAAAGCATGCCATCTGCTGCGACGAGTATCCGTTGCGGATGTGCCCAAGTCAAACGCCGGCTTGAGCCGCTGTCCCGCTGAATGATGCGGAGGCGTGCGAGGGGCGCGGCATGGACAGTAGTCAGCATTTTGCAAGCGCAATAAGGTTGAGTTGAGCGACAGAAAACTGCTTGCTCAGACCAAGTTAATCAGACGAGGTTGAGCGAGGTAATAATGATCTAGGTATGCAGGTACGGGCTTGTTTAGTAGATCATGAGATCATGCGAGGACTCGGCAAATGGAGGAGGAATTAAGAGTTGTTGAAATGATGACCGCTGGTCCCAATCCCAATCCGCACGCCGCGCGCCGTTCGCCGCACCTCACTCGATCCTCTCCACACATCCACAATCCACACGATTCTCTCATCTCTCACTTGACTCTTATCCCATATCCATCGATATCCGGCCTATCCACTCTCTCACCGCTCTCTTCATCACCCTCCTGTCCACATCACTTCTCCCCACAAAACAGCAAACAGCTGTCGTTGACTCTACTCCTCCACGCCGGCCGTGTCATTTCAACTTCCACCACCGTCCAACTCCTGAGCCGCCTGCGTACCCATCGAGTACAATCTCTGTCCGTACTTCTATTGCCTCCTGTGCGCACATAACGCAACCTTGTGCGGCCACCGCGGCTTGGCCTCGCTCTGCCCTCCGATGAGAGGCACTCTTGCGGGCAACTGTGCGCCTGATCCTATTCCTCGCCCATAGTCCCCTCCTCCCGCAGTCGGATATCCCGCCGATTCTCGCACCATGTCATCCTTCCCTAAACCAACAGCAATGACGGGTCCGGTCGACATTCCCACTCGACCCGACTTGCAGGGCACCATCCCCATTGACACGGCCGCCAGCAAAGCTCAACAACAAGCGGCCAATGGAGCACCTAATGACGTTGCCGGGGTCCTTCGGCGCAATCAGGCTTGCTTGGCCTGCCGGCGTCGAAAGCTGGTGAGTCAGACGCGATAGGCGGCGGTATCGGTGGGTGGGAAGTGCTCCCCAGCTTGCTTGACGGGGACGGTCGCTTTGGCCTGCTGTCCGCAGCTGGCAATACGCGTGAACCACAGGTCGCAGAAGCATGAGTACAAGCGGGGCGGATCAGCTTGATTCTCGGCGCCCACCCCAAGCCCCGGCGTCGCGCCATCTCACTTCACCGCGCTCTTCTCGCCCAAAATGCTCCGTCCGCAGCACCTTCACTCGCTGACACCCTTCAGAAATGCGACGCCGTTCGCCCTCACTGCTCCACATGCGTGCGCTCCTACCGACACTTACTGCGCACCGCTCCCTCCACCAACCCCGTGCTCTCCTGCGAGTATGATGACTCCTTGGACAAGGAGCATCATGACGGCGATACCTCCCCGAAAGAAGACGACGACGGCAAAAAGAAGAAGCGCAAGGCATCGGGCGGCCGGAAGAAAGGAGACGACGAAGTCGACCCGGAACGTGACCGACTCATGAAACGTGTTGGTGAGTTACTCCCGGACCCGCTAATCTATTTTCGCTGACTTGGCAGCCGAGTTGGAACAGCAGCTCGCCCAGAAGTCTGTACCACGCGCTAACGGAAACGCACCGTTTACATCAACGTCGTCTGCACCAGATCCATGGACGGGTGCAGGCTTTGGTGCGCCGCCCGTTGAGTCACCTGGAGCCTTCTTCGACATGCTGTCTGGCTCATTACCGATATCCGCTCAAAACCCTGGACTGGGTGAGAGCATGTCTGGCATGACTGCTACTCCCAACGTCACGGCCTCGGCTACGAGCGTGTGGATGTCCATGGGCATGTCGGCCGACCGCAGCGAGTCCGGCACGGGATTTACGCCGTTCATGGCTATGCCCTCGCCGCCTGCGTTCGGGGACACTGGCCCCTCCATGCTGTCTCCTGCTGGCGTATTCAATTTCTCTCCCGCACCGACCGGACCTACGACGCTCAATTGGAGTGGCGATGTCGACATGGGGCCTCCGTCTCAGGAGCAGACTTGGGATGTGAACAATCTGACGAGCGGGCTGTCCGACGCCGCGCAGGCAAGCACTTCTAGCCGACAGAACTCTGCGAGCGTTGAAGTAGTGGACGACATACGCGACATCGAGACGCTAAACGGAGTCAACGGTGATCCTAACCTCGATCCCCAGATACTCGTTGATCTCTTTTGGCCAGGGTGGCCGCGCAACCTTCCGGAACCGTCGGTCACGACATCCCTCGTCGAAGTCTTCTTCGAGATAGTTCCTAATATTCCGCGCATACTCCACCGCGCTCGCTTCATGTCGCGACTGGCTCTGCCACCGACACACTCCAACTTCCCCCACCCTGCCCTGCTTCACGCCATCTGCTCCCTCACTGCTAGCTGGATCGAGCCCACGCCCGATAACCTTGCTTCGTACTTTCCTCCAGCCGATTATGATAAGGGCAAGATTGATTTCATGATTCAAAGAGCGACCTCGAAAACGGATGGCATGCCCTTCAGCTTGCGGCAAGCCGCGTTCGGCAAAGACGCAATCCAGGACGGGCTAAACACCGGCAACCGACTGTTTGATGTGGTCAGGGCCATGATCATTCTCAGCCGTGTGTTCATCGACGACACGCGAATGCTCGAATGCTGGACCTACTGTGGCCTAGTGGCCCGCATGATCCTGCCTCTCGGCCTCAATGTGCGATCGGCAGAGTTGTCGCTAAAGTCGGTAATGCTGCCGCCACCGGTGGACGCACTAGAACGAGAAGAGCGCCGCATCGTCGTGTGGATGGCCATGTACCACGATACAGTGGCCTCGGCAGCCTCCGGCTGGGGCTCATCACTGTCTCTGGACGAGCTTACCATCCCCCTCCCAGTCTCTGCAATCGACTTCAACAGCAGTCGTAGTGACATTCCGCCTAATCCGCAAGATCTCGAATCGTTAGATCTCTACATCAAGCATCCTGTGGTTGATCCCCTCGTGATGGCGCTCAAGGGAGCCGTACTGCTCAATCGCGTAAACAAGTTTGCGCGCAAGTGGAAGAACAGGCGGCTGCGCGACAACGACGACCTCGACGGCATGCAGCGCCCGGAGTTCCGTGAGCTTGCCAACGCCATCGCCTGCTTGCAGATGAGCTTCCCCCCGAAGCTTTCGAATCCCGCCACGCTGGACGCAAAGAAAAGGCTCGATGTAGACCTAATTGTGAGTCGCGTGTTACCTCCTGAATGATAATGTTGGCTAACTTGTTCAGAGCGCCCACGTTATCCCCCACGCGGCTATCATCTGTCTCTACGAGCCCTTCGCAGACATTTCTGATCCCAACGACCAGCCGGCCCGCCGTATCCTGAACGCGGCCAGGTCCGTCATTGGCATTATTCAAGACCTCTGCACGTCCATTCCCGAAGGTGCATCCAACCTGGCGGCGGTGATGCACTCGTCCTCATCATTGGCGCTTGTCACCTCTGCGCGCACATGTCTGCTGTTTTACCGCCACGCGCTCAACATTGGGGACACCGCGGCTGCTGAGGCGCACAGAGTCAACATTGAGAACGCACGTGCAGCGCTCGCCTCGTACGGCCTAAAGTTCAAGATCGGGTATCACCACGCGCAGCTGATCGAGTACTTCCTCGACCGTGCCTCCAATCCTACATTTGAGAAACTAGTGGCACACTACCCCGAGCACCCTCGCCCAGGCGCCTTACCCTTGACACCGCAATCACATCTTGGCCAGGCCATTCTCAACGCTCTGAACATCAAGCGCGGTTATTGGAAGGCGTCGGCGCAGACCCACGGCATGGGTGTCGGTGTTGCAACGACAGGGATCAACGTTGGAGAGGATTCGCCCAGTGGCTCGACTCCTGGATCCAGCGGATCGGCGCCTGGACTTCTGACTAGGGGATCCATGGGCTCAACTACCGACTCCGCGTCTGGGCCAGCATCCGCAAATAGCGGTGCGTGGCTCAACGGAAATGTCGACTCGCCGCGCATTGTCTCCGGGTCGTCGAGCGCATTCTCAACTATGAAGTATGTCGACTTCAGCAACAATAACGGTGGCGCGCAGCACCCTGCAGACTTTCTCTCTCCATCTGGAGACCAGCTCTTCAACGACCGATTCGGAACCAAGGACATATCACAGTCGTTCGCGGGGCAGTAAGTTTTCGCGTGGGGCAGTTGACGTGGATGCACTGCAGGGGCGTGCAGAGTATTTGTAACTGTATAGCACCTAGATCCATGTATAACTCATTCCTCTGGCTCGACAGAGACGAGGTCATGGAGTTGCGGACATGTCCGGAATGTCCGCCTCCACTTCCGCCACCAACCGAAATGTCAATGCGATTTTCGGATGACCCAACCTCATCCACCATCCCGCACTCATCCACTCCTCCCACCATCTCGCCATGTTCGCCCTCCGCCTCGGGCGTCTGCGTTCGGCAACGGCGCTCCGAGGCCAAGCATTACTATCCTCCCGTCCTCTCCCTTCCCCCCTCTCTCGGTCCCTGCATGCCACCCCGGTCGCAGCGAAGAAGGTCATCAAACGCTCCTCGCTCACACCAACACAGCGCAAGGCGTTGGCGAAGCAGAGGGAATTAGCAAAGGCTATTGCGCAAGATGACGGCTCCGTTCTTCAGCGAATGCAGCCCAATGCTCCGCCTGTCACCAATACCGAGCTCACCCTGGGCGATCTCGAACGATTCAAGCCGAGCCGCATGCCAGCGCCGCTGACGGGCTCCGAGACTCCCAATCCCCGCTACGCGACGCGGTACGCCGAGCTGGAGAGGAATCTCAGCTATGCCTTCCGGCGAGACCAGGTGGTCAAGCTTGCGGCCTTCGTCGGCGTCCGTGTGCGTGCAGGAGAGACCAAGTTTGACCTTGTGCGACGCGTCATGGCAGCCGCCTGGGACTTCAAAGAACCACTCGCGCCCGTGGAGACAAGCACCTTTGAGCGCTCTATTCTCTTGAGCAAGGCGCAGATGTTCGTGCTGCAGCGCAGCAAGGCGGTCGAGGCCTACCTCGGCACATTGAGAGGTGTGCGCTTCGGCGTCGACTCGGACGAGACGGGCATGTTCATCATCCGCGCGGAGGGCGGCAAGACCGCCGTCACTGCCCTTGAAACATACCTCCTCGAGACAGCCAAGGCGGCCGTCTCCGTGGAGTGGCCTGCGTCGGCCATGGGCTTCCAGCCCTCCGCTGGTGGCATGTGGGCAGTCTCGACTGCGACAGGCGCGCTGATCGAGGCTGTAGGGTGGACGAGCTACCGCGCTACCGCTGGGACCCTCGGGGCCGCCGAGGCCGCGCGAGATGTCATGCTGCGCGCCGGTGCGCGCTTCAAGGCAGCCAGTTTCGCTCCCTCTCTCCGCGCCCTTCTTCCCCCTCACGACCCCTCATCCGAGACCCGCTTCTGCCTTATGCCACACAAACCCGCTCGCCTCGCTCCGCTTCTGTGGTCGACCGAGCTGGCCATCGCCGAGCGCCCGCTCTTCCGCCTCTCGCGGGTCGAGGGCCGCGCCGAGAGCGCCGGTGCGCGTGACCTGCGCCACCGGTCCGTCGAGATCGCCGATGCCCGCGTCATCCCCCTCGGGAAGGGGGAAGCGGGCACGCTGGCCTCGGTGGTGGACGAGACGCTCGCCAAAGCTGCGCTTCCTGAGGCGGCGCGCACTCTCTCCTTCCGCTTCGGCCACGTCCTCACGCCGGGGACGAGCGCGCTGTCCCCGCCCGTCGAGGGCGCGTGGGCGCTCGAAGCGCCCGCCTCGCCATGGCTCAAGCTCTCCAACACGGTCTTTGGCCCCTCTATTCCGCCCGCCCTCATCCGCTTCCCGCCCGCCGGGGCGCCGCAGCGCTTCCGCCGCGTAACGTACGCGGCCGACGGGATGCGGTACGTCGCGACGTACGCGTACGCGATGCCCGCCGAGCCCGAGGTGGCGGAGAGCGCGCGCGACTCGCGCCCCTGGATTGTCGCGCTGGACAAGCAGCTCGCATTGGCGAGGGAACAGGCGCTGGCGCGTGAGCGAGGGGACGACGTGCCGTTCGACTTCGATGCGATCAAAAGCTTGATCGAGGAGGAGGCCAAGCCCGAGCCCGCGCCCCTCGTCGTGGGCGCGACTATGGGGCGCGAGACGGCGCGCGACATCATCTTCCCGGACCGGCCGGTGGACGCGCGCATCATCGCGGCGAGCACGCACGAGTCCTCTGTGCCCGGCGAGTTGCAGAGCTTCTTCGAGCGAGTGCATGCGAACGCGGACGCACAGATCGACTTGGCGGACACGCCGGGGTTGCGGCGCGGCGTGGCGAGCGCCAAGCCCGCGCCGCGGGCCGAGAAGGCCGACGAGGAGGTGTACGAGGGATACGAGGAGTGGGAGCAGGACGGGGAGTACGAGGACGAGTTCGAGCGCCCGCCCGAGCCCGTCAGGGAGGCGCCGGCGCCCGTCGACGACGCGCCGGACATCCTCCCGCCCCGCACGGTGACGGTGGCGGGGCACGAGTTCGCGCTCGAGGCCGACGAGGTGCTCGAGGTCGTCGAGTCGAGCGTGGCGCTTGCCGCTCACGAGAGCGGGCAAGAGGGTATGCAGCGCGCCGCGCTGCGTACCGTCGCAGCCGCCGATTTGACAGGGCCCGGCGGCGTGCTGCGCTACGGGGAGGTGTATGCCGAGCTGCCAGAGGCAGAAACACCCGTCGACCCCTCGATCTGGCGCGAGCTCGCGAATGCCACGCGCGAGATCGCCCCCTCTGTAAGCGGGACACAATTTGCATCCATTTAATCTGCATGTATCACATCTCATGGTTCACACTTGTATCTTACAGGGTGGGGTGGAGGTCCGGGGGGTGTGGGTCGGGGCATAGGTGGCGGGGAACGGTGACGGGGAACGACGGATAGGGCCATGGTATCGTGGGCCGGAGGTTGGGGATTGCCCGAGAGGGCTGCTCGTTCTCGGTGGGCGTACTCGTCTGAGGAGCGGGCTGTATTTGCGTCTGGTGGTCATCTTCGACGTCTGATCCGAGGGCGAGCCGATTCCTGCTCCGGACCCGGTGCGCAAGCTATCGTTGCGGCTGTGGCTGCGATGATATAATGCCGGGCGCCTCTTCGCGCGCCTTGTTGAACCTGTTGTTAGCTCCTATGATCAAACCTTGGTTGCACGTACTTGGGCAATATCTCTCTCAGAAATGCTGTCGCGTTGACGCGCACTTCACGCTCCTGAGTCTCACCGCTCCCGCCCCATGTCCGGGCGGCGCTCGCAGCGCCGTAGATGACCGTGCGGTCAGGCACACACCCCTCATCTTGGACCAGGGAGTGGGAGGGGCTGACCGACGTTCCCGCTCCGATAGTACACGCATTGCCGACGCGCACGCCGAGACACCTACTGCGTGGAGCGAGGGTGCACCATTCGCCTACTGCCTGCTGATCATCATCAGGGACGAGGTCAACGATGGCGCCGACCATCACGACAGTGCCGGTCCCAATGGTCGCACGCCCGGGATGCCGGAAAATGACTTCCGCCATCTCTTCAATCACCACACCGTCCGCGAGGTAAATGCTTGCACCCTGCACGGCCATGATGGTCGCCTTTGGATGAACGACGCAGCCTTGCCCAAGCGTGATCGTGCCTTCCAAGCGAGACTCCGCCGCCACAAAGCTATTGTGGCCAGCACGCAAGGCCAGTCTGCGCTTCGTCGGAGAGCGGCGAGTTGGGCTGGAAGGAGGCCGCGGCGAAGAAGACGAAGAGGGGTATGTTGGGGTCCGAGGAGCAGATGCGAAGGAGGGACGGATCGGGGAGGTCTGTGGCGGCGCGTCTGGAGGAAGAGGGGCGAGAGATGGTGCTTGCGGCATCGCAATCGAGTGAATGAGGTCGAGACGGAGATGGGGAGGAGTCAAATGAGAAGAGGAGGAAGATGAAGTCTCGATGGGTTGGTGCGCGACGCGATGTACCACCTCCACCGCGGCATCAGAACCACGTGACCGTGACGCGACGAGTTCGCTCATCACTACCAGTTGTCCCAACTTCACCAACTCATCAACATCCATCATGTCGGCAACAGGAGCCACGCAGGCCGTGCCGCTGCATCTTACCTCGCTGGCCATTTTGGCGCCCAACAACTCGCCCCTTTAAGTCCACTCCTTCACAGGCAAGGATGACGAGCTGCGCGCTTACCATCTCGCGCATGGGGCGGTGGATGTAATTGAGGAGCGGAGTGAGTCTGTCCACGCTGAGAGAGTTGGGACAAGGCGCTATGGGATGGGAATCTAACAACAGTTGTCATGACCTCGTCGCCGAACAGGCCAGCAGACTCTTACCTTGGCCTCCTCTTCTGCATGGAAGACATGGCGTTGTGAGTTCCACTGGGGAAGGCAGGACGCGGAAGGTGTGCGCTGATTCCAGCTACGGCTTCCAAACGCCCACAAAGCTGCGCATGGTGCTAAGTGTTGCTCTCGTCGATGCTGCGGTTAAGGATGGGGATATCGTTGCCATCTTCCGCGCCGTGCACCAACTCCTGATCCGTGCCGTGAACAACCCGTTCTTGAGTTTGCCGGAGAGCTTTGCGGCAAAGCCAGCGTCGTCTGAAACATCAGACGGCGCGGAGAAGGCTGTGGATGGCAAGGAGACTGAAGGGACGGTGCCAACACGGGAGATGGACCGGCTGCGCCTCCGCAACGAACCTGTGCCAGACGACAGCATGTTCCGGTACGGGCCAGAAGACATCAAGGCCGACTGGCTGGTGAAGAGCAGTGTGTTTACGCGAGGGATTGAGAAGCTGGGCTCGCTGTTGGCGGGTCCACGGTGAGGCTGAGAGGGGGCGGGGCTGAGGTAGACGCAGGCGGTAGAAGAGTGCGGAGCCAGAGGAGGCTGGCAAGAGGGCAAGGCTAGAGAGCAAGCGGGTGGGAAGGCGAGACGGCAAGACGGCAAGACGGCAAGACGGCAAGAGAGCAAGAGTGGACAGGATAGAAGCCCTAGATTGTAAGTCCAGCTCGCCTGAGGAAAAATGAGAGCTGACGGCAGACACGCTTATGTATATTGCATCAAACGACATAGACACAGCTGGCACACTGACCCGCTCATTGAGCGTAGGTGGAGATATCCCGATGGTGGGTGTTGTAGTCAGTAATACCTAGAGCTGACATCAGCCTCCCCTTTCTCAATCGCTGATAATGGTCCAAGCTACGGAGGCGCAGACGGCTTGACCACTCTTCCCGCGCCCCCAAACGCTCCGCTCAGCCCATGCAGGTTGCAGCTCTCGGACCCAGAACCATGCCCTTCATTGACACGACGCTCAGAGCTGTGGGCTAGTGACAGATACGGGGCGGACATATGCATCACATGGAGCCACGGAGCCATAGGAGGACCTCCCATGCTAGGTCGGGCGGAACGCTGTCTCCCAGGATGTTCTCTGCGCCCTCGAGGCTCTCGTACCGCACACCCCTCAGCGCCAGGGAGATGTGCTCGAGTGCGTCCTGCGCAGCATCATCGGCGGCATTCTCGTGCTTGTCGAGCTCGATGGTGCACTCGGTAATCAGGGCGTGTCGGCTTGAGATGTGCGCGGTGAGCTTGCCGGCGGTCACTTCGCCGTGGATGATATTTGTGAATTCGGGCGTCTGGCCATACTGCCACTCCCATGACTGCCATCAGCATGTCACCCATGAGACTGCCCACCTTCATGTCCGCCATCCCCTCAGATACCTGCGGCAGCTCGACATCCTCTTCGTGCACATTATACTCTGAGACGTCGCCGCGATATGTGGCCACGAACTCGTCGCGCACAGCCCTCACGAAGTCGTCGTGCGTGATCTCCCTCTCGCCTGCCCTGTACGCGTTGATGGTCGAGACTGGCGCGCGATGCGAGGCGATCCCCTTCGTCTCCATCAGCGGATTGGAGGAGCGGAGGGCTGCGCCGAGATTCGCAACGTCCGACGAGATCAGCATTGTGCCATGATGGTATGCGCGGTGCGAGATGATCTTGTACGCGGACCCCGAGACCTGTTATCAGCCCTTCTCCCGCATCAACATACTTTGAGCTCGCCCTCCTTTGTCCCATCCGGGCGGAGCACGACGTCATTGCGCTCGTTGACGGTACAGCTCGGCACATTCAACCGCTCCCTGACTGCGCGCGAGACGAGCTCCGCGCCACCGTTCCGCGTGAACAATGCCCGGGGCGTGATGACGGAGAAGTTGGTGTTTCCCATGTCCTGGCGTCAGCCCGCTCCATTGCAGACACACATGATACACTGTCCCGCCGCCACTCCGCCGCCGCACGAGCGGCAGCCCGATCTCGCGCAGATACCGCGGCGTCGTCTCCTTCCATGGGTTTTGGTTACGCCCGATGACGACACATGGGATGTTGCGGTACACGAAGAGGATGGGCTGCTCCTTCGGTGTGTGTCGCAGCAACCAGTCTTCGTAGGAGAGGTTGAACCACGGGTCGGTGGAGTGCGAGACGTAGCACGCCGGCTGGGGTCAGCTGTGCGCCGCGGGCAGCGGAGGTGACTGACCGGTCCGAGGGTGATCTCCTCCGCGCGCGCGGCCGTGGATGAGAATGAGCGACAGCGTAATGTCCCGGCGAGTCGGGTGGTCGCGGTAGCCACGGTGCGCAGCTGCGCGAGCGTCGAGAGCATTGAAGTTGGAGCGATGAAGATGCTTGCGGGAATGACGCCGAAGATGTCGACCTCCACCGGTGGAGGTGGGCGGGCGGAACCAACCACCCAGAAGCGATTTCAGCGGCGCCGCAGAAGATCGACAACTTCACCGTGCTTTCCATGTCACAATTCCACTTTCTGATGCGCGAGTGCACTGACAATGTCTCCGACGCGATATGCCACAGTTTTCCGCTTGTTTGTATGCATGCCCGTCGAAGAGATGCTACTTTCTCGGCCGCATGAGGAGGAGGTAAGTGCGGGACCAAATACGCGCCTGTGTTCTCCAGTGATATCTCAGGCACTCATGACGCGGAAGCAATTCGACGCGTCGGGTTTGTTGTGATCGCGCCAAGCACGGTCCGCTCATCTTGTCACCTCTCACTACAACGATGAACCGCCGCGGCCACCTGTCCAAGAAGGTCTCGGGCGTCAAGATCCGGCCCAACACACGACGACACAGCGCGCTGCCGTTAGACGGGGACGAGATTGTGCGGAGCGCGTGGGACGAGGCACACGAAGACGAGGGTGAGGGTGAGTGGAGGTGGAGCGATGGGCGCCCGGTTTGTGGGACTGGCGGACTGGCGGGCCTTCGGCTGGCGTTGCTCGGCGGGAGTAGGGCTCACACCAGATGATGCGCCAATCGAGGCGGCCAACGCTAGCCGGCCGTGGAATGGCATCTCGATCACGTTTACGGGCGTCGCGGACAAGCCTGAGCTGAGCAAGCAGGTTCGCGCGCTGGGCGGGAGGATTGAGAGCGCCCTCACTGTCAGCACTACGCATGTTGTTGCGCCGGGATTTGGGAGCGCAAAGTACTTGGTGAGTGGCTGCCTCCGGTGACTGTCGTGTGCAGCTGAGGCGGCGAGCGTCGCCCTCGCCTCTCCCATCCAGTTCACTAACTGCAGTACGCAATAGAGCACGGAATACCAGTTCTGTCGCCTAGCTGGATCAACGATGCCCACCAAAGATGGCTGAACGGAGAGACGCTCGACGTGCCCGCCGTGAGATACCGTTCTGCGCCAGAGCTGACAACAGAGCGTCGAGGCCCACCGTCTACAGCCCTTTATCGGGCTCAAGATTGCCATATCCGGCATCGAGCAGATGGACCGCCGCAAGAGAGTTATCCAGCTGATCAAGGAGAACGGCGGGATATACAGCAAAGACCTCGACCGCTCCTGCACGCACCTCGTGAGCGCGCACAACGCGCTTGACAAGAGCAAGCAGAGCGAGAAGATCAAGTGGGCGCTCAAGGAGCAGGGCGACCGCGACGCCGGGCGGCGGCGCGGGCGGCGGTACGACGACGAAGACCAGGCGATCGTGTACGAGGAATGGCTGTGGGACTGCGTGGGGTATCGCGGGCGATGGCCTGAGAAGGACTACGACGCGCGCAAGCCCCGGGGCAAGGGCAAGGTCACGCCCGAGGAGGTGATGGACGGCAGCGTGTACGAGCGCCTGCGTCCGCCACCGCCTGTGCCGGTCGACGAGGACCAGCCCATCGTAGTCCGCAAGGACAAGCGCGGGACGCGGGATTCACTCGTTGGCGAGTTGTTGTCGGTGTCCAACATTCCCGTTCCTGAGGTACGGGCGCCTGAAGCCGAGGTCGAACCCGCCGCCAAGGTCGAAGAGGCTGTGGAGGAGGCGCTGCCGAGCCGCGCGGGCGACGTGTTCGAGCGTAAGGAGTCCCGCTTGCATGCGTCGCGGACCGGCGCGTTCGATGCCGGGCCATCACGTACCTCGCCCCCTGCCGATGCTTCTAGAGTGGCGGAGAAGAGGCTCTTTGCCGGGCTACGCTTCAGCCACACTATCGAAAGCGCAGAAGTGCTCGAGAAGGCGATCAGGATGAGAGGCGGGGCATGGGTGTCGGAGGCTGAGCGCTTGCGAGGCGCTGAAGTCGACTACGTGATCATCAGGTTGTGAGTGGCGGAGGATGTAGATGGACATGACGAAGCTCGTGCTGACCACAGGGGTTCGACTGCGCCCGCGCCTGCAGCGGACGGACCCCAGCCCGTGGTAGTCACCGAATGCTGGGTCGAAGCGTGCATCTACGAGAAGGCACTATTGGCACCAGAACGGAACGTGATTTTCCGGCCGCTGCCGTTCACGACTCCGCTGGAGGGCGCGGGCGCGATCGTCGCGCACGTCTCCGGCTTTAAAACGGACCAGGCGGTGTATCTACGGCGCATGCTCAAGGCTGCGGGTGAGTGGCGGTTGCGAGGGCGCTGACGCCAGGCATAGAGGTCAGCAAGGCGCTGGCGCGGGGGAAGATTACACACGTCGTCCTCGCTGCGCCCGAGGGGCGCAAGTTCGAGTCGGCACGGCAATGGGGCCTCGCCATCGTCAAGCCCTCGTGGGTGTGGACTATGGCGCACGAGGGCCGGATCGACCCCGTCGAGCAGCATGTGTTCGGCCCTGACGCTGAGGCACCGCGCAACATCTCGAAGACGGACTCGACGTCGAGCGAAGAACCGATTCTTGCACGCACAGTAGCCTCCACTGACTCGATACTCGGCCGCCAGCCCCCGCTGTCCGCGACGGAGCGCGTGCTGAACAACGCGACGCGCAGCCCGAGCCGCTCGCTGCCCGCCTCTCCCGGCAAGCCTGCGCCGCCACCGACGGTCGACGACGATGTCACCGCGCAACTGCGGCGGCTGGCGGAAGCTAACGCGCCGCGCGCCGTCCTCGTAAGTGCTCCCGACTGTTGCGCGCTTCCGCTAATGACAGCCGACGCGCCGCTCGCTCCCGTCGCGCCCGACGATCTCGACCTCGTCCGGGCCCACAGCGTCGCCCGCCCCACCCATCGATCTAGAAGTACACCCGCTGCCGCGCGAAGACGAGTCGATGCGCGTGACGTACGCGGACCCGGCGTCGGAGAAGGAGAAGCGCAAGCTCGTCGACCAGGTGCTGCGGGGCGCAGACGGCAAGCGGCGGCGTGTGTAGGACGGCATGCAGTGTGGCGCCACTGGGGATGACAAACTTTAAGCGCATGCCCGCCGCTCAGCTCGAGCCGCTACGCGTCGCTGTCGGCACAATTCGGCCCACTGCAACTGAGCAGCGCCACCATTCGACTGAATGAATGATGAATGGCAGTATGTGCCTGCACTGTCGGTTGTGCTGTTTCTGTGCCGGGTAGACGAGCCGGTGGAATGCAATCGTGTCGCGCAGCCGACGCGTCAGAACAGGACGGAGGCATGCTGCATGCTGCATGCTGCATGTGAGACACGAGATAGAGTCGGGTCGATGCAACAGAACTGGAGGTGCACGCGTAACGCCTTGGCCTGGGACATAGCCGGCGTAATGAGCGGGGAACAGTCCCCCCGCCTGAAAACTTGGCTGTTCACGTCATGGATTGGAGCAGTGGAACAATCGCATGGACTGCATCCCGCTGTGCCTCTCTCCTGTCCCCTCTCCCCCTCCCCGCATTGTGCGGCGCGCGCCGGCACGTAATCCCAGTTTGCGAGCGAGAAGACTTGCGTGACGTGTACGTGGCCATCACGCGGCGTCGGCCAAAGTCGGCACTGGGTGCCAGACAGATACCAGTTCCCACGCTTTTTTTGGCGCTGCGCCGTCGCGCCGTCCCTTCTGTCTGCCGCCCAATCCGCCACGGTCGTGTTCCGTGTTTTGCTCAGGGAGCTCTTGACGCTGCATGGAGCGGGCATACCGTCTACCGTCCGAGCATGCAAGCATGGATCATGGATCATGGGCTGTATAGCTGTCAAGCGGTCAAGCTGCCGCACAAAAGTTGCACGCAAAAAAAAAGACGCGAGGACGTCTCGTGGTCAACGTGCCGTGCCTGATTGACCTCAGGAAAGCTGAATCTTGACGCTGCGATGGACCCTTAGATAGGGCTTTCCTGAGATTTTTGCTCGAGATAGGCCCAGGCTGTTCCGCGAAAGAGATGAGATCAAGGCGGCCGCCATCGGGCCATGGGCGGGCCATCGAGTAGCGACGCCGCCACTGCCGGCGTCTACGTTACGAGGCAAGGCAAGGCAGCGTATGCAGCATGCTACCAGGGACTCAATGCAGCCTGTAGGAGTCTAGGGAGAGCCCCCGGGGCGCCGACTGTCATGTCACTTCACAAGGTGGAATGCCGAGCACGGGCGGGAGGCGGAGGCGGAGGCGGAGGGTGACTTGCTGCGGGGGCGGGGATGGTTGAGCGTGTGCATTGCTTGGGCGCTCGATAAAAGAGTGTGCGCCCCGCATCTTGTGCTCCACTATCACAACAAGCAGCTGGCACAAAGGTGGGTTTAGTACTCGCGTGGGCGCAGGTGTGGGCGCGGGCGCAGGTGTGGGCGCAGTGGACGTGGAGGCGGAGCGGTAGACTATACGCCGGCGCGCGGCCCGGCGGCGTCGAGTATCTGGGCACAAGAGAAAGGTGTGTGCTCGAGGAACGGCGAGGAGGAGGAGGAGGAGGAGGAGCACGTTTGTGGGCGGCATCTCTCGACTTGTTCCCACGAGTTCCCACCGTGGCAGGATAACCAGGGCTCTGAAAACGCGTTTGCCGCTCGCCAGCTCCCACGCCACTCCCACGCCCGTCCGGTATCGCTTGCTCTTTCCTCCTCCTCCTCGTCGTCCGCCGCGTCGGGCGAGAGCGGGCCATCCTCGAGTCTGCCCGCCACGTCACGATTCGAGAGGCTCGGCGGTTATGACGCTGGTCCCAGGGTGGGAGGACGGAAAGGGGCCCAGGCATCAGATTAGACGCGTTGAGGATTGTGAGGTGAGGAGGAGGAGGAGGAGGAGGATGGCGTACGGTGACCGCGTCAAGACACGCCTTGCCCCGGCCTGGCTGCGCTTTCGCCACCACCGCCGGCTTCCGTCTTTACACACAACTTGCATCGTCGTCTCTTTCTCTTTCTCTTCATCTACTTGAAAAGTCTCGTCTCGACTTGATACTCACACTCCATCTAGCTCTCTTTCATTCTCTCTCTCTCATTCTCAACACCACCACCACCACCACCACATCCACATCCACATCCACAATGGCCACCTCCGTCCAGACCCCCAACGGCATCGCTCCCCGTGAGTCTCCCTCTCTCCCTCACACACCCTCCCACACCCACCCACACCAATACTGACTATCCCAGACCTCAAGATCGTCGACCGTGTCAACTCGGTCCCCGTCGTTCACGACTCTGTCGCCTACGCCGAGTAAGTCACCAATCTCTCAGACCCCCAGCAAACCCGCTCACTCCGCAGGCACCTTATCAACTCGACCCAGATCACCTCGAACCTCTACCAGACCGTTCTCGGCCTCGCCGCCCGCGCTCTCCAGACCGCCGAGCCCGTCATCACCCGCACCCAGCCCCTCATCAACTCGGCTGACAACCTCGCCGTTGCCACCTTTGACCGTGTTGAGGCCGCCTTCCCTTGTAAGTTGATTCCGGCCTTGCGGAACATTTCACACAACTCGCACAGACCTCGGCCGCTGACCGTTACAGACCCCTTCAAGACCCCCACTCAGGAGCTCGCTGGCTTCAAGCAGGCCAAGGCCTTCCACGATGCGGTACGTGCATGGCTAATGTTCACATCCTGTTGGCCGAAACTGACAATCTCAGCGTGTTGTTCCCGCCATCGAGGAGGTCCTGAAGAAGACCTCGGCCATCAACACCGAGCTCGGCTCGCTCCAGACCCGTGCCGCCGAGGTCATCCACAAGGGCGAGAAGGCATCCCACGAGCTGGTTGAGCAGCTCAAGGCCCTCCGCGAGCAGTCCAAGGACCTTCCCGCCCAGCTCATCGACGGCCTCGGCAAGGTGACTACCGACGTCAAGGCAATCGTTCTCGCCAAGGACGGCACCGTTCAGGAGAAGACCAACAAGCTCGGCTCGTACGTTGTCGAGCAGGTCAAGCCTATCATCGACGAGATTTACAAGCACGTCGTTGGCGCCAAGAAGGCCGCTGTCGAGAAGGCGCAGGCCGCGGCTCCTCAGCAGCAGCAGACCCCCGCTCCCTCCCAGGAGAAGGTCCCCGACACCCACTCGGAGTAGAAAACTCTGAGAGGTGTGTCGGTCGGCACGCAACGAGCCCCGCGTGCGCTAGGGCTATAGTATAGACTGATTCCTTCAAAACCCCTCCTAGCCTCCGGATGAGATGTTTATAGATTCATGTGCTTTGACGCCAAGGTCACCACCCGACGCTCATGATATCCCAGTGTTTTGTATCTGAAATGCGATGACTACTGCTTTGTGGGAGTTTGGTTGATGTGGGAAGGGGGCGCTATGGGATATCGCGCGTCAGGCGGGGGCTTGAGAAGAGGTACATGTATACCCCGCAGTGTATCTCTTGTTCCCTGCAATCCACGTCATCTTGGCTTGAACCTCCGAGGGCCGGCCCGGCTGAATCCTCCGAGCGACAGCCCGAGAGCGGGGTGGAGCATTGCAGACCCTGTACGATATGCTTAGTCGGAGTCGGGGTTGGCTGTAGCGGAAAGGGGAGGGGCGTGCTGGGTGTCGAGTATGTCGAGTCGATAGCGAGTTGCCGGCTGTCGGCCTGTCGGGCAACTGAGGCTGATACTGCATTGTGCGCTCCGTCTCTGATCTCTGACTCTATCGCTCTCCCCTTCGTTCTCTAGATCTGGGGCGCTGCATGTCGCGCATACGCGTAAGAGATGTAGTCCGGAATCTCCATCACGATCCTCCTCCGCTCCTCGGCTCTTCGCCGCTCGGACCTCGCTCTTGAGTCTTCACGCCTTCCGTCGCCAGGCTTCGCGAATCACCACCGCGTATCTCGTTTCACTCTCAGCATGCCGTGCGGCGTGGGGAATCTCCCCCGCACCTCTCACTTCCCCAAGCACCAAGCACCGCCAACTCACCCTCTCTACTCCCCTCCTCCTCCGCCTCTCGCCAATCACCCAAGGCACAACACGAGCGGAGCGCCGCCGTGGCAATAGAGAGGAGCGCCAGCGTCGACAACTGCGCCGCGCGCCATTGGGCGGACACGGGTGAGCTCGCCCATTGCCGCCTCGAGCCGCTGCCGGCCGGCCCGTTGACTTTAGACCCCGAGCGCCGGCGTTTATCTTCCACATTCTCGACGCGACTGCAGTGCAACCTCGACTCGGACTCTGATTCCGGCGACGACGACGACAAGACGACAAGACGACAAGACGACAAGAGGAGAAGAAATATGAGCGCTCGCTTGTTTGCTGCTTCGCTCCGCCGTGGCGCCCGCGGGCTTGTGACTGCCGCGCGGCCTGCGTCCAGGTCTGGCGCTGGCTCGGGGGGAGCTTGGGCAAGGAGGGCTGTCGTCGCTGGCGTGGTCGCTGTTCCTGTGAGTACTGGTGGGCGGGACGGGACGGGGAAGAGAGGAGAAGAGGTCACTGGGCGCCTCACGGTGGCGTCGCCCACGTAGCTTTGGAGCACCCGCGCAAGTCCGCAACCAGTGCAGTCGAGCGACCGAGTGACACCATTTTGGACGCTGAGGATGATACCCCAACTAACCCCAGACCATCTACTTCCTCACCCGCGACAATATCGAGCTCGACACAAGAGCTGCGCCCAAAGGCCGCAGCGTGAGCGTCGCCGATGTCATCCAGCGCCGCGAAGGCCCGGAGATTTGGGTCGTAATCGATGGCGAAGTATACGAGTACGCAACCCCCAACCCTCACTCCCCGCTCACACCAGCATGACAAAGTTCCTCGAAGACCACCCCGGCGGGCGCGACATCATCGTCGCGAACCGCTCGCGCGACGTGACCCCGATCTTCAAGCCGCGCCACCCCAGCGACCAGCTCATGCCGGGCCACTTGCCCGCAGACGTGAAGCACCTCGGCCCGCTCGAGCCCGCGAGCGCAGACGAGCTCGGAGCAATCAAGCTCCAGATCTCGGAGGAGCAGCTGGCCGAGGACGAGCGTGTGCGTGTCGAGCGCCAGAAGATGGAGGAGCGCGGGCTCGGCGTCATTGTCAACATGAAAGACTTTGAAAAGTTTGCCGAGCCGCTGTTATCCAAGGTCGCGTGGGCGTACTACGCGTCTGCAGGCGACGACGAGATCAGTGAGTTGCGGCAAGGTTGGCCTGCTGACACCAGCCAAACTCGCCAACGCATCGGCGTATCAGAAGGTACTGTTCCGCCCGCGCGTCCTCCGCCGCGTGGAACAATGCGACGCCTCGACGCGGCTCATGGGCTGCCCGTCCTCTCTGCCAATCTACATCGCCCCCGCCGCCATGGCCAAGCTCGGGCACCCGCTCGGCGAAATCAACTTGACACGCGGCGCCGGCAGCACCGGCATCATCCAGGGCATCAGCTCGAACGCGTCGTGCAGTATGGACGAGATGCTGGCGGAGCGGGAGGAGGGCCAACCCCTTTTCTACCAGCTCTACGTGAACCGCGACCGGGCGAAAGCCGAGGAGCTGGTGCGCAAGATTGATGCGGGCAAATTCGACGCAATCATGCTGACGGCGGACGCGCCGGTCGGTGGCAAGCGCGAGCGCGACATCCGGCTCAAGGGCGAGTTTGAGGGCCCGGCCGGCGGCGTCGCCGTGAAAAGCAAGGACACGGCGGGCGTCGCACAAGCCATGTTCGCGGGCGTCGACCCCAACCTCGACTGGGACGACGTGCGTTGGCTGCGCGGCCTCACCTCCATCCCCGTGATGGTGAAGGGGGTGCAGTGCGTCGAAGACGCGCTGCTCGCCTACGCCGCGGGATGCGACGGCATCGTCATCTCAAACCACGGCGGGCGGCAGCTCGACACGACGCGCCCCGCGCTCGACGTGCTCCTCGAGATCCGGCGGCTGGCGCCGCACCTCCTCCGCCCCGAGTTTCGGGCGCCGACAGGCCCGTCCGCCGACTCGCTCGCCGCGCCGGACCGCCTCACGCCCCCCGACCGCCCCGACGCGGCCGGCATGCCCCGCCGCTTCGAGATCTTCATCGACGGCGGCGTGAGCCGCGGCACCGACGTCGTCAAGGCGCTGTGCCTCGGCGCAAACGGCGTGGGTATCGGCCGCGGGTTTTTGTACGCGCAAAGCGTGGCCGGCGAAGAGGGCGTCGAGCACGCCGTGGAGATCATGAAGAGCGAGATCGAGCTCGCTATGCGCCTCCTCGGCGCCACCCGCATCGAGCAGCTGCGGCCGAGCATGGTCGAGGTTGTGGGGGAGCCGCCGCGGGCGGCGTAGGCAGGAATAGAGTACAATGCATACGAAATAGGGTCTATTGGGTTGGAAAAAACGTGCGCTAGTGCAGCGCGGCGGCCGTCTCGGCGCCGCCGGCTACGGACTTGCGGAACGAGTGGTCGTCGCCGCCGCCCGCGACGCGGTTGAGCCTCTGCTTCCCTGACGCGCCCCAAGATGCGCGCAATGCGCCGGTGACGGACCCCGCGACGAGCGAGAGGATGCCCCAGAACGCGCCTTGCAGGAACGGCGAGATGACCTGGGGTTAGCGATAAGCCCATCGGCGCCTCTCCAAGTGGTTCTAGCGGCCACGGAGCATCCGCGCTACGCATCCTGCTCTTTCCTCGATCCCCGCTCCGCTCAACCCCACCCCGCCCTTCTCCGCCGTCCCGATGCCTCCCTCTTCTTCCCCCACCAACCAAACCCACCTGATCCCGCAGCGTGATCCACGCCGCGCTCTTCCACACTACGGCCACCTCGCGCCCGCCCGCGATCTCGGCCTTCACGTCGTGCTCGCCGCGCAGCGCAGGCATCAGGCTGCGGAGGTAGGCCTGCTCGAAACGCATCTCGGGTATGGGGGGCATGGTAGCGCGCACGCGGCGGCGCGCGGCCTCGCGCGCGCGGTTGTGGTGCAGCTGCGCAGCGTCGAGCACCATCTCCTGCGGGAGGTCGGGGAAGGAGAGTGCGTCGGCCATTGGAGAGAGATGGAGGGAGGGGAGGCGGGGTGGGTGTGAGGTGGTAGTCGAGGGGCAGGCCGGGAGGGTGGATAGTGGAGGGTGGCGGGGGCCACGTGGGTTTACTCCCATATGTGTGGTGGCGATGTCACGCACGTCACTTCGCTTCATCCACCATGAGCTTTAACGATCTCGAGCGCGGGCTGGGCTCGGCGCGCCGCGCCGCCGGAGGTGGGTTTGATGGACGTGGTGGGCGGGAGATGGCTGCCGGACGAGCAGGCGGGCGGGAGAGCGAGGAGGAGCGGTGCGGGCGACTCCGCTGCGAGCTTAGGTCTCCGCAGCAGGTGGAGTCGGTCAACATCCGCTCCCATCGTTCCCGCTGGCGCGATTCGTCTGCTCACACCAGATGGCGACCCAGAGTTCTCGCGCGTCAAGGATGCTGTGTCGATTCAGATCTTCAAGATCCAGAGCAACGTGCAGGGTATCCAGCGGTTGATTGACAAGCTGGGGACCAATGCCGATGGGCCGGCTGTGCGGACGTCGCTGTGAGTGTGGGCGGGTGGACGTGGATCGGGCACCTGGACTCATCGCCGCTGGCGGGAAGACATGCAAGCAGAGAAACGCTGCGATCCGGGAACCCGGGGTGCCATCTCGGACTTGCGCCTGACGTGAGAACCGGCTGACAAACAGCCACAACCTGACAGAGTCCACCCGCGACATGGTCAAGAAGAGCACGGATGAGATCAAGGCGCTCACAGCATTCCCTTCTGGCGGGGAGGGACAGGTGCGCGCGCTCGCACTCTTTGGCCGACATGAATACTAACACGCAGGCGCAGCGCAAGGCGATCCAGTCCAAGCTGTCGCGCGAGTACACCTCGGCCCTCCAGGGTTTCCAGCGCGTGCAGCGCCTCAGCGCGGAGCGGCAACGGAGCACGGTCGAGGTGCAGAAGCGCGCGGTCGAGTTACAGGAGGAGGCGTGAGTGGCACCTCACGGTTAGCTCACCCCAGCAACGAGGACCGCGACAGCGTCGAGCTCGAGCGCGTGCAGCTGCAGACGCAAGCGACGGCGCCGCAGATCACGCAGTCCGAGCTCGAGTTCCAGGAGCAGTTGATTGCGGAGCGCGAGGGCGAGATTCGCGAGATTGAGAGCGGAATACACGAGCTCAACGACATCTTCCGCGACCTCGGTGCGATCGTGCAGGAGCAGGGAGGGCTGATTGGTGAGTCTTGCTGAAATGGAGTTGGTGAGCGGTAATTGTGCAGGCAGCCAACCGCCTGTCCTTCTGGGAACAGGAGCATATTAAGCCAGCTGCCATTCTCACCTCATACCCCCTTTTGTTGTGGTTGGGCGCAGTATATATGCCTGCCTCTCACATTCACAACTGACGCCAGACAACATCGAGAGCAACATCGTCAACGTCCACGCACACACGACGTCGGCCGCCGAGGAACTGACCTCGGCGCACGAATACCAGCGCAAGGCCGGACGCCGTATGGCGTGCCTGCTAATTATCCTGGCCATTGTCGCCCTCTTCATCCTCCTCGCGATTCTGGCCTAGTTGTATCGTTATTATGCAGTGTTGGTGTGTGCGGGCCGCGCGGAGCGCGGGCAGCAGTGGGTGCGAGTGTCCCGTAGCGCTGTGGCAGGGGAGTGTCGATCCTTCGGCGATGTCTGGAGCTGTCTTCGGCCTGCGTCGGCACACCCCGCCGTCCGCGTCGATCTCTCGCGCGTCAGCGTGCAGTCCGCGAGCCGGCTCGGCTCACTACGTCTCGGCCCGCCAAGCTCGGTCTCGGCGTCGGCGTGACACGGCTCGCGGCGCTTGGCGTACAGTGACACGGCTCGTGACACAGCTCGGCCCACCACACCTCGTCATCTCATCTCCGTCCAGCCCCTCCACTTCCCTCCACCCCGCCTCACGCCCCAACGATGCACCCGCGGCCGCCGCCTGCGCGCCGCATCGCCGCAGCGCCAAGCCCCAATGTTCACTTGCACAGATTGCGATAAACCCTGGAATGGGCTCGATATTTCGAACGCGCACAATAGTTCCCCCGACCCGCGAGCCGCCTGCCAGCCCGCTAGCCCGCCGACCCGCCCCTGTCAATCAGGCACGGGTCTGGGCGCGGCGCAAAATTGCCACCCAGGCTGCCGAGGCCGTCGTGACGTCTGCAGTCGAGCACTCAGCTGATCAATTCACTGGCGCTAGAACTGCGAGAAGCGAGTGAGACACGTCGCGACGTGGCAAGCACAAGCAGCTCGACGCAAAGTAGACTGGTATACATGCATTACTACAGACACTAGTGGGGCAACAATGATAATGATATGCAGGTGTGTGTGTTCGCGTCGCTGCCGCTCGGGCTCATGGTCGTAGCGGCGGTCGTGCGCGCTATCGTTGCTCGGACAGTGTGGGGCGCTCAGATCAGCGCGTGGAGTTTGGGGTCGCGCGAGGGGTCAAAGTGGCGGGGCTCTTCGCGGAGGAGCGAGAGCGCGCTGGCCCACGACGCGCGGCGCGGCTCCTGTTTAGGCTGCTGGGCGGTAGGTTGCTTGGACTGTTTCGAGACGCGGGCTGATTGTCAGCAAACAAGACGGCGAGTGTGAAGGGAGGAGGGGAGGGTCCCGTGGCACTGTCCCGAACCAAGTGCATGAGTGATGCACCCAAGCGCGAGCACTGTTCCCACCGCCACACATTCTTCATCCACCATCCGCCACAGTGGCAGACTGTACTCACCACCGTCGGCCCACTCGTCGCCGCGAGAGAACGCGTGTGTTCCAGCCTCGAAAGTCGCGAGGAAAGAGTTGAGACGGTCCTGGTGTCCGGTGGTAGGCGAGGCGAGGGGGGTGGTGGTCGCCGATGAAGACGCCGAGGACAGGCGAGGGATGGTGATGAACGTCATGGTGTGTGGGTGGATTGAATGGATGTGGATGAGATTGCGAGAGGAGATCCCGAGAGGTGAGGACGAGTAGAGAGTAGTAGAGTCGAGATGAGATCAAGTAAATGAGCAGATGAGTAGATGAGAGATAGCGAGTGGATGGATGGCCGATGGACACTGAGCGACTCAGGGTTCGGCGCCGTTGACCCACGTTTCGGCCCACGGCCATGTGATGCCCTGTGTAATCCCTGAGCGACGGAGCGGAAACGGCAACAATCCCCGCACTTTCCCTCTCCTCATTCACCGACCATCTCCGATTCACCGTCACAATCTGCTTCCGTCATCTCCCCGCAATCTCCATCCTCTAGCGAGCTCATGCAGTGCCAAGAGACCTGCGTCATGCATGCGCGCACCGTCGAGAGTGCAGTACAAGTCTGGCTGGGCGCGTAGACGCGTAGACGCGCTGCTGCACATCACATCATCGGCGACCATCACCCGCACACCGGCGACTTGCACCCCATCCTCTTTGGCCTCGTCCGTGCGCCCCGCAGCCCGCAGCCCGCAGCCCGCAGCCCGCAACGCAACAGTCGCATCGACCGACCTCTGCTCAGACCCATCGCTTCCCCGCACGCAAACTCGAGCTGTGCGGCCGATGCAGTGGAGCGCACAGCATGCAGCCTGCGGATACCCCACAAAATCTGCGGGGTCCCGCCCACCGCCCAGCCTGGGCCCGCGGACGCCGGAATCCGAACGCCGCGTCCAGACTTGCAGCCGCATTCCACTGATCTACTGAGACTGCGCCAGCTGCACTGACGTGGTGGCAAATACCCCGCACTCCCGCAGGCATTCCTGGGGTAGCGGGGGTCAGAGAGCCGCGCACCGAAGACCGGGATCTGGCGCTGGCGGCTGGCGCTATTTGGCGGGTGTGGCCTCGTGATCTGGGGTGCGGGGATGCAGGCGGCAGTTGGCGGGGCTTGCGGGGTAGATCGAGTCGTGTGAGCTGGCTCGGCCGCGGGAGGTCGTTGGCGGTCGGCGATGTGCGTGAAGTGTTTCCACTTCACACTGTGTCTTTCGGTGATGGGCGATCGGTCATCAGCGACACAAGATGATTTCCCATGAATGAGGACAGCGGAGTAATAACATGGTGCAAGTAGGCGGTCTGGATGCGAGTACAGCCTGTCAGCATTGGCAGGACTCAATCTCCGTATTGGGCAGTGACCTCCTTCTGAAATTCAGACACTGGCGCACTACTGTGGTGGCGCGTGGCGTCTCAATGAACAAACTGTGACAGTTTAGACGATCAATCGTGTCGCTGCGGTGATTCAGTGCATTGACTCAAGCTCTCATACATCTCAGCAAGACAAATGAAGTGAGATGCGTGCGTCGAGCGACGTGCATCGACTGAATAGCCCGATCTTAAGGAGGGTTCGGCAGGCAACTGCCGCTCGCCAGCACACAGTGGCCAGGTGCCATGTGATCACCCGTCGCGAGACCACGCGCAGCGATGGCGCCAAGAGATCTCGATCGGCGTTACGCACGGCAATGGACAATACGAAGCTAAATCCATCGTCTACAAGATGCATGTGCCCGGCGACCTGAGACGGACATCCGCTGTCGGCGCAGAAAACCGACGGCTATGGGCCTACATGAATGAGGATACATGAATGAGGACGATAAGCCTCCACCGCGGAGATTGGCGTGATATCGCGTTCCATGGCCCCTCCGTCCATGCACAGTATCACACCTCCAAGTGGCCATCGAGCATCCGCTGCGCCCGGCTGCCTTGCCCTCCTACGCCTCGCACTGCATCCCCCCGAGGCCTCTCTGATCGTATAGTGGCTAGTATGCTCGCTTGTCATGCAGACCGCGGGAGACCGGAGTTCAATTCTCCGTCAGAGAGTCGGTGATGCGTCTACGCGTTTTTGCTATCGGCCCTGGACGGAAGTCGAATCTCCGCTTATCGATAACCCGTGCCTGTGCCTATCGCGCGAATGACTTTTGGTGCGGTATGCAGTCCACGCTGCCCGCTGCCCCACCACTGCCCACTGCCCACTGCTCACTGCCCACTGCCCATGCCGTCCAAGCCGGTGCGTGCGTCCGCTGCGCTGCTCACGCCCACCCACGCAACATTCCCTGCGCTCGGCCGCGGCGTGCCTGTCGACCCGACCTTCGGTGGCTGTGGCGCAGCACGAAGGTATGAATGACGGATCGGATCGAGGCTCATCTGCTGATCAAACAATGAGACCGGGACATGGGACATGGGCCAGCGGCCAGCGGCCAGCAGGCGTCTGCTCGACGTGGTCCTGGGGCTGTGCGGGGCCAGTGCGAAGAGTGGCCGCCCGACCCGAAGACTGATCTGCCGCCGCTGACCGATCAGCCGACGCCACCCAAGGCCAGAGGATCAGAGGCCAAGGCAGATACAGATGCAGATTTTGCATGCAGGATGGGGGGAGAGAGGAATAGGAATGGGGGAGTGGGACAGGGGAAGAAGATAGACCCCAATTTCGAAGATGTGCCCGAGCGCGCTTGTGCGTCGCAGAATGCTTGCCACGCACGGCTGCATCCGACACGGCAGCTCGGCGGCAGCTCGGCACTAAGCGCTGATGCTTCGGTGGCTTGGTGTGTAGATCCCCCATCCGAATAAATCTCATGTGAGAGAGTGGCATGGCCGTCGAGCCGTCGAGAAGCCACGCCAAGGAGAAGAGCCAAGGTGAGCGGGGTTTTCGGTGTGAGTCAGCGTCGTTATCAGACCAGATCTGTGCGCACGGGCATGGCAGCGGGCCATGCTGGCCAGTTGCAGTTCAGTGACACGTCGCGGGAGGCCGCTGGGATCATGGGAACTGGTTTGCCCTGGGGCGAGTGAAGAGGCACGCCGAATACGAAGAGGCGACGGGCGGACGAGGCGGCGGGCGAAGATACATGGCGTACCCTGTATGTCACATTCCGGCGGACGCCGAGGGGTTGGCCGTGTTCAACAGCGTTGGTGTGCAGGATGAGCGAGTGGAGCACAGGGTGGAACGGAGGAGCGTTCGGACGTGTCGGCTGCGTCGCAAGGGGCATGAGGGTGAGTGACGCTGCATGGACGGCGGATGACTGCGGGACTGCGACGGACCCGATGGCTACGTCAGTCGAGCGGACCGAGCGAGTGAGCGAGTGAGCGAGTGAGCGAGTCGAGCAAAGAGCCGCCGGCGTTGCCCGACGCAGACGCCTGCACGCCTGGGCATTGCCCAAGTCGCGCCCGAGCGTGCTCCAATCCAAGCGGGCCACTAAGCATCCGGGGTGCTCGGCGCGCCCTGCAGGGCGACAGACCAGTGTGGTGCGACTGCGTCGACATGCATGCATGCATGCTGTGTCTTCGGCAGCGGCCGCGGCGGGCGCTCTAGAGGCCTAGAGGACAGTCGGCATGTGGTGTGCTCATGTGGGAGGGGGCGGAGGGCGCTCATTGATGGCGGCGGCGCATGTGCTTGTGGCACGATAGGATTTATCTCTCACCAACAGTCAGGTGACGCGACGCCGCGGCGAGCATGTACCGCGGCCCAGGCCGAGACTAGAAGCAGGCTTCTCCTCCCCTGCCAGGAACTGACAAGGGGATGGTGAGGGGACACAGGTTCCAGCGTGCATTGAGGGATGTGAAGGACAGAGGAGGAGAGGGGGGGGGGGGGGGAGGGGAGAAGCGCGAGCCACCAGAGACTGCAATGGCGTGTTGGTGTGTGTTTAGGCTGCCCGCTGCCTGCATGCCTGTATAGCTTTGTATTCAGTGTGCCAGTGTGCCAGTGTGCCCGAGGAGCGCAATCGGGTGGCCACAAGGTGTCAGCTGCGGGACATCCGAGGCGAGTAGCGTGCGCGGTTTACCGCTGGCGGCTGCACCCGGCTGCCGTGTGTCTGCTGTCTGCCGCCTACCGCCAGGGCATGAGGCTTGAAGCGTGTTGAGAATTCATCGTCCATGGGGCTCATGGGTCGTAAAGCATGTCTCGGGTGCTAGAGGCTGGCGGCCTGGCGGCTGGAGGCTCAAGGACGGCGGTGGGAAGTGAGAGATGCAACGACGAGCGAGTGGGTATATCCGGGGACCCCACAGTGTTGGAGGAGGAGAAGCGCTGAATTTCCCGGGCGAATGCCCTCTGGCAAATGGAAAAGTCAATCCGATTAATCTCTCCTCATCATCCTCGATCCTCGTCTTTCATCCTCTACTCATCTTCACACAAAAGCCAAGCGGGAACAAGAGCTGCTCTGCTCGATACCCAAGGGCAAAGGCTACCTCGTCGTCGCATCGCTTTCATCCCCCTTGTGCTCTCTCCTCCTCCTACACACCCCCTGCACACTCACACATCATCACCGACTCCTCGCATCCACCCACCCAAAATTTGGGCCAATACAACTTCTCGTCAAGTTCTACAAACTTCTCCAAGCAAGCCTCCGGCCAGCCACTCGCTAGCTCGCTAGCTCGCCAGCAGGCCACGACCGCGACACAACGCGACTCGGACGACAAGGATTTTACACCACGACTCACTCGGAGCGAACAGGGGAAGCAGTGTCACATCGAGCATCAAGTAGCGAGAGCTCTCATCATCATCATTGGCACTATCATTCATTAGCCTGCCTTTCAATTCCGTAGACTCTCCTCACCACACTTCTACTTCTACCACCACCACCACCACCACCACCGCCGCCGCCATCGATCACCACCAGAGGTCTATCACCTTGCTCATCCTTCAACCACCCCTCGCTGGTGTACTCAACTCTACCCACAATGGCACTTCTTACCAACTACGACGGCAGCCTCCTCGAATCCGGGTGGCCCAGTAACGTCATGACGGCCACAGGAACCAACTCAAAGCTGGCACCCTTCGCCGACGATTTCTCCTTCGAGTCCGTCGCGCACGTCTCCGATGCGTCCGGTCAGGGCTACTATTCCAACTACATGGATTCGCCCACCCTGCCCCCCGCCCAAGTCTTTGACACTGGCCTCCCCACTCACAGCCACCACTCGAGCGGTGCGGGAGTCACTGTGGCGCCAATGCCCGTGCCGCCTGCGCCCATCAATGGCAACACACTTTCGGCCAACCTCCAGCGCGTGGTCGATGCCAACGCCAACGCCAACGCCGGCGCCAACGCTCTGCAGCTCGACACGGCGACCCTCACCCCCTCGGGCTCGCCGCGTACCAACGGCTACCCGAGCCCGTCGTTCGAGTTCTCGCCTACTCCAGGCCTCACCCACCAGACTGTGCGGACCCCTGGTCCGCGCAGCCACTCGCGCTGCTCCTCGCGCTCCTCCGACGGCCTCGCGAGCGGCCTCACCTCGGTCGTCGTGACTCCTGGCGGCGGCTCTCCCATCCTCCCCATCCGCACGGCGCTCGGCGGCGGCGGACGCAAGAACTCGGCCGTCGCCAACGGCACATTCATCCCCAAGAAGACGCACATGTGCCCGTACGAGGCCTGCGAGCGCCACACGCGCACGTTCCGCTCGAACGCGGATCTGCAGCGCCACATCCGCTCGCACAAAGGCGAAAAGCCCCACAAGTGTCCCTCCCACGACTGCCAGAAAGCCTACGGCCAGCAGAACAAGATGGTCAAGCACGTCGAGAGCCAGCACCCGCACCTGCTCCCCATGGTCGAGCTGGGCCGCACACGCACGCGCCGCACCGCCCTGCCGCGCACCGTCAACGTGCGCCACGTCGGCGTCGCTTCGCCGTTCGCCAAGCCCTCGGCACTCGCCTACTCGTACCCCAGCACGCCGGTGCAGTCGCCGCCCCTCACCACGGCCCCGCCCTCCGCCGGCTCGCTGTACAACAGCCCCCTCAACTTTGCGCACTCGCGCGCGGCGCCCTACCCGCCCCGCTCCGGCCACCAGCTGCACCAGATGGCGCGCACCCACAGCACAGGCAGCACGGGGTCGGCCAGCGGCCTCGGCGCCGGCTTCCAGCTCCCGCCCTCGTTCGGGTCGCAGTACTGCGCGTCTGGCTCCATGACGTGGTGGAACCCCACGTCATGAGCTGCAAGTCAAGCTCCGCCTGATCAGAGCAAAGCTCCCACACCCTGTACCATCCCACTCCGACACCATGCTAGCGAACCCCCTCCCACCGCCCATACCTGTCAACATGTCACGACGCATCCTCATCATACAAACGCATTCGCATCGCATCGGCCGGCCATATCAAACCTCCATCCTCAAATCCATCACATGTGCATATCATCCATCACGAGCTCGGCGCATCGGCGACCCCGGACACTCGCCTCTCATCACACAACAAACATCATGCAAAAAGAGAGAAGAAGAAGACGTAGCTGTCAAAGTACCCGTAGGGCAACATCATGCATAGCCATTTGTCCTTTGTGCGCGGTTGCGAGGACGTTGCTTGTACCGTTCTGGCTGGGATACCTGGCATGCTGGCATGCCACAGTGCCTCTCTTCCCTCGTGGCTGACGGCATGTCGCGAGCTAATGACGGAATCATACTGATGCCGATCACTACAGATCATCATCATCCAACGCCCCTCGTCTGTGCGCCGCCCAAAAGCACCCCATGGTCGGCCACAGCAACGGAGCGCAAAGGCAAACAGATCTCTGATCGTCGGTTGGCCAGATATGCATCCCCTCTACACACTTATATGATCGATGTTTACAGCAACAGCTTGAAACGCTCGATGCCAAGGCGAATTGTCTCGATCTCGGCCTCGAACTTCTGCAGCTTCTCAGCGTTCTCAGCACGGACCTCCTCGCGGATCTTGGTCTCGTAGTTGGCCTGCTGTGTGACCTTGACAAGCTTGTCGCGGTTGCCCTCGGCGAGCGCCTGCTTCTTCTCAAGCTTGCCAATCTCGGCGTTGGCGTCGACCTTGCCCTCAACAGGGACGTGGACGTTGACCTCGGCGGTGACGGTCTCGGTACCGCACCCGCGAGGAACCTCGCTGTCCTCGGCGACGAAGAGCGCCTGCCCAGCACCCTTGGTGAGCGCCACGATGATAGGTGCCTGCGTCTCGAGCATGGCCTTGAGCTCGGGGTTCTTGGTCTGGACGACGACAGTGATCTTGTCCTCGAGCGTCTTGCCGTTCGTTGGCAAGTTGTACAGGCCGACAATGGTACGCGCCGACTTGATGACGTCGTTGACGAGGTTGAACTGGTTCTCGGCCTCAGGGAAGTTGTACTCGGAGATCTCCTCTGGGAAGGTAGAGACCATGATAGAGGGTGTCTCGTCGCCAGCGCGGCGGGGCAGGCGCTGCCACAAGTCCTCGGTAACGTACGGCATGAAGGGGTGGAGAAGCTTAAGACCGCCCTCGAGAGCGGTGTAAAGCGTGTTCTGGGCCGAGACCTTCTCTGGTGTGTCGTCGCCCGATTCGAAAGTCGGCTTGGTCGCCTCAATGAAGACGTCGCACAAGTCGTTCAAGAAGAAGCGGTATGCGTAGTTAGTCGCCTCGGCAAAGTCACGGTTCTCCATGCACGAGTTGACGCCCGCGGCGGCGATGTTAAGGCGCTGCAGCAGCCACTTCTCAGCAATGCTCTCCTTGCCGGTAGGCTGGCGTCAGCACGGTCGAGACTTGTCCGGAGAATCTCACCTTTGCCGAGTCGTTCGGGACGAAAGTGCTCTGCAGTCTCTTGCCCTCAAGGTCGACGAGACCAAGACGGAAAAGCGCAAACTTAGTGGCGTTCCAGAGCTTGTTGCAGAACTTGCGGTATCCCTCAACACGGCCGATCTCGAGGTTGATGTCTCGACCACCCTGGGCGTAGTTGCAGAGAGTGAAGCGGAGGGCGTCGGTGCCGCACTGAGGAATGCCCTTGGGGAAGAGCTTCTTCTGGCCCTGCTCGGCCTTCTGGATCTCCGACTCAGGCAGGTTGCCGCTTCGGAGGTCGTTGTGGAGCTTCTGCAGGTTCTGGCCAGTGATAACGTCAAGCGGGTCAATGACGTTGCCGGTCGACTTGGACATCTTGCGGCCCCAGGCGTCACGGACCATGGGGTGGAGGTAGACCTCCTTGAAGGGCATCTTGCCGGTGAGAACAGTGCCGAAGAAGGCCATGCGGGCAACCCAGAAGAAGATGATGTCCCATCCAGTCTCAAGGATCGAGTTGGGGTAGAAGTGCTCAAGGTCCTTGGTCTGTGCAGGTCAGCGCTGACATCAGAAAAGAGCTCACCTTGTTGGGCCAACCCATCGTGGAGAAGGGCCAGAGGCCGGAGGAGAACCATGTGTCGAGGACATCCTCGTCCTGCTCAAGAGTGTACTTGCGACCGTTGGCGCGCTTGTCGGCCTCCTTGGTGGCGTCCTCGAGCGAGCGGGCAATGATCCAGTTCTTCTCGTCGGCGCTGTCGGGGCTCTCACCCTCGTAAGACATGAGGTAGGCAGGGCACCGGTGGCCCCACCAAAGCTGACGCGAGATGCACCAGTCCTGCATGTTCTCCATCCACCGAGTCCAGTCACCCTGCATCGCCTTGGGCTTAAGCTCGAGCTCACCCGCGGCAGTGCGCTTAAGGACGTCGTCGGCCATCGGCTTGCAGCTGACCCACCACTGGGGCTTCATGATCGACTCGACGACATCGCCCGAGCGCGAGCAGATAGGGATAGACATGGCGTTGTCCTCCTGACCCACGTAGAGACCCTTCTCCTTGAGGGCCGCAACGACCTCATTCCTGACGTGGAAGCGCTTCTTGCCCGCGAAGGGGGCGGCGTTCTCGTTGTAGGTGCCATCGTCGTTCATCAGGCTGATGAACTCGAGGTTGTTGCGCTGGGCGCACTCGAAGTCATTGGGGTCGTGGGCGGGAGTGATCTTGACCGCACCAGTTCCGAACTCCATGTCTACGGTGATAGCGTCGGTGACGATGGGAATGCGGCGGCCATTGAAGGGGTGGACGACAAACTTGCCGTGGAGGTGCTTGTACCGCGGGTCGTCGGGGTGGACGGCAACGGCGGTATCACCAAGCATGGTCTCGGGACGTGTGGTGGCGACGACAATGAACTCGTCCGAGTTCTCAATAGGGTACTTGAAGGAGGTGATGACACCGAACTCGAAGCGCTCCTTGGCGTCGTAACCCTTGACGTTCATGAGAGTGCGCCCAGTCAGCTCCTTCTGGTCGACCTCGAGGTTGGACAGCGACGTGTTGAGGTAGCAGCACCAGTTGACGAGACGGTTGGCGCGGTAGATGAGGCCTTTCTCGTGCATAGTGATGAAGCCCTCCTTGACGGCCTCGGAGAGTTCCTGCTGTCAGCTGCCAGCCCCAAAGCTGAGCCTCAACCCACATCTGACATGGTGAAGGCCACACGGTCCCACGCAAACGATCCACCGAGACGGCGCATCTGGTTGGTAATGTTGGCCTGGTACCTGTACCGTCAATCTTCCATCGCAGTAACTGTCTCTGCGTCCACGACTCACTGGTCCTTCCAGTCCCAGACCTTCTCGAGGAACTTCTCGCGCCCGTAGTGATGCCGAGAGTGGCCCTCAGTCTTCAGCAAGCGGTTCTCGACAACAGCCTGGGTAGCGATACCGGCGTGGTCGTAGCCTGGGACAAAGATGGTGGTGTAACCCTGCATGCGCTTCCAGCGGATGAGCGCGTCCTGGATGGCGACGGTAAGAGCGTGGCCGATGTGCAGATTGCCAGTGACGTTGGGAGGGGGGAATGCCATGGAGAAAGTGCCCTTGGGAAGTGGTGAGCCGTCCTCCTGGTACTTGGGCTGGAAGAAGCCCTGCTTGTCCCACCAGGCGTAGTGGGCGGCCTCGACCTTGACGGGGTCGTAGCCGCCAGCCCAGAGGTCTCCGGAGACATCTGGGGCGTTAGTATGCCACACTGGTGCGGAATGTAACTCACCCTTCTTCTCGCCCTCCGGAGTGGGGTTGATCCACTCCTCGGCGGGCTGCTCGACCTTCTTCTCCTTCTCCTTCTTCTCCTTCTTGGGAGCAGCGGGCTGAGCAGAGGCAGTCGAAGCCTTAGCGGCCTGCTTGGCAGCCTTCTCCGCGAGCTTGGCGGCCTTTTTAGCTGTTTGTCAGCGCTATATATTCCATGCTGCAACACGTACCTCCCTTCTTCGACGGAGCGGAGCCGTCGGTAGTGGGGGTGCTGGCGCCGCTCGAGGCAGCGGGGGTAGCCTCAGCCTGGGGCTTAGTCGCCTCTGGGGCCGACATGGTGGGTGTGTAGTGAAAGTGGCGTGTGTTGAGTGGCAACTGGGTGCCAGATGCGAGTTGACGGCAGAGGAGAGCTAGGAGGGATGGTGATGAGTGGTGGAGTGCTCTGTGAGAGAGCTGTTTTGTGGTGGCGAAGAGGAGGTGGCGTATCATGCACCACCTTGAGAGCCGGGGACAACGTTAAATACGTTGTTTGAGGTGAACGAGTCGAGTGTGATGGTAGCGAGCACTTTCTTTGACTCGACGCCGAAATCGACAAGAGTCCGAGTTGAGCGCCGTTATCAAGCCAAAAAATGACGTGTGCATCGAGTTGGGACTCTGAAACGCGCTCGGTCGTGTGTCCTGGGTGGTGACGCTGACAGCCGCCGGATGCCTAGGTGGCCGATCGCTCACTCCGTCTGTCTTCACCTCATCTACACGCTTCACATCCCAAAGTTCTCATCCGACTCGACTCTTACTAGTCTTGTGCGCAAGTCCCGGACCGGGACAAGGGCATCATGATCTCGGTATGTCCCGCACAGCACCGCATAGACTGACTCCCAGGCATTCTTCATCTTCAACCAGAAGGGCGAGGTAAGGCCGACATCGCGAGTCGCGGCGCACAGCTGACAGCCAGGTGCTCATTTCCCGCCTCTTCCGTGCAGACCTGAAGTGCGTTTGCCACCCTTCTCCGTGTCGCTGCTGACCGCAGACGCTCGATAGCGGACGTGTTCCGCATCCAGGTCATTTCGAACCCGGACATCCGCTCGCCGATCATTACCCTCGGCTCGACGTCGTTCTTCCATGTGCGCCTCAACAACATCTTCGTGGTTGGCGTGACCAAGTACGCCCAGCGCGCGTGATTGCACTAACAGCAGGTGCAACGCGTCGGCGGCGCTCGTTTTCGAGTTCCTCTACCGCTTCATCACGATCTCGCGCAGCTACTTTGGCAAGCTTGACGAGGAGAGTGTCAAGAACAACTTTGTGTTAATCTACGAACTCCTCGACGAGATCCTTGACTTTGGGTATCCGCAGAACTCGGAAATCGACACGCTCAAGATGTACATCACGACGGAGGGCATCAAGTCTGAGATGGCCGTGGTTAGTGACGGCTAGGAGAGAGCGCACCATTGCAGGAGGCTGACAGCAGCGCGAGGACTCGAGCAAGATCACGATTCAGGCGACGGGCGCAACGTCATGGCGCCGCTCGGATGTCAAGTACCGGAAGAACGAGGCCTTCGTCGACGTGATCGAGACGGTCAACATGCTTATGAGCAAGGACGGCGCGGTGCTGCGCGCCGATGTCGACGGGCAGATCCTCATGCGCGCGTACTTGAGCGGCATGCCCGAATGCAAGTTCGGGCTGAACGACAAGCTCGTGCTGGCCAAGCACGGCGACAGCTCAGCGTCCAAGATGGACAACGCGGTCGAGCTCGACGACTGCCAGTTCCACCAGTGCGTGCGGCTGGGCAAGTTTGATACGGACCGCTCGATCAGCTTCATCCCGCCCGACGGCGAGTTCGAGCTCATGCGCTACCGCTCCACGAGCAACATCAACCTCCCCTTCCGGCTGCAGACGCACGTGACGGAGCCGACGAAGAGCCGCGTCGAATACACGATCCACCTCAAGGCCGCGTTCGACCACAAACTCAACGCTAACAACGTCGTGCTCCGCATCCCGACGCCGCTCAACACCACCAAGGCCGAGGTCAAGGTCGGCGTCGGCAAGGCGAAATACGTGCCTGCCGACAACGTCATTGTGTGGAAGTGAGTGCTGCGTGCAGGAAGGGGCGAACTGACCGCAGGATTCCAAGGATACAGGGGCAGCAGGAGTGCACGCTCACGGCTGAGGCCGACCTCGCGATGACGACGCATCGCCAGCCGTGGTCGCGGCCACCGATCGAGGTTGACTTTTCTGGTGACTACTGTGTGCAGAGGCGAACGCTGATCGCAGTCGTCATGTACACCGCGTCGGGATTGCTTGTCCGCTACCTCAAGGTCTTCGAGAAGTCAGGGGGTGAGCTCTGTTTCCGCCTTATACTGACGCTAAGCAAACTCCACCAAATGGGTGCGATACCTCACGAAGGCCAACGGTACCTACCAGATCCGGGTGAGTAGAACAGATTACGGTCTGCCCGAGTGCTGCTGACAGGCAGTTCTGATACCCGCCCCTCTTTATGTTGATTATGATGTAATATGTGCCACTGCACGGCACGGCGTGAGAACGGCCGCCACACTCAATCTGCCCTCAGCCTGCTTCGTTGGACGCAGCTGTCGCACAAATGACGCCTGTCTAATCCTATACGTGTCCAGATGATACAGAGGCATGGGTGTATGCTATGAAGACGGGCTTCTATTTTAGTATGAGAATGAGAATGTGTAGGATGTCGGTGATGAACAGTCTAGTGCGATCTAGCTGTGTGCAGATTGAGAGTGGGGTGTACAGTCTACCAAGTTCTGCGGACATTTTTACAGACGAGTCAGCCTACTCGTCGTTGCTCCTGCGCGAGCCCGAGCCCGAGCCCGAGCCCTCGGCATGAGGACCAAGAAGGCCCTCCTCCTCGCCCTCCTCACGGAGAGCGCGGCGGCGGCTGCGCTCGAGCTCCCATCCACGCTTGGAGCGACGGCCGCAGAGCTCGGTTCTGCCCTCCCTGTACTTCATGCGGACGAGAGTAGCGATGATAATGAACCAATACACCTCGTACGCGCCGCTGGCTGTTAGCCAATGCTGTAGCTGGGATGTAGAAACTTACACAGTCCAGTAGGTGCCGACATTGTTCCAGCCGACAAGAGACTGGGCGAGCTGCCAGAAGCCGCTGTAGCCCTCATGCCCAGGCTCGGGGTTGGAACCCCAGAGCTTCCAGATGTTGTGGGCGACGCGGAAAGAGCCGGGGCCGTCGCCGCCCTCAGCCGCGGCCGCACCAACGCCGTTGATGAAGTACTGGCGCTCGAGAGAGTACGCCGAGCGGCTTGCTAATCCGGCGCCCATCAGGAAGAGGATGACAGTCGAGAATGTTGTGAACCGCTGAAGCGTCATGGCCTCAGAGCGGGTAAAGAGAGTGACGGCAAGCACACCGCCGATCAGGAAGCCAGCGAGCGCACCGGTGAAGATCGAGAGGGGGGAACCTGTCAGGCCGATGCCGCCGAGGAAGACAACGCCCTCGAGACCCTCACGGAGCACCGTGATGAAAGGGAGGCCGAAGAGGATCCAGCCACGGGCAGCGCGGGCGCCCATCTTGCGGTGACGGCGACGGGCCGATGACGTTGACTTCTGGTCAACGCCGGCGGCTCCCTCGACAGCTTGGAGAAGCTTCAGGCGCCACTTCATGCGCGCATGAGGAAGGCGAAGGAAAGCAAGACCCATGACGAGGATGATAATAGCGGCAATACCGCACCAGATACCCTCCCAGAGGTTCTCAGCATCCTGCCAGAGATCGTGTGCAAAGGTGTAGAACTGGAGGGTCAGTGAACCGGCATACCGGAAGCAAGCGACTGCGGATGGAGGATGCGGAGAAAGGGTGGCGATAATCGGATCGATCCACTCACCACATAGAGGAAGATGGCGCCGACGAAGGCCGCCGCAGCGAGCCCGAGAAGCGCACCACTCCAAACTTGCGCCTTGAGATTGCGTACGATCTGCTCACGACTGTCCGGCCCAAACTGCTGGCCATTGCCGGCGGCTTCGTCGTCAGACAGCTCAAAGTCTGAGTCAAGGGCGCGGTTGGACTGCGTCGGGCTTAGGCTGGGCGACAGCAGCTGTGGTGGGATGGCCGGGGCTCGGTTCGAGTCCCGGCGTGCGCTGAAGGTCGAGTATGAGCCCTCGGTGTCTTCGGTGGGGGGAAGAAGCTCGGTGCGCGAGCCCCCCGCGCCGAGTGCTCCCCCAGTGGGGTTTACAGGGATGATCTGCTCGATGAAGCCGAGGAGGACGGCGACTGAAAGTCAGCATAGACGGGTGGAGGGCGCACTAATGATGCCGGCCTCGAGGGTCTCACGGAGGGCAATAAATGCCGCCACAGGCTGACAAACGTTAGCGTGCCATTCACCAGATCAATAGTGATCGGGCTATGCGGACTCACATTGAAGAAATCTGTCGACGCCGTCATGTTTTGGAGTTGAGAACGGCGTGCGCCGTCGGAAAGAGGAATGGAGAGAGGAGAGTGATGGAGAAGAGAGGAGTGGCGGGATGTGAGACTTTGGGCCGGCTGCGAGTGACCAGAGTCACGGCGCGTGGGATGGGGGAAGGGGTGGCGGAGTCGCGTCGGCCGATGGAGGAAAACGACTGCAGAGTGGAGGCGAGGGGGGGGTCAAGTCCGAAAGAAGGAACCTTTACCGATCGTATCGAGGTTCCGGCCAATTTAACTTTCCCACGGCTGCCTATTGTTTGCGGAGCCAAATACGCCACATGCCATCAGCATGGCTATCACGTGCGACTGATCGCCCAGGTTACCTGGTACCTGTACCGGGGTGAGGCATTTCCCTGAGGATATGGGACCGGAGAAAGGATAGTTAGGGGAAGCAACCAAGCTTAATCTGTAATGCTCGGCAAGCCACCCCGCTTGGGCGCCTTGGGTGTCGACGTTGACGACGACTGCCGAGGTGCCGAGACGCCTGACAGACGCCATGCATGCAGTGAAGCAGTACAGCAGGCCGCTTGCATCCTGCATCCCAGAGGCCGGAGATGAGGAGAGAGAGTGTACGGAGACGCCGAGACGCGCGCCACGTACCTCGTCGCGATTTGGTGGGCCGACTGCATCAGATCCCTTGTCCTTGTCAGTGATCAGCCTCTTCCCGCTCCCGCCGGAACTAATCTCTCGCGCGAGCTCTCTTCGCCTCCACGTTCATCAAAAGCAGCTCTCGCACATCTCCTACTCCTCTCTTGCATCTTGCAACAGGTCATCCTCGGCACTCGCGGAAAGACATCGTGTCAACGCCCGTGACACATCGACGTCCTCCGGAAGCGGCAACTCGAACTCGATCGCGTCTTGAACCATACCGACATTGAATTGGAGAGTGACAACCTAGCCCGACATTCATTCAATCATATCTCCAACTGCCGCTCTCACGCGCTTTAGCTTTAGCCAGACGCCGGCTTACCACCTCGGCTTTCGCTTTGCATACTTCTCCTCATCTTGCAACCCCGACGCTCCATTCCCCACATTCCCCATCAGCATGCCCTCCCCAAGTCCGCCCCTCCTCCCCACCCATTCTCCGCACGGCAGCCCCGTTGACGAGAGACACTCGCCCATCCACAACCTGCTCAAGAGTACACCCCGAGGCTCGCCTGCGTATGGGGAGAAGCATGGCAAGCACATGGTACGTCGCGCGCCCACTCGACAGCTGTACGGCGTTGCTGACTGCTCGCAGCCTCTGAGCGGAAAGGAGAAAGACGACGACTACATCACCACCAAGCCCACGGGGAAGGTCAACCTCCGCGCCGCTACCATCAGTGAGTGCGCGGCGGAAGCTCGCACTAGGCGGCAGCTCACACTCAGTCCCTATATGGATAGCCCTCTCATCCACGGTCATCATCTACAACAGTACGTCACTAGCTGGGAGAGTCAACGAGACGTACTGACCCCTCAGAGTACTTGTACTCTGTTGAGCACCTCAACTTCCCTTATGTGAGCAGTTGGGTCGCATCTTACGAGCTAACGAGTAGCCCATCTTCATGTGCGTCTCCCAGTGATCGCCGAGGTTTCCGGCCTCGACGCCAGGCCGCACGCGGCTATGCTAACTCGCAGCACCTCGTACCACCTAGGATGTGCGGTGGGTCTGGATCACGAGGAGCTGAGCTGACGACAGGCCCTCGGCACTCGCGTTCTGCGCGCAACGACGAACTTGATGGACGGCCTGGATAAGGTCCCCATGACGGTAGGTTGGGCGCCGACATCAAGCCTTTCATATGCTTACCGGCGGCAGCGTGACGTCTACATCAAGCGAATCATTCCCATTGGCATCCTCTTCTCTGGATCGCTGATCCTGAGCAACTCTGCGTACTTGACGTGGGTGCAAGTTTGTGCGGGGGTGCTGACGTGGACAGACTTAGCGTCTCCTTCATCCAGATGCTGAAGGCGTTTACACCTGTAGCCATTGTCTTGATCTCGGCAGTCTTCAAGATTCAGGCGCTCAACACGAAGCTGCTTGCGATCGTTGTTGTAAGGCACATTCTGGGCGGTCGCTGACAGCAGCTTATCTCGGTCGGCTGCGCATTGTGTTCGTACAGGCCGCCATGGGTTAGCAATCTCACTGACGACAGCCGCGTACGGCGAGCTCCACTTTGAGCTGTTGGGTTTCTTGTTCCAGACCAGCGCTGTGGTGGTGAGTAGTACAACATCCGGCAGGTCAATACTGATGTCCAGTTCGAGTCTTCGTGCGTCGAGAGATTCACCTTGAGGAGTATAACTAACCTCCCAGCCGGCTCGTGATGATCCAGGTTCTACTGCAGGGGCTCAAGGTAAGTTGATAAGTTGCACGTCTGCAGCTCGCAGATTCGATCGTAGTTGGCCCTGACACTCTCAGATGGACCCTCTCGTGTCGCTCCACTACTACGCCCCCGTGTGCTCCATTATCAACGCCTGCTTCCTGCCCTTCACTGAAGGCCTTGCGCCATTCCGCGAGCTCCCGCGGATCGGGCTATTCATCATGTCTACGAACGCCCTCGCTGCGTTCGGGCTGAATGTCGCGGCCGTGTTCTTGATCAGTGCAGCTGGCGGCCTGACCCTCACGCTTGCCGGCGTGTTCAAGGACATTCTCCTGATCACGGCGAGCGTCGTCTTCTTTGGCAGCCCCGTGACACTTGTACAGGTGTTTGGTGAGTTCTAAAACATGTCCAGACGCTGATAGAGAGGTTACTCGCTCGCTCTGTCCGGGTTATTCATCTACAAGAATGCGGCTGGGAAGAAGTAGCCTACGGACATTGAGACCAAGACTCGGGTTCCAGGACTTTGGTTTCCAGCACTGTGGCTGTAAATACAGAATATAGATGTGTGCATGGTTTAGACAAGGCACGTGGCGTGCGGTATTAGTGTGCGGTACAGGCGGCGATCAACAAGATCGTTCGCGAATTCGTGACGTGATGATGCGTGAGTGTCAGACCTGACTTCGAGCAAAGCCCGTCACTCGCATCCGCATGCTCCGCTATGCCTCGCCAAGCGTGGCGGGGACGAACGCCAGCCGGTCCTGGGGAAAGATATCGACACAGACGCAAAACACGCAGAATCCAACGAGGAGGAGCAAGCCGACTTGGACGGGATCGAGGTCGGACCGCCCGCGGACGCGATGCACGTGCGTGTGTACGTGCACTGGGCGCGCGAAGACGGGCGCGAGGAGCGGGAGCAGTGCGGGGAAGCCCGCGAGGTGCACGCGGCGGCGGAGGGCGCGGTACGTGCGCGGGCCCGTGGGGCGGGGGAGGGTGAGCATGAGGGTCGATGGGTGGATAGATGGATAGGTGGATAGGTGGAGAGGTGGATAGGTGGTTGTGGTGGACGAGGTGGAGATGGTGGGTGTTGAGAGATGGAGGGACGTAGAAGGATGAGGAGATGAAGGGGGCGCGCAGCGGCAGACGAGAAGACGGAGTCTACACTATATACCGGTCATGGCCTCATGCGCCATGCATGGCACCGTCAGCCATCTCTTCGATCTTTCGAAATGTTGCGAAAATCGCCAGAAAATTGTCGCGTGCCGTGTGGCGCGTGAATGGCACTAGGCAATTTGACTAAAGCAGTCGACGCTGACGCCTGAGAAGAGGGACACTGTAGGGTGTAGTCCCGTCTGAAGTATGCCCATATACATCTCAATGGGCCAGGAGCGGATCGAGTAACAAAATTTGAGTCAAGACATAGTTCGACATGGTCACATACAATGCTATTCTACAGTCTGGCCTGGTCGCGTGGCGGCCTGGCGTATGCCCAAATACAGCTGGTCGTATCGTGTGAATAAAAGTGAATTGCGAGGACGGGCGCGCGCCCCTTCTCCCGTTGTCGATGCTGGAGTCAGCGCTGCCCCTTTCCCTACTTACAATTCATGGTCCCTTGCGCATCCACTCTGCGGCCTTCGCTGGCGTACTTGGCGGCGAAGACTCTGACTCCATCGCCATCTCTCTCGCCATCTCCAAGGTCATCGACGACACAACAGTGACTTTGATTGCTCTGCTCTGCGCCGCGCTCTCTCGTGCCGCGTTCCAGACGCAGATCCCCTTGCAGATGAAGAGGAGGGCGAAGATGACTTGGAGGTTGGCGATGATTTCCGCGACCTCGTCTTCCGCGTGGTCGTGTGGGCGGTTGTATGGCGTAGGGCGCGGGGTGGTGGGGTGTGCTCGAGTGCGGTGAAGGCAGAAAGATGCGAGCACGATGGATACCGGCATTGGACAATGCTGATGATGAGATGAGATGAGATGGAAGATGGATGAGGGCTGGAATCTATCGATGACTGGGGGTTCATCTCGACGACGCGAGGAAGGTGGTGTTCTGCTGTCTGTTGCTTGGATAGCAGAGCTTAGCCCCACCTCCTGTTGACGGTCGCCGGCGACCTTCCTTTCGCCCACACCGCGAAGAGGATCGACTCGGCGGGAGTGAGAGCCACAGCCCGCCCCGGCCGCGCCCTCCTCGGCCTCCACACCCTCTTAGGCTTAGGCTCTTCTGGGACCGGGATGCGGAGGTACCGGATGTCCTGCACGGGAGTGATCTCTTGATATTCTTGCGTCTCCACCGAGTGAATGACGATGGTGGGTATAGGCAGCTCCGTCCAGTGCGGAGTCCGAGGAGGCGGGGGAGGCCCAGTCCTGCGGGGCGTGTAGGCCGTCGCGAGGTAGCGACGGTGTGCGTGTACCATGAGGGGAGTGGATTCAGGCTCTTGATATTTGCGGGCAGTCAACATGGTGACGAAGAGCAGGGCGGCGATGAGGAGTCCAACACCGAAGAAGGCGATCCAAATTGTGAGGGGGGAGAAGTCGGCTTCCGGAGAAACGGGACGTGTGGGGGGCATGGTGATGCGGTTGTTGATATTGTGTAAGTATGGATGGAGGATGGAAGGATGGAAATTTTGAGGAGGAGTGTAAACACGAGCAAACGGTGTGTGTATATGATGTTGAAGGGGATGGTGTACGCGTCATCCTAAATTCTTGCAGTCGACCAGCCCTCTTCCGTCGCTAAACCGGCCAGGCCCTCCAACCTCAGCCTCTTGCCGAGGTCTTCTCACGTGAGGATCAATGAATGGTCAACGTCGCCTTACGACCCATTCACGTGCTGAGCAATTGATTTCTCTTCGTGATGTCGTAGCTGGGTGGCGAATCTGTAATTCTGACATTCAAGCCAAGGGTGAGACAGTGGTGTGTCATGTTTCAGTTGCTCAACAGCTGTTAGGCCGCTGCGGTGCCACTTTGGTAATTGTTATTCGTTTTGCTGAGCTCCTCGGCCTCGGCAGTACCAAGCCATCGCCGTCCTGACGCAACTCCTCGTCCTGCAACCTGAAGTAATGATGCTCTGTACACTATGCACGTGACCAGCTACATCTCGGGCACCGGCGCCGGAAGGCCGGACCGAGTGATTGGCGACGGGGCACATTGTGCGCCCACGATCAGTGGCGGCCAGAAAGATACAAATCGTTCGCATCCTGTCATTTAGCGTGGATCTGTTCAGCGCCCAGCTTAGCCGCCGTCAGATCGGAGGTAAAGCCACTCTCATCACCATCTACTATCCCATCTCTCATCTCCCATCTCTCATCTCCCATCTTCATCTCCCATCGTCATATCCCCTCTCTCACCTCCCACCCCCTCCTTCGCCATCGCTCGGCATCAATGACCCCCCCGCCGCCCCTTCCGCTCTGGACGCTCATCCTGGCCCCGACGCTCCTCGGCCTCCTCCTCATCTTCACCTCGTTGTGGTGCATATACCGCGTGCGGCGGGTGAGGGCGCTCGCGGCGGCCGAGGACGCCGAGGCCGCGCGGCAGCGCGCACAGAGGGAGGTGTGCGACGAGCTGCGGCGGGCGCGGGACAAGGCGTATCGGGCGCACGTCGAGATGAGCGCCTCGAGCAGCGCCTCGCGCGGTTGGGCGGGCGTACCCCAGGACAGTGGGTGATGCCCGCGTAGACGCGCACATGTAAGACGCGAGAGTGGCTATGCTGAGGAGTGTCATAGGCTTCGGTTGACTCCCAAAGCAGAGGCTGGACTTTAGAGCTGTCTTGTACCATTTAGTAGGGCCATTAGCTGTAAACAGTAATACTGCACGCAACCAATCACACAACTCACAGCATAGCGCATGGCATTTTTGATCGTGACAACTGATGGAGTACAAAACAGCGCTACTTGTCGCTGCCGGATGCGTCGTCCGTCTCCATGCCGAAGACGGCCTCGGCCCGACGGCGGCGGTACATCTCTTCTGGGTCAAGGCTGTTGACGCTCTGCGGCACCAGCCCGGCGGCCTGCAGGGCGGGCGATGCGGCGCGCGCGCCCGCAACCGCAGCCTTGACAATGGGGTTGTTGCTGTGCGGTGCAAGGGAAGGAGAGGCGGAGCCGCGGCGCGCCGCCGTCGGCGCGTACAGCGACGTTGCGGGCGTTTTCAATACGGGGCCGCGGGCCGCGGGCGCGGGGCGCGAGAAGAGGCCGAACGACATCGTGCCCTTTGGCTGCGCGGGCGTGGAGGGGAGCATGACGCGGCCTTGTGGCGGCGTGCGCAGCACCACTGTTTCGCCCGACGAGGCCGAGTCGTCCAGACTGTCAAAGTTGAGAGCACTGTTCTCGCGCTTGAGCACGTCGCGGGACGGCCGCCGTGGCACAGGCTGGAACTGCGAGGGCGGCGGCGTGCGCTTCTTCGTCTTGGGCGTGAACGAGATGATGTTGTCCATGCTACCCTCGTCGTCCGAGTTGTCCCGCCCAAAGTCCATGCCGAGGTCGGATGCGCCCACGACCTTGTTCTTTGGCGTGTGCGTGTACTCCCGCACGGGCTTGACGTGGCGCGAGCGCAGGGGCGACGGCAGGCTGTCTTGCGCCGACGTGACGGGCGACTCGGGCTTGAAGGCCGCGCGCGCAGCGGCGTGGGCCGCCGCAACGTCCTCCTTGTCCTTTTCCAGGAGGCGGCTTCGTTCAAACGACTCATCAATCCAGTCGGCCATCTCGACGAGCACAGGGTCGATCTCGCGCATGAGCGCCGACATTTGCATAAAGCCGTGGCCCCAGCCCTCGATGATGCGCATCTGCACCCAGTCCTCATCAGTCTCTCTGAGGATGTGGTCGGGCGGCTCCTCGTTCGGCTTGCCCGTCGTCATGCGCAGCCCCTCGCCGTACTTGCTGCTCTTGTCGCCAGAGTTAGCGGCCTGCGCGCGGCGCGTGCGCTTCGCCTCGCGAAGTTTGCCTGCGAAAATGACCGTGTCGTCCACGAAGGGGTCGCGCTCGCCGCAGATGAGGTACACCGGTGGGAAGTGGGCGAGGTTTTGGGCGGGGGAGAGGAGGGGCGAGATGTAGTAGTCAGTCTCAAAGTCTGGGCAGCGCTGAGGACCGATGTAGAGAATGGCCATGGCGCGCATCATGGACGGCGAGATGACACGGTCCTGGAAGTAGCCGACTCGACTCGTCATGGTCAGCCTGGTAGCGAATGCCGCCTTGGCTTTGGGCTTCTGGGCGACGACCGGGTCGAGGACGCCTTCCTCGCCCGACAACGTGGGTTGGGGTGACGCTGACAAGATGCCGTCGGTGAAGCGCTCGTCGGCGAAGATGCCGGGAGTCTTGACTCGCTCTGCCAAGGTCTTGTCTGCTTCGCGGCGGCGGTCCGTCGACGGCTCGTACTCGTCGTCTGATGAGGATGCGTCGGAGAGATGTTCCGCAGAGTCGTTCTCCTCGCGCGACGCGAACCAGCCAGATTCGGTCCGCTTGGAGAGCGGCCTGGTCATGGTAAGCGGGCTCGACGGCTGGGTCTTGGACCCAGGCGTGCGGGGAGTCATGCCGAGGCCGAACGTGGCGCTGATCGAGTCGGCCCAACTTTTACGCGACTTGGCTGCAGGGCGCTTGGGCTTCTTGTCGACGTCGTCAACCACGGACAGGGGCGCTTTGTGGCGGAGATGATCCTTGCCGTGGGCGAGGCCAGGGATGTGTACCTCGGACTGCTCGGTCTGCAGAACTCTCAAGTTTGTGGGCGACATCCACGACGTGAAGTTGAAGTCGAGAGCGGGGTAGGCCAGGATCATGGCCACAGGGCGGGTAATGTGCTTGTGGTGTTCGAGAATGCGGTTCATAATTGTGGTGCAAATGTTGCCGCCGCTGATCGTTAGCTCGAGCTAGAAGACAGAGAGAGTGGTTGGACGTACGCGGAGTCGCCAGTGAGGACTACGCCGAGATGACGGCTTTTTATGCCGATCACTGCACCCTTGGTGTCGGTGACCGTGCGGTACGCGTCAATGCCCTCCTCGATAGCCCATGGGTACGGGTACTCGGGAGCCTTGCCATAGTCGATGCTGAGAATTGGCTTGCCCGTGCGAATTGCCCAGGTACGCAGACGCTCCTCGTGGCACTCGGGTCCCATGGCGATGAAGCCGCCGCCCGGGAAGTCCATGACAAGCTCGGTGGCTCTAGCGAGCTGCTTATCGGTACCGTTGAAGAGCAGCATCGCCTTTACGGGCGGGTTGTTGGCGCGCGACGATGTTGGAGGGCGGTGGATGTAGACATAGCGGACGATGGGGACCTTGGGCATGCGGAGCTTCATGACCCCTCGGAGCTACGCGTCAGGCGTGCACGTTCCTAGTGACTCACGTAGGGGTTGATAAACGTCTTCTCCCAGGTTGTGCGCAACATTTCGACGCTGCACAAGGCACGGTAACGGCGGAGCTGATGGCGTTAGAGTTGCCCCGGGACCTTGGCCAGTGATAAAAGACGCCACGACTTACCACTTCATCGCCTTCTGTCGCCCACATGAGGTAGTAGACGCCGAAGACGAGACTGCAAATGTCCTTGAGCCATTTTGGTCGGATTGTCATGGCCGACGCGAACCCAGCGTCTAGAGCAGTGTTGACATATGTGGCACGGTAGTATGATCTTGAGTACTGTTTTCGTCAGTTGTATGTCCGAGCCGGGCCGACATGTGTTCTGACACACCATCTTTGCCAGAGGTTCTGGGGCTATACTGTCAGCACAAGATGCCAAGTGGCGGATGGAGATGCCACTCACCTCCTATTCCTAAGAGATCGTCGAGGTGGCGCAGGGCGTACCCAACCGTCAGGGTGCCGAGAATAAGCTGGTAGGGTGTGAACGACTCTGTGCGTCAGTCGAGCGCTTATCTCCGCGTACTTAGTCTCCCGTTGATGTTCGACATCCAGCGTGGTCCGCTTCTCCGCGCGACGAGGAACGCCCATACTCGTCGCCACCATGTGCGGGAGTATGCGACGTTGCGCGGTGTTCGGCGGGCGATCCGCGACCGCCCGGCCATTGCACTTCCATCACCCTTGTAGAGCCGCCATACCCAGAAGAAGAGGACGAGGAAGATCTGGGTGCGGCGCACGGTTGGAGAGGGGCGGCCGAGGACTTGGTCGAGCATGACGACGGCTGCGGGTGCGGGTGCGGCTGCGAGTGCGGCTGCGGCTCCTGCGGCGACGGCGTGCGCTGCTCGCCGGTAATTGGTGGGAGCGGGGAGTGCGGGGTAGGCCGGGGCGGAGGCAGGGGGTGGCGGGAAGTGTGTCAGATGCGATGTGGACTAGTTGTGAGGGATGCAGAGGCCGAAGAGGGATGAATTGATGGTGTCTCCGAGTCGAATGCGAGAGGAAAGAGAGAGAGAGAGAGAGATGGTCGAGAGAGATGCAGTCGAGTGATGGGAGGAGTGAGGGAAGGTGGTGAGTGGCTGTAGAGTGGAGCGCGCTCTCGTCTCCCCGCCTTGGACTGTGCCTTACAACCTCCATTAAGCCGGCTAAAGCCTTCAGCCGGGCCTTTATATTCCCCTGTATTAGGTACGCACTAATCCAACTCCAATATTGTAATGGCATATTACTAATCAAACACGCGCTGATTAGATTACCCAGATTGAAAGTGATGTCACGAGCGGATAATAACAAGCCCCCTCGATGTCCACTCTCCATCCGACCATCATCCATCTCTTGATCTCTCTTGATCTCTCTTGATCTCTCTCAACTCTTCTCTGTTGCTCCAATCATGAAGCACACTCCACGACACGTCGCACTCGCCATCCCCTTCTGCCCCGCAACCCAACGCGTCCTCCTCATCACCTCGCGCAAACATCCAAACCTCTGGATCCGTACGTTGCCACCTCCATCCCAGTCTCCGCCCCCAAGCCCACTGACGCTCCATCACTCAATCAACCTCTTGCAATTCTGCACATCATACGCTCCTTGGTTGATCCCCCGTGGCCTGTGGACCATCACATGTCCCCGACGTCATCTCGGACACGCCCTCCGCGCCCTCCGCGCCCTCCGCCCCTTGCTCGTTTGCATTCCGCATCGGCATTTGGTTATCCAACAGTTCCAAAGGGCGGCGTCGATGACGGCGAGACCTCGGGTCAAGCGGCGGCCCGCGAAGCGCGCGAGGAAGGTGGGTTATGGAGTTCTGGATACTGGAGTGCGACATGGGTGTCAGGTGGCCGATACGTGCATCGTGCACGTCTTCGCCTATCGGGCACGTGCGTCGGCTGCGAATCGTTGACCGATGCAACCGAACTTTGGGTGCTGTCGGCCGTCAGCCGTCGACGCGGCAGCTTCCTCTTGCGCTCGCCCTGTCTTTATGCCCGCCCATGCCAAGCCCATCTCATCTATCCTACCCGCAAGCGGGTAGCTGACATCTTCAAAGTTGCTGATACCAGGCGGCCTCCCGACGCCCCGCGCGGTCTCAGACGAGCTGAGCGTGCTCGAGCCCCTCCCTGGACCCGGAAAGCGCCCGGAGATCTGGCACGCGCACGCACTCGAGATGGCGAGCGAGGATCTCGACGACGAGTGGTGGGCCCGCGTGCACACAGCGAGCTGATTGCAGGGACGAGAAGGGCCAGCGCGAACGGCGCTGGTTTACCGCCAAAGACGCGATCAAGGCGATTGAGAAGTGGGGGCCGCTGCTCGACGCCGAGGGGGATATGAGCCGCGGCGCGCCAAAGAAGAAGGCGGTGAAGGGGGACACGATGCTGCGGGCGTTCCAGGCGTTCGTCGTGAGGTATGGGTGGGAGGCGTAGGGGTGCAATGGGGCCGACTAGGTCGCGACAGAGAGCTGTGATAACTGTCATGAGTTTTTGCACGCGGTGTCACGAGGATCTACTGTGGCTATAGGCGTTCTGTCGACTATAATCGATCATAGAATGTGCATGCAAGATTAGGCATCGGCCCCTGTCCTACTTCTTCTTGCCCTTCTTCTTGCTCTGCCCACCACCACCCCCGCCGCCGCCTGTCGCGCCCTGCGTCCCAAGGCCCGTCACCTCCTTCTTCTTCTTCCCCCCAGGGGGGACGTACGACGCGCGCTGGCGCATGGGCAGCCACCGCTCGGCGTCCTCCGTGTACGGCTTCCCCTCCTCGGCACCCTTGGGCAGCCTGTGGCGCCTCTTCTTCGGCTTAGCGCTCGCCGCAGCGGCCATCGACGCCGACGCCGACGCAGCCGCAGCGGGCGCGGAGACGCGTGCACTCGGCACGGAGGGCACGCCCGCCTCGCCGGCCGGCAGGTGTGTCGCGTACTCGCGCGTAATGAACGCGAGCTGGGTGCGCGCGGCCGCCTGGTTGGTGCGGATGTCGTCGGCCTCGGCGGCGGCGCTGGGGAGGAGGGCGTCGTAGAGCGCCTGGGCGGCCTCGAACTCGCCGAGGCGGTAGCGCTGGTGTCAGAAAATAGCGGTCGGCGGGGGTGGGGAGGAGGGGAGGGAGGAAGAGGAGGAAGAGGAGAGGAAGATACCCACCACCTGCGCCTCGAGATGCTCTTCGCGGCGGGTACGCGTCTCGATGTCCTGCAGCTGCGCGAGCGCGTCGCGCTCCCGGTGCAGACGGTAGAGGCAGTATGCGCGCTCGAAGCGCAGGTCGGCCGGCGACGGCGGGTGCTCGACCAGGTCGAGCGCGGCCGCGTAGTCGTCCGTGTGGAGGTGTAGGAAGAGGAGGGTCTGGAAGGCCGAGGTGGACGCGGGGTCGAGCGCGAGGACTGGGGTTAGCGCTCCGAGCTTCTCGTCTCCCATCTCCTCTCTCACGTGTCCTGTTGACTCCCCCCCCCACACACACACTCACTCCGCTTGCACGTCTTCTTCGCGTTGTCGAAGAAGCCGTCGTTGACTTGGTCCGTGAGGGCGCGGTACAGGCGCGGAAGCCGCTGGGCGGCAGGCAGCGGCGGGCGCGGCGTGAACTTGCGCTTGCCGTCCACAATCTTGATCTCGCCCTTGGTCGGCGCCGCAGGGCGCGCGGGGGCCTTCTGTTGCTTCTTCGGCGGCATGCTGTGGGTTATATCAAGACGTCTGACGAGGCCGACGAGGCCGAGATGGGTCCTCAATCCACCCTCTCCACTTGCACCCACGTGGATTTGGTCCCGCACATCCGTCACCGCCGTTCGATTTGATGCATGATGGTACACGAAAACTACAGACAAGCCCACTGCGCCCGCAGCGCGCCCGTTTACGCAAAGGCCTGGTCGTTGATCATCTGGACCTCGATCTTGTGCTGGTTCTTGAAGCCAGTGGCAACAGAGCACGACGGGTTGCGGCCAGCGTACTCGACAGTCTTGCCCTTGTGGTGCTCGGTCTGGTTGGCGGCAAGCTCGAGACGGGGCGCAACGTAGCTGTGAGCGCCCATGTTGAGCGGCTCCTCCTGGACCCAGCAGATAGACGAGTTCTGCGTCCGTCAGCGCAAGTACAAAGAAGAGCTCTAAAATACTCACCGGGTACCTGTCGAGTTCGGGGGTGACCATGTCGTAGGGGAAGGGCGAGAGCTGCTCGACACGCGAGATGGCAACGTCCTTGATGCCACGGGCCTCACGCTCCTTCATGAGCTCGACGTAGACCTGACCCGAGCAGAGGATGTGCTTGCGGATCTTCTCAGGCGCCTCAAGGGCGTCGGGGGTGGCCTCGGGCAGGAAGCGCTCAAAGATGGTGTTGCCAGTCATCTCGGAAAGGTTGGAGCGGGCCATCGGGTGACGCAGGAGAGCCTTCGAGAAGAAGACAATGAGCGGCTTGCGGAAGTCACGCATCTGCTGGCGGCGGAGGGCGTGGAAGTAGTTGGCCGGGGTCGTGGGGTAGACGACCTGCATGTTGCAGTCCTGGATCTGGCGCTCAAGCTTCTCCGGCGAGGGGTAGACGCGCGGGTCGTCGTCGCAGAGCTGGAGGAAGCGCTCGATACGGCCAGACGAGTGCTCTGGGCCCTGGCCGTCGAAGCCGTGGGGCATCGACATTACAAGACCGGTGCGCTGGAGCCACTTGCGCTCGCCCGAGGCAATGAACTGGTCAATGATGACCTGAGCAGTGTTGGCAAAGTCACCGAACTGCGCCTCCCACATGGTCAGCGAGTTGGGCGAGACGAGCGAGTAGCCAAGCTCAAAGCCAAGAACACCGTACTCGGACAAGTGTGAGTTGGTGACGGTGAACGAGCCCTGCTCAGGCGAAAGGTGCTTGAGCGCAGTGTAAGTCGACTCGTTCTCCTGGTCGTGGATCAGAGCGTGACGCTGCGAGAAGGTACCACGCTCGACGTCCTGGCCGGAGATACGAACGTGAGTGCCCTCGAGGCAGAGCGAGCCAAAGGCGAGGGCCTCAGCAGTCGACCAGTCGATGCCCTGGCCGTCGGCAACAGTCTTGCCGCGGTTCTTGATGATACGGGCAAGGTTCTTGTGCGGGGTGAAGTCCGATGGGTAGCTCGAGATGATCTCACCGATCTTCTTGAGAGTCTCCTCCGAGACACCCGAGGGGCGCTGGGGGAGGACCTTCTCGGCGAGCTCCTTGGGGGACGGGAAGCCCTCCCACGAGGACGAGAGCCACTCACGAGCCGTGGGCTTGTAGTCCTTGGACTCGTCGGCAGCCTTCTCAAGCATGCCCCAGACCCACTGGCGGTGCTCCTCGATCTCCTTGGCGCTGAAGGCACCCTCCTTGATGAGTTGCTCCGAGTAGATGGGAAGAACCGAGGGGTGCTTCTGGATCTCGCGGTACATGCGAGGCTGGGTGAACGAGGGCTGGTCAGTCTCGTTGTGGCCGTGGCGACGGTAGCAGACCATGTCGATGACAACGTCCTTCTTGAAGGTAGCACGCCACTCTGCGGCGAGCATGCAGACAAAGTTGACGGCCTCGACGTCGTCGGCGTTGACGTGGAAGATGGGCGCGTCAATGGCCTTGGCAATGTCCGAAGGGTAGGGAGTCGAACGCGAGAAGCGGGGGTCGGTGGTGAAACCAATCTGGTTGTTGACAATCAGGTGGATAGTACCGCCAGTGCCGTAGCTCTGGAGGTGCGACATGCCCATGGTCTCGTAGACGACACCCTGGCCGGCAAACGCAGCGTCACCGTGGAGAAGGACAGCCATCGAGTGGTCGGCGGTGCCCTCGTCACCTTCAAAGTGCTGGATGGCACGGGTCTTGCCAAGAACGACGGGGTCCTCGGCCTCGAGGTGCGAAGGGTTGGCAACGAGCGAGAGCGAGACCTTCTTGCCCGAAGGAGTGGGGCGGATGTAGTTGGCGCCAAGGTGGTACTTGACGTCGCCCGATCCATCACCAGTGTCGTTGTTGCCAGCGAACTCGTTGAGGATAGCCTCGAGAGGCTTGCGAATGACGTTGGCGAGAACGTTGAGACGACCACGGTGGGGCATACCAATGACAATGGAGCGGACACCGGCGTCGACCGAGGCGTCAATAAGACCCTTCATACCGGGGATGAGCGACTCGCAACCCTCAAGACCGAAACGCTTCTCGTTGGGGTACTTGGAAGCGACAAACTTCTCAAACAGCTCCGACCAGATGGTGCGGTCGAGGATCATACGCTTCTCCTCGGTGGAGTAGTTCCACTGAGTGGGAACCTCGATGCGCTCACGAAGCCAGTCGCACTGGCCACGGTCGGGAATGTGAATGTACTGGAAACCAATCGAGCTCGAGTAGATCTTCTTGCACTCGGCAATGATGTCGCGGAGCTTGAGCTTGTCATCCTTGACAGTGCCAGCAAAGCGGGGAAGGATACCGGGGCCAAGGGTGAACTCCTTGTCCATGTCGGCCTCAGTCCAGCCATAGTACTCGGGGGTAAGTTCGGGGACGGGGGAGCCCTCGAGGTCGGCGTGGCCAATGCCGAGAGGGTCGAGCTTGGCCATGTGGTGACCTCTGACCTGGTAGGCACGGACGAGGAGCTGGACCTTGAGGTAGTCCGAGACCTCACCGCCGCCCTGTAGGTTGAGAGTGGGTGCGCCGCCGATGGGCTCCAAAACGTTGGCCTCACCAGACTGGAGACCAGGAGGAGGAGTGAAGGCGGCAGCGGAAGGGAGACCCTTGTCGAGACCCGAGAAGTAGGCCTGCCAGGAAGCGTGGACCGACTTGGGGTCGTTCTTCCAGTCGCGGTACATCCTGGTATATGTCAGCATGGATTGGGTTGTTGAGAGAGCTAGCTTTCATGGTACAGGACTGTTGAAGAGCAGGGAGACGGCCAGCCCTGGGGTGGGCGGACACCATGTCCACTGCGGGAAGAGCTGTATGCAACTTACTCCTCGATGTAGTACGAGTTGGCGCCATTTGCGAAGGCGTCGATGGGGCTAGGTGGGACAGCCTTTGCGGGAGTGGCGAGGCTACGGGCGAGTTTTGGGACGGCGAAGGCAGCGATGGGGCGTGCGGCCGCGATGCGCGAGGCGCGGGGGATGCAGCGACGAGGCAATGTGCGAAGCATGATGATTGTAGCTCCAGTGGAGCGCGCGAGGGGGGAGGTGGAGGAGGGGGGGGGGGGCGGGGGGGGGGGCAGAGGAAAGGGAAAGTCGAAAGAGGATAGATAGTCTTGTCTCGAGATGGGGATGGAGAGACTTGACTAACAGGTGGAGAATGAGAAAGAGTAA